GGATACTTGTGTATGGATACTTGTGTATGGATACTTGTGTATGGATACTTGTGTATGGATACTTGTGTATGGATACTTGTGCACTGATACGCGTTAATGCCGTGTACCCGTCCATCTATACTCGTCTGTCTATATATCTAACGAACTAATATAGTGTGATATCAATACTCTTTCTAGTATTTATAAGGAGGTAGATAAGAAGGTAGATGAGAGGGAGGAAAGAAAGAAAGAAACAGAATAAGGAATAAGAATAGAAGTAGTACCCACCTACCCGATACCTCCCCAAACCCCCAAGACCCCTTCAAGACTTCTACTTACTTTCTCTCCACTACCCTCCATCTCATACACGATCATATATATGCTACATCAGATGAAGCTTAAAAAAGAGAAAGCGAAGAAGTAGTTAGAATAAGTAGACAAGAACAAGTAAAGACGAATAGGACATGAGTCGAATAAGTATACACAAACTAGCGTGAAAATAATCAAGTATGAGGACGAGCAAGACACACGAAACGAGAGTGAGACTGGATGTGTATAGGGTGAGTGAGTAATAATAACACGAATGATAATAATGATGATAATGAAGAGGCAGTTTATTGTGAACATAGGAATAGGATAACAAGGAGAAATCACGGTCATGGAGCAACGAGGAATGATGATAACACGATGGTATGGATGATATAGATAGATAGAACGGCTATCAAGACATGGCGCAGGCACACAGGACTCGGAACCCTAGCATACTAGATAGATTCATCGCTCTCTTAGACGGCTTGAATTTGATTTGATTTTTGGGGCTGTGAACTACGTGTGGATTACATGTGGATCGAGGTATGAGGTAAATAGAATGGTAGTGGTGGTGGTGGTGGTGCTGTAGAGCAGGGGGTATCAGGTTCTCCCATACATACATGGAGAGTTTCATGTCAGAAGTATGTCGAGGACAGTGCCATTATACATTCCGCCAGATGACGAGGGCCGTGTTCTATGTCCACGTTCGTGTTCGTGTCCGTGGACAAAAGCCGCTTATTCCACTAATTAACGCCGGATGCGCTGCGATGCGCTGCTTGCTTCGTTTATTCATTCATCGTCATCCTCAGCGATATCGTCATGATCATGATGCATTTAGTGGTTTGCGGCCGTAGACGACATAACTAATGGCGTAGCAGGATTAGCATAACAAACACCACAGAGTAGACCGACAAGTCAGGAGGGCAGACTCACAAGGGGTAGTACGGGTGATAGCGCAAGTTCTGAATCTCCTTGCGCACGCCGGCCAGAAACACACTCGTCTCCTGGGCACTCCAGCCCAGACCCTTCTGAAACAGCCGCAGACTCATGCCCTCCAGCCCGTTGAGAAAGTTCTCCATCTCGAACATGCCAATCAGCTTATACTTCCCGTCCTTGGGCCAGGGGTTACTCGGGATCTTGAACCGGCGCTCGACCACCGCCTCGAACCCGGCCTCCTCCATCCACCGCTTGAACATGGCCGGGTCCTCGAGCGGGGTCTTGACGTGCCGGGCAGCGGCGCGGATCAGGCTGTCATACCGGCGGAAGTGGCTGTCGGGCGGGAGCGAGTCGTCGTCGCAGCCGAGCACGCCGTGGATGGACTGGAACTCGATCCAGCCGCCGGGCTTGAGGTGGTGGTAGGACTGGCGGATGAGTTTGGGGAAATCGTGGATGGCGAAGAGGAGGTCGCGTTGGTGGATGAAGTCGAAGGATTGGGCGCGCCATGTCCAGTCTGCCTCGATGTCGTCGAGTTCGAAGTGGCAGTTTGGCGGCACCCATTGCGGCTGGATCGGGGCGATGTCGACGCCTGGGTGTGGTGTGTTAGTGGAGGATGGGACAGACTATGGCATCCCGGGTCAATGCATCAGGGCAGGCAGCACATGACGTACCGATTACTTCGGCGGCGGGATACTCGTCGGCCACGTCGATACACCAGATCCCCGTGCCCGTGCCCAGGTCGAGGATCCTCTGCGTGTCTTCAGGTATCGGCGCCAGGAAGCGCTTCTTGTCGAGCAGCATGTAGTACTTGGCATGTGACATGTCAATGCGATCCATCTCGCGCTCGTCCATCGGCATGCCATACTCTGGCGATCGTCAGTAGGGATGATCCTTGTTTCAAACGTGGGGGTGGGCCATTGATGGGGCTTGGGGCTTAGGGGCTTTTTCGTCAGGTCGTGGAACGTCGTGGCCATACCTTCCTTGCCGTATGCGGCGTATGTTCGTCCATTTTCTGATACACCGCGTAGCAAGTGTGATGACACAGAGGTCAGCGAACTTCTATCTGAGCTGTCGCCGTAGCCCTGGCAAGGTGTCAGTTCTCCGCCTGGGACGCGGCGCAGATGCAGTTCCTCAAGTACTGACCGCATCGCTGAAGCCATCGTCTGATGGCTCAGGGCCTGGCTGTAGATAGTCTTCTTGGACGTCTGTGGCATCTGGGCTGTTGGCGGGCTGCGGGTCTGATTGGTGGTCTGCAGCCGCATCGCCAGCCATTTTCGCGGGGGGGGAACCGTTTCTACTCAACGGCTGCTACGTAGTTCACAGTGTGCACTCCACGTGGTCGAGAGTGTGCCACGGGGCTATTCCACGACAGAGTATGGCCGAGGATGCAGGAGAGAGCAAGGGGTAAAACGTTTTCTGTTCGACGCCACCCCGAGTAATGTCGTACGTCGTCGTGCGATGTCGTGGGCGCAAGCAGCGAGTCGGGGACCTAGAGCTGAGCTGTGGGTTTATGTATGACACAGAAGAGAGGCCCAAATCGTTGCGCTGACTCGGATGATCCAGACGGGTTTCTATTTCCAACGGCGCGCGCTCGGCTGACGTCGTTCAAGGCTCGCGAAGGGATGTTATAAGGCCAAGAGCCTGCGATGCGACACAGAACCCGGTAAAGGTAACGTCTCGATAGTAGGACAAGGGCGAGGTGCGCTCTTACGGGAGTTTTGGATGTTGGTGAGATGCTGCGGTGTGATGTTTCGAAAACGATACACAAGCAGCTTCATCAATCACAACGCAATAGTAGAGAACAAGCGAACCGGCGAAGCAAAGAAGCAACAGTCGACGGCGGCGATTCCATGTCTATTAATTAAAGTGAAAGCTCAAAAGGGCCGGCGGGAGGAAGTGAAGGTGAGATGAGCAAAAAATAGCCCCGGATCGCAGCCTTCAGCTTCCACCCGCCGCCAATGAGTTTAGGCCCGACCACAGCGCCAGCACGTTTCTTCACCGTACACGGTCGATGATTGGGGTCGAAATGCGATTGCGTGAATGGACGGACCAGTCCGATGGAGTGTTTTTTCCTCTTTAGACCGCTCACAGAGTTGTATGGATGCATGCGAGTGGGCGAAGGGGATGGCCCGGTTTCCCCAACGGGCTCCGTGGCGGGACTATCTGCATCGGTCTCTTCCACCAGCCCCCTTTACGGTTAGACGCTCCACATTCACTCGTCGTGGCTTTACCATCCTCACCTAAGCACTTTATAAACACGTACTATACTCACTACTTCATCCTCCGTCATCTCGTCTGCGGGGTCAGGGTCGTGGCCTCCCTTTCCCTTGGCCGGTCGTTGTCGCCAGGGAGGGGCAAAGAGAGCATGACGAGTGAACACCGGACTAGACACGATGGATGCTGCTCCAGTGTTCCTCACCAAGGTAGTACCTTGTACGCCGAGCTGGCCAGGTAATCCTGCTTGATCTGGCCAGCTATCTGGTAATAATTCCTTCAAACGTCTCCAGAGACTCTATCCAGCATCATCGCCGCTATGACTTCGATGTCAGAAAACGCCAATGCAAGTCTCGTAGCGGCCGCAGAGGACTTCCTCGCGGCCGCAAAAGCTTTCAATGGAGAGCCAATGGGTCAGATGGCATTGGTCAAGAAGGCTGATAAGCTAAGATACTTGAGCGAAGGGCCAAGGGACACCATCTTCCGGCAGTGGGATACTGTAAGTCTACAGATCCATAATGTCTTCATACACTCAGACCCCTTGCCAATAAGTTGATACAAGTCGATGGGCTGGTGTACACCCTGTGCATAAGCAAAATCTCGAAATCTTCTCGCGAGGGACCACATATACCTTTTCTGATGTGCTCAGATACATCTCACTGCTGCAATCAACATTGTAAAGTCCACTGGCGTCCTTGATGAGATACCCAAGAAGGGTACCATCACAGCCAAAGAGCTCTCAGAAGCCGTTAACTTACATGAATCTGTAGTTGGTAAGTCCATAGTCAGAGGTAGTTGGCCATATGGGCCTCGAAACTGACCCTGACCAGCACGGTCTATGCGGATCCTCTGCGTTCAGGGCATCTGCGACGAACCAGAACCCGATATCTACTCCCACAACGCCAAGTCCCTTGTATACATCACAGCTCCATCCAAGTACTTCTTTGATCTCATGTAAGTCACTCCCGTCATGTGTCCAGTAGTCGCTAATACAGCACCAAGCCTAGACCAAGACTATGTGTTCAAGAAACTACCTCAGTACCTCAAAGACCACTCGACCAGCGATCTGATGGACCTCAAGAAGTCTCCCTACGCCTACGCCTACAATCGCATGGGTATGAGCTACTACGAGGTAATCTCAGACGACCCTGTCCGCTTTGAAATGTTCAACCAGTCCATCCGTCAAATGGACCAGCAAATGCCAGTCCTGGGCATGTTCCCTTTCGCCTCCCTGAAAGAGCAAGTCGAAGCCGACACCTCGCGGCCTTTCATCGTCGATGTCGGCGGGGGCCTTGGCGCGCCCCTGATGAGCATCCAAAAGGAAGCGCCGGCGGGCTTCGGCGCGAAATGCATTCTGCAGGACAGAAAGGATGTTCTGGACTCGATCAAAGACGAGGATATCCCAAATGTGGAGAAGATGGAGCATGACTTCTTCACGCCTCAGCCTGTCAAAAGTTGGTACTCAAACACTCGTTCCATGTAAGCGTGAAACACTGACTGCTGCAGATGCGCATGTCTACCTACTCCGCCGGATTTTGCATGACTTCTACATGCCTGTCTGCAAGGACATTGTGAGAAACATTGCGTCTGCCATGGGGAAAGACTCGCGTCTACTTATTGGCGATTTCGTAGTACCAGAGAAGACCAATGTTGGCGACGACCTGATGGTGTACTGGATGGATTTCAGTATGATGGTGCTGACTGGCCAGGAGAAGACGGCGAAGCAGTTTGCTGAGATCCTTGAAGACGTAGGCTTGGAGCTTGTCAAGATCTGGAGGTATCCATATGGTGCCCAAGCCGTGGTCGAGGCAAAGCTCAAGCAATGATGTACAGGGTTGGGCCGTGAGGAATGGTCGTTGGGATGGCGTGGGTAGCTAATATTGCCGAGATATCACCATATCCTTTGATACACCACCCTCATCTGCTCTGAATCTCTGGCGTACGACTTATCCTTTACATTTTATATCGTTGTTAAGTATCCTTCGTCCATTCTCTCTTGCTGCCGGAACATACGAACCTAGATGCAGCACGATGGCCAACTGACTTGGTAGTATAGCAAGTATTCATTCTTGCTTCAATGGTCGAGCGCAGTGGGCTTTTGGACATTCCTCCCGAATAAGAAAGCATATGAATCCACATCAGAAGATAAAGACGGAGTTGTGTCTGGTCTGGATAATCAAAGAATTGCAAAAGAGGTGAAGTGTGAGCTTCACGACTATCACAGGCTCCAAGACTTATTGGTTCGTGGAACGGACATCGGATGATGAAAAGTGAATGGAGAAAGAGTGCAGACTACCTTATGGCACTGGCTCCATAACCTAAGGCAACAAGGCCGAAACACTACCAGTACCTACGATCGCAGAATGCATTGGAACCACAACACTCACCCTTCCATGCACCCGTGCGCGAATCCACCAACGACTGTCCATGGTGATATGCATAGAATGTCGCTACCCGGTGAAGAATCTCTACACCACCTACAGCAAAGCCGATGACCGCACTCTGGGCAAAGGCGTCCGCCTCACGCAATGCCCGCGCTGCAAGCGCTTTGCCGACAAATACGTCGAGCATGACTTCGTCGTCCTCTTCATCGACCTGGTCCTGATCAAGCCGCAAGTGTACCGACACTTGCTCTTCAATAAATTGGGAAGAGAGGACGACAAGTTCGATGTAGGGATTCATTCTACTGCCCTTTCCCGTCCCGACCCATAGTCAAAATATTGTATAGGCATTGGTTGCTGATAGAAGGTTGTGTGTCTTAGCCCTCCATCGTCCGCCTCGGCGTCCTCCTCTTGCTCTTCGACGTCTATCTCACCTGGGCGCGCATCGAGAAAGCCTTCCCAATCCCCTTTGCCCCGCTGTCGTCCGTCCAGACACCCGGTCAGACTTCCCTGCTCTCCGCGCAGCCGCTCGTGCTCCAATACCTCTTCTTCCTCGCGCTCGTCTTCTCTGAAACCGTCGCGTTTCATGTCCCCATCCGGCTGATCTGCTCGCATATGCCTCGATTGCCTGCGCTCGACGTGCCTGCGTGGACAGCGCGTGTACCCGTGCTGAAGCTGTTCGTGCGGCGAACCGTCGTCACGGAGGAGAAGGAGACGGATACCAGTGGTCCTTCGGCTGGGGTTGTTGAGAAATACACGATTCCGCTGTCGCCGCTGCCGTACTATCCGCATCCGGTACCGCTGAGCACGGCGTTGCTGGTGAGCTCGTGCACGAAGCTGTTTCCCATCTTGCTCATTATCTGGGAGTACGACCTTCCGTCTGCGGCGACGGCAGTCAGCTGGGCAGTCATTGTCAATAATGTTGCGGCGCTGCAGATACTGATGGATTGTGGATACGTGCAGGCAATGATCTTGGTTGCGATTGGGGCGGTGTTGAGAGGTCTTGTGGCGTGGTGTATACTGGGCATCGCAGGCCTGACTGGCACAGACGGTATGGGCGTTCTGGACGGTATAGGGCTAGGTTGGCAGTCTGAGTGAACGAGCGACAAATTCTTAGAAGGGCGGTCAGGAAACATGATACCCCCAATGTATTGCATGCTTTACAATAGAACGGACTTATCTCCATGCCTGTAACGCCAGTTCAGCTTCGGAGTCTTGAAGTCTCGAAGCTCCATATGCTAATTGTACACTCCACGCAGAAACTCGTTTCAAGCTTCAGTCCTGCGATGGAAAACCAGGACAGCCCCTCTTCCTGACCATCGTATCGTTCTCCCTCGCATCCATTATCGCGCTCATCCATCCGCAAACCTCGCAGCCGTCAATGACTCTAATGAAGATGTCTGATATCGTTCCGCTGCGGCTGCACGAGCGGATGCCACTGCGCAAGAAACGTAATCGCTACACCCGAAACCCAGTCAGTATACATTGATTCATTTATTCCCTTCCAGAATCCCGACCGTCCAGTCTACAGAAAGACAACGCGAGAAAACCAAAGCGAAATAGCACTCACCCCACATAAGATAACACGCAGCCGCACTAAGTATCAACGAGCTCCTCCAAATCCTGTCTCTGATGTTAGCGTTTTATCCTCACGAAACACTTAAACACCAAGCATCCCCCCAATCTCTCCCCGCTCGTAGAATCCTGATGTGTAGCATATCCTTCCATTCTCCTCTACATTCTACTTCTGCCTTCTGCCTTCTCCTCTAGCCCTTCTCCTCAACAAGTCAGAGAGAAACATACGTTTGATCATCGCCCTTGGGCGCAAGGAACCAGCTCGCTCCACAGAACGCAACGATGAAGACGAGGCCTACGATGAGCGACCAGCCGTTTGCCATTGCTGTGTATGCTTGTTGTTGTTGCTGTGTTGTAGGAGAGATAGTTTCGCAAGGATCGGCGGTGTGGCGTGGTGTGGTGTAGTGTATAGGCTTTCCTGACTATTGGCGCTTGGGGACTTGTCGTGGCTTTTGAGTCGTTGAATGGAGTGCTGCTGGGTAGATAGATAGGTTGGAGGTTTCGATGGCGTAGACGGGATGGGTGGACGCGGCGTTGTTCCGAGAACGAAGCCGACGGAGGACAGGGGTGGTTTAGCGCGGGTATGGCAAGCTGCTGAATAGCTTTTACTAGATTACACCTTTTTATATAAACAACCAATATTTAGAGACCTATAAGAGTAAAGCTAGATTATAATAAAAAATAGATAGGTAACAGAGCTTCTCCTGATCCACTAAGCCAATGCTAAGTAAAAGAAGTATTTGTTTAGATTAGTCTATGGATAGACTAGTAATAAGTAGACTTCTAGATTTATAAAAATCATCTATAGATGAGTATGGAATTCATTCACTAGTACATATAACTGTACGTTCATTCTTGTTTCAGACTACACGACTACGATTGGTTTCAAGGAATGGATATAAGTACAATAACAACAAACTCTTCGTACCCTCTCAAACGCCAACGCCAGCTTGGTCCATACCAATATACCAACATGAAGAACTTATGACCTACTCAACCTTCCCTATCGCATCATTCCAGAATTACAAAAAGAAATCCAACAGCTGCTACTTTGAGCTTGAAGAAAGCAGTGGCAACAAAATGCACAGGCAAGTTTCTTCCTATGCAAATTGGCTCTTATCGCGATCAAATGCACAATCGGTCGTGAATTTCGCTAAACTCGGTCATATCATAATCGGTCTATCGATCCGGCGCAAATCATCTTCTGTCGTTCATATTCGCGATTGAGGAGGTGATTCGTCGCAACCGAGGTAAGGTCAGGTGAGGGTCGCCACCATAGCACCGAGCAAAATGTTGCCCTTTTGTCGCTGTTTCGCTATTTGCCGCCCATCAACTTCCGACTCTGAATAGGGTGGAGGGTGGATGATCAATGAGACGATCGCACGAGCGCCAACCTACCCTTTCGATCTTTTTCGACCCGCACAACATCTCTCTCCTTGGGTCGCTCCACAATTTCGTAGTCTGTCTCCCGATCAATCCGTACGAGACGTCGCTCTTCCTCGAGAGAACGTATCTCCTCCCGTATCTCCCTTTCGGTTCGTGGGCGCCGTGGTACTAGCGACGTCACAGGTCCACTGATGTGATTGGACTCCTGGATGTGCTCCTCAAATTGATAATTATGAGACGGTTCCACTGTTCGCACGTTGTGGGAATAGACGGAAGCTGGGGGTGGAGGAGGCGCGAAAGCAGCTGGAGGTGGAGGAGGTGCGAAAGCAGCTGGAGGTGCTGGAGGCGGTGGTGGGATGTGCTGAGAATGATGACTATGTACACTTGCCGGAGGAGGTGGCGGAGGAGGCATTTCAAGGGGTGGTGGAGGTGCTGGCTCTCCAGTGTCTTCGTAGCGGTATGTTACGCGGCCTGATATGTCAGAAATGAATATTGCTCAACAGTCACAAAACACTCACTTTCTTTGTAGCCCTCGCTAATCTTTATCACTTCATCGATCTGCTCTTTCTCCAAAGCACGTCGCACGACCAGGAAATCTTCCTATAAGACGATGAGATCTCGCGGTCAACCATATCAAGGAAAGAACGTTACTCACCTCGTCATCAAATTCATAGCCCTTTTCTATGAGCGCGTTGATATGCACAAGGCGCTTTGGCATCCTGGTCCTGCCCTTTTTGCCTGGGAGTGGCGGAGGTGGAGGCTCATGAACACTGGGCTCGTGAACACTGGACTCGTGAACACTGGGCTCATGAACATGATGTACGCTGACACTGTGTACACTGGGAGTGTGGACACTAGAGGCCTTCACGCTTGGACGTTGAGTGCTGGCACTAGAGGAGCTTGATGAAGACGGAGCTCGTTTAGAGCGTCCAGACCGCCGTCGCCGTCGAGTGCTTCTCTCGCGTCGAATCTCGATATCGCGATATTCCTCTCTACTGTCGGGCTCATAGTCTCTGTACCTGATCTCCTCGTAGTCATCATAATCATCATATGTAGGCTTGCGGCGGCGCTCGCGGAAGGGAAGAGGAATCGGAACATTTGTAGGTGGACGCCATTCCTCTTTTTCTCGGTCTCCATACCGTGCAATTGGGCGTCTATCAAACGTGTCAAGGGATGATTGTCGGCGAACGAACTGAGGCCGAGCGGGACGGCGGGCTGGTGGATCGAGATCTCGTTCTACGATAGACTTGCGCCGGTAGGGAGCAAGCGCAGTCTTGTTGACTTCTGATGGTGTCGGCTCATGGCGATCCAGGAACTCTGGACGGCGTCGCGTAGGTCTTTCGTCTTCGTAGTCTCGGTCGATGACCTCGATGCGAGTACGGCCTCCACGATTGCGCTCCGTAATGTCAATTTCGGTGTCGTAGCCTCGTCTGCCGTGCCCAGAGTCGCGCTCTTCGAAACGAAACGACTCTCGGCTCTCAGGACCACGGCTTCGAATACGCTCAAACCTCTCTCGGTCCCATCGTTGTGGTCGAGAATCGTCGTCGTAGTGACCCAGATCGCCTGTCGAAGAGCGGTGCGTCATCTTCACGCGGACAGTTGGTACGAATGTTATATGTTAATAGGGATGCTGGACAGGTTGATATTCCTGAACGCAGATCGGGAAGAAGTGTTGAGGAAGGAGAGTATATAAGGCTGGTGGGCGGTTGAGAGAGCTTTTTGGGTGAGCCCAAGCGGGTGATCCAATGAACCAGGTTACGAAAGAGGGGCTCGAGATTTGAGCGTCGTCACTATAGCCTCACACCTGCGTTCGGACGCCGATAATCGATCAAGGTGAGGGAATCGAGCGCGAAGAGCGGCAGCGATAGCAGCAGCGAAAGTCTATTCAGTTCCCTAGAGATCGACAGTGTCCCTGAGAGGGATGGGGGAATGCCGAAGGATGAAGCGGCACGGGAAGGTGTGGAGGGAATGGATTGATCATTGATGGATGGAGGGCGATAAGCTATCGAGCGAGCGGGCCCCAGGAGAATATGTAGTGCGGACAAACACAGATTTAAGCACCATGGGCTGCAGCGTACAGAACCAAGGAAGTTGGGCAACGGAGTGTGCAGTGCAGGTTTCGTATGCTGTGATAGTTGGGTTTCCTGTCAAGGATATCCTGTCCTGCAGCGTATCAGAGTATCATTCGGCGCGCCGTGAAGGCTTTCGTGGTATTATCGCCAAGATGACGTCTGTGGCGCCCATCACTTTGGTCCTTCGTTAATATCCAGCTCACTCATCATTAATTTTCTAAGAGCACTTTCGAATCTCTGAACAGCACTATAAAGCACGTTGTCTAACGTTATTGTAGTTCATGCGACGCCCGCTAGCTGCAGCTGCATCATCACCATTAGTCTTCATCTGCTGCAATCATGACTTGTGGACCTTGCATGTGGCTTGATGCTACGGTATTTCCAGTTACAAGCCCACGATAGCTTGGACGCACGACGTCTACTGCTATGTTGGAATGTATAGTCTTCTTCTCACTCACGAGTAATCCTGTGTAGACGTTCACCTAGGTACAATAGCATTTCCAGACTCGACAGCATCCCCCGGCTAGCGCCAGTACTACCTACCTGGGTACCCATTGAAAACATCGAATTCTATATAATGTGTCGTTATCTTGTTATGCATCAGCGCTGGTGCATTGTAAGATGGTGGTTCCTGAGCTTGGAAACTGATACAGCGATTGCGTGAGCAGCCTTCAAAGGTAGGATAGTACATTAACTGAACCGACTGATTACACAGATGGGCTGATACCACATTGGGTTCCGCTAAGTCCGGACAGGTAAATAAACATAATGAAAACAGGCTTATATTGAGGCGAGATTCATATCAAGTGACCTAGAATACTCTGTATTAAGGAGCTTGTCTCTGGTCACCTTTACAAATCTCGCCTCTCACTTCTTCACCGTCGCAATGTGGGGAAACATCATACATACCATCGTAGCTTTAAGCTGCCTCAGTCTGACTACAGCTACTCTGAAGCCTGTCCACAAAACCGTTCAGAATAGCGCAATCATCGGGAAGGTGGATGGCGAAGATACAAGAGTCCTGAGCGACGAATCTCTACACGAAACAATCGATCGAGTGTGTGACTTCTGTTCGAAACGGATGGATCAGCCCGGCAAGAAGGACGAACCGACTTGGAACGCCACGCAGGCAAGGAACATCCTAGCTCCGGTTTGAATCAAGAAGATGGTTGAGCCTATCCGAGATATCTTCATGGTCGGTGGGTCTCCGTCGAAGGCAGGCAAAATGCTCAAGGACCTCCACTTCATCAACGGCTATATCATAATCATGCCCAAATTTCACTCAGTGGCCCATCTCGAGCTTCCTGACGATTGGAAAACGGGAAATTGGGAAGATACCTGCAGTTTCGTCTGGCAGACAGACTATCTGTGAATCGGGGATCTAAATGTTGGATATTGGGCAGAAGAGAGTGCTGGTGTAGGACTCCAACTCCTTGATCCTGAGCAGAACCTTGATCCTAGAGTGACCGACTGGAGAGTTTGACCGGACCGAAAATGGCACTTCAAGGATGGGAGATTTGCACTCTCTCCCCCCGGAGAGCCGTACACGATCTTCACCTATCCATGTAACTTATTCGTGGAGATGAAGAACATTCACTTCGTCATTAACTCCAAGTGGTATGAAATCCCAGGCGATCGAACCACTACGCTTGACATGTACCAGGAGAGCTATCCTAAACGTATACTTGATTTGTCGGGCTTGGATATGGTCCGATATCCAAGCCTCAATAGCGAGGGGTGATTTGGTATCGCTACAAGTGTGCCACAGGTTACGGCTGGCAGGCGAAACACATCTTGAATATTTGAGATAGGTGCAGGACGCAGTATCTTTGAGGTTACTGGGAAGCAATAGGCAACCATGCAGGCGGCCAAACCTTCCCTCTAAGGAGAGCAACAGGAGCTTGAGCTACCAATTTGAGTCTGAAGCATTTCCTCCTATTAGGTGTGTGAAATCATGAAAGTCCATATGGCAGCTATGCTATCCTGGCCGCTGGAGTTTAAAGAACACTTATGTTCTTTTATCTGGTAGGTGTTCATGAAATAACTGCTTTAATTGCTTTTGCGACATCACTCATTTCCACCGCTCTTCCGCTCAGCTTTTCCTTTGCCTTACCTATCATCGAGCCCACATGTGCGCCTTTCCCTAGCTCTTGCACTACCTCTGTCACAACCGCGCGAATCTCATCCTCACTGACAAGGCTGACCATGCCAGAGTACTCTTTCAGCACACTGATTGTCTCATCTTGTTTTTCCACCAAATCCGTTCGTCCTGCTTGAAGGGCTTCAGCTTTCGCACTGGTCACCATCTTGATCTCCTGCTTGAAAAGGGCAAGTAGTGCTGCGTCATTCTCTACAGGCTTCCCAATCTTCGAAGCATCATTCACTGAAGCCAAGATACCTCGTAGAACATTGAGACGCGTCTTGTCCTTATTTTGCATTGCTTTCTTGAGGTCTGGTCGAAGGCGGGAGAGGACGGGAGATGATATTGTACTGTTATGACGAGACTGGACGGCGATTTGGGTGCGAGGTGATAGACATATTGATGATTGACCAGTATGTATATGTGGTCTGGTAAGAAGGTAGATACGTCGAGTGGCCATAGGTATGAGCGGGCTTGAGGTGATCATGTCAGTGAAATGTTAGAATACCTTCCTTACCTACATACATACTCACTGCATGTATCTACTGATGGGACGCCAGTATATACGTAAGTTTATTAATTAGGTGATGATTTGAAGTGAGGTATAATTGACGGCCCCAGCTTTGCGTTTAATGTGACAGAGCTTACAGGCTGCTGTTTGATGTCAATTGTTATTTGAATTCGTGCCTGATGCTTGTTCCATTGAGGAGCTCTCCAAGCTGGGCCTTAGTACAGCCGTCCTCAAAGCCGTTAGTCAGCAAATCTTTTCCCACTACTAGTAGCTTCAAGTTCAGTACAATACGCGTAGACTCGCGCGAGCAACAGAGCTTCGCGCAATCCTACAAGCCCGACGTCTACATCTCTCCAGACCCGGCGCAAACCTATACGATACGAAAATACGCTCCTTGCCGTACCGTGTCACATTTACATGCGCCATTCTTAGCTATCATGGCGGCTGTTGCACCTCCTGCGACACCGCAGCGCCCGATGCCTGGCAACTTTGCGCAAACTCCAGCTCCATCGAGGCCAGCAACGCAGAGCACGCGAAATCAGCTGATATCACAACCGGTTTCCACAACGCAAATCTCCCAGCAGCTCACTACTTCATCAAATTCACAGTTGACACCGATTGAAAGAGCATCGAAGACGGTGAACGACTATCTAGACCGAGACAGAAGATATCCTGAGTTGGAAAGGTATATTGCACGTATGTCGTATTCCAGTAGTGGGAGATAGAGAACTAAAATGTGACAGAGGGTATTTCGCATGATTATGAGGACTCCAACAACCCAGCTTGGAACCCTTATCAAAAGATCAAGAACTATGAGATCCCCGATCGGATACTCGACCAGTACAATTTGGCGCAAACGGCGTTGATGATGGGTTTGTTTGCGGAGCTGAATCATGCATGGATAGCCATTGACAACGCGCTTTATCTCTGGGACTTTACACATCCAAATCCTGATCTGGTTGGGTTCGAGGATCAACCGCATGCCATAAACGCCGTCAAACTCCTCAAGCCTCGTCCTGGTGTTTTTGTCAAAACCATTGAGTACGTTCTAGTAGTGGCGACGAGTGCAGATATCATCCTGATAGGTGTCTCATTCGAACGCGGTCCAATGGGTGTACAGGGGATCACGCTGTATCAGACAAACATGAAAGTGCCAGTCAAAGCAGGGCAGAACAATATCATTGCAGGCTCAGACAGGACGGGACGAATATTCTTTGCCGGTGCAGAATCGGATGACGTCCATGAACTCACGTATCAGCAGGAGGAGAAATGGTTCAGCAATCGGTGTGGGAAGATTAACCACGTTACGAAACCATTTTCCACAGTACTCCCGTCAATCAACTTGAGCTTTGGAAAACCTTCGTCTCGCGAACATGTTCGGGAGATGATGGTTGACGATTCGCGGAACCTTCTCTATACCCTTTCGTCTACCTCAACTATTCGCATTTTTCAACTGAAGGAGAATGGTATTCTCGACCTCTCCTTGACGCTATCCATCTCGAAATTGAAGACAAGCATAAGCCATATACAAAACACAACGGAACTGCTCCAGCCTGGGACTGAAGTCGCATCCATTTGTCCTATTCCTTCGACGGAATCTCCGCGACTCAGCCTCATCGCAACAATGTCCACTGGCCACAGAGTCTTTCTCAGTGCGACATCAGGCGGTATCTGGGGCTCTTCAAATCAAAGCTCTGCTCCGACCAGTATGCAACCACACCATATCAAAGCTCCTCCTCCCACTGTCCCTTCTGCTCGGCTTACCTATCGTTTTGGTTCTGGCTATTTTCTCTGCTTCTTCAGGCGACCAAACATGCCAGATATTGACGTCCTTCTTGCGTCAGCTCCAGACACAGGTCGCTTAGCAGCGTTAACAGATCAGATGCAAGCGTCCAAGTTTATCGAAAACGCACAGACTGTTGAGCTAGGGAGTTTCGTGTCAGACGTTGGGATGCTCGTGCCAGCGGCGACTGCAACCTCAACGCCACAAGGCTACGGTAACGAACTAGCGATCCAATTTGATAAACCGGTCTGTGAACTCGCGATTCTTACAAACACCGGCGTGCAAATAATACGTAGGAGGCGTCTGGTCGATGTCTTTGCCGCCATCATCAGATACGGTGGCACACCAGAGGAAGGAGTGAGTGGCGAGCTGAAGAAGTTTGCGAGACTTTATGGCCGTGATGAAACCAGTGCGACTGCACTGGCCGTGGCCTGTGGTCAAGGAACAGAGGTCACATCTGATTTGAGAGTCGCAAAAGTCTCCGATACTGAAGTGCTCGAGCAAGCACGAAAAGCCTTCATTGATCTCGGCGGAAAAGCCGTCATCAACGAGACTAGTATCGACCAGGCTGCCCCTACGATTGACAACGTTCGACCATCATCTCGTCATGGTGGCCTAGCAATCTACATTGCTCGGGTCGTAAGATCGATCTGGAAATCTACTATCATCCAGGAGATAATTACAACTCGTGGCATTCAAGTTGAGCCTGCAGTTCCATTGACCAAGACTCAGGATGTACAACGAGATTTGATAGCGCTTAAAGAGTTTCTAGACTCCAACAAGTCATTCATTGATGGCTTAGCCGGACCTGAAGCGCTCAGTCGAATTAATTCGAAATCCGAAGAGCTCGCACTGCAAGGAGAACACAGAGCACTGAATTCTCTGGTGGTGCTCATTGCAAACATCATCGAGGGCATGGCCTTCGTGCAAATGTTGTTTGACGAGAAAGTTGACGAGATTCTCATTAAGTTGTCAGATGCATCCCGCCAAAAAGTTCGTGAATTGACGTTCGAAACGTTGTTCTGCAAAAGCGAAGGACGCGAGCTTGCGAAGGAGCTTGTGAAGGCCATCGTGAATCGCAATATCGAGAAAGGATCGAACGTTGACACTGTCGCAGAGGCACTTCGGAGAAGATGTGGCAGCTTCTGCAGCGCAGACGATGTTGTGATTTTCAAGGCGCAAGAACAGCTGAAGAAGGCATCTGAGGCTGGCCCAACCACGGATAAGGCACGAGCATTGCTCAACGACAGCCTCAAACTCTTTGGTAAAGTCTCAGCTAGCTTGTCAATGGAGCATCTAATATGGGCTGTTCGCCAGTATACAGAGCTAGGCTTCTATGCCGGTAAGTTGGTTAGATTAGCTTATGGAGTGTTTACTAAAGTGGCTTAGGAGCTATCCATCTTTCTCTTGAAGTCGCCTCAACTAGAGATCCGGGGAAAAAAGCATTGAGTTGGTTACGGGATGGGCAGCCATCACAAGACCCAAGAAAAGCACAGTATGATACACGAACAAGGTGTTACGAACTCATCAAGTCTGTGATTATCGCAGTTGATACTGCGGTGGTAGCCAATCCAATTGCCGTTGATGGTCAGATCTCTGCCATGGGTAGACGCTACAATGAGGCACACGACGAGATCAGCAGATCTGATGATGAAGTGTTTCAAAATTATTTGTTCGATTGGTATCTTGAAACTGGGAAGATACAGAATCTGCTTGATGACACATCACCTTTTGTAGCGACGTATCTTAAGCGTAAAAGTCAAGGGAGTGCGCATCACGCTGATCTGCTATGGAGATATTTCGCTCGTCACCATGAATTCTTCAAGGCTGCAGAAGTTCAAGTCATGCTCGCAAAGAGTGACTTCACTTTGAATCTCCAACAGAGGGTCGAGTATCTCAGTAAAGCCAAGGCCAATGCTTCGACTCGCCTACCTGGGATTGCAGAAATGCGCACCTCGCGCAACTCCCGCCAGGAGCTCTTGCGAGAAGCTTCTGAGCTGCTAGATCTGGCTGATATCCAGGCAGAGCTCGTTGAAAGACTACAAGCAGACATTCGATACACCCCAGAGAATAAAGAGAGCACACTCAAAGATCTCGATGGCCAGGTCAAAAGTATCAACGAACTCTTCAACGGAATCGCGGATCCGGCAGGTTATTGGGATATATGCTTGCTCATTTACGCATCAGCCGACTATAGGGTCGCGCAAGACATCGAACAAACCTGGCACCGTTACGTCGCTCAATTGGATAGAGACGTCGAGGAACAGAAGAAATGGGAGCTATTTCCTTCAGCAATCCGAGCAATCGGCCGCAAGTTACGTACTTCGGAAGCCGTATTTTCAGTCCGTAAGTCGTTGCAGTTGACCTTGACCCATTGGACCGCACATATCTAACGTAATGAATCTTTGCTAGCATTTCTTTTGCCCCTATTTATGAAGTATCATGTGGATAAGGCCATCCCCGCCCCACCTACATGGATGTTCCAACTTTTCCTCTACCTTGAAATTTCGGCAGAGCGCGTTGTTACAGTATTGGAGTGGCTCTTCTCGGGTGACGAACCAGGTTGGAGCGCGCCCGAATTTCGCAGACTGGCCGGCCTTGGACTTCTCCATGTCATCGACTACTGGTATCAAGAGACATCAATTGGAGATGTAGAACTCTTTGGTGATGACGAACGGGCAGCAAGTGTAGCAGACATCCTGAGGGCCGTTGTGAGCTCAGGAGTTTTCAGCCGAAATAATGATGCCGATGCTCAAGTTCTGGATCGTCTGGTTGCCTTACGAGAGCAGGTGGAGTCGTGGTTGAGATAAGAAACATATGTAATTGTACTTAGCGAGCATGGGCGGCGTCATGGCTTATAAGAGGTCTTTGAAAGTATGCATATTGGCATGAGCGAGCGAGCAAGCAAAAGCGAGTCGTATAATGGCACCTCTGTTGGGTAGGAAATATTCCTGTAATAGAACACAGGCTGTGTGTCGTAAGCGATTGCATATGTTCATCAAACTTTAACAACAAAGGCACTGTTAGGATTGATTTAGCCCTCAATACGAAGAGCGTTGAACATGTCCGTAAGACTACGGAATGAAGACCAGCATGATATTTCCCATTCACAATTGTTATACTACTAATCAAGACTAGTAGTCATCGGCAGTAATTATACGTCATCTCTGGATCGATTAATGCACGTGGCGCACAGCGGATGCTGCATTGATTGACTAGCGCCAGCGTCCCCGCCAACCACGACTCACGAGACCCAACAAGCATCTCAACCTCAAGCTCTCTTCCATCTACCTCGACAGCTCCCAACTTCTCACACCTAGCCTACCTGATATATAGCTGTAAACCCTCCAAACCTTTCACTCCACCATGCAAATTACTTCCGCCCTCTTAGGCCTCGCCCTAACAGTCACATCTGTCCAGGCGCTCGACTTTGGTAGCTTCGGCGGACAGGTCGTGATCAACGAAGAGCTCAGCGTACCAGGCGAAAACCCGCTCGAGTTTTGCGCCGACCCCAAGGACTACAAACTGGAGATTGACAAAGTTGATTTGAGCCCAAACCCACCAAAACCGTAAGTTCAACCCTTAGTCATGGGATGTCGACGTATCTCCGTTCTAGCGACTATCGACGCTTTCGCCTTCAAGCTTCTTCAGGCGATGGTGCTAACTCCTGATTATTCTAGTGGCCAAACTCTGTCCATCAAAGCAAATGGTACCGTGAAAGAGAAGATAGAGGCGGGTGCAAAGGTTCATCTGCAAGTCAAGTACGGGCTCATCACCCTGATCAACCAGGAAGCAGATCTCTGTGATAACCTGGAGAAAGTGGATAAGGAGTGTCCTCTTGAGAAAGGCGAATTAACATTTAGTCGTGATGTTGATCTTCCCAAGCAGATTCCTCCAGTACGTCATGACCCGGTATCCGATCTTATGAAGCAAGTCCTAACGCATTATAATAGGGCAAATACACCGTTCTAGCCGACGTTTTCAATGAGGACAAGGAGACAATTACTTGCTTGACTGCGCATGTGCAGTTTCCTTGATGAGGAATGTTTGCGGCTAGGGTGCATAGGATATAATCGGGACAGAACGTACTATGGTCATCGTCTTCATAAGTTATGCGTGCTTGAAGTTACATTCCCGGCGTTGGTCATAGTGATACGCCTTATACTTCGATGCTCTATGTCGTTACAGGGGTATATAGTCATAAAAGGCGTACAATTACAGGTCGCAGAGACCAAGCGCGTAACAAAAACTGCCAACGTGAAGACGTGATGTTGATTTAGTGCAGGTATCATTCCCCAATCTTCTAGTCGTAACATAAAGCGTATCCGACAAGCTACAGGCCATTGTCCTTCAGTCTACCTACTCCCCAAACAGCCTCCTCACTCTTTTCAATACACTGTCCTTCTCCGGATCATAAGGATGGTCCTTCGCGGGAATCTCCAGTAGTGACGGGAACGCAGCCGTATACATATCGACCCGATGTCTTATTCTATCTGCGATCTATAAATCTCGTCAACAATGCTGTGACGTCCTCTTTTACGTCATACAATGTGAACATACGTGTTGGTTGATCAGTAAGATCGCAATATCTTTCCTCTCTTCTGTGAAGCGTACGAATGTCTGCTCGATCGTCGACGTGTCCGTCTTGTCGTCTACGACTAAGAAGTTCTTCTGCGCGTCTGGCGGGGCTGTAACGTGCTGGGAGGCGGAGAGATTAGCTTTGAAAGGGTACGGAGATCGTTGTAAGGCTTACTCCCACGCCTGCGAGGAGGAGGCCGGTGACTGAGTCCTGAGGACAGTGTTAGCGTCTTCAAATGTGTAGTGAGCTTGTGAGCTTGCGTGCCTCGTCGCCGATGACTGCGAGGAATTGTCGATCTTTATACTGCGTGGCGGTCGCCATGATGAGTCTAAGTGTTCATGTGCTTATGCTTACAACAGAGAGGGACAAAGAATAGACGAGTCCGATTCAGAAGCCCACACCGATACGGTATGTAGTATGGTATACATAGGTGCTATAGCGCTACTGAGATTGCGGAGAAACTCCGGCACATCGTTACCTGCTGATAAAGTTTCTACCTCCGTCATTATATATAACTTTATTCATACAACCATCGTTGCTTCATCATTGTTTCAAACTCACGTGAATAATCTATTTTCAAACCAAGGTTCGACCTTTTGATACGATTGCTTGTTTTTGGCCCTGCAACTATGATAAAACATATGGAAGGACAGCAAAACCACCAGTTACACCTTCCAGGTAGACATGCAGAGACTAGCACTACTTGACTGGCAAATACCATAGCTTCATTTCATACGAGCCTTATTGTACTCCCTGCAAACTTTACTGGTGATTTCAGACAAGTATTGCTTTCACTCAAGTTGAACCCAGTAACACTCTTCGTTTGACACCACCAGTTCACAGGCAGTCCACATATATTTCCAGACGTGCTCAATAAGCGTGCAAAGAGCATGAGGGTCTAAAAAAGGAAGTTCTGTTTAAGATAGAAGTTGTGCTGATTGGGTGCTGATCTGTAAGGCAAACGAAAGCCTCAAACTTAAGCTAACCCTATAGCGAATCAGGCTGGGCAGATCTCTACAAGATCGTACTATATGGCAAGGGTCGGCTGTGTTACTGCCTCACGAACCCTAGACATACATATTATGACGACTCCTTTCTTTATCACAGAGGTTATAGAAGTGCCCTTCTTGGTCATGAGCCTGGTGATCCACCCTCCTCCCTCTCGCAAATTATTTTCGAATCTTCTTGACAAGAGCGTAGTGCGTGTTTGACCGCTGCTTCTTATTGGTCTTGAGTCTTGAAACATGGTTCCATGAGGACTCTATCATCGAATCTGACAATCTGCATCAAATCGAAGCGATGAATAGTCAACACAACCTTAAAGTCAAATAGATCAGCAAGTCACAATGGCACTTTCGTAGTTAGTAACTTTATCTGATTAGCGGTTATTTCGAATTGTATCCTAAAGCCTTCAGGACATCACCCTCCCCTACATTCTAGGTGCACCTCCAGACTCGTGACTAAGGAACTACTACATTAGAGCTCACCATCATCAAGGATGGAACATGAGGTCTAGAGAATAGACTTTAAACATAGATTCTCCTACACTTCAATACAAACTTTCGTATACTGGTACTGGAGGTAGCTTGCGCATGTGCACGTCACGTCATAAAATTATGGCTGGGCGCTAAGAAACAGCGGTCTGTCCTGAGCGGTCTACCGCCATGCAGAGGGAGCTCACCGACTGGTGCGTCTAGGCCTCCCAGGTATGAAGCATTGGCTGTCATCAAATAACTCCGTATTGAGGGCGTAGCCGAGTTGCTCCCTTGCCAGCACATACCAAGTGTAATATTTATCCCTAATTGGTTACCAAGGAGCTGGCTTCCGAGGACGTACAGCGTGCTTCGGGGTCAGAAAGTACGGGATGCTCCATCCCTATATTGCGAGCAGTCGCTAGAATCATAACGATGCCATACAGAGTGGTAGAATAATGAGGCGTGAGGTTCAGGCGAGCCCTTGCTCAGTGACTTCGACACCGAATGTTTGACAATACAACAGTAATGCAGTAGCCTTGGAAACGAAAATTCAAGATCTTCAATTTCCACCAATCGCTACTGGTCATACCTATCAATGCTGATATGCACTGAGTATGAGATGCGTAGCCTCGCTGTCGCTACCTGGGAGTCGTCTCGAAGTATTTCTCCCTGGATTACATTCAATCAATCCGGTTTAGCGTTGCCTCACAATATGGACCCTATCTATACCATGACATTAAGCTGATTCTATCTGATTTCATTCCCGCTTGTATAAAGCACTGGCTTGATATCGAGCTTTAAAGTGAGGCATCGTTGCACCAATACATCGGCACCTGGGCGCTTATCTCATCATGGGATATCCGGCAACTGGGTCATCTCATATGCAGTCTAATCTTTGGAATCTCTGGAGCTTCAGTCTGACGCTTGTGCTCCCAAAAGTGACTGGCATTTAGGCATCCAAGTATACGCCCTGGTCTTTGTGTCATGATGATGAAAACTACGACTGGCATGACTCTACTGGAAGCCTCATCTGACTCCTCGTCTCGAACACAGCGTCAAATAGCGATATCAACGTTATAAGTACTTAACTATGAAGTATAAGAATCGCTCATCATCACACATGTAGAGTAGTCCAAAGCTAAATCAATCTTCTACAATCCAAGCAACTCCTTTTCAACGATCAACCCGACTGACAATGAGGAACGACGAAGATATGGTATTCGTCGACGCAATCAACACGCCTTATGACGATGGGTGCCAGCTCTCCACAGAACGAAAGACTCGGAACGGTATAGACACAGCGTATTTATACACACCTCAAACTAAGGGTTCGATCGATACAGGAACTCCACGTAATAATGAGCTCAATGACACCCATGCAAGCGCTACGACGGAGAGTCCTCACACTGCCTTCAAGAGCACACGGCCAATAGTGTCCCTTGCATCGAAGGACAAGCAAGACGAGGAGACGCTGCAAACCTCGATGAGACCAAACACCACCATTGTTAAGACGACGCAGGAACCTGCCGCAACCCTGTCCCACGAACCAAAAATCACGAAGGCACACTCTGCACCTGGTCCTGTCCCCAATGCCAATTTAGCACGAACAGCTCCCAAGTCATCAATGCCTGTATCTGCGAATCAGGCGCCTACACCACTCGTGCACCGCAATCCCCCCGCATTCCCACCAAAGAACCTGAGGCCTTGTAAGAGCCCTTACATTCCACCGCCACCACCTCAGGGGGCGCCACTTAGATCATCCTTACCTCCAGGTATGGTTCCATTTGAGCATGTTGGTGGTATGCATCCAATCCCAACAGACCCCTTGAATGGCTCCGAGATCATCACCTCCCACTCAGAACTCATTCCTGTAGTCTACACCGACGACAACAAGCCCGAAGACAAACTCGTGCGCACCATATTCAACAAGAGAATATACACCACCTTCCACCACGCCGGATCTTACGACTTCGCCAAACACTCGTCACTCCTGCGCGCTGCCGAAACCGAAGTCTGGTACCGCTGGCCGGCCGCGTCCGACGAGTCACACATCCTGTCCCTGTGCAAACGTGGCGAGCTTGCCAGCGCGACGGAGTATCTGAGCACCGAAGTCGAGGGCCGCTCCATCTCGCCCCTGAACGCCAGCATTCCAAGAGTATGGGCTAGTCACGTGTTTACTGCACCACTGGACGACGACGTGTACACCTGTGTCACCCGCATGGGCCACTTGGCGCGCAACTACAGCGGTGCATGCACGACTTGTACGCACACCGTGGCCAAGAAATTGGAGAACACGTCGCTCGTATACATTGTCGTGCTCTCATCATACATGGATCCGGCCCCGGGCTTTAGCGCACGAGGACCGAGTCCGACAGAGAAGGTCTTCAAGGTACTGAGTTTCGGGAGCAGAGAGAGTGCAGCCGCTGAAGCATTCTATGCGTCAGGCGTTCAGGGGTGGGATGTGGTGTTTTCATGTGTTATTAGGAGCGATGCGCTGAGCGCTTTAGGGAAGGGGTTGGATGTGGTTCGTGTTGAGAAGATCCATGAGTTGGCGAATGTGGATGAGAGAGAGATCGGAGGAGATTATGTTAGGGCCTTCTATTGAGTATTGTGTGGTTGGCATGTTGAGCTAGAGCTCTCGTACACCTGTCTTATTATCTCGAGGTCGTTGCTGTCGAGTTGAAAACAAGTTGGAAAGACGTCATGGAAGGTGGACGATTAAAGGAAAATCGGAAATGGTGATGGAACTCCATCTTAACGCATATTTCATTTTGAAGCACTGCACTTTATGTTATCTTCTCTGTCAAAAGCTTAACAAGGGCAATAGCTAGAGATTTACTTAAATTCCTAGATGTCTGGAATACTTGCGTCTCCTTTCATTCATTCAACAAAGGCGACTTTGAGGTCACTGGAGACTGTGATATTATGCAAAGAAACCCTTTTCGTACGTTTATCCTTGAGCTACTTATGCATAGTAAACTCTAGTTCCGAAATGTCAGGATGGAGGGGCCAACTGTAACGATGGGTCATATTGCTAAAGGCTCTGCTAATCTGAATAAGAGCTACCTATACCCATGGCGTGGACCTGTAGGATTCGCCTAAGCTGCACAACCGATTCATAGGTGAGACCAATGCTCTTGTCACTGATTACATTGCATGGACGATTTCTAGCATTGTGTCGATCTAGACGCAAGCAAGCCCTTACAATCTAAACGGTAGCTGCAGCCAAATGGTTGAGAATGCCTGTACCTGAAACTCGAAAATCAACATGTGCCGTGGCGCACCTGGCTACCTCGTAAGTGGCAGATATAAGGCTCTTTCGTCCGCACCTTTGTAGCGATTTCTTGTATATGTGGCAGTCATGATGTTTTAGGATTCATTTAACTCTCTTTCATATAAAGGCATAGGCCAGTCATACAGCCAAAACATTCGTTGTGCGGCCCACATTGACAGAACTTTCAGTCGTCTGAGTTGTTGTTGATGACAGTGGGGCACGGACGCTTGCCCCTGCTATCTTACCGTCGACGGCCATATGTTGGTCACATATTGCTTGGCATGACTGTGGTCTTCACTAGAGCATTGGAACGATGTTCACAGGTGCATTCACGAAGATTCATGCGTCACCAGTCTTCTGGAATCTACGCAGCGGGGAACTCTCCCACTCTTCGCCTCCAATAGCGGATGTATCCTCGATGAAGCTTGGAGACGGCGCGGGGCTGTGTGCAATCTTAGGCCTGCTTTTGAATATGTTGTCGTAGTCTGCATCTTCAAGCGTCACCTCTTCTTCCGCAGGTTTTTCTTCTTCGAGAGACCAGGTCGTCTTTCTGGGTGTCTCGAATTGGTTAACAGGAAACAAGGACTGGCGCTTCTTATTCATCGACTGGCGAGGCTTCGGCTTTGTTGCTGCGAGACTCATTGACTGACGTGTACGCTCGAGGAGCGTTGTACGCCGGTTCGCCCGATCGTCTGGAATTTCTGGCATGGGTGGAACAGGAGACGGCAGATCGGGTGATTCGGTAACGGACATCAGTGTGCTGGGGCCGAAGGTATGTGCAGCCATAGACAATCTGGTCCTATCAACTAGGGATAGGCGCGGTTCTCGCTTGACGGGGGATGGGGACGCGTCAGTTACAGAAGTTACGATTTGTTCGGCGAGTGTAGGCATGGCCTCCACAACTGTGCTAGTGTCTCGTATTTCTGGCATTATAGTCGATAGAGATTGCATGTCTATCCGATTACTGCAGTGAACAGATGCGCTGGCAGTGATAGATGGATCAGACTCTACCTCTAGTAGCGCTAGCTTCTCACTACTTGAATCAAGTCTCTGCGAGGTCGTAGGCGGCAGCTTCTGTTGCGAAGTCTGCCTTCGAGGCCTCTGAGAAGCACTGGACACGTCACTGGTCGTGTTGCTCGCTTCATCTGGGATAGGCCCTTGTGATACTGGCCTGCCAGATGCATTTCGCACTGCGTTTGCTGAGACTGGTTTTCTCGGGCGTTCTTTTCGAGAGGACATAGCTTCAAGTTCTTCCAGTGTCGCATCCACTACATTACGGTAATCTAGTATGCGATGGAAGGCTGGTTTCGGAGAGGTCGGAGCACCACTCTGTCCTGGACGCAGACACTCATGCTCACTGAACTGAATACTCAAAGGTTGTCTAAGCGGCCTCGCACTGGTTTTTGATTCTAGGATGGTATCTGGTTCGTTTGCAGTTTTGAACCTCTGTTGAAAGTCATCCCACCGGCGAAGACGTCGCTCCTGAATCCTGATGCGACCCTCTAAATCCTCAATCAAGCCAGTCTTCGTCCCTCTCTTGCTTTGTTGGTTGCCTGTTTGAATGTGTTGGAGGAAGTTATTGTATGAGCCACTAAGGATGTCGTCATCGCCCTGCTTTTCATCACCATTGATCACTACCTCCAGCCACTTTTGATTGGCAACCCAATTGTCTTGTAATTGCTTTCTGGCTGCTTCTGACGCCAGGATACCGCCATCAGCACCTGCCGTCTGGCTTGCGATAGCTTGATACCTTCGATCTTTCTCAGTAATGTCGAGTGACGTGATCTGTAGGAGCTCGTTGACCTCGGAGTATAGGACCGTATTCGAAGTCCTCTTTTTGAGAATCGTACTTATTGACGATGCGTGAGCAATTAGTAGTGGGACAAGCTGTATCTGCTCTTCCGGACCTCTGAGACTTGAGGCCACGGAGATCTTTCTTGCAATACTCATATGCGACTGGTTCCGCGACGTGTCGTCCAGCTTCCTCTTCAGTACTGCCGTGGAAAAGAAGAAAAGCATCTCCACGAACTTGTCGCCTTTACATTCATCCAACATAGTTTTGCGCAGTGAAGCTTCTCGACCCAGAACTCCATTTTTCTTCAAATCGTTCAGGCATCGGAACAAAGCAGCTCGGAGGTTGATCGATTGGAGGGGTTCGAAAGGAGGGAAGAATGGCTGGAGTTTCTATGCAATTGTGAGTGCAGTACATGCTTTTCGATGATAATACTGACACTGCGAGTCTCGGAAGGATCCCAAGTCTCGAACAAACGATACAAGGCCCATTCTGCTTGTCTGATGCGTTGCTTCTGGTTTTGATGATCCTTTGAAGATGTAGCGAATGAAGCTTCTGTGATATCGGGCCAATCAGACAAATGATGTAGGTCCAGAAGCCTCAAGTTTGTGACAAAGAGCGACAGGTATGAGCGGGCCATGTTTGCACTTAGAGCAAGCTCCAGCAGCAAGACAATTGTTGTTTTGCACTGTGAGGTCACAACATGAGCTTGCTGCCGGTCTTGGCAGGAACGACATGTCGCCCCACCAAAAAGCATGCCGATCAAGCCAGGGCCAACGTTTTCCGTGGTCCGATGGATTAGGAACCGCCGCCCTTTGTTTGGCTTGCGAAATCACAACATCGGCACTTTCGATTGTTGAGCTTTCTTGCAAACCTTAGACTCTACACTTTAGGACGGACCTTCATAGGATGATCAGGATCTGCGAATTATCAAAAGTGATCTTTCTCTAGCTATACCGCTTGTTGACTACAGTCATGTCCCCAAAGATACTTGACAGTCCCGCTGAGGACGTTCCTCAGACTAACAGTCCTTCTAGTAAGCACCACGCAGTAAATGCTCATGCATCTATTAACCATCCTAACAGAGCCTTCGTCAGGAGTCCCCACGAACGTCAACTTCAAGGCCGATCAACCTTGGACCCCGGAAAGCGGTACGTGGACGAAAAGCACATGGCCTTACAGCCCACTTCGTGCAATGTTGAGACATGATCGTTGACTTATATGCAGTACTATCCACCATTCCTCACCGCCCTGAGCATGATAAGGATTCTCCAATTCCATTCTTCCATATTCTTGAGCGATTGAAGACTACCAAAAGAGCTGGCTGGCGACGATTCGGGCTTGAGGATGCCGAGTCAATCTCGGACCACATGTATCGAATGTCAATATTGACCATGCTCGCTCCTCCTTCACTCTCATCCCGGGTGAACATCCCACACTGTACAAGGATGGCGTTGGTGCATGACATGGCTGAGGCCTTAGTCGGCGACATCACGCCAGTCGACGGGATTTCAAAACCTGAGAAGTCGCGCCGTGAATCGGAAACTATGGACTATATCTGCCAGCGATTGCTGGGTAGTGTTCCTGGACTTTCAGGAACAGAGATAAGGCAGATTTGGCAAGAATATGAGGATGATCGGACACTTGAAGCAACTTATGTTCATGATATTGACAAAATGGAGCTTCTTCTACAGATGGTAGAATACGAGCGATCACAAGAAGGGCGCGTAGATCTCGGTGAATTCACGTGGGTATCAACGCGTATCAAGCTTCCCGAAGTGAAGAGTTGGTGCGAGGCGGTCTTCGAAGAGCGCAGACAATTCTGGGCGTCCATCGGAAAGGAACCTTTATGGCGATTACAAAACTAGTGGCCTATATTGAGGTTCTTTAAGGTCGGTCTTGTTCGGTTTGTCGCCCACCATGTCACCACTTTGATCTTTGGCCGCTGTCTCGTGGAGTTGAGTGAAGCATAGATGTTTAGATGAATACCCGGGCATCTCTCTTCTCTACGGTATAGCTCTGATGCACCTGCAAATTCATCGTCCTGAGCCTAACGTTCCACAATCATTGCATTAATGGAAAAGTAGTAGCTGACTTCATATATCGTGTCATCGACCTAGAGAAGTTCTTCATTCCGCGTCTTCTTTTTGCAGAGCGTTTTTTTCAGGCCACTGGCCTAGTAAATTCTAGGGTTCTAACTATATTGAAGGCTATCGAACATGAGAACGTGTCGTACCACGGAATGACACGTGAGACAAGACTCTAAACCCATTCTTCCAACGCAGCGTCTCAGCTGAAGGGTCGATGGATGTGTGGCGAAAGGGATCGGTTGCGGTTCGTGTCTTGCTAAAGGCTGGCACTTGGCATTGCACCTGAACACCATCAAAGCCTCCCATCACGGGAAAGTTCTGACCCATTAGCGAAGTGGGATAAAATAAGGTCTGGAACTCACCGAGAACAAACGCGAGCTTGCAGTCGCGCCATGGGGAGCGAATGATGCGGGTATCTGCAATTTCGGTAAACCAAGTACGATCTTCGAACGATTGTCGAATCGCATAGAATTTGTGACCTTCACTGCTCGCGCATCCGGTTGCCATCTCCGCGAAAAGCCCAGTTCTGCTTTGGAACTCGGAGAATGCAGCCGTAGCATTATGCGTAAAACCCATTTCTTATGAAGGCGTACTCTGGTGGTCCGACGTTGTCATATACTAATATGCGTAGACCAGTTAACAAGGTATGGAGATACATTTTCTAATGTAGCAACTGACTGTTATGTCTATTAAGGCAAGCAAGGCTGCCACCTGATGGTATGATGAAGCTCCAAAACCATTAGGTCTAAACCTGCTACTGTTCTACCAAGTCTTATGGATTGGCAATCCTGAGATTGAGCAATTGCAGTACGGATCGTTGTGACATGAAGGTCAGCTAAGGAAGAATATGTGTTCTTGCACACAATTCGACATAGTCACGAAGGCTACGCTGCGGTTTTCATCTCCGAGCAGATAAGGCTCGGGTATATGCTTCGGCAATGTGAAGAAGAAGAGTAAGCAGTCAGCGGAAGTTCGCATTTTATGGAACATCGGGGGCCTCCCAACACGTATCATGGAGCACGGAGCACGGAGCATGAATCATGAACCACGAATCACGAATCACGAATCTCTAATCGCGGAATCTTGACGCGGCAAGTTGTTACGAAACCTGACGATCAGCTGTCCAGGTTAAGAGATACCTGAGCTATCCGTGCATTTATGGCAAGCTGTTGGCGACCATCATCACACACCCCATGATTGATTCAGGCGTTAGAATGACCCCTGATTCGCACAAGCGCCCCAAGCCTTTGGCCCGGGACGATAGACGACACTTGTTTTGCTACCAACGCCATCCGTCTATAGCTTGCATCGCTGCGAAGCAGCGCTCTAATGCCCAATCTCGGGCGTAGGTACTGTAAAGTACACGAATTGCCAGCAGACTCAAAAGGCCACTTCCGACCAATATGAACATTTCACAGTTGAGCAACAGCTCAAGCTCAGCAACAGGCATGTACACCGTCCCTAGAGTTGGGATGCAAGTCGAGCCTTAAAAAGGTGGTCAGAAGCTTGACTGCCGTACCTGTCGAGTGACGTAGACCGCGTGCGAGATGGAACATAGGGGCAATGGCAATACGAAAGGCCGGGGTTGATTAAGCTCGGCGTAGGAATATCAGCCTGGCAATGTTCTACAACCGTGGCCGTTAGCGCCGGGAGCTACCCCGCAAAATGATCCATTCAACATAGACATGATAGGCCACGTCTTGCCCCACATCAAAGCTCCGGCCACCCGGGTCCATACTCAACACGGCATGGCCTTCCTACTTTCCCCATATTCTCAACTCTCTCCACTGTCACTCCATCGCTTTCTTGCTAGTCGTTCTCCTGCAGTCGTCAGTACCTATCCTACCCAATCTTTACTGTACTCGACTAACCCTTCGCGAGTCTGGTGCCACTCACTTTGAGATGCTCCTAGTTCAAAATCCAAATTACTTAGGCAATCACATATCTACATTGATATTCAGGATCGGTAGGTATACCACCTAAAACCCACATCAGCTGCTATGCATGCGCAGTGTGCCAAACTCCTAGCAACCAAAGGTCTGCTTTCGGATGTGCCCCAGCCTGGAAAAGAGTAACGGATCCCTGCATCGATCCGTTCACCGTTTCGCACGATCGAAAATGCGCAGCTGTCTATTCGCCAATGCCCACAGCTCTGAGAAAAGCTAGGACCATGCGGTTCCCTTCCGTCCTAACTAGGCATTGTTAGCATCTCGTCAAATGTAGCTCTCCAGATCGTCTCATAGCTCGTGATGGCTTGGGGATCTGATGAGGTGCGGAGTCATTGACGGCTCCCGAGGTTTACAGGATGTTCATATTTGAATCGCAACTCCCCCGTGCCGTCGATTTGTGCCGCAAAGTCCTTATACTCTTCCTCGCCTGATTCGAGATACCTCGTCCCAGCAGCCTGGTGCTCCTTCATTACTATCTCCTCCTGCATCTATTGTCCATTGACGAATACTCATAATGTCCGCCGAAGGCAACTACTCTCAAGCCAACACCAATGGCGATCCTCTGGAAAAAGATTTCCACCAACACCTAGGAAGCAATGAACAAGCTGACAATGCTCTCCAAAGAATCAGGACAGCTGGTTCTATCTCCATCTCGCCAGAACTCTTTGAGAAAATCTACCTGTCGCCTCAGAACCGTGTGGCAGGTGATCTCCGTAAGACATTCGCCAATCCAACGCCGCTGTAAGTATTTAGATGTTTTCGTGTCTGCTTTGTTCTCTAATATCGGTCTCAGCTGCCTCATTGGATTCTTGCTTGCTCTCTTTCCACTTTCGTTTGCTCTTCTCGGATGGCGGGGCGCTGGTGGTCTCGGAGCTGCGACCGTCGGCACCTACTGGTTCGCTGGTGGTCTCCTAATGATTCTCGGTGCCGTTGGCGAGTTCATCCTGGGCAATACATTTCCATTCATCGTATTCGGCAGCTTTGGTATGTGAAGTTACTACATCTTCTCTTCACCCAACTAACATAAGCCAAGGCTCCTTCTGGCTCATCTTTGGTGCTACACTGACCCCATACTTTAACGCTATTGGTGCCTTCAACGTCCCAGCATCTGGGGACTCCCCTGAGGTCTCGGGCATTGAGAATCCTGTCTTCAACCACTCGTTCGGCTACTTTACGCTTTCCATGGGCTTAATGTGCTTTTTCTACCTCATCTGTGCGCTGCGCACGAACGTTGTTTTCGTGCTCATCTTCCTGCTTCTCATCCCCGCTTTCGGTCTTTTGACCGGCGTCTTCCTCGAGACCCCACAAGGCAACCCAGACATGATCCACAATATGACAGTAGCTGCGGGCGCACTGGCATTTGTCGTTTGTCTTCTCGGCTGGTACTTGTTCTTCGGCATCATGCTTGCGAGCGTTGATTTCCCGTTAGCGCTACCTGGTATGTATCCTCATGCAGTCATTTTTGGACTCCAACTAATACCTTCCAGTCGGTGATCTCTCAACCATGATCAAGCCCCTGAGCTCTAAGCAGAAGGTCAGTGAGGAGGTCTAACTGTCTACATACACACGTATGCATAGAATATGCTGCGAATGGAAGTGATGAGTTATGAATGAGATGGGAGGAAATTGTGTTCTGGAAGCTATGGATTTCCTTCGTGATGGCGAGGATCAGGCATGGCACTTGGGTGTCCACTGTGTGTATCGTCGTATGTATGGTTGTATCATGCCGAAATGATCAGTAATAATAATGGAATAATGACCTTGTGTGCATATCCAAACCCGACCTATGTTCCTACTGACACTAGTTCTTGCACTGATAGATGCTATGGGAGAAAGGTAACCTCTTCGCTACACCTGACCGAATAAAGACCAGTGCAAGCAGAGCTATTTTCCTAGTCCGGAGCTTCCTTGTCGATCGCAACACTCACCCTGTGCGAAAAGTGGGGACCTTGTTGCAGTATATATGCATGCTACACCACAGTGCAGCCTGCGCAAGGCTGCATGACTACTCTCCCAACTGCATAATTGAAAGTCTGGCGATACTCTTGTTATCGACTCATCCTTTCATTCTGTGTCGTTTCCCAATTTCGGACTAGGTATCCACTGCCACGAAAATCCAGCGCTAGGCTATATTGGTCGTAGCGCATCAAGGACGGCATCTTTTCTTTTCTACTTCATCTGGCAACGTCCACCAATCGGATAGATACGCTTTGGAACGTCTATTGGTGCTCGACATACTTGCCTTAAATTCCACTGGCCGACCGAAAAGCCTCACCGACAGCTATATCCTAATATTGATGAGAATGATTGACGTCAAGCTCTAGACTCATCAAAGACAAATGCAAGTAGCATTGTGTGGCTGCAATGTAGCCGGATGGTTCAACTAGACATAACGTATGGATTGAACGCCGGGGACTATGATATCGAAGCTCCAATAGTATGTGTCCTTATTACTATGGCGCCTTGGGACTTCAGCACATTGGAACCGGGGTGTATTCTCAGGCTGCATTCCTTCGTCACGCATGCGTCTCCAGGCTGGGGTGTCCTCTCACATCACTTCACACTAGACTTAGATAGTCTGCATAGCTTCTATGCGCAGCACAGTCGACTCACTTTTAGTTATCCTGTCCATTATGTGCCTAGGTATTTCTTTGGTTCTACACCTCAACTTTTCGCCTCTACCATCAGCGCTGGAGACTGGCGAAAATTCTCAAGGAAGATGACCAGAGTATGACGCAGTATGAAGATCTGTAGATAAAGAGCAGGTGGATGCTAGTCTTAGCGCCTCTTGGATTGATTCTAATAAAAGCCATAAACGATCCCTCCGAACCACATGTATCTACTCCAAAATCACCTCGCCAATATAATTCACTTCGTACTAGTTACTGGGGACTCTTACATCAACAGAACCCTTTCTAAGCACATTCATCCAAGTCACAAGAGTCCCTCAGTTGTAGTGGGATCTCAGACCACATCAGGGGTGCTTATCGGACGTACTGGAGAGATAAAAAAGTCGCGAAGCTCCTCGATACCACGCAGTACCTCCCAGAGAGACGCGACAGTAACGGAGCGCTCACAAAACTGCTGACTCTATCTAGCACAGACATTGTATTTTGTTGTACAGGTTTGCGTTCGGGCGCATAAATGCCTCTCGACCAGTCAGCTACAGCTTACAGTATTAGCTTTTGGATCTCAAAGTACGATTGCATGTTGGACAAATACTGTCACCGGTGTTCTCGTGGGCAGGTAGTCTATACTTCCTGACATAGGACTCCCAGTTAAACACTGCTAGTGCTTGTAATTGCGGTCGAATCAGTAACAGTCAAGGAGTTCAGAAGGCAATTTCAGAACTCGGCTCCTGACGCTCAGAGACGAATGTCAATTGCCTAAACACCTACAGGGACTCAGACTATGCATATCTAATTTTATATTTGGTGACACGGCGTTGCCTCGCTGGACATGTTCATGACAACCCTCTACTCCTCGCCTCAGGATGTATTGGACATCTATGTATTCAGGACATAAACCTGATGGAGAAAGAATCTGTTTCATTGCATAAGCACATGGTCTAGAGCCAAATTCAAGATGAGGTACTGGAGGAATGTTGCTAGTAGGCTGAGTGACTGAAGATGTTAGGTACCCCGACTCGATATTATGCACTACGATCTTGGATTTTTTGCTTATTTATAGAAGGATAAACCACTAACAATCATGAAAATGTACATATATGGTGTTCCAGAACCCTATTCTAGAACAAAGTCCTGGCGATGATCGCTATCTGCCGTTCCGTTGTCATCGCCCATGATTCCGTCAACATAGCACTCGCCTAGAAATTTATACGTCTGCCACCGCCCTTTCTGACCAGTCCCATGTATTCTCGTCGGAGCCGCCAAACTATTCTCTCTAAGCACGTAAGGTGTCTGCCCCCCGAAAAGAATAACGACCAAATCACCCTTCTTCAAGGCTTCAGGTCCCACACCAATATACCCCATACGAGTGCGGAACATACGCCTGTTGAGGTGCACACGCATGATCTCCTGTGGCCAGACCTTCGTAACATCAGTCAGCGTGCGCGTCGGCTCCTGGCCCCACTCCGTAGACCTGCAGAAGTTGAGGTCGTGGCCGGAGGTTTTCGCAGTGGGATTGCCAAAGGCCCGAGCGGGATCAACATTTGCAACGAGCATGCGGCGCAACGCCATATCGTAGCCGCCATTCCAGTCTCGGTATATACCCAGACCCCACCCATCCAGCTCAGCGGCATTGTTTTCTGCCCAGGTAAGCAGTGCGTCATTGAGACGCGCAACGGTACGTTCGCCGAGTGGTACCTCGAGCGTTTGTGGCGTGACAGCCTGGGGCAGTATCTTGTCGATATAGTCGAATTGGAAGCCTGTAACTAGAAGCTTGCCTGGGTCTGGGCTGTAGTGACTACCATCAAGGGGTTTTAGTCTGTATACTGCTGGCGGTCTTGCCATTCCAGCGGAGTACATGTGCTCGATGTCCTGAAACCAGGTTTCGGGACCGCGGCCGCCATCGATGAGTGAATACGTGGTGTGCGGGCTCCAGAGGTTGGGGATCCAGGATGATAAGCCATACCCATGGAGGCTTTCTTCCTCAGTCTGGCCCGTGTTGCAGTTGAGGGCATCGAGACGACCATAGAGTATGGCTACGAGTTCGACGAGTTGACCGTATGTATGAGCGATCGCTGTCAGTTCGGATCTGTGGTATTTGACAGGACGAGTGACGCGAGGAAAAAAGCGCTCTAGTGCAAGCCACGCTTGACTACCATACTCCGCTACATATTGGTTCTTAATATTGTATTGGGGACTGATTATATCAAATGTATCACCACGGGTGAGTGATTTGAGAGCCATGAAGCGATCCATGGGCTCGCCACACATGTGATTGCGTAGATAGTGAATCAAAGGCAGTAGTCGGAGGCCCTCATGTTTGATCTCGTAAAACTTGTATTGTAATATTTGGGCAGGTCTCACATACTTGCGGACGGCGGCCAGAACCGAACAATTGACCACGCCCGGGAACAGTACGTAGTCGTCAACAATATTTCGGACGACGCCATGTTGCGTTGGTCCATCTATATCATTGATGAGAACATTCACTTGAGGCCACGTTGTTTCGAGCTCGTCGGATTTGAAAATAAGCGAAAAGCTGGAGTTTGATAGGGCAAATTCTTGGACAATCCAAATCCTAGTCCAGTAATCTCTCAAAGCAAAATCATGTATAATTTGAACTTCCTTCGGACTGTAGTCAACGAAGGGTTTGTAAGGCATTATCTTTTCAGAAAAAGGCGTGTCGAGACCGATAATGAGGTTGGCCTGTTCGAATATGAATTCTATACCCTCAGCAATCTCCCCGAGCCAGGCAATCACGTATTGAGCAGAGCCATAGATGGAGGCCATTAGTGGCAGCTGTTGTTCTTGATCTTCTCTTGCCTCAACAGAGCTGCCTTGTATGATACAGAGCATATCAATCCATAACGGTCGGGATGTCTGACCTAGAGGCGGACGTAGCTTCCATAGGGCTCTAGCGAGATTTGGAGTAATCCACATAATGATATGTTGCCCATCTTTGATCCCATCCGACCGACTAACGAGCATTGGGATCATCCTAAGGGGCTTCTTCGAGTTTTTCTCTATTCGAGAGCGCTGAAACCAGACCCAAGAGAGTGCCTCATACTTCTCAGATTGAGTGCTGTCTCGTATCTCGCAGTGTAAAGCGTCATTACCCTCTCCCGGCTGAAGGTGAGCTAATAGGATCCAGCCCTGAGGCAGTCTTTGAAAGAGACGAGGAGATTCTCGTTCGTCATCGAGACCGGGTTTGTAGCGAGTGCTCCGTGGAAGGTCTGAACGTTGTTTTCGACGGATAATTTTGTGTCGATGGTCCAAGCTGGTATGTGTCTCCGGCACGCGGGGGACTTTGGGGCTCGTATGATGATGCTGATGTACCACGTGGACGGTGCTTCCGTTAGACCTCTTAGGGGTGAGGCACCAGCCTTTATGGATACACCACCAGATGAGAAGAAGAGCGAAGAGAGCAGCTATACCACCCCCTGTAATTCCTCCAATCGCGCTACTGGAGAGAGGACTTCTTGTAGGATTTATGGAACTCGTGGTAGTGATAGTAGAGATTGTGGACGTAGGACCATTACTTGTCGATGTGTAAGAGCCCGTGGATTGGGTATATGAAGTTGCGGTCTCTGACACAGGACTATTCCAAAATGACTTCGAGTTCGCTTCTATCCCTAGAGAAGAGCTTATATGAAGGCTCGAAACTAAGCTCATCAAAGGCGTATATGGTAGACTTGCTGTTACAGGACGAGTAGAAATAGCAGGAGAGGAATCGGTTGTAGTGGTCAAAGTCGACGTATCACCGGGTATGGAGAATAATGGTATATCGGGCTCAGGCGTGGAGATAGTCGAAATACTGCTGTATTCTTCTGGGGGGGGACTGTATGTTGAGCGCATTGTAGCAGAGTCAGGAGTATATCGGGGTGATTGTCGTGGAGATCGATGGGAGAGAATCTGCCGTAGCGCAATAAGGAGAGCCATCGCTATAAACAGCACATCCAGTGTCGATGGGGCAACAATAGTCTGTGGCTACGCAGTACTGGTCGTCTCCTTGGCATGGCTTCGCTACAAATCAGCCGCGGTCAAACATAAATTTGAATATGACGAACATTTGTAACAGATAAATCGGCGCAGACACCCTCTGCCACGCCCGAGTACGGGCAACAAGCAAGTCCAGAGGAAGTCGACTCGCAGCTATAGCCAATATCACAGCAACCATTGCCACAGCATTGCTTCCCGTATTCGCAGCAAATGGAGCCAGTAGGGTCACATGATAAGGTTAGCATGGGACAATTGGGACTGTAGGTTTGCCGGCCAAAAAGAGAGCGCGGGAACATGCCCTCCTCGATTGGGAGAGAACGAAACACCGGGTAGCCGCACGTGGCCATCTTCGACATTTGTTTAGGAGCAGCAGAGACGAGTATCGTCAGAAGTAAGTGTACGAGGATTGAATTGCAGATGACCATGATGAGTCTGGCACGTCTTCGAAGACTTTCTGGTTAGCACCTTGCTAGATTTTGCTGGAGGACACAGTGATACAGAAGAGTTTCCCAGTTCTCAATTCCAGGTCTTGTAGTGCGTTTTATGCCCCGCCCACTTTCAGCTGAAATACGATAAGATCGAGTGAACATGGTCTAGAAGTCTCTCAGGGAGACAATGACACCGATCAGCATCTCACGCAGGATATCGGCCAATGTGGTTTTGACTCTAGACACCACTAGGGGCACAGTATTGTCTATACGAGGTCGATTGTGTACAGAACTGAGCCAGCTAATGCAGGCTGACTGACCGATCTCCTCGAGCAGCCTTGCATCCCCAATCTAACTCTAGACCGGCCGGAGGAACGTCCGAGAGGATGGAGTACATGTAACAAGGTGTGGAGTTCCATCTCGGCATAGTTGACTTGGTGACTAGTATGATTCTAGTAATAGATACGGTGATACTCGTATGGGTCGTTCGCGCAGTGTCGTTGTCGTTGTTCTCGTCCACGTAAGGCAAGCACCTAGGTCCTTAGATCAACGTGACGTGCTCAGATCTGCGCATGAGTGCTCAGCCACAGCCAAGAGTGGCGCCAGCTCCAATCCTGCTCAATCCTGTTGCCTTGTTTCGAGATTCCGGTTGCACGTTGCCATCTCCATCTACCTTGACATGGTTCTTTCACAATCACCAACGCTAGTCTTGATATTGACCTGAATCCTGACATACATAGAATATGGATGCACAAACAGTGCTCTACTCCCCGCTGGACTGGGACGTTCCAGATCGCATTTTTGCTTTCGACAAGAACGGCGGTAATGACGTAAGTGCTCCAGACGTACTACACACCCACGAGCACCATGATCCCTGCTCCCTGCTTTACGTAGAAGTGATGGAGGGCATTCTGCCTTCACTCTTCTGATACACTTGGACTGCTTGATACTAACAATGCCTTTAGTCAGGCAGTAAGTCTGCGTCACTTGCCGCAATCATCGCCGCTTTTGTCCCGTCTCTTATCACCGCTATCATATTTCTTGTGATATTCTGCCTCATCAGGCGCTATCATAAACGCATTTATGCCCCGAGGACTTACATCGACCTTATTTCAGAGAAGTAATACCACCGTCACGGCGTAAATATCAAAATCTGGGCCTGACATTCAACAGAGATCGGACTCCAGGCTCGAGCACAGCACGCATCGAATGGCTAAAACCCATATGGCAATTAGGCGATAAATTCGTTTTAGAACACTCATCTCTCGATGCGTATCTCTACCTCCGTTTTCTGAAGACTATCATCTTCATCTGTGTAATTGGAGCCTGCATCACCTGGCCAATTCTCTTCCCTGTTAACGCCACTGGTAAGGGCAATGCTTCTCAGTTGGACAAGCTTGGGTTCGGGAATGTTCATGGTAAGAAACGTCTGTATGCACATGCCGTTGTGGCTTGGGTATATTTTGGCTTCGTCATGTTTACGATAGCCCGAGAACGTATGTGGTTGATCGGTCTACGCCAAGCTTGGCACCTATCAAGGACTAACGCCTCTCGCCTTTCTTCAAGGACTGTACTCTATCTTGATCCACCAAAAGATGTGTTGGTTGACGGTGAATCCCAGTCCACTTTGGGCAAGGAGGTCATGCGACAATGGGTGGTGAAGCCTACACCAAAATTGGATGAGCACGTGGGAGCAAGGAACGCAACATTAGCTCAACTGGAGTCTACCGAGCTTTGTTATCTGAAGACGGTGAACAAGAAGAGAGCGAAAATATCGAAGAGAAATGGCTCAGGCGTGGTTGGCTTGACCGACCAGACAATCTCTGCCCTGCGACCAATTCGCAAGCAATACTATGTCCTCGGGACAGAATCCGACGCGATTGACCATCTCCAGGCCGAAGCTACCGCCAAAGTACAGAAAGTCGACGAAGATCGAGATTTACATAGCACGGATGCTGCTGAAGCCCGATCTGCCATTTTCGTGGAATACGCAACGCAGTCGGCCGCTCAACGAGCTTACCGAAGCAATCCAAAGTCAAAAATACCAATGCCAGCAAATCTTGCGATCAAGTCTAAATTGATCGGTGTCCTGCCAAAAGAAATCATATGGACAAACATCACGCTACCTCAATCTGTTCGACTGTCAAAGAAGTCTGCCGGTAACGTGTTTGTAATAGCACTAATCATCTTTTGGTCTATACCAACTGCATTCATCGCCTCGATCTCCAATGTCAACTATCTAGCAGAAAAAGTTCAGTGGCTTGGCTGGATCAAAAGTCTGCCAGATCCCATCTTGGGACTGATGGTAGGACTACTGCCCCCTTTAGCGACGAGCTTCATCGCTTCATATGTTCCGGACATATTGAGATGTAAGCTGCGAATCCTAGTAGTCGACATTTGATTGACACACTACAGATGTTGCAAAAATGTTCGAACCAACAACAGTGACGGCAGAGCTACAAGTACAGACGTGGTACTATCTATTTCAGATCATTCAAGTCTTTTTCGTTACTGCTCTGTCTTCGTCAGCAACTGCTTTTGTACCACAACTCATCAACAATCCTGGAAATGTCCCGATGCTATTGGCCGACAAGCTACCCAGCTCATCCAACTTCTACCTCACTTATTTCATTCTGCAAGGTCTCGGTTCGGCAACCAAAAATATCCTCAATTATTCCGATCTCTTCCAATATGTCTTCTGGGACTGGTTCATCAACAAGACACCCCGAGACAAATACACACAGTATACCACCATGAAAGGCATAGGATGGGGTAAGATGTATCCCAAGTTCAATAATTTCGTCATCATCGCCCTTGCATACTCGATCATCTCGCCTCTCGTACTAGGTATTGCTGCTATTGGCTTGATACTTTTTTATTTCTGCTACCGCCACCAGCTTCTTTACGTCGTCCAGCCCAAGCTCGAAACGAAAGGAAAGTGCTACACCCGGGCGCTGACGCAAATGTTGACTGGTATATACGTCGGCGAGCTCGCACTCATTGGATTATTCGGACTACGAAAAGCGACTGGCCCCTCAATCATGATCGCAGTGTTATTCTTCGGAACAATCGCTTACAATGTCGTTATGAACCGCTACTTGAGTCCGCTTGAGGATCACTTCCCTGATGATTTGCTAGCAGCTGAAGGAGAAGAAGAAGAGCCGTTGCTTACCGCGGAAGAAGGGGTCATAGATGGTGCCGATGAGCATTCTCGCATCCAAAGTCTAGGCAACAGCATGCATATTCCAAAACGCGTTGTAGACCCCGTTGCGCGTTTCTTTGAGCCACACATCTACGCAAGTCATAAGGTTATGAAAACATTCTTGCACAACCAAGGAGAGGATGGTGATGCCATCGAATATACAGAGGATGAGCTCAAGAATGCGTATACAAATCCTAGTCTGATCAGTAAGCCAGCGACGATTTGGCTGCCTCAAGATGATATGGGATTGAGTAAGAGACTAATTGAAGAGAATGAAAAGAAGGGTCTTAAGAGTACCGATGAGGGGGCGTGGCTCGATGAGAAGAGGCATGTGAAATTCGACGAAGATAATCTCAGGCAGCTGCCGGCGTGGAAGAAACCTATTCCTTTCTGAAGGATTTGGAAAATAGACATGCGCGGATCACTTAGTGTGTAAGGCCCGGAGAATTCGGCAATACGACCTGTAGACACACTGATTATTGACCTTGCGCTCGACCCCCAATGCCTGATAGAATTTCTATCAGCAGCTATCAAGATGGTGATGTGAGCGTCCGTGATGGAATATTAATGGAGTAGGTGGGTTTCCTCGGCGATATAGACAACAGTACCAGCGCCCATGTCAGTCCACGTTCCCATTGATGATGAGATAGCGTGGATAGGTTATGCAGGTGATAGGTTGAGGTAGGCAAAGCTTGTAGAGTAAAGTCAGATGACTGGAGCCGCATTCAATAGCAGCTCGATATCCAACACATTGATCCCTACTACAGGTGCGAATTTATGTTATGCGAGAAAACACTGGACTATGTAGCCTAACCCAATTCGAGCGATAAGCCATGAAGAGTCGGCAACCAAGACCCAGCCACCTCGCGACGTTCACATGTCATATACCACCTCTACCGCACTCAAATCGTACTCCACCCTTTGTCGACCGGCATACAGACACCCGTCAAAACCCCCGCATCCTCACTCGCCAGAAAATATATACTCTTTGCAACAGCTTCCGGCTGAATGTCCTGCTCCTTTCTCTGCTCATATTCTAGTGATTGGTCGCTGGTCAGATTGGTAACCGGCAAGCACTCCGCGTAAGAGGCCTTGTCAAAGGAATCTCTGCTTATGCTAGATCCAATTCCTGTGGCGATAGCGCCCGGAAGCACGGCGTTGACGCGAATTCTCTCCTTGCGAAAACGCCAGGCAGTGTTCTTGGTTGCGCCGAGCTGGGAATATCAGTATGTGGAGCAAAATAACAATGATCGACGGGAAAACTGGAAAGGGGACGTACGAGACCGTGCTTGCTGGCCGTATATGCGACACCAGCGCAGGCGCCGCCGATTGCAGCGCGCGAACACACATTGACAATGGCGCCTTGTTTGGCTGCTTGCATGTGGGGCAAGACCGCGCGCATCAGTTTGACAGGCGCGGTGAGGTTGACTGCGATCTGGCGGTCCCATTGAGCGTCGGAGACGGTGTCTGCGGCCTCGAAGGCGTCCATGACACCGGCGATGTTGAGCAGTGTTGTGGGCGGTCTGGAACATGTTAATCGACTACATCACGGGGTTGTTAGGGAGTGATACATACCCGAACTTCTTCACACAGGCCTCGACGGCGGCCTCAATCGCACCATCTTTACAGAGGTCTGCTTTGTGGAATGAGAATACCTTATCGTCCATCTCGATTGCGAAGTCTGCGACATCGAGGCCGAACACATTGTATCCTTTCTCCACAAACAGTTTAGTGGCAGCAAGGCCGATCCCCGAGCTGCATCCAGTAATTATGACGATCTTGGTGGTACTAGTCATGGTTAGTCAAGAGATTTTTATTGAAGATACACAAGGGAAGAAGAGGGCATCTCTAAGGATTAAATAAACAATGTTTCTCAATATAGTGGCCACTAAATTGCGACATGTCACGTCTTCGTCGTCCAAAGGGAGGACTCGTTCTCGTATTCGTAAAACGTCACCTTTCTTATAGCGGCAGGCAAGGTATCCCAGAGAGTCTTGTGCTCACGTGTGGTAGGATGCTATGAGTGCTTAGTGTAAGTAGCGGCTGCGCCACAGGCGTTGCGCACGCATTCTAAACAATCATCTTGTTGTACATTCCAAGCCAGAAAATAAACCTATGAGGCACTTGCGGTAGGACAGTGAGATTTTGTGCGACGCAGTCTGCAACCACGCCCCCTCTTGGCATCCTAGTACGGCCCCAATATCACACTCGGACCCCTATTGCGTACAATCCTGGGGGCTGTAGGTGTCGGCCCTACCTAAAGCGTCAGAGCATTCTCTTGGCATTTCTTCTTTGGGCAGGTCTGTGCATCAACAGCATTCATGCACAATGTATGGCGCGGGCTTAAGGCATTGATATATTCGCCTCGCTGTCTCTCTCTTTACTGTGTAGGTGTGAGTTTTTGTTTTACCTGTTGCAGAGTTGGCAAAGCTTACGCTCTCATAGCCGTTATGTTATTAGTCGCAGGCTGCCCCCGTATCAGTTTTGAAGGGCTCTGATGGCCTAGGATTACATGTCCTTCATTCATTTTCATTCATTTATTCATTCATGCATTTTTTGGGCTGGTCCCAACATTTTTCATATTCTTTCTGATATAATCGCTAGTGTGAGAAGACATGGACGACTTGGAAGAGCTGACGTGGTCTGGTCGACGTAGTTACGTGGTTGGCGTAATTTGCGTCGTTGTATCTGCGGTATCCGTGATCTTACGGTATATTTGCAAGTCCTTGGTCAAGGCTGGATACCATGTGGACGACCTGTGGATAATATTTGCGCTTGTGGCGTATTTCGGGTGTGCTGCCGCGAATCTCTGGGGTGAGTTACTGTCGAACTGGTTAACTGTAGGTTTTCACTGACAAAAAGGTAGGGATAATGACTGGGGGTGGAGGGAGAGAGGTAACAGAGCTGTTGCTGGTGATTGGGACTCCAGAGTCGTGGAAGAAGTCAGAGCGATACATGGTGGTTAGTACTGTTTGATGTCAGCCCCGAAGACATGACTTACTTCATTGTTAGACTCGATTTGTGGCATTTACATTGAGCCTTGTAGCTCTCTTCGCTGTGAAGATGACGCTCCTGTCGTTCTACCGTAGGATATTTGATACCGACAGGTACAGAAGAGCAACGTTAGTTGCCATGCTTCTTTCTGGCCTGTAAGTTCCAGTCACAGCCAGAATGCGTTGCACATACCTTTGTCAGTGACTGAAAAACAGACAGGTGGCTCCTTGGAACAATGTTGGCGAACTTCCTCGTCTGCAAACCACTTCAGAAGTTCTGGAAGCCGCTCATGCCAGGTGAATGCGCCAACTACTCAGTCTACTTCCTCGGCACAGGAGCCCTCGAGACAGCCATAGATCTTTTCATCTTGCTGCTCCCCGTCCATCAAGTCCTAACGATCAACATCCCGCTACGCAACAAGATAATTCTCTCAAGCATCTTCATGTTAGGAATCTTCGCCGTTATCACCAACATCATACGCATCAGGGAGATCTACCAACCAGGCATCCAGCTCGTCTCGTTCGGCAAAGCCGAAGTATGGACAAACGTCCACTTGGCCGTCTCGATCGTCTGCGCTTGTAGTGTGACCTACAAGCCACTCTGGGGCGCCATCGCTGGATGGTTCTCGAATCTGCGAACTGCCCGATCGGTTTCAACTACGACGCCCAGTGCTTCCACTGTTACAGACAACGGCATGTACGATCGTACCAAACAAGCAGCATGCCTAGTCGTAGATGCAACAAGCAAAGAGGCCATGGTCGTTACGACTCCAGTCTCGCCCTATGCGCACCACAGGGCAACTGCAACTCGTGCGGCACCGAATCTAGACAAACAGCTTCCGGCTATTTACATGGGTGACGCACAAGAGACTTTCGAGACCCACAGCGGCCATAGATCCAGGATCGATACACCACAAATGACCACGAGTGCAGCGGCGAGTAAGGAGTCTGTGCGATATTTGCCGCCACCGTCGTACACTTCGAGGGTGCAGTCTCTAGCGGAAAGATCAGTGAGGTCAAGCTGGGAAACCCAAGCGATGACGACGCACTTCCCGAGTAATACTGCTCAAGGTTAGAATAGCGTATTCGTATGGATGGTGCATTCGAACGGGGCAAGAAGCTTACGGGGGTGGACGCGTGATGGTTGAGGCGATGGATGCTCGGGGCTTGGAACACGTTTCAAGATATATTGGTTGCCACTAATAAGTCGCAGAATGTCTTGCCAATGTCAAAGGAATGAAAGCTAAATGAAGGCTAGCGCTTTTGTATCAGGCCACGCTCGAGCTTAATAATCGCGTCCTACCAGACTTGGCGCTGTCATTGGTATGGATGGATGTCGAACAACTCATTTCAACTGTCTTAAATTTAACGCGTGACTGAACGAGCTCCTAATGAGACGTGCGTAGTCACTACAGTGTCTTATACGGTCTCAATTACGGCGCATGGTTGATACGGCCTCAAGCATCGCTCTCATCGCTCCCTTCAAAATACTTGCTCTTCGATCCCGTTCCTGCGCTCGCTCGCTTCGCAGCCTGACGTTTTGGCACAACACGAGCTGGCTGGCGCTCTTGTTTCGATGGAGTGGTGCTGGGTACTTTGGCTCTCCCTTTCCGGGATGACGTTTCTGGCTTGAATTCGTCCTCGTTTTTATTGTTGGTAGGTACTTCTGGGGATGATGGCATTGGAACAGTATCGTTGTCTTCGGCTATACGTCGTCTCTTATTCATTCTTGCGTTGACAGATAAGCCTTTCGCGCTGCCTTGACTCTGCTGATGAGCTATTTGGAGTGACATTGGCGTCCGTACTAAGTCGTGTGAAGATGTGTCTGGAGTCACAGAGCGTGACTTTACCACCTCTTCCTCTAGCATAAAACCGCCTCCTTCAGATCCGGATGCACGGTCAGCATCTGGCAAGAAGCCGCCACCACCATCGGTAACTATGGCTGTGTTTGCAGCGACCCTTGGTACCATCTCCTCCTCTTCGTGGCCTGGCATGATGAAGCCGCCCCCTTGTTCTTCATCGTGTGCCTGAAAACCACAGTCTTCGTACGCGCGTGCAATATCTGCATGTTGCTTTATGCTTGCCTTTTTGTGCACGAAAGGATTGATATCTGCGGATTCGCCTACACCTGTGCCGTACTCTGCCCTAACCCTCTCTATAATGCGCATACCGGTGAGAAACTTCTTCCAAAGCGCCAGTGCCCTAGCTTCACGTTTCTTCTCTTCCTTCTCTTTCAGCCTCACTTGCTCCTCGTGCCATGCGTCGCGCACCAGCTTTCGGTGACCTTCAGCCACCACCACACCATGTATGACAGGCACTGCGCGCTGCGCTCCAAACTCAAAGCCCACACAGGCCTCAGCAAAATCAATACCAAGCTTCTTGCAGATGCGCATAGTGCCACGAAGGGGGATGTGCGATGCTCCTTTGGGAACCATGCTTGGTACATATACGTCGATGTTTCCAAAGGCGTTGCGTGGAATGCGTCCATCCTCAATCGGAGGAGGAATGATGTATTGCGTCTGAGCCTTCGAATACAGTCCCTGCAAAGGTTTCTCTCCCGTCTCGCGCTCATGGTCTATTATCTCCTGCTTTCTTGCAATCGTAACAGCCCGATGTGGGACACGCTTCAGTGCTTGTGCACCAGGGATGATTTCGCGGCCCTCTTTGTGCCATGACTCAACCGTCTTGCACGAGACTACATCCGCACGGCGGTATACGGGCTCAGTCTTTGCTTTATCGCCCTTCCCCGAAGTAAAATTGCGAACGGGCTTCGCTGTAGGTAAAAGAGCCTCTTCACGTCGCATAAACCGTTCGAGCACGTAATCGGCAGATGCCTTGAGGCCAGTAAGCGTATCAAGATTCTCTTCCTTGTCTTTTTTGTTGGGTTTAACAGGTATGAGATCTATGGTATCCTCTATCTCATCAGCCTGGGTGCGGAGATGAGCATCGCGTCTATATGCAGACAAAACATTCTTGAACCAGTCATATTCCTCACAACGTTTGATCTTGCCATGCTTGTTATAGACTGGTATCTTTTCGACAGGCAACCGCACACCTTTCGTTTTACCCGGCCACATGTGTCGCTTTAGGTAGCGTACTGTGACATCTTTTGCCGTACCATCATATGAGTAGGCCACGATGTAGGCAAACACTTGCTTTGCTTTATCGGCGTCCTTGCCACGGGGCTCAAACGCCTGAAATGCTTCGGCTGTGCTTGCAATATGTGGGGCAGTAAGAGGAGAGGCAGCGTGAGGTCTATTAGTCACAGGAGAAAAAGCTTCAGTCCAGTAAGTTGGGTATGGGTGTGTGTGAGGATAACCTCTTCGTGCTGGAGTCGCAGACTTCGAGGGCGTCAAGTCGACAATAGACAAGTCGGACCCGGAGTCTGAAGGTGGATCACTTAAACTGCTAGAGTCCGAGTCAAGATCAATAGGCGCAGTCTTGCTCCCTTTATTTCCGCCCTTGGATTTGCGGGCTGAGGTCTTCGACCTCGTGCTCTCGACACCTTTTGATACAACTTCCGCGGCTGATATGTTGTATGCAGTCTGCGCAGGTTTTTTCATTTTCCCGTCTTCAGCTTTCGACCAGCCAAATCCGACAGGCTGCAGACTGCAAACCATACGCGCCTCTATTCCAACAGCACGTAGTAGTCCTGTAAACAGTTGCTGGCCGACGTCTCTACTGCCTGTTGTCTTTCTAGCACATTCTCTGAACTCTTCTCTGGTCGTGATACGTTCTCCGAACCTCTCGACATCTTTGTTGTCCTTCTTGTAGGCACGCATGTGTGCTTGTAACGCAGATGACTCGAGGTATCCAACTTTCTTCAGCGACGGTGCAGTAGGCTTGAATATCTTCCTCCAGAATGACAGCAGGTATTGCAGTAATCGGGGTAGCCCGTCATGTGGAGAATTGTCAGGATCGCGGGTCGCGGTGTTAGACCAGTCGCGTTGGCTTCTGGGGTCATCCTTCTTAGGCTTGTCCTTGCCTTTCTCTTTCCCCTTGAATTTTCCTTGAGCCTTCTTTAGATCTGTTCTTGACATCTTCCTGGCAGCTTTTCCTGCTGTACCATGCTCATCTTTGCCCAGGTGTGGAAGGCCGACTGCTTCCCGCCAAATGCAGATCTCTTTCCAACAGCCTTCACTGAGCTTATCAAGCAGTAATTTCTGTACCTCCTTGTCCTGTATCCAACTGTTTCTCACAAGGTTGTGATACAGTAGGAACTGCACATGCATGCAATGAGTTCGAACACGGATCTGTCTCTCGATCTTACTTGGGCCTTTCTTGCCTGTTGTTTCTCGCGCGGCCGCCCAATGAGAATAGTCAGGTTGCTCATTTGCCTTTGGAAGAGTGATCTGAAGATCCCCAGAAGGTATAGGTGCAGTATGGTTGGTATTCGTGTTTGGAAGGAGGTCGTGCCAATTGGTCGACCCAGTGCTCACTGCGTCGTCGTCGTCCTGCTCATTATCATCCTCGCTCTCTTCTGCTGTACTACTACCACTCTGTGTACAGCGACTCTTTGCGGTAGCAGGAGTATCGGCGTCTTGCAAGACATCTTCAAATTCGTCGGAGTCGTCGCTGGAGGATGCGTCTGATCGACTTTGGGCATCGCTTTCTTCTTGTGCGTCCAGGAACTTCTGGTTCTCCTCCAACGTCCGAGATCTTTTAGCAGGTTTGCTCAGCTCATCCAAGGCGTGAAACACATCTTTTTTCTTATTACTTCCTCGTACATATTTGCTCTTAGTGGCTATGCGCTTGCGAGGAGGAACGACTGGAAGCGCCGGGGATCGAGAGCGCTTGCGTGAAACGTATGGAGGCATGGTCCATTTTCAGAATGACCGCGATTAGAACGTTGAGGGAAACAATTCGATGACACGAAGACGCGTCGCGCGCTGAGGCCTAAATCAAAGATTTTGACACTCGAATAGGTCATGACGGTGTATATGACGATGAATGTGCGTAGCGCGCACCTGCCCTAACTAGGATTAACGGGTGGAGTCGCTAGGTTAGCTCCCTAGCCATCCCATGCTTTATTCACTGACCACAGTAGCGTCCATCGCTTGCCGGTAAATGGTCACTTTGATATAATTCGACTATGCATCGTTGCACCTCGCTACTCTTTCATTAATTATATGCCTATTTTCGCCATGATCATTGCACGATCGATTCGCTTTCGATGACACGCGTTGCAGTGTTGCACTAGATGGTATCGGCGTCACAGCCAATGCAGTGTCTACAGTCTAATCAATGCAGGTTCTCATCTGGACATACTCATTGAATGAATCTAACGATATAGTACAAGGAATGCTAAGCAAAATCATTCAAGAGAATACATGCGTAAAGATAACATGAAGATCATATCCGTAATCGACACCCCTTCCTGACACCCCCTATTCATTCCTGCACGCGAAGAACTCAATCGAAGAAGGCAAAACACTTCATCTCGATACTGCGCCTCGGAGGGTAGTCAACATACTTCGGGTCCACAAACGCCGAGTGCGGCAATGTAATGTTTGTCTCCAAGTTGCTGTCCAGCTGCTTGAACACTAAAGGCTCATCCGGCCTCTGCTCATTCAGATAATACCATTCATGCTTGTCACTGTATATCGGAAGTCCAAACTCCATCACGTTATCGCCCACAACTCTACGATCATTGTAGATGTCTTTGACCGGGTCGACGGAGCGCCAGTCGCAAACTGTGAGAGGGTCTTTCTTGATTGTCACTACCGGTCGCCATACGTTGACGACGATATATCTGCCGCTGAGGAGCTCATCCCGTTCTGCTGGATCTGGGACCGACTTGGCCAAGGTGAAATGGCAGGATGCATGTGTAAGGTCTGTGTGGACGCCATGAGAGGGAGAGTGTGCCGTGGACATTTGACTCCCCTTCTCGTTTGGGTTGAACCGGTTGCGATCGAGATAAACAACAACTTTCGAGGCACCAGTCCTGCAGTCACCATTAGCACTCCTCGTTCACATAGTAGATTGAGGCGAATGTCCCTTTGCCGGATCAGGCGCATTGGCCAGAGGACTACTCACAATTTCTTCACCAACTCCACTGTGGCTGGCTGAACTTTTTCCGTGATTTGCTTCGGGTCGGTCCAGTCAGTCACCCCCTCGATTGAATGATTCACATATTGGAATCCTTGGACATCCAATTTAAATTCGTCCTCTCTTCCGCGCACGTCTTTGATAACGACGTCTTTAGCTACAGTGATATCGTCGCGCTGCTTCATGCGTCGTTGATCTTCTGGTACCCCAGACTGATCACCGATGACGTCGAGGCCGTTGGCGCCGGCAGGGAGTTCGGTATAGTTTAAGGTAGTGTAAACATCTTGAGGAGAAGTGACAGGGGTCTTGATTGGGGGTGACCAAGTCTCAGTCGTGGGTGAGGTACTGTGTGGAGCCATGTTTGAGGTACAAGTGGAAATAGATGCGGGTATGGTTGTGTGATTGAGGACAAAAGGTCGATTCTGTGATTTGGGGTAGAAGATTGGTTGTGTGAATGAGGATAAAGGTGGATTGTGAATGTCGACATGAACATGGCTTCTTTATCACGCTTATATATCGCGACTCTATCAGAAACAAGGCCACCAGGTCTACAACTGCGCTTCGCTACCGTATAACGAGGATATCCGAAAACGTCGGGAATCTTGATCAACAGGGTCTTACAGAAAGACGTATACACGAACACGACGTATACTGTTCACCCCGCGATTACGGCTGACTCGCAAGCACACTATGGGAATACGTTGTTGCACTGCGTATGCGAGATTGTACTAGCACGATCACTGTATGTGAGCGACAGATACGAAACGTCCGTTACCGGTCGTCTGTGGCGCACTATCCCGGTGGCAACTCCGCGTCTCATGGCAACCAGACCAAACGAACTCACTCTCATAGTGCGTCTGTACCCGAGCTCTCCCCACTAATGCCTTGACCACCTTCTTCTGGCCTGGTCCACGGTCGCGCTTTGATGCTGGTGTTTGTATAGGAAGTTTCGTGATTAGTAGGCTGCGCCTACTGCTGTTTGTCGACCAGGATCTCAACAGACTCACCTCCATACGGGCAAAAGTAACCTCGGTCCTTCTGTGATATATGACGGTATCATTAGGTTTATACGAGATTGAGCCTGAAAGGTTCGAGCTAGTATAGTTGATTACTTGGTAGACCACTGAAAATGCTCGAAAGTCGGCTAAGCAACAGAGGGGTATATCAGAATTGCTTTCTAGGTAATTCTAAGGAAGATCTATGTCACGCTCCAATGGCTTATAGTCCAAGTGTTTTGAACCCAGCACTACTATTGGGGTCAGTAGCCAAGGTTTGTTACTCGCGCGTTCACTACATTCAAGCGATCAGCAAGGTATCGAATGCCTTACGCGCGTCATGCCCAGCTATAGCGATAGGCTGTAAATATAAACCTAGAGGTATCGCATGCTCGACGACACAATATATCGCGTTAGTCCACGCTAGAAACCTCACTACCAACCCTCGATCCCAGGTATCCTTAGCAAAGCCACCTATAGCCTCACCGCATTAGCATCAAGCAAAACAACAAGGAACTCACAACTCTATATCCGGACATCTCACTCACCAGCCCTGTGATCACAACCAATCGTCCGTTCATGCAAAGCCCCCCAGTCCTACATGCTTTCGCCAAGCCGATAGCCAGCCAACAGCCGAGCGTGCACCAACCAGCCCCCCGCGTGCGTCATCAGGATTCCTGGGCATCCTGATCTCCGAACAACGCACCTCGTATTCCTTCGGGTTCTGAGCGGGCTGGGGGTATCGCCCGACCGTCCAATCAAGAACCAGTCCTCTCCTGACAGCCGTTCTGGAAAGTCCCGTCCGGTGGGTCCACTTAGCTCAGCCTTGTCGCTCACGCTTCCTTCCTTGAAGTTGGCGTGAGGTGTGTGTATGTATCTCTGTATGGACTGACTCATTCACACTAATTCACTAACGCACTAACTCACTCACACGTCTTTGCTCGCCAATCTGAGTTCGTACGTTCGACTGGACTGAAGACAAAGTGTGGGGTACGAGGCAATTAGTTCATCAGGTAACCCGACGAGAAACACATATACACACATATAGAAAAATTTCTTCGTCTTTTGCAAATTATTCCCGCAGACACCAAGACTTTGTACTTTACCTCCCGGGCCCGTTCACATAACATATTAACCCTAAACACCCTGGCATGGACCCGCCCCAGCCTTATCTGACACATTCTTACAACGTGGTGCATACACACACAAACGGACGGGCGAACGCGTGCAACGACACGCGGATTTCGGGACGAATTTTCCGTGCCCTGCTGGGTTCCTCCTGGCTCTCGCACACGCACACGCACACCCTCGCACACAGGCACACGCGCCCGTAACGGGCACCTAATTTACCTTCTCTTCCAGAGCGTCGATCCAAAAACGATCTGCATACGTGCGTGGGGGCTTTTGTTGGGATTTTTCTCATAATGTATGATTGATTGCGGCGTGCGTGTGGAATGCGGTAATATTCGAGAGATGACTTGCCTGCGTGTCTGTGTGTATGTGTGTATGGCTGGCTGGCTGGCTGACTGACTGGCTAGTTGTCTGGATGACATGTACACGTACATCGGTAAACATGCTTTGGATTTTCCTCGGTTATCCAAACGAGAGAATGACGACGTCTATTCCTCGGAAAAGGATGGTCCAGGGAATACCGTGGGTTGAACCGATACCATGTACGACTATGTACAATATACGATATACTATATGCTACATGCTATATACTATACACCATATACACTACTTACAAGGGGATTGCAGAGATTTAAGCCTAGGTACTAGGTACCTACCCAGAAGACGCAGGTAGGTGAGGGGAAAGCTGCAGGCCTTTATCCGGGTCTGTTAGAATTTGGCGCGAGTGAGTGAGCGAGGTACGTGGACGGTAGACTTTGCGAATTGCTGCCCTCGTGCCACGTATCCGGGATGTTTCTTGATACGTTCAGTACACACACAAACACATACCTATATACACATACGGTATACACACACACGGCACGACAATCCCATCATACTTGAAAGTACGGACGACAAGGCCATCATAATCCAAACTCCACACGCGCACACACGTGCGCTCCATCCTCACTATCTTCACCATCTTCACTGTCTCCACAATTCGCCATTCGCCATTCGCCATTCGTAATTCGCAAGTCCCAGGCCTCCAATCGCCAGTCCCCAGCCACCAATCAAGCGTCTCTCCCCAAACCCCAGTCAGGCACGCACGCATATCCAAGAAACACGAACTAGGGCCATCCATCCCAAAGGGGTCCCGAAGGGACGGGGAGGAGAACTCGTGACGCGCAAACAACGGCCACCTTTGATCACCAAATACACACACACACACACACACACACACACACACCTCGCTTCGCCTCGCATTCGTCTTGGTGGTTCCAGCCCAAATAACAGGTTTTCGATTCCAACTCAATCCCCATCCATCCCAGGACAATGAAATGAAAGGACAGACAAAGGCCGGTGGCCAAACATTTATTTCGTATAGCAGACAGAGCTCTCACTCTCACACACGCACACGCACGCACGTGTCCCTTAATACGACGGGATTTGAGACTGATCTAAACGAACAAACATGGGCGGCGGCTGGCGGGTAGGACAGGACAGGACCTGGGACGGGACGGGATGGACTCCTTCCTCACTCTTGGTCATTGTTTCATACAGAGTACATACGTACACATACACACACATACGCTCACATACGCACATGTCAAACTCAATAATAACATCCCATTAAAGCTACAAGAGCCCGAAAGTCATTCCATAGTGCTGGATTTTCCGGACAATAAAGCACAAGCAGGGCACTGGCAGTAGTGGGGCTTGTATACACGCGCGCTGTTCAAGATGTCTCTGCTCTCGGACCAAAGTCTCTGATCCGTCCAGCCGGTCGGTCGGCTTACTTCCACGTTAAAACGAGGCCGAAGCATTCATTGTCTGTCGACGTCACCAGAGTAAGCAGACCTGCAGGACAGGAGCATGGCATGTACCTGGATACAATGTCGTGATACAAAATAAGTGCCTGGCCCAGACAGCCCTCCGCTAGCCCCAATCAACTATTCGTAAGTTCGTATCCAACAACGTGACGCATGTGATCAAAGACCAAAACCACCCAGCCGTTATGCAGTCGTCACTGACTGGCCACGACTGTCTCTCCCATTCGAAAGGCAAGGCGCAAATCAAAAAACACAATCGTCCCAAAACGTTCATACGCCATACCCAAAATTCTAGCAAAACAACAAAATCGAAGTTGGGGATATCATAATAAAGTAAGACAAAGTGGCATCGATGCCTGTGCCTCCATAGTATTAGTGCGGGAGTACCACGCTTAGGGTGGCGTATAAAGTGGTAATGAGTGCTGAAGGTTCAGTCATCAGCTTTGCGTTGCGGATGTGCACCACTGTCACCATTCGCATTCGCCTCTATCTTCATCTTTCCAAGATTGCCGCTCACACTCCTCAGGACTTCTTGGACTTCATCTCTGATCCGCTTTTGGTCCATCTCATCACTCATTCTGCGTCGCTCTTCGCGTTCCTCTAATCGCTTTAGCTCATCGACTTTTTCGGGGACCGCTTTGCTCGTCCACTCCCCCAATCCAGTTGTTGTGGTTAACAACACGTCAGGCTCATGGAATCCAGAGTCGTGATGCACGGGTGGTCCAAACGGACCCGATTCTCGTCGCCGGATGGGTGCTGGCGTAGGTACCGAAAGAACTTCTGTTTCAAGGTCTGCCAAGTGTGCGTCATGCGATCTACGATTGTGAACGCGATCAGAGAATGACCCGGAACCGGAACCTCGTGATCCGGGAGGGGGTCCGTCCGCATCAATCACGTGCCCTCGAGAAAATGCCGGTAGCTCGAGAGACGCCTTGCGGTTGGAACTCGTTGGGGATATATCGAGTGGGATGGCATCATTATAGAACGAAGTTGCCTGCTCGTGGGGTAATAATGGAGCTATGGTAGGATCCTTCTCGTGGCGAAACAAGGGCATTGATGGGGGTGATGGGAGCCATTGACGGTCATCAGTTACTGCAGAATCAAGCTGAGCGAGCTCGGGTATCACGGAAAATCCTACCCTAACCTCAGGTGCAGACTCTCGATGAGCCTTGGGTGTATCATCACTAAATGTCCCACCTCTCCTCGGAGTTGCCTCAGGGGTATCATTGATGGGTACAGTAGTCGTGAACTGCGAGACAGGCACCACTTCGTTGGTGGCATCATGAGAATGCGGACGATAGGGATCAAAACTGCTCGGCACACGATCCTCTCTGGGATTTTCTGAACGTTTCGCCATTTCCATTCGCATGTCCGAGTCGATGTTAATCTTTTCCCACCTCTGCTCTTTCTCACTCAATTTACCAACACCATCGATATTGCTGTCGTTCATTGAGAGCGCGCGCACCGGATCTGGAGAATTGTCAAATGGACGTCGGCTGTGACTCGTGAGTGCGCTCGCACTAGTCGGCGATCCGCTACGGGCTGGAATAAACGAATAGTCAGAGCTATCGACGTGATACGATGTTGAGGTACGATTTGTGGTGGTGTCGGGATACTTTGCATCTTCGCCGCAAGCCATGACGAGGGCACGCCCACGACGGTAGAGATCAATGTCTTCCAGATCAACTGCTGTAGAGGGATCAATGTATTCCTTGTCCGATCGGTGTGTCGATAGGCTTTGATGTGAAGCACCCAAAGGCATAGCACAGCTTTGGTCGATGGGCGGGAATCTCCCGTAGATGTCTTTCGCAGATGGCCGTCCTTCCGGATCTTCGCTCAGACATGCTTTGACGATTGCCTTGAAGTACTCCGGTATAGCTAGCGCGTCGTCCACAAGTAAAGGGCGGTCCTCCCTTTCAGGTTCGTCCTGCTCTTCCATGATTGCCCACAGGACCATTCCAAGCTGAAAGATATCAGACTTAACACCAATGTAAATGGAGATTCGTTGGTTCCTTTCGATGAGATCGGTCAGTTCTGGAGGCTCCCAGCCAACAGGACAGCCTCTGCGATTTATATCGATGACCTTTGCGTCGTCCAGACTGTCGACGACGATGTTGGACAGAGTAAAGTCGCCTTGAACAAATCCGGCTTCATGAATTTCCGAAAGACCCTTTACAATCTGTTTGGCCCATCGTTCCCGTCTACCCCAACGAAGATGGGGCGATTTCTTCAAATCAAAGATGAGGTCGACCAAAGCTCCTTGCTCAGCATAACTGATCAACAAACCCTTGACCCGGTCACCTGTCTCATCGACAATGAGGCCTTCAAATTTGATGACGCCATGAGAACTGCGCAACCTGTATAATGCGTTGACCTCATAGAGAAACTCCTCCACCGTGTCCGGGCCGGGAATTTCTTTTTTGATGTACGTCCTTTTTCCAATTGCAACTTTGTAGACAAAGCCAGAGATGTGAGATTCAAAATTGACCGAGCTCTCATGATACATCTTGCAGTTCAGGTGTGAGACGGCAGTGACTGGAGGATAGGCAATGATCTCGTTGACGTCTTCGGTGACGTGGACGTGCAATCGGCCATCATCTGTCTGGAGCTTCAGGTTGGTAACGGTCTCATAGAACTGTATATCGGGTAGAGAGTCGCGAATCGACTCATATATCCTACAGTTCTTGTCGCGCGGATAGTGCAGACTCTTAAGATCGTACTCAAGCGAATCAGGTGTCACGTTTCGATAATCGCACGATACTGTAACGCGGCGCCACTTGTTGGGCGCTTCAGCATAGGTAATGAAGAATTTTTCGCGATCCGATGCGTCACGAAAGTGCATGCTTAGGTTTAGTATCCATTTTGCTTCTAGCTCCTGCTGCAGAAGACGTTCATCGATAGGTTCAGATAATGAGTCATGATCTGACAGCACATCGTTGCTTGTGGAGATCTGGGGCGGTTGGGCACGATTAGAAGTTTCCAGGATATCATCCAGGGGCATATCTGCATTCTCTTGAGTCTTTGCATCTGTGACTACCTCGTTAGGCGCAATCGTGCCTTGAGTACTATGACCATCAATAGTCCGCACATCAGGTGCAGAAAGGGAAGGAGAGGAAACAGGGTGAGGTGAAAGCGTTCTCTTGGATCCTGAACGGAACCTTCCGACAGAAAGTGCTCTCCTTGAATCTTTCTGGGGATCAACAGGTATCAAACGATCTCTCTTCTCTGAGTTTTGTCTCTTGAAAGTGATGTTCCTAGGTAGACCCGGTACAGCTTTCCGGCCAGATGATCTTCTGCCCAAGGATGTAGGCTTGTCGAGGTATGGGTCGCGGTTCTCGAGTGGGACTGAGAGTAGCTCTCCACCATCCTCCTTTTTCAACCAGTTCCCCAGCTTCGGAACCAATCTATCCCACATGCTAGAGCTGTTTGTCTTGAGGGAGTGGTGCGGGAGATCTGCTGGGTCCGTGGTGGAGTGGTCATGGGGAAGGTCATCTGCGAATTGGGAGCACTGCGGCATGGAAACTGGATTGGCCCGATCCATAGGTCAGGTAGGGTGTTTGAGGGAAGAGGGCACGATAGGCCCTAGAGGAGGGGAGGTACAGGTACCGGTATTGGGATTGGGCAGCGCGACGTGTACAAGGTACAATGCAGCGTCAGGTAGCAAAACAAGAGAGCTACGGGCCTAATTGTCATATAGGAGCGTATGTCATGCTGTAGAATGGATATTGATGTGGTGAAACGTGCAGAGCCATCAGGAAGTCTGCATATTCGAGGATATGAATGGATTGAATGGACGAAGCGGTGACGAAATGTGGGCGCGCGCCTGGAGGCGTGTGGAAGTGGTACGCAGGGAGAGGAGGCTGTGGTGGAGCTGCACGACGGACGGATAGACGGAGAGGAGCCGGAGAACTGAAGCGGGGCGGTAAGTGACAATGCGGAGTAGCTGTAGGTGGAGGACAGCAATCGTGGTACGTATGGAAGAAGAGGAAGAAGAAGATGTGGTGATATACAGAGATGCAGGAAGACAGTGTCAGGCTGGGGATGGTTGGAAGGGGGAGGACGAGAAGGTATTACTGTAAATGTAGTGTAGGGGAAAACCTGGTAGAGAAAGCGGCGGTACAGCGGGAGGCTTCACAACGGTGCCGGCGCTGCTTTAGTAGCCTGAGCGTCAGGCGTCAGGCAGGCATATGTGGCCGGGGACGTGCAGCTGAGTCCTTGACTCCTTGTGTTGTCTTTGGAGTGTCTTTGGAGTGTCTTTGGGGTGTCTTTTGGGTGTCTTGGGAGGGTCTTTGGAGGTGTCTTGGGTACGTCGACAGCGGGTAGTGGTGGCAGTGGCAGTGGCAGCGGCAGTGGCAGTGAGAGGTAATGGCTGTGTAATTAATACCTGATATTACGGCTGACAAGGCGCCATCAGTCAACAAACTTCAATGAAACTCATTCACACCTCACTACGCACACAAAGCCACACATGAATCATTACACAACGCACTACACTACAACTATATTGAGACAATTGACAATTACCTTGTTCCACGGACATCGCACGCTTCTTTTGTCTCAGGTAACTCGCCTTCTCCTCTCCCACCCTCGATGAACCAGCTTTGTCTCTCTTGGATCCTTTCACTCGATCGATCAAGCCGCTCAGCTCCCATCCCCACCATCACCTCTCCCTCCACCATATCGACCCCTTCTCAGTCAACGATATAAAAAGAAGTGCGCAAAGACCAAAGGGCTGTGAGCAGCATCCTCTTTTCTCACTCACCGACTACTTGTAGTACACGCTCTGGCCCACCATTCGCTGGCCGTTGGGTCGAGCGCATGCAGCCGCTGCAGCTTCACGTAGTTGCAGCACGCCACTACCCATGACGCCTGTCCATTGGTGTAGTTGTTTATCGCTTGATAGTTATTAGTGGGAGACTCCTGTCGTTTTGAGTACAGCTCAGGCTGTAGCTCCCATCACTCGAGTCTCGAACATGCCGTGCTGCGCACAAATGGCCATCAATCGAGTCAATTCACGGACGCTTCGATGCGCGTATTGATATTATTCTACATCAAAAAGCGCCACCTGTCTTTGAGGCGATGCATTGATTGCACGCGCGATGAATGAGGCATCTCCTGCATGGCTTCAGCAACTCTGCGACAAGCTGCCCCTCTATTGACAACTTCTCGAGACCAGCGCAGACATGCCACGTCTACGCTGTCATCCATGGCTCGCCTCACTTTGAATCCTCACAAACGTCCAGAAACCATCAGTGTCGCACATCCGCAATACCGTGGAAACATCGGAGCCCGCACTCCAAAGAGAGGCCCTGGCCGTCGCAGCAGAATGAGACAACAGGAACGCAAGCAGGCCGCTTTTCAGTAACCAAGTTAGCTTCGTATGCGCACCACCATCATTGTGTATGGATATATGACCTTGACCCTGCACGTCAGATCTCCTAACCTCTGTACATTCTTCCCCTCACCACTCTCAGGCCAATCACATTGCTGTCGCGCTCCAAGACCAGCAGACTGTCGACAGCTTCCTTTCTCTGCTTCCTTGCCAGGTGCATTGTCATCACTACTCCCGATCCTGCACCTCCGAAGCCTAATCCTCGCAATACTTTCTCAATCCTTGACCACGTGCCGCACTTATTCGAAGTCGCTGTCTTTCGCGAGCAGCCTCAATATCTTTCGATATGATACTCCCTCTCCCCTCGATAAGAATTGGTGATTAGTGGACACTTTTTTCCGTCCCACTTCCCGTCGCCGCTGCACCTACTTGCGGTACTCCACTGCCCTCTAACCCGCTAATGCCACTGGCAACTCTGCTCAGACCCGCCTTACTGACGGTACGGTCCGCTTACAAGTTCCACATTGGTGTACTGCTGTCCCGTCTGTTACGTTGTGTCCACTGAGCGAGGTTTGGTGCGTGAACTGCTGAGGTGTGCGTAGCGACTTTACAGACTCTAATGCAGAATTACGTTCTTACCATGGCCAGAGGAATTGGGCCAAGCGGAAAGCGATTCTAGATATCGTCGTAGGACACGACATGATGGCCCAAAAGCCAAAACTCCGCTGCACACACGGAACGCAAAAGCGTTCATGCATAATGAGGACTTGTTATGATGGTGGCAGGGACCCGGAGGATGCATATTTCATTTCATCCTTATCATGACTCAGCATGTCTACGTACACTGAAACTGTTCCGTCTGTTCCACCTGCTGTGCGTGTTGCTGGCTGCAATGATACGCTATACTCCTCATGCATCAACATAAGTTTTGTGATCCACTGTATGCCTTCAAAGGGCATGGGGTTAGCATTCTATTTCACCAGGGAGATTAGGCCGCAATCTTCAGGTACCCAATGAGAACCGCACGAGCGACTCCGTGTCGTCCGTTATCGGCTCGTCAAAGTTCACGAGACATCTACATCTCTCCTCATACGCTGCCTGATTTGATCGACGCCAAAAGCTGACGACTGGTCATCATTGACGGGGCCTAATCGTGATGCTGGAACAGTTTGTCGACTGCAGATTCACAATAGAGGAAGATATCTGCACGATTTGTACGGAAACGATTTGGGTTGTCCTATTCGTTCGTGCCGTGAGAGACTGGGCCTCGTTGAACGTATCATCATTTGTAGCACACAAACAAGAATTCAAATACTTCTGTCCGTGGTTCATGAAGCGATGTTCTGAGATAGAAGTGACTCTGGAGGTAAAGGTGTGGTTGAAGCACATGCTCAGTGGGAACCATAAGCCCGTGTCGTAGACAAGAGATTGGCTGATCCATGGTCCGGTTTGCGGAATTGTAGACTCGCTTATGACGGTTGGTCCTCATCACTAAATCGTGCTTTCGGCCTCGAACATGGTCCTTGTAACAATGCCGGAGCCAGAGATGGCAAAGGAATTGCTCCGTAGGCAGCGGGAGTACTGTGCAAGCTATGCTGCTTCGAAAATTGGTCACCGTTGCGTGCACAATAAGCTTCAAGGACAGCGTCCGAAGACTTCACATTCGCATTTCGTTCTATCATAGCACAGCACTCCCGGCTGGCCAAAGACAACGTGCCAGAGATACTCGAACGTTCGTCCGCTGACATTATCATTTTTCTTAACATGCACGAGCCAAGTCTTGAGGGCGACGTAGTCGTTCTTCGGTCGCATCCGGACAGCATTCCTGCTGACGGCAAATTGCGCACCCGCGGTATCCGCAATCGGCGGCGTCGGGTATGTTGCCTGAAACTTTGGACCTGGGGAAACCACAGTTGCAAGCCAGCTGAGAAACGACTGTGTGTAGTTGCCGCTTGCTGCATAGTCGATGGTTGGTCGTTGCTTCAGTTCCTGCTCCATCACGTCGTAGGGCGTGCTGGTCCCGGCCCAGAAGCTGCGCCATATCTCGCGCGTAAGCAGCCGGGGATGTCGCATTTCTTCGCCTCCGGCGACGCAATTTGGGCGTGTGTTGCAGCGCAGATTGACGTAGCCGCGTTCGCGGACGAGTGTGAGGTTCAGCGCGCGGACGGCGGCCGGGTTGGAGTGCAGTGGTTGGTCGACGTGCCATGCTGACGAGCCGTCTTTGTGCGGATGACTGTGGCGGTTAGTCCTGCCTATCTATACCGGCATGGCGTGGGAATGTGATGTCTTACAGAAACACAATGATTTCCGGAAGCGTGTCGTAGTTCGAGATCAGGTATGTCAGATACGCAAACGCCTCGTGACCTTTATGTCGAGGCAGAACATTCTGCAGCGTCGTCGAGTTCTTCTTCTGCGACCCAGCAGTCTTCGCCTTCAGCGTCGTGTATATCATCCTCTGCCAACTACCATCAGATCAGCACGTCGTTTCGACGTTGAGTAGGCCGGGATACTGTGCACTAACTCTGGTAGTTCCTCCTCCACCCAACTCGCATCTTCCTCCTCCGTCCTCGACATGACGATTACCTTGTCTCCCACGACTCCATCCCACACTGACACCCCGACGACATCTGGCGCTCCTCCGCCGAGCGCTTGTTTGGCAGACGCTGTCACGTATCGGCCCGTATCGTACGTGTCGGCCTGTACTATCCAGCCGTAGCCCCCAACGGCTTCCTTGATTGATTTGACAATGATGAAAAGTATGAAGCTGAGAATGAATATCCGCACGCCGGATCGTCTGCTCAGGGCGAACTGCGATATCATGCTGCGCCCGCGAGTAGATATTGCCCGGTAGTGTGGAAAAGTGCGAACGGGAGTGGACTGCGATCCTTGTGCACGTGGAAGAGCCAGACCTTCGCACTTTCCCGCACAACAGCTACCCTAACGCAGTCTCAAACCTGCAATCGTTACGTTGCGAGATCAATAACATAGACAAGACGAACACATCTTCTCCATCACAGAAAGGGTCGTACACACACGATGTATTTCCCGTATTCGTAGGTCGAGCAAAAGAAGAAGGATAGAACATGGACGTCAGACGGGAAAGAGGGTTCAAGGGTCTTGTAAGAGCGGCCCTCGCCAAAGCAAGAAAACAGGGGCTACTATTCCACTTATGCAATAGCGAGAATCCGGGCTACCAATCAGAGCCTCTATGGCTATCGGGGGGCTTGCGGCTTGCTTGGCTTGGCTGTCAGAAGCATCGGTGGCATGGCTAGGCTAGGTAAGAACTTTATATACTGGGGCATCTCTCGACCCCGGAACCTGGCTGGATGTCGTCATGATGCCGCTGTGCATTGCGGACTTTGTTGATGACTGCTGGGTTTTTATTGCGGAGCTATGGATGCCCGGATTGTTCGAGATGAGATGCCCGTGGCACGCAAGAGTGGGTGTACATAGTTAAGGACATACATACATGTACTACTCTGGATGTCGCGAGTGACGCACACACAGGGGTGACTTATATCTGTCTTTGATTTGTGAGTGTGTGGTTAAGGACATACAGTTCTCCAATCCATGTACGTCGGCTACACTAGATCGATCGCATCCATTGGACCTGTCCTTCTCTTTCTCGGTAAATTGATAAGTAAAGAAGGTACCTTCTTAAACGTAGATCTATATAATCAGGGCTTGAGCACATACAAATGAAAATCCCATCATATCATATAAAGTCCAAGACAAACCATATTATACACTCTCATCCCATCCCGTCCTATCCTGTCCTACCACTCTGACCCCTGACCTCTAACACACACCACCGCCGTCCATCCCGCAATCGCCAACTTACGTAGTCCCTAATCACATCCATGCATCCATCCCTCCATCCAGGCCAAGTTCAGGCGCGGACCGTACCGCACTACCTCGACTGATATAACCATAACCACGACAACCAGGTGTTAGGCTGTCTGTCTGTTGACCTGTGCGTTTCCAGCGCGTGTAGACGAATTCGTAGCGTGAAGATGTTGAGGCTGTGAGGAGTATACAGCTAAGTGATTCAAAGTTGGTACGATCAAATCCTATGATAATGAAAAGATATAAACTATGGCCACGTCAATCGCACGCATCGCTATAACGGGAAGATTGTTATGAAGGATCGATTCTACTGATCAAAATCTCAATTCTTCGTTGTCTACGAGAGTTGTATCGGTATACCGAGGATGCCGCTGTCATGGATATTGTGATAATGGAGTTTGATTGTGTATGTTTGGGTTGTGGTGTGAGTAAGGAGTGAGACCTTTCTAGCTCTCCCTCTCTCTTTACCGCCTTAGACTTTCCAAGTCTCTCTATCTCTAAGCTAGATATAAGTATATATATCATGCTGCACCAGTCACAAGGAGTCAAATCATATACGAGTTAGACATTACGCACTTAGTATAGAGTCGCCTTATATCTATATATCTAATAGCCCTGTATAATGGAGAAAGGGGATATCATAGAAAAGCATATATATTTATCTTATCTATTATGCTTCAATATTTATCATACTATGCTTCAATATTTATCATACTATGCTACGCTACTACATATCATATATAGGGACATAAGATTCTCTATGCTAGAGCTCGGTCAAGGAATGGTTCGTGGTTTATTATATAACTTAGCATACATAGTTATTGAACCGGACGTGTACTTATACTAGTTTGAAGATTCTCTCGTGGTATAAGGTATATTACTATCTATGTACACTAAAACCATACGTATATAAGAGAAGTAGAAGAAGTACTAGTAGTATAATACATGACCGCGATATCTATTATCGTAGCTATCTATATCTACATCTATATCTATATCTATATCTATGTCTATATCTATATCTATATCTATATCTATATCCATATCTATATCTATATCTATATTCGACTCTTCTACTCTAACGCTAGTAGTATATCTATAACCCTCTCTAGATATAATATTCTAAGAAACTATACTCTATCTAACGTACGTACGTAGGCTTCAATAATCTAGTATACCAATTCCGTTAACTATACATAGAGTACTAGTCTAAGCTTATACTTAGATTATATCTAGGCCTTCTTATCTAACACGCCCTAAGAGCGTAGGCTATAGTATAAAAGTAGATAGATATGCATCTCTCAACATCTTCCGAACCACCTTAGCTATATCGAATAACCTTAAAATTATTCAGATAACCCTAATCACCAGGTTGTTTTCTACAGGCTATTATCATGTGCGTCGTATCTAGCAGCTATTGCTGAAGAAGCTAATGAAGATAAGGTGTCATCGAAGAAGCACGTATATCATCCAGGTCACTGGCAGTGATATCAGAAGAGAAGTGACTGTGGTCGACAGCAACTGCAATTCAGACCGGCCTCCACTCAAACGCTTGTTGCCTTGCGATCCATTAGCCAACTCCAAGGTTCACTTAGTGCATCCGTGTCATGCTGTTGTGATGAAGTCTCCCACTCTGGTTGACGTGCCATAATGAGATGATCGCCGAATGGCCGGCAAGAGCCAATATCTACCAGGATCCATGCGCCGTCCATACCAACCATAACGTTGCTCGCCTTAATATCGTTGTGAGCAAGCCCGAGAGAATGGAGGTGCATTACCCCAGACTTCAGTCCGTCAAAGCCTACTGCCAAGTTGAGATCACCGCCACCATTACGCATTCGTTCCTCCAGTGTGAAAGGATAACGTTCTAAAACCAGGCCAGTAATACGACCTCGATAGACCTGGCAGCCATGATACCGAATAATATTAGGGTGGGGGTTACGCTGTATTTGCTCTAGCATCTCAGCTTCCTGTAAGAGTATCTGTGCTATCTTCTCTGAGCCTCTGAGTTCCTCGTAAAATGTGAGTGCTGGCCCTTTAATAAAGGCACCGCTGCCTATCGTCGTAACCCTTGTTATATGTGACGGCGCTTCTGGATACACGTCCTTATCAGCAACCAGTTCCAAACTCTCATTAACAATCTCAAGAGTGAGCTTCTTCACTAATGATCGGCCGCAATAGACGGTATGTTCCTTGGTGATAAAGGAGAATGTAGAGTACGAAAACTCTATATTGCCATCGCCATCGATCGTGTTATGATTGCAATGTGTCTGCAGGTCTTCAAGAGACTTTACAAGCGGAGCGTCGATTCGATAGGTAGGCCAGTTTATTCCAGCCGCAGCAAGCCACCGAATATTTCTAGTAAGCCAGAGGACGACACTTCGAGCAAACCCTAGCGCACATTGAGCGAGCCCAAACATTGCAGCATTCGTATTCTTCTTCTTGTATGAAATCAGCTTCGGATTCGCCGAAGGAGGGCAGGCTGCGATGGCAGGATACAGTCGGGAGTGGAAGGGATCAAACCGGGATACGCTCTACTGATCCTACGAGACGTCAGGAATTTGGCATGGGCGAGGCGGCGGAATCGAAACTGGCGGAACTGACGGGTTGAAGTCAAAAAGTTCAATATCGTTGATCACTCCAAATCAGCACACGAGAGGCGATTGGTTCATAGGCAACGCTAGTCAATAACAGGTGGAGGCAAGCCCTACTAAATGAACTAATTACTACTGGCTTAGTTTCAGGTTGATTTAACATGGTAAAATTCATCAATATATATATGATTCATATAATATAAAAGAAAATAGATAGACCCTATAAGAACAGAATAGATAGATAGTAGTATAGCTAGATAGAATAATAGAGTATATTCTATGATAGAATAAACTACTACTAAGCCGTTGGTCACCGTCTTTATCTAATCAAGATCAGACCGATATGCAGATATGCAGGATAAGTGACTTCACATGTATGCGCAGATATGAGTTTTATCAACTTCAATGTGACTGATCTCAAGGCCCACAGTTGGGTGGTGGAGCATGCCATAGTCTTCGCATCACCAGCACGTATCCGCAGCAGCAGCAGCAGCAGCAGCAGCGGCAGCAGCACACAGAAAGACACACAAAAGACACCAATAAACCCACAAGACACACCTATCAGCACAGAGCAAGCGTTCACACACCACCACACCCAATCAAAATCACAATCACAATCACAAGTCCGGTCCAGTCCAGCACAGTCCAGCACAGTCACGCAATCGCAACTGCGAAAGGTTGCGCGACTATACATAGCGGGGGCGAGGGATTTAGAGCCAAGTGGTCCCCCTTGTTTCAGGTTGTGTGGCTTCTGGAATATGATCGAAGGGAGTGGGGCTGGGGGATTGATTGTGGGGGTGTGGTGGTACTGCTGTTATTTAATGTGTTTACGTAGATGAGATATGGATGACTGGATGATGAAGACGGGCGGATTGTGATGGTTGATACGATTTTGTAATTCTGTTCGTTGGGATCGGATTGCTGGTCGTACGTACGTACGTACGTATGTATGTATGAATGAACGGCTAGGGATGGATGGATGGATGGATGGATGGATGGATGGGATGGATGAAAGAAGAACTGGGCGAGCACAAGCTGTGTGTTCGCCCACTCGCTCGACCGAGAACGGGCGCGCAAGAGGTGAGATGTCGTACAGTAGCCCGTCACATCGCGGAAAGAGCCCGATACTGGCTCGGGGTGGTGAAGGTGGTGACACGAGGCGACGGATCCGTTTAGACGTCAAAGAAGAAGGCGAGAATCTAGAGTCTATAGACTCTAGAGAGCGGAACAAGAGACAGAAAGACAGAGTAGAGAGAGAGACAGAGCGAGTCTGCACGACATGGTACGCAGGACGCTACAGCATCCTGAAACGGCGCGTGAGGAAGTAAGTAGGGGGATGGGTGTTCGAGCGATGTGGAGGCAAGGTGGGAACGAACCGCCGGATTGATTGATTTTTAATCTCTTGGAGATGAGAGGTATGTAATTTCTGAAAACATGGATGGAATGGATTGACTTGATGATGATGAAGCATGAATAACATCGCGAATGGTAAGAGTAAGAGGAGAGAGGTGTACGGCCAAGGCGAAAGTGAACAAACAGCTGTTCGACGCAAAGACGCGAAATGAACGTCCAAAAAAAGCGCGCACAATCGATAAACAGCCAAAAATGTGCCATTAAAGGCATGTCACAAAAATAGAAAAGGACGATCCAGAGAACCCAAAACGAGGGAAATCTGATATGTTACAGATTCATTCTCGGGATCGGCAGAACGCACGAGGAGGAATTTGGAAATGAGATTTTAATTTCGGCAGACAAGAAGGTGGTAAGGGAGTAAGATAGTTAGTATTTAGCGGATTCCGGAAACGGGGGGCGTAGCGGGGGAGTTTATTCGGAGCAGGGAGGATGCACGAGTAGAGTACATACCTAGCAAAAAGGTTTCTTGAATCGTTCGTTCCTAGAAAATAGGTAATAATAATGGATGGCCAGCCTGATATGATTAATTATTAGATGCTGTGCCGCCACGAGATCGAATATTCATTCATTGCTTCTTTCATTCATTCATCCGTTTGTTCATTGGCATCACCAAACAGAGTTCCAGAGAGCCAAAGTCTAAGCAATGTCAGCGCCTCTAGTGCTTTCTGTCAGGAGACGGCGACGAAGAACTAGACCAAGACGATGACGGTTCCAGAAGGGCACGCCGAGCAGTCGACACAGACGGTCATTAACTGATTCTCACCAGCAGCACAGTGTCCAGCCTAATTAGTGTCCAGTGTCCAGTTCTGTGTACAGTGTACGACAACCATCTGGGGACAGGGAGTGTGTTCTCTCCCACGGTAGCGCAACGTTGGAATCTGGAATAGACCGCAAGCACAAGCAAAGCACAAGCAGCCAACAGCCCCTGCCAGCGTCACACACAATCGCTCACTGCCAGTGGTCAGGGCACAGGCTGGTCAGCTGAGAAGGAGAGGGGATAGGATAGTCTTCTCAGTTCTAACTTCTCTCCCCCTCGATGACATGGCCGGAAAAGTGGCAAATATGATGATGATGAGCTGTCCGAACTTTCACGCGCAAAGCGACTAACCAGCAATGAATAACAAATACGTACTGTCCGCTAGGGAGTGTGAGAATGATGGCCCGCGTAGACAGTGACAACAGGATATGGCGGAGGGATATTGCGTGGCTGCGCTAATAAGCCCCCCCCAAAGTCTTGCAGTTTGTTGTGGGCGCGAAACAGGGCCCCTGGCGCCGCCTTGGAAGTCTTGGACAGTTGCCCAGACGCGAATGCAACCAGTCAGACCCAAGGCAAGGATGCAGGAACCAAGGTTTAATTAATTGGATGCTGAAATTGCACATGGCCGTCCCTTGTATAGTCTTGTTTGGTCTTGTCTTGTCTTCTGCCTGGTGCCTTGTGCCTGGTTCTCAGTGCAAGTGGTGCTGGGTACTTGCTGGCTGTGCTGTTGGTTGATGAGATTTCCCCTTTCCTCCTTCTCCAGGAATCCCTATTCCCCTCTGCTTTGGGCTGCCTGGGTCCTCCTTGTACCGCCCCGCCGTGCTTCAACGGTGCCCGCAAACCGACTGCTGCTCCTCCTCCACAAAAATAAGTATGGCGCACATCCATCTGTCATAGGTATTCAGCATATCTGTCATGATGAGGAGAGAGGAAATGCCCAGTGTTGTGTTGTACGCCAGATGATGTTGATTGTTTAGTCACTGAACAGCGAGACGCCCACGGCCAACAAAGAAAATATGCCGCGAATGCCACGCAAGAAAGCCCAAAGCCCCACTGACCGGTCGGAGAATGAGGGCTATAATGTTGGCTAAAGTCGGATGCATCGTGGGAAAATGCCCGTCGACGGTCGTGGATGTCTGGGGGGATGTGATGCAGATGCATTCTGGAGTCTACTTTCGGGCTGGCTGTACCTGAGCTAGCATGTCTAAGGAGCCAGTCCACTGCTCCCAATCCGAGACCGTCCAGGACGCCTGCGAACTATCGAACTTACTTGCATCCATCCCATCACCTCGCATAACTCGACGGTCGACAAGACTATTGACCTGTTCCAGCCTCATGCTCGCGAAATCCAGCTCATCCGATGTCCTAACTAATACTAATTAAGACGTGCAATTTGCTTTAGCCAAATTGATCTGTTGTCTCGCGGCTGAGCTATCACGCAAGGAGTGCTGGGCCAGAGCTCCAACAACATGCCTTTCAGGCTTCAAAGATTGAAGACATTGAACAACGAGTCGTGCATGCGCGGAATAAAGAGGCACAGTCTGTCTGCAAGCTGCAGGTGAAGAATGTCTGCTAATATACTCTGACTGACTGACTCTGACTCTAATCTGACTCTGATCCAACTCTGACTCTGATCCAACTCTGACTCTGATCCAACTCTGACTCTGATCCAACTCTGACTCTGACTCTGCTTGCTGTCTTTGCTCTCACCATCCCTGCGCGCGGTTGCAAGTGCGGCTGCCCTTGTTTGTGGGCGTATGTAGCTAATGCAGGGAGTCTGGTATTGGAAGTTGGGTGAGCATGGCATGTCTTTGCAAGATTGACAGATACAGTAGAGGGATTGATGGTGGCCACATAGGTAAGGGCATTGACGTTGACGTTGACGATGAAGATGAGGGAGAAATGTGCTGTCAGTCGGCGTGTTTGCGTAGATATGTATGTATGTATACCTTACATGATACCTTAGTACTGTAGGTGAGTAGATAATCTGCCCTTAAGGTGATAGGTGGCTCCTCTCTAAGGTGGGTTGGCTACCACCAGTTGGGAAACCCATGACTGCTTCTTAAAAAGCCACTAGCTAGGTAGCCAGTCTAACATATACGCGCGCCTTGCCCAGTTGAGGTCGTTTGGCAGCTGGAACGCCCGCCGTCCTGCTACCGTCTACCCACCGTCCACCCGCTAATTACTGTATTGCTCCCTCTGCTGTTCCCTCTGTTGCTCCCTACGCCGCCCTCCCTCGCACCTCTCGCACCTCGCACACCCCCTCCCCCCCCCCAAAAGAAGAATTCTCATCTCAACCCACTGCTCACTACTGCCCGTTCCTGTCTTGTCACTTACCTGCGCTCCCTACATACTACCACCACACTACTACCTCCACCTTGCTACTACCGCTGTCCCTTTTCCTCTTCCGCTTCCTACTACGCCGCCATCTTACCTTTCTCACTACCTTCATCCTCTACCTCCGCCATTCCGCCCCGACTGAGCTGCTCGATACTAACTAAGCCTCTCCCGCTTCGACTGCATTCGCTTTTTCCCTATAGTGCCTCCAGTCTGCCGTTCGAGCCTCCTCTTCCTTCTCCTTCTCCTACTCCTCCTCCTCCAGCGTCTTCTCTCAACTCAATCGCTGGCCCACATTCGTTAAGCTCAAAACATCTGCCACTCTTTGCATCGTTGCGATACCTTTCAGTTCCTCTCGATCTTTTGCGACATCTATCGTGGAGGTTTTCTTGATCGGACTGCCATTCTTTAATTCGCCGAGGAAACCGACTGCCGTTCATTTCGGTCGATTGTCCAACGCTCGCCATCTCCGCTTCGCTTTCTTCCTACAATCCGCAATCGATACCACAGTTCGAGGGGGCATTGGCTTGCGAAAAAGGTATCAGAATTACTTGCAGTACTTGTTGGCTGGCTGTGTTTGGAATTAGACAATTGATCGACCCGTCATTTGTCCTCAAGGATACACCACACAACTTTGAACATCAGCCTTCGTGGACCTTTGTGTGCCTGCAACGAGCATCACTATCGCGCAGCCTCTGCTCTAGACCTACTCGCATTACATTCTACGGCTTGGACGATGTTGTGTTGCTAGTAGTCTTGAAAATCGATCCCTGTAACGTCGCGCGCCATTTTTCGCGGAAAGCGTTGGTATCATAGCTGCACCGTCAGTCTGTACGTCTCATCCATTCGACGCGCAGTATTGTGCGCAGCCAGAGAGTTCTGCTAACACACTTTATCAGAGCCACTCATTGTTCCCTGACTCGTCAGTTTCACTCTTTTATACCATACTTGAAAGGGTACGTCGTTCGACTTCTTTCACCACAAAACCCTAACCCATGCAGACTTATACCGTCCTACCCGTTTCATCGGTACCACCACCAAAATAGTAGGATTTTAATTACTAGACAATGCGCACTACAACAACCATTTGGGCCATGTCGGTCGCCGTGGCCACGCTTTGTGGTCCACTTCTGACCACGGCCGAAGCTGCCCCCGCTGTCAACACCGCTGCTCAACCACGGTACTACTTCCCGAGGCATGTCAAACGTCAGTTTCCAAACGTGACCGAGCCCGCCGTGGCCTATCCATCTACCTCACCAGAGGTCACCACGCGGCAAACTGGAGGCGGCTTTTTGTCTGATCTGCTAAATCTCAATCCTGATGAGCCCTCCAACACTCCTTCTGATAAACCCTCAAACAACCCTTCCGATTCTCCCTCGGACGCCCCTTCAGGCTCTCAGCAGCCGTCGTCGTCCGGTGGAGAGGCACCGTCGTCACAATCAGACGGTGGTCTACTCGGCCCTGTTCTTTCGCCCCTTCTGCCCAAACCAACCCCTAGTAGCAGCGTCGGATCAACCGGTGGTGTCCCAGAGAGCCCTCTCACCCCGACCACAGCACCCGTCTCATCTGATGGCGGAGAAACTCCAGTCGAGACACCAGCTCAGTCATCAGCCGGCCTCCTTGATCCTATATTGACGAACCTTTTACCACAGCCGTCAACTGCAGAGACGCCTGTCGAGACGCCAATTGCCACGCCTATTCCTACAGATGTAGGAACGACTGGAGGAGTCCCGGCTTCTTACGCAACCCCTTCGCCGACCCCAGAGGATAGTGGCCTTCTAGACCCTATTCTGAGTCCAATCTTGACTCCAATTCTGACGCCGACTCCCACCCCAGAGCCTGTACCTACTTCCGGCGACATCACGGTCGGCCTCAGTTCTGCAATCGGAACAGAACCAAGTCAAGCACCTTCCGGTCTCATTCCTGGTTTGAGCTCGATTCTGGACACCCTTCTTCCAGGCAGCCCATCGCCAACAGCCGACTACACAAACCCCGAGACTGGCACTTCTCCTACCCCAACCTCTGACGGCGGTCTGATCCCATCAATCGTCTCCGGACTCACGAGTTTACTGACACCAATCACCGGTGGCACCCCTACGCCTGGCATTACTGGCCCGTCCACTGGAGTCAGTGATGTTCCCACCGGAGTTCCCACTCCTGGCACGAGTGTGGCTACACCATCGGACGCCACGCCATCTGATGCCACTCCCACTGGAGCCAGCCCAACGGACGCTACACCCTCCGGGGCAACTCCTTCAAAGGCCACTCCGTCCGACAGCCTCCCAACTGAAGCGACCCCAACAGGAGCTTACACTACCGGAGCTACTCCCTCCGAAGCTACTCCTTCCGAGCCACCTGCCACTACCGCCCAACCCACTTTTGTCTTGACCCAAACACCCGTCGGTACCAACTCGTTGACCTCTCAGATCATCGAGACTTCAATCTGGATGGACCCGACGCCTTCCGGAACCGAGCCCGTTCCAACTCCCTCTGGAATCCCAACCGAAATGCCCAAAGTCATTCAGCCTCCTGGCGGTATGGCGACTCCTCCAGCAAACTCGACACTGGTTCAGATTGGGTTCAAACGAGAACTGAACTATCCATTCGTAGTACGGAACTCGGAGTCACCGATGCAGATCTTCTCCTTCCTCGGACAGGGTGTTAAAGATGGTTTGAAGCTTAAGGACGGTCAAGTCGTTATGAACTCTATCCGACCTTACGACACCACCGGTACTATGGGCTACGTTACGACCTTGGTCATGTTCTACATTCCAAGTGACATGTTTGACAAGCTAAACATTGATCTTCACACACCCAGGTCGGCTCTTTACAGTAACGATGTGCAGCCTGTCGCGGACCTAATGAACGTCATCAATACTGCGATCCCACTGCAAGCTGGAGAACTTCCGGACAGCGGTAGCCCGAACAACCCTTACAGCGCAGACCCTACCAACCCTTCCGGCACTGGTGACGATAGTGGGACCATGGACGGAGGTGCTGGTTCCAAGTCTCCTGTCGTTGCAAGCAGTGTCGGCATTGCTTTCGCTGCCATTGGAGGTGTTGCTGCCTACGGTGCTGCCATGTTCTTCATTGCCCGTCGTTACAAGAAGAAGCGTGCCATGCGAGGCCACAATCGCAACAGCTCGGTCGACAGCAGCCAACGCAGCAACAGTGAGATGGCTTACAACGGCGTCACACCGGCATGGATGTCTGGTGCCCACAACCAACCTGATGATCCATTTGTCGATGGCCGCGATAGTCGCAACAGCGACAATAGCAATAGCACCAACGAGCGCAGCGTGCGCACTGCGCAGATTTCGGCACCAGTCGCGGCTGAGAACTCACTCGGATGGAACTGAGATACCAACTCGCATCCGACGTGCAGTATCTGAGGCGTGGTCTTCTCCAACGATACGAACGTTATGTATTCTACGCGACTGACGGGAGCGCTTTTCGTGGCGCTGTTTTGGATATTCTGGTCACTATTTGCTTCTCAAATCTAAAACTCTCTTCATTTACCTGGCTTGGCTCTTTGACAACAACCTCCAGCGGACGACACTATGCGGTGTCTAACAGCATATTCCATTATCTACCTGGATATCTGGCCTACGTGCCACAATCTACCACATAGCCTCGAGCTTATTTTTCGCATATACACCAACCATGTCCGTCTGACGCCTTCTTGATTTCCTATTTCAGGGGCATGCCTTCTCTTTGCCCGGCTGTCCTTTACCACGATACCTTTTCAACCGACCCTCCCCTATCGACCGACGGGGTGTTCAATCTTGACCTGTCAAACCTTTTTTTTATTGCTCTTCGTTTCGCAAGATACCTTTTCTACCGTGCTCTTCGGAGCAGTGGCTGATTACTAGACTTGTTTTATTCTCCTGTTTGGTGAAGAAAGTGCGCACGCGTGGGGATGACGCGAGAACCACATTATCACTGGGTATGTGGGATATCAGGAGATGTTGGAGTAGTGCTCTCCTCACCTCGGTGAAAGTTCGTGAAGGTACATAGCTAGAAGACTTTGAAGAGACTACTGTTTTTGATAAACTTTCCAAGTATGCGTGAACACTGATCAAGTGCATGTCGTAGGCGATATGAGAGATCGACACTTTCGTGTGGGTATTTGAAAGCCTCCTATTCGCCCAAAAGCACTTGGCTCATGTTGGAAGTACGCGCAGCAGTCCAAGTCAGGGGCGACCCGAAAACGTGGGGCGCGCTGGGCTCCTGCGCGTCCCGTCCGCCGCACTCCATCATTGTAGGGCTTGGCATCCAAATAATATTGCATCACAGATGTCTTGCACATCCCATGATCTTTCTCCTGTCTTTCGTGTCGTCTTTCATGCTCATACTTCGCCAGCGCAGTCTCTCACTCTCTCACACGTCCAACCCGCTCGTTTGCCTTTTGTATTCCCGCGCGAATCTCACAGCTCCTCCGCAGACCCCCGGTAGCAAGCATGGCGCGCATCACTCGTGGTGCGTTCCTCGCTATCGCGGTGGTATTCCACTTGATCTACATATATTCCATCTTTGATATATATTTTGTCAGTCCAATTGTCACGGGCATGAAGGCGTATGGTGTGGATTGGAAGGAACTGGGCAAGACTGCTCCGGCGAAGAGAGTGGTGCTTTTTGTTGGTAGGTACTACTCAACTGAACGTACTTCTGGGTGTTGATTGTGCAATGACTGACTGTGTGCGTGTGCTATAGGTGACGGACTTCGCGCTGACAAGGCCTTTCAATCGTTCCCGGACCCTTCGTCCTCTGACCCTTCCTCCCCAGACGCGCTGGTGCCACGTCCGCTTGCACCGTATCTACGTTCTCGTGTACTTGAACATGGCACGTTTGGCGTGTCACATACGAGAGTTCCGACAGAGTCGCGCCCGGGCCATGTTGCGCTCATCGCGGGCCTGTACGAAGACGTGTCCGCGGTGACGACGGGGTGGAAGCTGAACCCAGTCAACTTTGACAGCGTGTTCAACCGCAGCCGCCATACGTGGAGTTGGGGGAGTCCGGACATTCTGCCCATGTTTGTGCAAGGCGCGGTGCCGGGAAGGGTTGACGGGGACACGTACGGACATGAGGCGGAGGACTTTACGGCCGATGCGCTGGAGCTGGATGTTTGGGTCTTTGACAAGGTGAAGGAGATGTTTGCGAACGCGAAGACGAATGCGACGCTGGATGCGGAGCTTAGGCAGGAGAAGAATGTCTTCTTTTTGCATTTGCTGGGCCTGGATACGAATGGCCATGCGTACAGACCGTATTCGAAGGAGTATCTGAATAATATCAAGGTTGTGGATCAGGGTGTGAAAGAGATTACTGAGCTGATTGATGACTTTTATGGCGATGGGAAGACGGCTTTTGTCTTCACGGCAGATCATGGCATGAGTGACTGGGGTAGCCATGGAGACGGGCATCCGGACAATACTAGGACGCCTCTGATTGTCTGGGGCTCAGGAGTCGCGAAACCGTTGAAAGCAGAGGGCGTTGCACTGGGGCATGAGGACGGGTTCTCGTCAGACTGGGGTCTTGATCAAGTCCAGCGACACGATGTCGCGCAGGCTGATATCGCGGCCTTGATGGCATATCTGGGTGGCATTGACTTCCCCGTCAATTCGGTTGGTGAGCTTCCTCTGGAGTACATCGATGCAGACGAGAGATCGAAAGCAGAAGCCATGCTTGTGAACGCACAGGGAGTGATGGAGATGTACCGCGTCAAGGAAGAGCAGAAGAGCGCGCAGCTCTTGCGATACAAGCCCTATCCCGGCCTTGGAGACGAGGAGCATTCGGTCGATCATCGCATAGCGTCTATCCGGAATGCGATTGACTCTGACGACTTTGCTTCTGCGATACAGCAGAGCCGTGATATGATAGCCGCCGGTTTGGCTGGGATGCGGTATCTCCAGACGTACGACTGGCTCTTCCTGCGCGTGTTGATTACCTTGGGATATTTCGGCTGGATCGCTTTCGCCATCACTACCATGATCGACCTCCATGTGCTGGGTGGAAAGACGGCAACAAATCGTACCATGCCCAGCACCATTGCTTTCTCCTCGGCACTTGTCGCTATTTATTCGCTATTACTATTTCAGCGATCTTCGTGGAGATATTACTTTTATGCCATCTTTCCAGTCGGGTTCTGGGAAGAGGTGTTTGCACGACGTGGGGCATTGATCAAAGGAAAGGAAGTTCTGCTTGGCCATCTCGCGTCGTCTCAGGACTATATATCCTTTGCCGCCAAAACGCTGGCTTTCATCGCAGTGTTGGAGGGATTGGTGAGTGTGGCTGTGCTTAGGATGCTGTGTTGTTTTCTGATGTTGACTAGGTTCAAAGTTACTTTCATCGAGAGATCTATACTGTTTGCTATCTTCTAGCGATTGCATGGCCGGCGTTCTATGGGAAGCGGTTCTTGACAGATAACAAGGTTCTTGTTGCCACCTGGGCTCTGGCCTGTGGCTCCATGAGCCTATTCACTTTACTACCTGCGAACAAGGTGGAAAATCTTAATCTAGTGTAAGTCTGCGATCGAAAGAGGAATTTTAGAGTCTGCTAATTGTTGAAAAGATTGCTGGGAGGGTATCTCATGTTCATCGTCGGCGCGTTCTATGTAATCTTCGAGAAGAACTTACTGGCCGATTCGAGGTCGAGGAGCCAGCCTGCGCAAGGAAAAGACGACTCCTTGGCCAGGTCGATTCTGGGCGCGCAAGTGGGACTGATTGTCCTCGCCATATTCGTCACAAAGTCTAGTTCGGAATCGATACAAGCGAAGACAGGTCTCCCGCTCGGGACGCAGGTCGTTGGATGGATCACGCTCCGTAAGCTCTACTTTCCTTTCTCATATATAGTACTCCGCTCATGAAAGAATAGTCGCATCCCTCGCCGTGCCCTTCCTCCACGGCCTCCGTCCAAACAGCCACTACATCCACCGCCTCGCCGTGCTCTTCCTCGCCTTCGCTCCTTCCTTCATCATCCTCACAATCTCCTACGAGGGCCTCTTCTATCTCGCCTTCAGCCTCACCGTCTTCACCTGGGTGCGCATGGAGCACCACATCCACCTCCTCACCCACGCCGCAACCACCAAACCCCAACAATCATCAAAATCATCATCGCCATCACCATCGAAAACGAACCAGACCACCCCCTACCGCCCCCTCACCCTCGCCGACTTCCGCACCTCCCTCTTCTTCCTCTACCTCCTCCAATCCGCCTTCTTCTCCACCGGCAACATCGCATCCATCTCCTCCTTCTCCCTCGACGCCGTCTACCGCCTCATCCCCATCTTCGACCCCTTCTCCCAGGGCGCCCTGCTCATGTACAAAATCCTGATCCCCTTTGCCCTGATTTCCGCAAACCTCGGTATTCTCAATAAGCGGCTTGGTGTTGCGCCCAGTGCGCTTTTTATGGGCGTTGTGGCGGCGGCGGACTGGCTGACGGTCAGGTTCTTCTGGATGGTGAGGGACGAGGGTAGTTGGTTGGAGATTGGCACGTCGATTAGTCGGTTTTGTATTGTTAGTGCGTTGGGGGTTTTTGTGGCGGGGTTGGAGGGTGGGAGTGGGGTTCTTGTGAGGGGGGTGGGGTTTGAGGGTGACGGTGGGGATGGGAAGGGGGATGAGAGTGGGAGTGGGAAGGAGGATGGTGTTGATGGGAGTAGGAATGGAAATGGAAATGGAAATTCCACTCTGTCAAAAGGTACGGATACTGTTCGACGGGCGAATGGGAGTGGTAAGACTGCGAAGAATCAGTAATGGATAGCACGTAGGGATGATATGTTAGGTATAGATTATATTAGATTAGATTGCATGTATATCTTTGTATATATATAATGTCTTTTGACTGTGCTCGTCTCTTGATGCGATGTGATGTGATGTGATGTGACACCAGGAATGCATGCAGTATATGTTTATGTGTGATTATGTGTACTTGTGAGCATGATGAGAGGAATATTTTTATACAGTATTTGTTGTACATACAGCTACATAGGCTTGATGCCCGTCCGTGGAGTACTCGTCTATGCTTGGGTATATATATACATATCTCTACACACATCTATACACACATCTACATCTCATTTCCTCTGGATCCCTTCCCCCTTCCCCCTTCCCCTGTTCCTAATTTTCATCTCCCCTCCCGGTCCCCCCCTCCATACTACCGATATATCTCATCAAACGGCCTCGTATCGCGGAAACAGCTCTCCCACACCTCATTCACTATCCGACTGGCATGCGCCTCATCTTTACATTCAGGCCTATGCATGAGCGAGAGCGTGGCGCGCCGCCGCACGCATTCCTGCAGCTGCTGCGTGACCTTCCACTGCCGACGACCGAAGAACTCGCGTGTGAAGCGGCACTCGCCGGAGAGTGTGGAGGCGCGGATCTATACAGTTGTATGTTAGTAGGTGGTGACGGGGGATTGTGGGTATATGTATATAGGCTAGACAGCAAGCACAAAACCCACCTCCGTACAAGCCTGATGCCTCAAGTCCGTCCTCTGCACATCAAACCGCAAATGATCATACGCATGTACCAGCTCATGCGCCAGCGTATCCTCCGTCTGCGCCCTACTCTGCAGATGATTCGCACACAGCAGAATCCCATAGTCCATGTCGAACCCGCCGCTCTGCCGCGTGGTACAGCGGCGACAGTGGATCTGCGCGGGGCCAATTTCGCTGTGGCGGCCGCCACTGAGGGCGCGCGTTTCGTCGCGGAGGAAGCGCACGATGGGCGAGGTTTTGAAGAGCGAGGTGACGGTTTGGGTGCAGCGGGCGCAGTCGCTGGCTTCGTTGGCGAGGTCGCGCGCGGCGAAGTAGGAGGCTGTTTCCGTGGGCGTGGAGCGGGAGAGGAGGATGTTGAAGAAGGTGCTCCAGGTGTAGTAGGTGTTTAGTTGGGAGGCGTCTGTTGGGGTGGAGGGAGGGGGTGAGGCGGGTTGTTGGGGGGCGGGTGTGTCTGTGGTGGTTGTGGACATTGTGGATTTTGTGAGAGAGAGAGAGAGAGAGAGAGAGAGAGAGAGAGGAGGTGGTGGATCGGATTCGATATGGGATGGAGGTTGTGATTGAGGTTTCTGGGTTCGTTCGCGATACTGACGTCGGATGGAAATTTGCGCACGGGCCTGGTACGTTCCTTCTGTACGTGGAAACACCGGCCGTGCACACTTATGCTAAGATCTATTACTTCCTCCGTAGTGTATAGTAGCTTCAATTCACCTTGTTTCCTTCCATGTCCTTACTTTCCCAAGACTGCGCCCAACAGTCCATTGTCATGGTCCCGGATGCTATGCATCAAAGTACGACCTTCCCTAACAGCATGTGGCCCCATAAATGGAGGATTGGCGTTGCAGCCAGCGAATCACCTGCGTGCGCCCGCCGCTGAGCAGCGAGGCTGTGACTTGAATGCAGAATGCAGCGAGACGCGATGACAGCCTTCTCACTCTTCTTCGAGAGGCTGCTCACGCTCCCATCATTGAACTTGTACCTCTTGTGTTGTACCAAGCGTGTCTTGACCTGCTCAAAGCCTGGACAACATGTCTTGGGGCTGGGATGCTGGTCTCGATGACCTGAAGGACTCCACTGGAATCTCAAGTCCTGTAATCGCGCGTCAGAGTGTCAGTGCTATGAACGGGCATGGTGATGCGAGTCCTCGGGTGTCTATACCGGGTGTGTATCAATATTTCGAGTATCATAAGTACCATACAAACTGCTCACCGCCGCCGGACCTCCAACCGACTACATACGATTGGGACTGGTGCGACCGAGGAAGCTCTCATGTTGAATTTACGCGGGAGGAGAAGGTTCCGTTGGTCGAAGGAAGGCTTCTGGGGCACGGCGTCCACGGCGGCGTGTATGAGACTGTAGTTCAAGGCAAAGCAATCGCCTGGAAACGCAAATTCACCAGAAGACAACTGGGTGACAGGGAAAGAAAAGAAATTGACATTTTGAAGAAATTGCGGCATCGTCACATCATCCAATTGGTCGGAACCTATACGAAAGGGCCTATCGTTGGACTTTTACTGTACCCGGTCGCTACCTGCGACCTAGCCTCGTTCATGGAAGATGTTGACCATCTGTACCATGAAGACAGTGACGGACACGACGCTAGTCAGTATGCCCTATCCAGACTTCGAATATCTCATCTTCTATGTGAAGACACGCCTAACCAGGACTCGATATCTACTCGACTATACAACACTATTGGCTGCACAGCTTCCGCAATTGCGTACTTGCACGATAATAAAATCAAGCACAAGGACTTGAAACCAGCAAATATCCTACTCGGCCAGGACGGCAGGCTTTGGCTGACCGATTTTGGCACCTCGTCGGACTTCTCGACAGATGCCGAAAGTGTTACGGAAGGTGGCGAACGTGGCACTCCGAAATACTTTGCCCCGGAAGTTGCGGCGTACGAGGGTGCTGGTAGGTCGGCGGAAATGTTCTCCTTTGGATGCATCATCTTGGAGATTGTCGGTATCTGTAACGGCTATTCTTTGAAAGAGTTGGAAGCTCTCAGGCCAGCCAGAGACCGATCATTCCATGCCAATCTAGATCATATCGTGAACTGGTTCAACGTCATAGCTCTGAACTCTCTACGAGACACGTTCTTGATGACTGATGTGCGGATGATGCTGCGTCATCAGCCACCATCTCGACCAGGTATCAAGCACTTGAACGCCAACCTGCAACTACTAGACGAGATAGTAGGACCTACAAAACTGTGCCAGACTTGTTGCGCCCCAATCCACATCTGGTCGAAATTTGGACAAGTCAAAGAAATGGAGGACCTAACCATTACCTACGGGAATTCGTACGAAGACCGCCCCGGTGAAACCCGGTTCAAGTGGTGTTTCTTCCTGTGGCCATCTAATCCAGATGTCATTGATAAAGTAATATGTTTTCTGGTAAGCGTCCCACAGTTAATGTTCAGTCCATCATGACAGGCACAAGGGAACCCCACAAGTTGATTTATGATCGCAGCACCCTAGCTGTCGTGAGCCACAACGTGTGCTTTCACAACATCCCTTTGAGATCTATTCGGATAGCTGGGGCTCGTTTACGATTGGATGTTTTGTCTTCTTCAAGGAGCAATTCGAATGGCGGCAAGGATCGGGATCTGCAGCCTGGAATACCGAATTCACAGACGGACCGCGTCCAATCTTCCTGCACTGGCGTGTCCAAACAGATGAGCCCATGCACTACACAAAGTTGAGTGTATCAATACGCGATTGTATAAAGACGTCCAGATACATCTAAGATATCCTCAGACAGTTGCCTATAGTGTGAACGTTTCGCCACCGCGCAAAGAGACGAGTCGTCAGGGACGATAGAGGCAACATATCACACAAGAATACACCTCAAATGATGATGCCAATAAGATGTATTCCCGTTTCTGATGCCAACCAAATGTGCACCGCGTATGCTACGATAGCTCCATCACAACAATCGTTTTGAAAGTCCATGAAAGTGTTTTAAGCAATGCCCGGTAAACGCCTCGCCCAGACCCAGAAAAACAACTCATATACCATGATATATACCGAAAGCCAAAGAAGAAATAAAACACCCATGTGCCAACAGACGGCATCGTTACTACGTTCAAATCACACCAGATCATACCACCACCAGACCGCTAGAAGCGAAAGTACTAGGAACAATATGCTCGGTGCGTTTTGTTGATTAGACACCGTATTTGTAGCTTGTCACAACCTGCTGCACCACTGTACGCGGACTTGTGGCACTATGCGGCTTTCTGATAGGCTGCTGCGGGCTTCTGATAACTTGTTGAGGGCTTCTGACAACCTGCTGCGGGCTCCTGACAAGCTGATGTGGACTCCTGACAACCTGCTGCGGGCTTCTGGCCGACGCGGGCGCGCTCCTAGCAGATGTCCCAACGGTCTGTCGTGGTTGACTCCTCACTATCCGTCACGACTCACTCCCACTACTCGCACTGCCACGACTGCTGTTGCTCCCACGATCATACGCTCTCGCGCTGGTGGTTACATGCTTCACGATCCACGGATGCCGTTCTATCTCATCCAAGGTAATCCGCTTCTCAGGATCTACCTGTAGCAGTTTTCTGATCAGATCCCGCGCATCTGAGGATATGAAGGACGGAATTGTCATGTCGCAGCGCTGGATGCGTTTGTGCGTCATCATAGGCGCGTCTTCAAAGGGCGCTTCGCCGACAAGGAATTCGTAGGTAAGTACACCTAGCGACCAGAGATCGACTTTCTCGGAGTAGCCGTCGGTGCCCTTGATCATCTCTGGAGGCAGATAGTCGAGTGTGCCACACATGGTATTGCGGCGGTTGTTGGGCGCGTGGACGGACCACCCGAAGTCTGAAATCTTGATCTCGCCATGGATACCGACCAGGATGTTCTCGGGCTTGATATCGCGGTGCATGATGTGTTTGTGGTGCAAATATTTGAGTGCGGAAGCCATCTGTGCGATGTAATTTGCGGCCTTGGGTTCAGCGAAGCGCTGCTCGGCGCGGAGGTGCTTATAGAGCTCGCCTCTGGCGGCGAATTCGATTATGAGAAATATGCGCTTGGAGTCGTGAAAGTGGCCAAACATCTTGAGAACATTGGGGTGGCAGAGATTAGATTGAATCTCGACTTCGCGGCGCACTTGCTTTTCGACTTTGCCTTGCGAAATTTCTGATTTGTGCAGGACCTTAAGAGCACAGACGAAGCCCGTAGCCTTTTCCTTCGCGAGATAGACTCTTCCGAATTTGCCTTTGCCGAGTGGCTTGCCAATCTCGAACATGCTGAGGTGCCATTTCTTGTTTGGAGGGAAGGGGTTGTACATGGATTGTCTGGCGACTTGTGCAACGGTCATCTCATCCGAGGAGCGTGATGACAGCGAGACACCTGAGCTGGCGAACGAGTCATGGTATGGATTGCTCGGTGGATGCGTCGGTACGGTGGTGACTTTCGTAATTGTTGTCGTGACAGATTTGGGTTGACTCTGGGTGGGCGGGCGTTGTAGAGGTAACTTCATACGGTTCGGGTTCGTTGGTTGGCCCAATCCAGTGAGGTTCATTGCGTGTGAGAGAGAGCCCTGGACTTGTTAGCAGTGACTTATACAATGCTACACTATTGCGAGTCTACCTTCGACTTATGGTGGTACGTGGTCGTCTGAGTAATATAGCCGCCATCATTCTCGTCAGTAACAGTGATTCGTTCAAAACGATCTTCCAGGGATCTTGTATCCGCCATTTGATATAAAGCTATATGGCGCAAAGAAACAAGAGATGGAGTAATGTAGGTAGAAAGGACAAATTAGGGCGACAAGCAGTGCTGTCGCAGAACGTGTCTGAGGGGATGGGTGGTTTATCGTAAAGTAAAGTTGTTGAGAAGGAGCAAAGGTTGCAACTCGGGTCCTTTCCAGGCTCTGTGAATGAGTGCGTCAGAGGGAGAGAGGGAGGGGGAGCTGGAGTGAGTGAATGAGCGAGCATGCAGGTTTAGTATTGTTGACTGGGCCAGCGACGTCGCACGTAGCGCAGGGCAACAACAACCAACAACCCGGCAGGCGCACGCACCACCTGCACCCCCCGCTGGATTGAACTATGATCGATGCCTGAATTCAGCCTAAGATTGTGGCCCTGAGCCGCTAAAAACCATGATATGAGTCTCCTCCTTCACCATCATTCTTTTTCTCTTTCTTTGCACCACACAACGCCTGTAAAGCTCACGGCACTGTCGATCTGGCTGTAGAGAGGATCGCCCAATAATGACGACCACCGCCGATACCGCTTCGGCCTTGTCCCCGAGCCCCTCCGTCTCTCTCCCGCCGCCAGACACCCAGTTGCCCACCCCACAGTCCCCCGCCGTAAAGTCCATATCGCAGCATGGCTTCACGATATCCACGCGCAAGCTGCCCATCCTCAAGGCAGACCCGATCGAGAAGCTGGCCGAACGCCTGGGCATTGCAATCCCTGAGATGATCTTTGGCGACAACTACGTGCGCGTGGAGCATCCGGTCAGCGGCTGGGCCATCGAGTTTAACGCCGGCGACGCGCTGGACAGAGTGGACAAAACCGACAAGTCGATGCTGAAAGTTGCCTATTCTCGTGAGTGGCAGGAGAATCGGTGAGTGCTAATTCGCTCTACACGCCCACGCGCCACTGGCAGTGCGTTAATGTACGATGACGCTCCGTCGGGCTCCTCCAGGATGGGACTGCCGTTTGGAGCTTCAATGCGGAGGGCTGAGTATCGTGTATTGGGCTGCGCTGACACACCACTTTGCCTTGCGTCCATCTTGTTAATTTGTGTGTACGTCACAGGCAACACCATTCCTCGGATATCAAGGAAGTCATCAAGCCTTTCGACTGGTCGTACACCACCGACTACGCCGGATCCTCGCCATCCCCTGCGTCCCCGACCACTCGTCCCTCACCACCACCAACATTCTCCACAACAGATACCCCTCTCCCACTCCATCTGCTCGCCCGCCGAGACCCCATCCTCCTCTTCGACGAAGTACCCCTCTACGAAGACGAGCTCGCCGACAACGGCATCTCCTTCTACACCGTCAAACTCCGCGTCATGCCCCAGCGACTGCTCATCCTAGCACGCTTTTTCATGCGCTTAGACGACGTCCTGTTCCGCATTCGCGACACCAGAGTGTATATCGAGTTTGAAACCGGCGTCGTCATACGCGAGTACTGCGCTAGGGAAGAAGAGTATAGCAAGGTAAGGGAGGGTCTGAGGAGGCAGGGCGTCGCGGACGCGCGCGCGTTGAGCGTCATGCGCGATCCGAATGAGCTGGTGCAGATGGACTTGGTAAAAGTCGTCGAGAGGAAGCTGGACGGCGTAAAGGTGAAGTGAGGGCGGCGTACCCGGGGGTCGAAGATATCGCCATTCATTGCCCATGAGGCTTCAGAGGAGCGTGTTGCACCCGATGGTAAACGATATGGCGTTTGTTAAGCCAACCACAGGCTCTGATCCTGGCAGGCAAGACTGCAACAGCAGCACGACGTGACACTAGCACTTCCATATTGCTGAGCCATGCTTCCTCCTATCAGGTACGCCCTGTTCCACTGTTTCAGGCGCGCCGACATCTGCAAAGCTGTTGTGAGGGACACATCTTGCCTGGCGCATGAGAAACTAGTATTGATACGGCTGTCTCGGCCTGATCTATCACGTTCCACAACAGCTTGGAGGAGTGACTCGATTTGAATCTGCCAGCACTACCTCACGTGGAAGCCTCGAGCCAGATGTAGACGTATGAGAAGCACAATCATCAACCAAGTATTTGCATGACCTATGTACCGTAAATTGCCTATTCCAGCGTGTGTCCACGCCGTACCGCCAGCGTCCACGCACGTATGCCTTCCGCTCCCATGAGTCGGCCGTTTGAAAAAACAAAAGAATCGACTTGTCGAATCATTAACCTCCCACTTCTTCTTACCTTTTCTGCCATTCCGGCGCAATACACAGTATCCGCTCAACAGAACAACGTATTAAATCTACCACTCCAACGGCTCGCCCTTGACCTCTCCCCTGTTCGTCTTCGGCACTGGCACGGCCTCGACCTTCACCGCCTCTCCAGGCCTGTGCTTCCTCAAGTACCCGCTCCCGTCTAGCCATGGATATTCTCTGCTCCTCTTCCCCTCAAACGCCTTGATTTTATCGTCTTGCTGGAACGTCAAGCCGATATCATCCAGCCCGTTCAACAGGCAATGCTTCCTAAACTCCTCCACCTCGAAGGTCGCGATCTGCTTCCCGTCGGCGTCACGGATCACCTGCCCGGGAAGATCGACCTCGATCTCGCGGCCGGCGCGGGCCTCGGCAGCAACGGCATCGAGGCCCTGTTCGGGCGTGAGGCGCAATGGGAGCATGCCGTTTTTGAACGTGTTGTTGAAGAATATGTCGCCAAACGACGGCGCGATGATACATGTGATGCCGAAGTCGAGGAGGGCCCACGGTGCGTGTTCGCGCGAGCTGCCGCAGCCGAAGTTCTTGCCTGTGCTGACTAGCACTTTGGCATTGCGGTATGGCTCTTGATTGAGAACAAAGTCTTTCTTTTCGCTGCCGTCGTCGGCGAAGCGCCAGCTGTAGAATAATGCAGAACCCAAGCCGCTACGCTTGATGGTTTTGAGAAATTGCTTGGGGATGATGGCGTCGGTGTCAATATTGGCGACGTCCATGGGCGCGGCGATGCCCTTGAGTTTCTCGAACTTGGGCATGCCGCCACTCGATGAGGAGGCGGATTTGTTGTTACCGGAAACAGTGGCAGGGCTGTCTTCAGGAGCGTCAGCAATCCTGTCGAGGTCTTCGTCTGATTCGATGTCGGACTGGTGTGCGGGTGCGACGTCGACTTTCGGGCTGCCTTGCGCAACATCGCTGGGTTGAAAGTTGGCGATTTTGCGCACATCGGCAAGCTTACCGGCGATAGCACAGGCAGCGGCCATCATAGGGGACATCAGATGTGTGCGGCCGCCTGCACCCTGGCGTCCCTCGAAGTTGCGGTTGGATGTGCTGGCGCAGCGTTCTTTGGGGGAGAGGATGTCTGGGTTCATGCCCAGACACATGGAGCAGCCTGCTTCCCGCCATTCGAATCCAGCATCTGTGAAGATCGTGTCGAGACCTTCGGACTCAGCCTGTTGCTTGACGAGACCGGAGCCGGGGACGATCATGGCGCGCTTGATATTTGATGCTACTTTCCTTCCCTTCACGATCCGAGCAGCGGCGCGGAGATCTTCGATTCGGGCATTGGTACACGATCCAATGAAGACTTTGTCGAGGACAACCTCCTGCATAGGGGTTCCAGCTTCAAGCCCCATGTAATCAAGTGCGCGAATGCATGCTTTCCGCTTGTCCTCGTCTTGGAAATCGTCTGGGCTAGGTACCTTCCCTGTGATTGGAACCACGTCCTGAGGTGAAGTTCCCCACGAGACCGTAGGTGCGATGTCTTTGCTGTCAATGAAAACATCTAGATCATATTCGGCACCTTCGTCGGACTTCAGGGATGACCAATAGGCTGTCGCCTTCTTCCACTCGGCGCTATCGACCTTTGGAGCCAATGGGCGGCCCTTGAGATATTCGAAAGTCGTCTCGTCCGGAGCGACCATGCCGGCTCGTGCACCACCTTCGATGGACATGTTACATATAGACATGCGGGCCTCCATGCTTAGATTGCGGATCGCAGAACCGCAGAACTCGATCACAGCTCCAGTACCACCTGCAGTACCGATCTGACCAATAACGTGCAGAATAATGTCCTTGCTGCTGACGCCAGGAGCTAGCTCTCCATCAACTTGTACCCTCATGTTCTTGCTTCTCTTGGTGAGGAGAGTCTGGGTTGCCAAGACATGCTCTACCTCGCTGGTTCCGATACCAAAGGCCAATGCGCCAAATGCACCATGGGTTGACGTATGACTGTCACCGCATACGACCGTTGTGCCGGGAAGAGTGAATCCCTGTTCTGGACCAATGATGTGCACGATACCCTGGCGCTTGTCACCAAGGCCAAAATATGTGAGACCAAAGGCCTTGACGTTATCCTCTAGAGTCACACATTGTGTCCTCGAATCGTCCTCTTTGATGAAGTCTGCAACGCCTTTAAAGTTTTTACGGGGGGTAGTCGGTACATTCTGCTGGTTGTTAATTCTACTATCATTGTGACCAAGTCAACGAGATGCAAGACATACATGATCAGTCGTGGCCAAAGTGCAGTCAGGTCTACGCACTTTCCGCCCAGCGTTTCTTAGGCCTTCGAATGCTTGCTAGTAAATGGTCAGGACGTGCCTTTTTAGCGCAACGGAATGTACAGACCGGAGATGTGACTTCGTGAACTAGATGCCTGTCAATGTAAAGAAGGATAGTACCATCTTCCTGCTCATTGACTACGTGAGCCTCGAAGACCTTGTCGTAGAGAGTCTGAGGTTTTTTTATAGCTCCAGGCATGGCGTATAGTGGGGTCGCTTAGACGACGGAACTAGATGCGAAAGTACTGGAAGAGCGTGCAAGAAACACAAGAGACGAATGAGCAGTCTGAAAGACGATTGGGGTTATCAAAGAGACGCAGGGCGGACAGAGCAGTATTTCACGCAGTGGAAAGGCAGATATTGTTTCGGTAGCATCGCAGCAGCGCAGCGAGATCGGAGGGAACTTGCATCAGTGCTGAGGTTTAGAAAGAGACGCGCTGTGATTGGTCAGCTGGCTCGGACGTCGGTGTCAACAGTCCACTCCCGCTTTTTGCCCCGCACTTTTGGGCTGCTTCCATCGTCTTGCAAGGGAGTCCAAGTCTCCAAGACTCCAGGTCTCTACTCCGAAAACATACTGTAGTCCATAAATCACGCATACAGGTAGGCCCATAGAGTGTAGGAACACGCGGCTTATGGTCTGCAGATATGGTCTGCAGATATGATCTGCATGCTGTTCCGATCAGTGGCTGTCTTCCCCTTCTTCAGGAGGTGGGTGCATTATCTATATACATGTAGGTCTATATATGCCATTCATTTACTTGTTGCTGAGGTTCCTGTTGCAGCTTATCAGAACCATGGCTTTGGCCTGACTTAGGCAGAGGAATATGTATAATGCAAATTGTCTGCTGTAAACACCCACAGTGCAAGCCGGTGCCGGATGAACAGCCCTACGAGACCCACTATGGTCTGCATAGTGAGCAGTCCTATAGCTAAACGGTCTTCTCTCATTGGGCCAAACCATACCAGCCACAGATTGATGATGGTGAAATTGGTACTCTCCGTTATCTGTCCGGCATCGTTTTCGACGATCCGAAGTAGCCTGAGGCGGTGCATTAGCCTCATAACAGCGGATACCAATGGCGAAAGTGGTTTTCTGAATTCTGCTGTGGAGCATTCTAGCAGTCCTGTCCTTGCATTGAACTTCGGGAGCCGATGTCGGGGACAAGGCACGATGTGGAAGAGCTGCGGCGCTGAGTATATAAAATTGAAAATCTGCGGCATGAACAGCAGTAACAGCGTCTTGCTGAAATGTCCCTGAATGCCGACAACGGCGAAGATCATTCCTGCGAAATAGCAGTATGTGTCACCCACAAAAACTCGCGCAGGATACCAATTATGTGCCCAGAGTGCTAATGATACTCCAATAAACGGAAGCAGGAGGTATAGGGAGAACAGATGCGAGTCTGTCGCCGGGTGTGGATACTCAGTAAAGGGTGAGAGGTATAGAGCATCATTGAGGCAGATCAAGGAGGCAATGACCAGTGATTGAGACACCTCGATACCATTGATGCCTGCGAATATGTTGATACTGTTTGGACAGAATATTGATATTGCTGCCATATATGCGTAGTATAACCACCCTGTACGAAATCAGTTATGCACGCTGTTTTCGCAACGCATGTATCCTACCCAGATCAAACAGCGCTCCGAAGTAGGAACGCAGTGGTGTGGGTATGACTATCTGGGTAACACCAAAGTCTACAAAGTAGACAATGAGCATTGGTATCGCCGCGAATGCTGGAATGAACAGCTTGTGCCGCCATCGAATGTCGAATAGATCGTCACCTACTCCGAGCAAAACTACAGATTGGATAGAGAGGATTGCGGACAAGTAGGATGATAACTGACAAGAGTCAGTCATCATCTCAATACTTCCGTGAAGACTTCTTCATGTCTAACCTTGCTATGCGGGAACCGGTGCAGCAGTCTGCCAGTCTCGACGTGCTGGACCTCCAGCACCAGATCGCGATTTCCACCTCCTGACGTGGCCATGACGATGTCTTTGTAGAACGGGAAGGGAATGAAGACGATGATGATGAGCAGGTAGACCACAGCGCATACAGCGCCCATTGTCTCTGGACTGCAAACATGGTCAGCATATTGAAATTGCGAGTCTTCCGCAGGCGCGTGCGGCTCTTACATCTCATCTGTTCTTGTCTTGGACATGTCTCTGCCCTTCAGGCCCGCTCGCATGAACACGTCTCCCAACCATCTTATGAGAGCATATGTCGAAGCGTACGCAATTCCGCTGAAAGCTATTGATGCGATCAAGGGTTCGCCGTCGCCTTGAAATGTGTTTGCGATGATGCCGACACAGGCGGCCGACAGTGAGAACAATGAGAGAGTCTCGGTGCGACTCAGACTAGTCGACACTGTCATTGCGATGGCGGCGCCGATGAGGAGGGAGAGACGCGATATAGCGACAAATTCATGATAAGTGAAGTGCAGAATGGAGCCGCGCGGAAGTGGACGAGTGATTTTTCCCGCCAGGTGTCTGGTTAATTAATAACTATGGCGGCGTGTCGCGTCTGTTCTGGCCAGTCGGCTCGTACCTTCCTGATTAGTTGGTGTTGCGGCGGCAGTAGTTGACACCGACCGCTGAGATCGCGCCGTTTCCAACCTTGGAACACCCCAAGGACCCCAAGCGTAGCCAACTAACTAGCTAAGAGTAGCCCTTGGCCCGCTCCGACTCAAGTATGGAACGTGAGAAACCTCACCAACGTCGCGCGACTCGCCAGGCCGGAGGAGACGAAGCGGATGTCTTGGATTCTATCAATGATCCTATCAAAGATAAACTCGAGGCTGTCAACTTGAAGCTTTGCCGTCCCGCTTTCCTACAGTCCATTTCAGCTTCTCGTCTTCCCTCTCAAGCCGCCTCTGATTGCTCCTCCATCTCGCCCGAACCCACAAAATCTACTTTTGGCTTTCAGGCAAGCAAACGCACCCAGTCTAACTTGTCTGATACAGCTGTCGAGTTCGCCAGCAGAGTTGAACGGATAGAAGCTGCCCATATTCTCACTATCGATCTTCTCAGCCATGGTAGCGCCGCAGCCCTGACGTTGAATCATAAGGTCTGCCAAAAGCTTCAAGCAAGTGTTCTGCGAGCCTATAAAGCTGCCAAAAGCATGGCTACCGATCGTGGCTTCCAGAGCTTCTCTCATGGACACCAGGATTTGGTTCTGGCCGTCGACTTCAACTACTTCGGTACCCGTATGGTGACAGCTTCCTCAGATCACCGACTGAAGGTTTGGGATCGCAAGGACGACAACTGGAACCTCGCTGATAGCTGGAGAGCCCATGATGCTGAAATTGTCGATGTAAGTATCTATTGGACAGCGCGTGGTAGCACTATACAGCCATCATTGCTCTCAAGAGTGGTCATTTCACATCATCCATGCTTTCCCGACTCCCTGACCTATAACCCAACACGCAGTACATTCGATACTTCGCGGAACATCGAGATCTATAAGAGCTAAGATGGATGCTAATGTCAAATCAGGTTAAATGGAATGGACCATATGCCGGAGAAATTCTGGGCAGCGTTGCTGAAGACGGTCGCTTCAAACTATGGCAGGAAGATGTCACCGAAGTCCCTCAGTCTGGTCGACGTTTCAAGCTTGTAACGACTCTGACGCCTGAAACAAAAGTGCCATATATGTCACTGGACTTCAAGAACATATTTCAAGACACCTACCTTGCTCTGATTACACGCGATGGCCATCTGAGCGTGTATGAACCTTTAGACAACAACAATATCGCCGAATGGCAGTATCTGCATGATTCCTATGTATGTGCCACTCCTAGTCGCCAGGATGAAGCCGGATTCAAGGTCTGCTTCCACCACGAAAAACTACCCTGTTGGACTGCTGTGCGGGAAGGCCTTGACCGTAAGTCACTCTCTCTAGCTGTAGCAGCCATGAAGACGGTGAAGATCTTTCGGACAGACAAGAACAGAAAGTGGTATGTTGCAGCCGAATTGAACGATGCTACATCTATCGTACGAGACCTTTCGTGGGCCAACGGGTCTATGAGAGGATACGATATCATTGCAACAGCAAGCAAAGATGGAGCTATACGGATCTACGAGCTACACAATGCTGAGACTGACAAGCAATCTGCATCGGATACGACTGTTGCGATACACAACGGTCACACTGACGGTCGAAGCTCGCCACGCCCCCGTGGTTCACGCGCTGGTCCATCTGGCATCGGTGCTGGACTCGCCGGCGCGTCAAAATCCAACGAAGATTCACAAGAAGTTACGATCCCTGGAAGGGTCAAGCATCTGGTCAAAAAGGTGGCCGAATTGAAAAATCACCACGGCGCAGTCTGGCGTGTCGCGTTCTCACCGATGGGTGAGTGTCTACCTTCCCTACGTTTCTGCTCTTCGCACTCTTACTAATCTTTGAAGGGGACTTGCTTATATCCACTGGAGATGACGGCACCATTCGAACATGGAAGAAGGGTGTGAATGACCTTTGGAAGGAGTACTCTGAGATAGATGGCGCAAACGAGGATTAACCAGACGAGGCGTACAAAGCATTCGGCGTTTCTTGATGAGCGAACTTGAGTTTCTGAAATACCTGGCGTACTAAGGGAAAAGGCTTCTACACAAGAAAGGGAGTTGGCTCGGGTCTTTCTGTTGTGAACGGGGAAGCATTATCGCGAACATCGACTTTCAGAGCCACAAGCGAAGCGCAATACATGGTGCGACTAGGCACATGTGAATCATCGTGGATGTTTTATGGTCTCATGGAAGGAATGAGTATTTGTCATTGAAGGCTACATGCCTCACCTACTGATGTCGACATTCCTTTCTCCCTTGCGTTGTGTCGCCGACTACCCACATTCTTCGCTTCCCGCCACATCCCTTGATCCCACGATAAAATTCCGTCACATGGAGGTGTTTACATGCTCTCATCATCCCAATATTTCGTACAGTCGCATGCCTTGTACAGCTCACTAAAATATCGTTTCCGACCTGAATTCGAGAACGTATCCAACGCTGGAAGGGTTAGCCCTGCCTAAGAAGTCTTCCTTGAATATCGCAACAATCTCCACTGTTCCCGGAATCTGGATCGTGATCAATGGTCTAACAATTTTCGATACGATCTAATCTTGAGTGAGCTCTCCATCAACCGAAAAGTTAACCACACGGTCTCATAACTTTCATTGCGTGCAGCATGGTCAAAAACGTTATCGGATGGTGGCCACCGGCACCGCCAGCACCAGCACCACCCGCCCCTCCAGCGAAGAAAGAGGAAAAAGAAGAGATACCCGAGATAAAGTATAGATGGCGCTATGAGGTCATTCCGGGCGATGTGCCTCTACCAATGAGTTATCGGCACATTGACTACCCACGGGACGGACCCACGATCTCAGAACACGCCGTGCGACAACGTTGGAAAGAGCTCCTAAAGATGAAAGACGAAAAGGAGCCAGATGTAGAACGAAAGTACTCAACGAGCCATCGATGGACGACATTGAATCCTGAGCCCAAGCCGAAAGACAAACCATCGAACAAGTTTGATACTCCATTCGGGCCCGTCATCATCCATCCGCCAGAGGAGCCTCCGAAAGAAGAAAAGAAGCCCATTCACATCCATTTGGGTCCTCCGAAGAAAGAAGATCCCCCGGCGCCACATCCACGATTCATCTGGGATGGAGGTCCCGGACCGCGTCCCTTCTGCCACCCGGTTAAACCATGCTGCCCACCCTCGAAAGACGAGCCTCCGACATACGTATACGGCTGTCCACCGCCCCCGAAAGAGGAGGAGAAGAAAGCGCCCGATCCAGCTCCGGCACCTACACCTCCACCGTGTCAATGGGACTCGGTAGCCAAGATCCTCGGTGCCATACTAGCACTGATCGTCATCTGGGCGACTTTGGATGCAGCTGGAAGGATCATTTCTGCAATAATGGCGCCGTTCAGGATGGTGCTCGTGAATGCACCTTATAATCCGTATCCAGGCCAGTATCAACAGCCCTACCAGCAGCCGCCATACCCGCAGCCACCGTATCATCAGCATGCGCATCAACATGCGCATCAGCATGCTCATCAGTATCACAGACACTGATCATATCGCTGTAGCATAAAACATTCATGTTTACGATCGTTCTTCAAACTTTTCCATACGGTACCACACCGATGGATTTTCGGCGTGCCTTTTGGCCTATGGTACTTACCCTCAATATTATTTATATCACTGCTGAGCTGTTCCAGAACTACTGTAGCATCACTTAGCGCTGTACTCGTGTCCATAACTCCGACTGCTACAGTATCGATTTGCGATCTGGTCGTACGGGCGGCATATCTCTTCGTGGTGTCAGAAGCGTTCCTGGTTTTCGAATGTTTGGTATTCAGTTGCATTAATTGACGAGTCGTCGTCCTCTTTTTTGTTTCATTTTCCAATATGTTCATCTTTCTGCAGCCTTTTGTTCGTTGTATGTCTCCAGCAAATTTGATTCTCTTGTCGCAATATCAATGCTATGAGAGTTATACTAGCTCCGACAAACGCCTTGCGAGCGACGGATGTAACCGCAGATCACCTTCGAAAAGTTTTTCTCAAGTGGAAAAGAACCGGAAATATACTCCAGTTTCGGGTTCTGTAGAATCCCTGCTCCTACATACCGTTGCACGAGTCTCTCTCCCTGAAACACGAATCATTGTAAGCGATATTGCCGTTAAGGATATATCTAAAGACCTATCGCCGTCTAATGCACCAGCCACCACTGGTCGATGAACACTTGTTCTTTCGAGATGCTTCCATCATGCAAATTCGGTATAACACTCGACCATTGAAGATGAATCCTGTGAATGAACGCATCTCGTGGTCGCTGAGTGAGTCGAGTTAGGAGAATCAGCCGCCGACCAAGACACGCACAAGACTTCTGTCAAGAAATGATCGCTCCGATAAGGGTAATGCATCACGCCACGTTAAGCATCTTGGAAGCAATGAAGGCATTTAATCACACGGAGTCGCAGACATCTACGCCATATAAGAAAGTAAGCCTAGGGAGTCGGGCCACGCCGCACAGAAAGGGCAAATCTTAAAATCCTTGGCTTGATCGGACCGCGCCAAGCAACATGTCGGAATTTCTTATCCTGTTTTCTGACGACACTCCGCGTCGAGGCTCACCATGTATATGTGGGTATATGTGGTCGATCATGGATGTCATTGGCGCGCATGAGTCAAGGCACGTGTGCCGCTGTATCATGACTGACTCGTGAACCCACAGTACACTCTGACGTCCTTCATCTAGGTCTGCTGTTGTATATGGATGCGCATAACTATGAATATAGCCTTTTTTTTGCCTTGAGTTGGTTGTATGTAGAATGCGAACTATTACAGTAAGTTGCAAGGTCAAAAGGCAAGACGAAGGAGCTTGTTTGGTCACTCGCGATTACCTGATTCGTGTACGGTGACGGAAGAGCTTACTTGCATATGATCTCCGAAGCACGAATCGGTCGGTGAGTGAACGGAATCTTACTGTATCCACTGTAAGTACGAACGGTGTTAGCGGATTTACGACCTTCTATCAGATCCATCTAGCTCCGGCATCTAACGCTAGTAGGGGTTTGACAGGGGAGTGAATGAACGGCGTTAAAGGCCTTACCCGCCTTTAGTACTAAATCCTCATGTCCGCTAGTCAAAAGCCAACTTTGACTGATATTTGGTCATATTTTACATTTCTCTTTTCTACTTTCTACATCACACTCTGAATCCTTCGAGGCTGCGGTTCCAAAGTACACAGACTCTTACCATCCTTCAAACAGATATGTCCCCTTCAACACCACCGCCTCGCTTGCCAGAGGACAGGACGCTCGCAGATATGGGAGACAATACACACCAGGTCGATCCTGAGAAGGAAAAGCCGAACGAAATGTCCTCTTCGGCCTCCTCGACGGACAATGGTGTACCCAGATCAGATGCCCCTGAAGCTGATGGTGCTACTACCGAAGAGAAACCTGTCGCTGAGCCGCCGAAACCTATGACATACCCAAAGGGTATCGAGGTCTTGTTCATTATGCTTGCTCTCATACTCAGTATCACACTGATCTCTCTGGACCAGGTGAGTTCTGCTTCATATCGCCCTTCCAGAGTCGTCTTCGCTGTGGTATATCAAGCTAATAAACTAACACTCTCGATGCAGACCATCGTCGCGACCGCAATTCCAAAGATCACGGACCAATTCCACAAGCTTGATGATATCTCGTGGTACGGTTCTGCTTACTTCTTGACGCTTGGCGCGTTCCAGTCACTATGGGGCAAGGTGTACAAATTCTTCCCACTGAAAACCAGCTTCCTGGTCGCAATCTTCATCTTCGAACTCGGAAGCTTGATCAGCGGAGTCGCTCAGAACTCAATGACTCTGATCGTTGGACGTGCTATTTCCGGTCTTGGTGCTTCGGGTATTGCGCCTGGAGTTTACACGATTTCGGCGTTTGCGGCTGAGCCCACGAAACGAGCTACCTACACCTCGGTCATTGGAGTTTCGTATGGTGTTGCTGCTGTGTGTGGACCACTCATTGGTGGAGGACTCACTGATGGAGCGTCGTGGAGATGGTGAGTAGTCAACGTTTTACTTACTACTTTTTCCTTGTTGCACTATTCCATAGTTTCCGCTCCTGCAATGGCCTCGTCTGACATACCAACTTTAGGTGCTTCTATATCAATCTTCCAATCGGTGGTCTGGCCGCTGCTGTCATTTTGGTCACCTTCAAGACTCCTGCAGCTGCCAAGGTGGTCCAAGCTACATTAAAGGAGAAGCTTTTGCAAATGGACTTCTTGGGCGCAACGCTCACCATGGGTGCATCCCTCACCTTGCTACTAGCCCTTCAGTATGGAGGTCAGACCCATCCGTGGAGCTCTAGTCTTGTTATCGGATTGATCGTCGGTTTCGTTGCCATCGTTGGAGTCCTCACAGCAGTAGAGATCTGGCAGGGCGAACGCGCCATGCTAACACCTCGCCTGATGCGTCAACGACACGTCTGGGTCAACGGTCTTTGGGGTTTCTTCTTTGCCGGCGCTTATTTCGTCACGCTCTACTACCTGCCCATTTATTTCCAAAGTATCGACAACGCCAGTCCGATTGGCTCGGGTGTCCGCAACATCCCTCTCATCGTCCTGTTCGGCATCGCCACATACGGCTCGGGTGTGATCATCACAAAGACAGGTGTCGCAGCTCCTTACTTGCCAGTTAGCTCCGTAATCGTCACCATCGCCGCCGGTCTATTCTTCACCATGGACATTGGAACATCGACAGGCAAATGGGTTGGCTACCAGATCCTAGGCGGCTTTGGATACGGTCTCGCGCTGCAAGTTCCCGTCATCATCTCGCAGGCCTTCTCCGCACCCGCTGATATAGCCCCCACCACGGCAATCATCATATGTAAGTCTCCTTCGACCAGATCGAGCATGCCATCACTCCTACTTACCCCCTTTCTGCCTCTTTTACTAATTTCTTCTCCCAGGGTGTCGATCCATGGGTGGTACAATCCTCCTCTCAGCCGCCCAGTGCGGCTTCGTCAACCAACTCGTCGCAAAGCTCGCCAGCACCGCACCCAATCTCGATGCAACCCTCGTCACCGCCACCGGCGCCACGGATCTGCACCGCGTCTTTACCGGCGCCGACCTCGACGGCGTCTTGCGCGCGTATGCATGGGGTATCAAGGTTGCCTTTGCAATCACAATCGCGTGCTGTGGTATCTGTGTGCCTGTCAGCATGCTCACCAGGTGGAATAATGTCAATGCAAAGAAGCAGGCTGCTAGCAAGGCTTGAGATGGCTATTTCCCCCAACATAGGGGCGAGAAGGGCGGTGCTGTTGACTGATCGAGGCGGGAAGTTCATTTCATGTGTACGATGATTTTAGCATTGGGTTTGGGGTAGAGGAGAGCGTAGAATGCGTGTTAGAGGGGTGGAAAATGGGTGCCGCTCATGGCTAGCTTTTCTTAATATACTCAAGTAGACCTCGCAAGGTAGTTCACTTTGTAGCATTAGCATTGAAATTGAAATATGAAAGCTTTATTGATTTTTCGGAGGTGCTTCGACGATGGGTTGGTGGACAGACGAGGTGATGCGATTGAGATTGAGGTCGGGTGAGGGTTTTTGAACTCGTCTGGCTAGAATCCATGTGCCCCGCATTTGCACGTTCATAGCTCTAGTTGCCATGACGACCTGCGACTTCAGGCCTTTTGGGATAACTTCTCTCTTAGGATAAAATGATGTATATATATATAAACACCGGAGCTCAATCTGGATTACTTTCTATACAAACGTGCATCACCATGAAATGTAATGCTATATTCTATATATTATAGGTCTTCGATCGTCTTAGAACCCATAATATATTATGTTATGAAGTTTTTGTATCTCTAAATATGTAGAAGGAAAAAGTTTCATCTACTCTTTATGAAACTGTAGGTTGTTAGCGAATACTAAAGAGAGATGATTTCCATGAACGAGCATGTCGATAAGAAAAGAGCTGTATTATACAGTATTATTACATCTCTGTTTTCTATCGTATTTTGTAAATCCTATTAACAGAATCCAACGTTGGAATGAAGTGCAATGAGGAGAGAGCGTTCTAATATTCTACTGTCATCTATACAATTTACAGTCGCCTTTATATAATTTATAGTCGCCTCTATACAATTTACAGTCGCCTCTATACTCTATGTCTAATCATTTTTGTCCTTTGTGCAATACAGGCGATATGAACACTTCATTGTGCCCAGTCCAAGTAGCCTCCACTCCCTTGGGCATGCCCAAGTCCTTAGCCCTCCGCATCCACTCAGGTGTCGGCAGGACTTCAACGGTGCCACCCAGCTTCTGCTTGTACATACTCACGAGATCCGAGAGCAAGTATCTATTCTCGCTGCAGTAGTTGTGAATTGCGAATGACTTGCTGGGATCATGGGCATACGCCGTGGCCATGAGTTCCGGCACCACGTCAGTAACCTCGATGACGTCAAGCTCTCCGACCCACTGCTTGGGATCTAGCGCAGGGACGGCCCGCAGCTTCATGCAGTAGCGGTCTAGGGCCACTAGCGGGATCTCTTCGGGTGCGTCCGGCCCCATGATGTTGGGGAAGCGATGGACTACGCCCGGAACACCCTCCGCACGCTCCAGCAGGATCTCGCCCATCCACTTGCTGGCTGCATAACCAATCGCATTCTTCATTAGCGACTCTGCATCCGACGGTGGCCAGAAGCTGGACGGCGGCACCTCCCACAGCTCTGCTGTATCCTTCTGCAACATTGCCACGGACGACGAAGACACAAAGTGTACGGGCACGTGGCGTGGCGTCGCCATCGCGAGCAGCGTCTGCGTCGAGATGACATTGGCAGCTCGCATCATTTCGTACGATTTCAGATGCGCGACGTCGGCTCCGACGTGGATGATTAGGTCGGCCGTCTGGCTGAGGCGCTTGAAGTCGGCCGCGGACAGCCCCAGGAACGGTTTGACTAGGTCGCCCTTGTACTCGTGGATCCTTGCGTCCTTGACGCGCAGAGGACGCGAGCGAAGGCAGAGACAGTGCACCTCTGCGGTATTGGGGTCTGCGACGAGGTTACGAAGTATGTGCGTACCCAAGAAACCTGTGCATCCAGTCAAGACGACGCGGCGTGCGCTAGTGCGAGGCACGTCGGCGGAGTCAACGCCAGCTGCGACCAGGGCAGGAATGCCGTCGATGAGCCCGGCTACTTCCTTCTTCCAATCCATTTCTGGATCGTCATGGGTCTTGGTAGCGGTCTGGGACTCTGCCTGAGACCCTGAGCGAAGCTTTCGCCATCCTGCGAAGGCATCCTCGCATACGCGCGACATGGTGTGGTTGGTCGACATGAGTTTCAATACCGGCACGTCAACACCGAGCTCTTTCAGGAACCACTCACGTATACGAACGGATACGAGCGAGTCAACACCATGTTCAGCCACAGGCATATCGGCGTTGATCTGGGCCGGATCGAGCTGGAGCATGTTACCCAGAGCTTGCGAGAAGCACTTGATCAGGATTGCGAGACCTTCCTTTGGATCCTTGGTTGCAGCCAGCTGAATATCAACTTTGACATTCCCATCAGCTTGCTCCTGACTGGCGCCTTCCTCCTTGTCACCTTCTTGTAGGAGGTAGCCTGATAGGCGCACATCTTCGTGCCACGCTTCTGTGAACTTCTTCCTTATACCAGTGATGAGCTCGGATGGTAGGTTGGATTCTGGTCGTCCGCACTCGATAGCCTTGATGAGCATATCGTGCAGATCTGTCTCGGCTTGTCGATCCAGCCGTGGAAGGAGAGACTTCTCAATGGCAGCGCGATGCTTCTTGTCTGAACGGAAGATGTAGCCCAGGCCCGTCAGGAAGCCAATGACTACGACTGACCCAACCAGTCCACGACCCTGCCGACGTTTGACGAGACTTGTCATATAATGGTTTGCTGCACTATAAGCTGACTGTCCAATGTTGCCCACAATGGATGTCGCAGACGAAAGCACAATGAAGAAGTCCAGGGCCTCAGATTCACCAAAGAGCTCATCAAGGTTGCGAGTCCCTGCAACCTTTGGCGCAAGTACTGCCTCAAAGTCGTCCCAGGTAGTGTCGACAAAGGGGCGGTCTCGGAGTACCATGGCGCCATTGATGATACCTCCAATGGGTGGCAAAGTCGACTTGATCTCTGCGTATACCTTGTTCAATCCTTCTTTGTCCGTAACATCTGCTGATATGGCACGCAGTATGGCTCCCTTTTGTGACATAAATTCGAACACTCCCTCCGGAACATCGGGATGGCGGCTGGTCAGCACGACGTTTCGAGCACCGTTCTCCACCATCCATCGAGCAATAGAGATTCCAAGATCTCCTGTCATGCCAAAAAGGATGTAGGTCTTGTTATCGGCGAAAGTGCTTTTATGCTCATCAAGGCCGGTTTCGGTGACGACGTTCTCTACCGAATCTTGTGTTGCCACTTCGACGGATGGCTCCGTTGTAGACTGACGACTGGTAACTTGTAGAGGCAAAACCCTGGGAATATAGAACGCGCCATCTTTAAGTGCAAGAAGAGGCTCTTGGGTCCAGAGCATCTCGCTTAGATCAGCTTGATCTGTTCCGGTGAGTCTGAGCAGAAGCTTCGCCAGTAGAGACGGCTCCAGAGATGTTGGATCATCAACGTCGAGGAACTGAAGCTGCAAGTCACTACGTTCGGCCAGCAGTGTACGTCCCAATCCTACTGTCACATTGGCCAGCGGGTTCTTGCCCGAGGTTGCCCCTGACGTCACCCACAAAACGACGCTGGCATTGCGGAAGACTGTCTGCATAGCTTCGAATCTCGCTTCAGTCATTTCCTCGAAGACTGGACTATCCAGGTCAGAGAGGCACAACACTACTGCTCCGACGGGGCACTTGATGTCCTCGAGGCCTGTAATATCGCATTGAGTAACACCCTCGATGGAAGTGAGGAGGGCTTGTGACCCGGATGCAAGTTCTGACGCCGCATTGCTGACAATAAGAACAGGACCCAGTGGCTGGGCTGCTGGGCGCGGTGCAGTTAATAGTGGCTCTCGAATGGCTTCGAAGGTCTCGGTAGTTGCCCGAGACATGATGACGGAACAGAAGGACGGTGTTGAGCTTGTGTCAACACCTGAGAATCCAGTCTCTTTGAGTATCTTGTCCCATTCCTCAAGACTAAGCGTAGGCACCCAGACGCGGCCTTCGTCAGCGCCCAGGAACCATCCAGGAAGCGTGCCCATGATGAGTTGAATTGGCAGATGGTTGGTCGTGATCTCTAGCAATACCAAGTATCCGCCAGGTCGAAGCAGCTGGCGACAGTGGCTGAGCGTATCTTTCAAGCATCGAGTCGCATGCAGCGCGTTGGAGGCTACGACCATGTCATATGAGCCTTCAACGAACCCTTGCTCTATCGGATCTTTCTCAATGTTCAGCATCTTGAACGTCAATTTGCTTGTGTGCTCGCTAAACTTTGCCTTTGCCGGCTCAAAGAAGCCGGCTGAGATGTCAGTGTACGTGTATGATCCATAATGGTCGCCGACAGACTCAAGTACACTGCGAGTGGTACCACCCGTTCCAGCTCCGACCTCGAGGACCTTCATCCGGGGATATCGATGCGCAACTTGCTTGACCAACGGCCCGAGATCAAGGTTACCGTCGGCAAAACCGACTCCCTCCACATACAAACGGTCGAGCATGCCGTCCTTAAGCATAACCTGGAGGGCAGGCATAGTTCCGCGAGCAATAGCAGGCAAGTTTTTGCCTACAGCGTGCAGGATGAGCATGTCGTTGTTTCCTGCTTCAATATAGGGAGCGCTCCATTGCTGCACTTCTTCAAGCGTATCATTCGCCCACTCAGGCTCAATATCGGGCACCTTGCCTGCCTCGATCTGGGGAAACAGGTGCTCACGGACCCATCTCATCATGTGACGACGATGTTTGCCCATAACGATCAGTTCTGAAGGCTTTATCTGGCTGCGAAGGGCGCGTAAGTAGAAATGCGCTACTCGTACCAGGAGCTTCCGCAACACTTCATCTTCGGGAGAGAACTTGGTCTTCAGGGTAGGCTCGATGCCGTGAGATGCGTCTCGTACCCATTCCTCGCTTGCATATAGCCAGCGCTCCCGGCCTTGATTTAGGGCGGTCCAGCTCACTCCTCGCATTTGGACTTGGACAGTTGAATCGCTTGCGTTGAAAAGGTCTACTTCACCCGTGAGCCCCTTCTCCCCTGAGGAAGTCAAAGCGCTGTCTGCCATCAAGACGTCGGGAGAGTCAGATGCCACTTTGATGCGGACACTATCAATGCCCGTAGGGAGATACACTGTCCCAAGCCTTCCGTCTTCTGGGTATGAAAAAGCGGCCAGGAGGCCTTGGATAGCGGTGTCGAGAACTGCAGGGTGCATTGAGGGACATGTTGAGGCAGATTCAGCAGGTGTCGAGACAGATACCACGGCATGGTTGAGGTGACGATCAACCGAGTGCGCTTTGAAAGAGTCGGAATAGTTGTAGCCCACTTTCGACAGATAACCGTAGAATTGGTCCATATCCAAAGTGTTCATTGGGAGTAGAGGCTTCTTCCGGGTGGGAAGGTCGCCGCTCTGGGCTGGACCCAGCAAAAGCCGCACACCACCACTGAAATGTGCGGTGAGCGAGCTCACAGGGCCGTCCAACTTGGCCGTGGTAATGTCGCCGCTGTAACAGGCCACTTCGGCAGTAATGCAGCTGTCGGTCTGACCCGTCACGCGGACAGTGAATAGAACCTCCAGGCCTGACGAGTCTTCCTGCATGCCCATGGTTCGCACGATCTCGATATCATGGAGCTCAACAAGACGGATTGACTCCTGGTCATCGACGAGACGCACTGCTGCCTCGTACGCCATTGTCAAGTATCCAGTTGCTGGGAAGAGGACTTCGCCTTGTATGGTATGGCCTCGTACCCATGGGAGCTCGTTCAGTTTGAAAACCTGGCGCCAATAGACCTCTCGCCTAGCTTGTTCACCAAGTATCGTTGGTCGACCGAGCAGCTCGTGGGGCGGCTGACCACCACGGAAGAGACGCGATGCTCTCGACTCCCGCCAATTAAGGGTATCATGATCCCAAGGATAGGTTGGTAGGCCCTTGAGAATGCTGGGTTTCTTAGGACTAGCCAGCGGCAAGGCCCGTAATATGCCATCAAAAGTGATGAGAGGACGCGACGAGGGGAAAGAGGACCATATAAGTCCTAAGCTATCGGTAAAAGCTTCAACAGCACTTTCTCCGCGTTTGAGGACACCGCTGTAAGGAAGGTTCAGGCCGGTCAAAGACTTGATCACTTCGGAACTTGGCCCCTTGAGAGCTGGATGCGGGCCTACCTCTAGTGCCAAGTCCAACACTGAGGATTCTTCAGACACAGCTCGGTTCACTGCCTGGGAGAACAGGACCGTGTTGGTCAAGTTATCGACCCAGTACTGGCCTTCGAGCAGTTCCATGCCCTTCTCGTCGTTGAAAGAACGACTACGGCCATTTGATCCCCAAACACTAGAATACCACTCGCACTTTCTGGGGCCTTTCAGAGTTTTGACTCCACATTGTCGTAACGACTCAAGGTAAGGACCCGCGCATGGCAACATGTGATGAGAGTGATATGCTGTGTCCACTGCCAAGACACGGGCGAAGACTTTGTCCTCGTCCAATTGAGCCTTGGCCTCGTCAATCAAGTTGGCATCACCAGCCAGCGTACAGCTAGTGGTGGAGTTATTGGCTGCTACCTTGAGGTTTGTGCCAAATTCAGCACAGAATGCTAACGCGGCGTCCAAGCCCATGCCCACGGCCATCATCTTGCCACGCTTGCCATCGCATTGGGCTAGATTAGAATGGAAACCTCTGTAATATGCAACGCGTATAGCATCCCGAGCGTCAAGATAGCCTGCACAATACGATGCAGCTATTTCTCCACTTGAGTGTCCGACAACGGCCGCAAAGTCAACTCCAGCTGCGCGGATAACGTCTACTAGAGCGACTTGAAGGGCTGTGCAGATCGGCTGCGAGATGGCAGCTACACCAACGCGGGATGTTTCCCTTGGAGCAGAGAGTTCGTCGATTAGCTTCCAGTTTGGTCGATCGCTCTCAGGGAGTGTATCGAGACTGTTCTGTAGCTGGTCCAACGTCTTCCTGAACACAGATGATGCTTCGTAGAGTTCTTTGCCCATGGTGGCCCACTGGGCACCTTGACCTGTAAAGACACCAAGGATACGAGGCGGTAGGGACTTTGGAATGGCTGGAATCCGTGCAGTCTTCTTGAGCGCCTCTGCGCGCGATTCAAGCTTTCCGGCAAGCTGCTCAGCAGATACAGCGGCAAATGAGGCTCGGAAGAGGAAGTCTCCTCTCTGGAATAGGGTCCGGGCTAGTCGCCCAAGATCTGTAGCAGGATGTTTCCGTAGGTATTCGGCCAGCGTCGTAGCTTTAGCTGCAAGTGCTTGAGCCGAGTTGGCAGACAGGACAACAAGTCCGCCCGGATTCGACAAGGATGCATAGCGGTCGTATGCTCCATCCCAGCTCTCAATGATAGCGTGGGCGTTGGTTCCGCCAAAGCCGAACTGCCTCAGATTAGGATTCAATTGCGATTTGGATGCAGGTCAAGACTTACACTGTTGACACTTACACGGCGTGGCTCCCCTTTGGGCAGAGTGGGCCACGAAGTCAATCCTGTTGGAACCCTTAGATGCTTATAAAATGGCTGGATCTTCGGGTTCAGCTCTTTGAAATGAAGGTTGCCCGGGATCTGGCCGTGTTGAACAGCCAACGATGCTTTGAGTACTCCAGCGAGGCCAGCAGTGCCCTCTGTATGTCCGATGATGGTCTTCAATGAGCCTACAAAGAGGTGACCGTCATTCTGGCCTGGATGTCCTGGGAAAAAAGTATCATGTATGGCACGTGCCTCAATAGCTGGTGGAATTTAGCATCGAGATCCCTTTGTTGTGATGATCGTATACTTACGATCGCCTGCTGGAGTACCAGTGCCGTGAGCCTCAAAATAATGAGGACGATTACGCACCGGATCCAGCCCACATCTCTTATATGTGTCTCGAATAAGTTGGGACTGCGCCTCTGCACTTGGCATTGTGATACCTATATGACGGTTAATTCAACCGTCATTATGAACAGCGTGGCTTACAAACCTGGAGTTCGACCATCAGAGTTTACACCGGTTTCACGGATAATACACTCAATGTGGTCACCATCAGCAACAGCTTGGCTAAGGGTCTTGAGAATGACAGAGGCGAACCCCTCTCCTCGTACGTATCCGTCGGCAGATGAATCCCACATGTAGGATCGACCATTGGGAGACAACATATTTAACTATCATGTCATATGTTAGCTGAGACTGCCCAAGAATGCTCATTAATGGCACAACATACATTCGAATAAGCGATAAAAAGTTCTGGCCCGAGGATGAGGTTTGCCCCCGCTGCAACAGCCATGTTGATTTCCCCGCTTCGAAGAGAAAGCACTGCCTGGTGCAGCGCCACGAGTGATGACGAACAAGCAGTATCGCAGGCAAGTGACGGACCTCTCCAGTCAAAAAAGTACGATAGACGGTTGGCTAGGATCGCCATGGACCCGCCAGTGGCGTAGTACTGCGGCAGGCTATCGAGGCCACGCATTGCAATGGACTGGTAGTCGAAGCATGTTGCTCCGACGAAGACACCAGTAGAAGACCCTTGGAGCTGAGGGATGGAGTAACCTGCCGACTCCACTCCCTCGTAGACAGTCTCCAGAAGACATCGCTGCTGTGGATCCATCGCTTCAGCCTCCTTTGGGCTGATGTTAAAGAAATCGCGGTCGAAAAGTCGCGGTTCATCTTGTAAAATATAAGCATATTTTGTGTTCATACTCTGTTGTTACACCAGTTAGCCAATGAACTCAGATATGTTTCTTGAGATAGCCAACGGGACATACTCCATGGTGCTGACTGTTTTCATGATAGAAAACCTTCGGATCAAAGCGACTGGCGGGAATCTCTTGCACAAGATCTCGGGGATCTGAGAGGAGATCCCATAGCTTTGATGGGGAAGTAGCACCACCTGGGAAGCGACAAGAGCTTCCCACGATTGCAATGGGCTCTCGAAGTGGGCCATCGTTAGACTGAGGATAGCTGCCCATGATTAATATTGTGCTGCAGGATCAATTGAACTATGAAAAGTGGTTGGCTGAATCGATCTGAGAGTATAGCAGCTCAATATCATGGAGGCTTCACGCTTTGTGTGTTTTGGACGTGACGGTGGCTGGGCATACGAAGTAGTGATGTGGGAATGCAAGCCGCGTCAGAGATACCGTGCAGGTCGTTGTTGGACATATTTATTCAGTTTTGAAGAGGTGAGATAATGCGCTATCCGAGCCTCAGACACAGCGAACGCTTTCGGAGCTGTAGTATCACGTCGGGCAGGAACCGGTACGGTCGTCCAGATAGCGCCGGACCGGACCGGACCGGAAAAGTAAGCGACCCACCGGTCTCCTGTGCCCCTGGAGACTCGACCTAGCTCCGATACTCCGATCCTTTCGGAGGACTGTTCCTCTACCGACTCAGAACAATAATAACATTAATCTAACGTCGAAGTTCTTTGTCTTTCTTAGAAAGCTCGATCGGCAATCTCGACTGAGTTCTCGAAGCCTAACGACTAGGTTTTCTCCTGGCAGGGTGGCGCACATTGCTCTTCTACTGAAGTACTCGACACGAGACTAAGCTTTTCTGAATCCTATATCATCATGGCTGCAGAGCAAGAACGCAGAGATGTCGAGTTCAAGACCTTCGATGGCTTGACTTTGCGTGGTTGGCTGTTCGTGGGCCCCAAGGGCGGTCCTGCAGTGATTGTTAACGGTGCTGTAAGTTTTCCTTGATGGACAAACGCCTCATAATCTATCAAGAATATTAGTTGGTACTTTTGCTTACCTAGTCATATTCTATACAATAGTTTATGTGCCCAAGAGAAATCTTCGTGGCTAATATAGCGGCTTGGTTCGGACGTCATGGGCTGACAGCTCTTGTTTACGATGCTCGTTCTATTGGCGCGAGCGATGGCATGCCCCGAACCGATTTGGACCCACAAAAGATGGCCGAAGACAACTCTGACGCCGTCACGGTATGTATCTACCTATCAATGCGACTTCGGTTGCTCTATAAACAATACACTAAACAATAGAAAACAGTTTTTGCAGAACGACGGCTGGGTTGACCCAAACCGCATAGCCGTATGGGGATTCTTCTACAGTTCTGGAATAGCACTTGAGGCTGCAGCATTCGATAGGCGCATAAAAGCTGTCATAGCGCAAGGCCTCATGCCTGAGTGGTACCTGGATCCTAAGGATCAGGAGGACCTCGTTGCCCGAGCAGTTGAGGACCGAGCAAACCAGCTTCGAGGCGAACCGCCGGCGTATATGCCCCTTCTCAATGAAAAGGGCGAGCACTTCCTGCTCTTCAATTACCTAGCCAAAATGACGCCTGAGCAACAGGCTCACCTTCCCAACTGGATCGTCGGAGCCAAGAAGGCTGCCTCGACCTTCAGAGACAGTCTCACAATTCAGAGCTTCTATCGCCATGCGAAGTGGAAGCCCATACACCTATTTGCATCTGTCAGCCCCACCCCGGTCATGATTTTGACACCTGAGAATGATGAGATTGTGCCTCCTGAGTATCAGAAGAGCATATACGACAGTTTGCAATCACCACAGAAAAGATTCCAAATTGTCAAAGATAGGGGTCACGCAAACTTTTTGAGCGTTGACATTGATGAGCTTCTGACCGGACAGCTAGCGTTCCTTAAGGATGTTCTAGGCTTCTAAGGTACGAAATGCTTCTCTCAAATTCTCATGCACATCTGTCGACCCAGGCTGGGTATTGGAATGTATGTAAGCATGCGCATATACTTTCCACAGTGTCATTCCTTTGACGTATATACACAATCATTTATAATGCAATCCCCATACTATATATCCTGATGGGATCTTCCTGTCATAAAAGTTTGAAGAGAAACGTAACCATGCTGTTGAATGCGAAGTTTGTAAGACTGAGGAAGCAATCCTCTTGGGTTATTGAGAGGTACTGGAGAAGTGCATGGATACCTATGTTTCCGAATGACCCTGTCTGTTATGATAACCTATACATTGCCCGGTCACTATTACATATGCAGACTTTCTACTAGACTCTTGATATCGCGATCGATATCTGCAAGGTATAGCCACCCTAGCTGCGACTTGCCCGCTTCACTGCCATCGAGTTCCCACTGCATGTGCTTTGGAACACTCGCCAGTTCCTCCTCTGTCATCCTTATTGTGAGAAGTCGATTAGTTATTTTCAATACATCATCAACTCTCTTCATCCTATAGGCTTCCCAAGTCTTCAACGCATCCAACAAGCTTACGCGGACATTCTTTAGACTTGCTAGGAATATTGCGAGGCTGTAACCATCTTCAAAGGCTTGGTTTGCGCCTTGTCCTGCTGAAGGTGGTATAGCATGTGCTGCATCTCCAATAATAAGCACTTTTCCAGCTGACGAATGCCATCTCTCCATTTTTGGAACAGTATAAAATGGCCAGACGTTCAGAAAATGTGCCTCTGGAGTGCTCGCTTGTGCTAGCACGTTCTGGATAAGTGGTGTCCATGCGGCAGAATCTCGCTGAAGGGTTGCAATCAAAGTTTTTTTTTCCTGCAAGAGACTGTCCCATCCTGAGCGATCTTTTTCTTCGAACTTGAACTGCCGTCCTACAAAAATCTCTTTTCCACCTTCTGTTTGAGGTTGTAGCATGATAGCGCCATCACCTTGGCTCCCACGCAAAGATACTGGGAGTGGGAAACCCTCATCGATGCGTACATTATCGCGGGGGAAGCAGTACGTCAGGCCTATAAACCCAGAGTAATGTGGATGGATGTCTGGGAAGATACATGATCTGACTTTCGAATGGATGCCGTCGGAGCCAATTAACATTTGAGCTTTCTCCTGACTCCCATCTGCGAATTCGAATATGACACCATCGGTCGTTTCATTGACAATCTTGGTAAACTTTTTTCCATAGTTGATTTCGACGCCAGCATCGTTTGCCATTTCCGTCAATTCGTGGAGCAACGCCTTCCTCGTGATGCGCAGACCATCGTACCCGTACACGTCTTTGTGTCCAAAGTAGAATTTACCAGTAGTCTCGCGCTCAGGATCCGTCAAGAATGTCATGGCCTCGAAACTGAAGCCTTGAGGTTTGATGCGAGAGTATGCACCAATGGAGTCGATGATACGTAAAGTGCTGGGAGTAAGCGAGACGGCACCACCGAAATCGTAGCCTGGCTCTCGTGATTCGAAGATCCTTGGTTGAATGCCATATTTCTTGAGGACGATACCAAGCGTGAGTCCGCCCACGCTGGCGCCGATAATGGATATTGATTCAGGGATCACTGAGGAGACCATAATGCAGGGCTGTAGGCTCAGGTATTGAAACTTATAAAGAGTACTATGTAGAAGCAACTTGATACTCGGTGGTTCTTAAAACGGCTTACGGTGGATTTTAAATGCAACTATCGGAGCTTTTTTGAGTGACCTCACTGCGACAAGGATCTGCTATGCCCCGGCTCCCGAGTCGGTGGCCCGGTGCAAATACAGTAAGCCGAGCTTACACTCTCGTCTCCTGATAACTTTCTAGTGGCTGTTTTCTTAGCGCATAAGCGTGTCTGGCAGAGTTATAACGTATCCACTCAGGTTCAAAGTCAAGATAATAGTATTTCCTGCATTAGTCGAATTTGAGAAGTGGACTGCTATGTAGTGTCCGTGTATTGTAGCTCAGATGCTCAGCTGAATCTTTGGGGTTGTAGCAACATACATTACATGAACTGAGCAATAGATAATTCGGCTAGAACGTCACAGGACACTGTATGATATAGTCACAGGTAGAATGAGTATATCTATTTCGTTCCTAATCTATCCAATAAATCTAAAGCCTCAGATGCTTCTTCAAGAACTCATATTGCGGACTGAACGCATTGTCCATATCTCCAAACATCCAGTCAAAGTGATGCTTTCCAACCAGAAGACAATGTTCCTTCGGCTCATTCAACAAGTCAAATGCTTCCTTCTGCCTGCTTGCCGGGAATACTTGGTCGAGCTCAGGCGTCACCATGATCACTGGGGTCGGGCTGATCTTTGGCAGTAGGTGTAGAATGTTCCAGTTGAGGCATCGCATATAGGTATGGACCGTGACACGGTTCTCAATGGGCATTTTCATGCTATCCATTGTTGTGAAGAAATTGCCTAAGAATTGACCAAGTGGCGTCATGCCGTCTTCATCAACCAGAGGTAGGTACATGGGATCCTCCCCAGCAAGTTGGGCAGCGCGGTCTGCCAGTCCAAGTTCGAAAATGGCTTCGCGGCGTTCGGGGTCACCAGTAACATCGATCATCGGGGCAACCGTTACTACGGCAGCAATCCGACGGTCGTATGCCGCGGTGGCAAGCATAATGTTGCCGTCAAAACAGAGACCCCAAACTGCGATTTTCTCCGGATCTATAAGGGGATGCTGGGAGAGCCACGTCACTGAGTCGGTGAAGTCGTCAATGCGCCTCAGCATATCACTCTACCACCACGATTGCATGTCAGTTGACATCTAATTGGCTGGCTTCGTGTTGCAAAGAATAACTCACGTCATGTCTGGGTAGACCATCACTCGCACCGATGCCATATGTGTCAAAGATGAGTGCAGTGAAACCTCGCTTGTGATACCATTCGGCAATATCTGGTACGACTACATCCTTAGGCATATTGAACTGTATCGAAATTAGTCGGCTTTGGAGTCTTCTTCAAAATTCAGACGTGGTGATTTACATACCCCTGCAGAAAGGATGATTCCTGGTCCACGTTTTTCGGCTGGGTACAGCCATCCACGCAAGGTGATGCCGGCAAGGGTCTTGAACTCAATGTCTTCGCGAGTAGGTGCCATTGTTTGTTTGTCTTTTGTTGAACAAGAAAGAGCTGGCGCTGCTCTTTGTTTTTAGCTAGCATCGCATAGTGAGACTGATCTAAGATCTTGATGTCGGAGGTTCCACTCCGCTGCCCATAGCTGACCCGACTGCCGATATTGCGAGTCGGTAGCAGTCTGCTACCGAGTTGTGCTACCGAGTTGGAGCTTCCGGTACAAATCACGGAGGTTCGCAATCGGTCGTAAGACTACGTCCCATCTACAATGCTTAGCTGTCCATGATTAAATACGTCGCCACGCTTGTCCCTCGCCCGGTTACACGTTGGGTCCCAAAATCTGCATTCAAATTGTCTCATTATTTTTCTAGATACCAGTCTTCCGTGTCAGCTATTTCCTCACACGAATTTTCAATTCGCAACGAATCCAGAATGGTTGCCAAAGCTCCCCGTTTCCCCTCCGTCTTTGGGAGCCAGGAACAGAAAGAGGCTTTCGAGCAAACAGAGCGTGACGTCAAAGAGCTCCAAGGAGAGAGTTTCTCATTCAAAGACGCTCAGGGAAACTTCCTCGGCCCTTTCGGAGTTCTTTGTTACACTCCATCAACCTTCAAGCCGTTCCTCAGCTACTCAAAATCCTATTACACTCTGCCGCACCTCACCCCCAAGGAGCGCGAATTGACCACGTTGGCGACTGTTTCTGTCACCAAGAGTGACTACGTCGAGTACGCTCACCAGAAAATTGGAATATCATTAGGCTTGACCCAGGACCAAGTCGAACGAGCCAGCGCAGGGCATCTTCCAAAGGGCCTATCGGACAGAGAGGAATGCGTCTACGAGCTAGCGTTGAGCGTTGCAAGAGGCTTTGGTAATATCAAAGACAAACAGTTTGATTCCGCTGTTGCATTGCTGGGTAAAGAGGGTGTTGCTGCGTTGGCTCAGCTGGTCGGAGGATACTTGCTTATAAGCACGATGGAGAGCGTGGCAGGTGGTTCGGTCCCCGAGTCTTGAGATACTCGCTGTATATCTGAGTACTATGCATACGATAACGCCGTAGTTGATGAGATTCATTCACTTTACCACCACATCTAACAACGTATTGAAAGATCATGCAAAAATGCCACAAATGTGTGAACTGATGGTCGACTTTGGGAACAATCAACCGAGTTGAGCTCCGCTCCAAAGCGACATGAGTAGATTCGAACGCCTAGTTAGATTAAACAACGCGTCGCAAATAAGATTTGGACAGAACTAAGACCCTAAATTATAATCCTCTGGCTGTTGTCAGTGACGTTAATAGCTGCGCCCTCCTAGTTTCCTGTTCTACAGTAAAGTTCGCATTCTACTCAAGCCATTCCAAGGTTATAACATCAAAATCCTTCACGTTATTACAAGAAGCACTGCATACGAGGAACTCTTGTGCATATACTACGCTTCATGAACTCTTTAATTATCACCTCATGAGTCTTCTTGTTCGGTTACGCTCGGATTGAAGTGGTAAACAAGTCCACACAGATGATATCCTTCAATCACCACCGACCGGTCAATCTTTGGGCAAGTTGCCACGATTTATATTCAAGATTCCGAAGAAAGGCTCGCTGAATGATCCTGGGCAGGTCGCTGTACGACGGGAGAAGCATCGGTACGAGGTGTACGAGTGAAGCGCCGCGAGAACCACGACACAGCCTGCTGCTCCGCCTGCTCCGCTGCTGCCATTTGAACTTTATCCTCAGGATCGGTGCGGACTGCATAGCCATGCTTGGCACCCGGAATAAGTATGACTTCGTGCTCAGCGTCTTGCTTGCTCTCGAGAATAGCTTTCATTTTCTTGATATCATCAGTCTTCATCTGCAAGTCCTCTTCGCCGACGGACCAGGAGATGGGAATCTTAATTGCGTCAATGTCCTCCGGTACCTTGATGAAGGTTGGGTGCACTAAGAAGGCGGCGTCGATAAGCGGTTCAGGGGCCGAGGAGGTGCTCTGGGATGAGTGTCGGGTGACGCGGTGATCTGGATAGTCTTGTGCGAGGGTGACGGTGTGCTTTCCACCCCAGCAAAATCCGGCAGCGCCAATCTTCAAGTCTCTAGTCTGGAAAGGAGGCGGCGAGGTCCGAAGAGCCGTGAAATATTTGATTACGCCGGCCTCCGTCTTGGCGATGCTGCACGTCATAAACCAGGGGATCAGGTGGTAGAGGACCTTGACAAGTATGAATGGCTTGACGAAGATAGTATAGAGCCATGACTTCTTTTCTAAGATGGTATGCATAGGAGCAATAATCGAAGGAGACATGGAGCGGCCTTAGCATCTATAAGTTGGATGTAATCTAAAAGTCTTGGTGTGAAACAAACCGTTCATAAAGTCTGGACAGTAGACCAGAAAGCCCCTTTTAGCATACTGGTCACATAAGACTCGATTGTTCACAAAGTCATAGCCGAATGCATCGGTAATGTAGACTATGATCCCCTTGGGACTGACACCAGCTTCGGGCCCAGTAACGTAGGTTTGGACGCCATGTATTTCAAGTTCCTTTCCAGTTGGCTGGCCCTTAGAGACCTCACCAAGGAAGCAATCGGGACAAGACATTGAGACAGATATGTGAGCAGATTAGTGTAAAGATGTATTGAAGATTGAGAATGTCAAACAACGAGGATACCACAAGAGGCACTCTAATGATGAACGAATGATATGATTACACTAATTTGAGTTCGCCCGACACAAAAATAACAATCGGTCGGATCGATCGGATCTGGTGCATAATTGACCGACCGAAGTTCCGACTGCCGCCGCGAATGCAGGGTAGGGAATATGGAAGCTGACTACGCACTAGGATGAGCGAAAGTGGATGCAACATAGATTGCATCAGAACGATTCTACAAAGTCGGCGAACCTACTACTATTGCCCTGCTGGGCTATTGATGGAGACGCTAATGCAGGGAAACGAATATTCTAGTAAAGTTCGACGAAGACAAGGTACAACCATGGATGGACGACTACTTCTTGCATGGAGGCAGTAATTTTATTTAGGAATTTGTTGATTCTCAATTTAGCAAATATAGATTTCTCCTCATAGTTCATTCAAGGTCTCAGCTAACACTCAAGTCAAGACATTGATTATCTCAGATCATCTTGATACGGTCATACGCATTCATATCGCCCAAGTCTTAGGATCCGTGCCTCGTTTCACTGCAGGCCGCTGTCCGATACGTTCGATCCACTTCTGCAAGTGTGGGAAATTGTCCATGTCCTCCTGAGTGATCTGGTCCATCTTGTGCCAGCTATCTAACCAAGCTTGCATGTGTCAATACAAATTACGTTGCTTGTTGAGGAATCAAACACTTACGCCAAGTCGAGATGTCTGCAACAGAGTACTTGCCAGCGCCTTTACCAGCAAGATATTCTTTAGCTTGGCCAGTATACTTACCCGAAAGGTGGAGCTCAAGGACACCATAGATACGAAGAACTTCGTTCTTGAAGCGATTGATAGCGACTATGTTCAGCGACGGTCAGAAACGCTTCATAGTTAGGAATGACTTTTTGATGACTTACCCTCATTGTCCTTAGCATTTCTTGAGAACCAGCCCAACTGCCCTTGAATTGGTTGACCCTGAGAATTTTATTAGTGTAAACGACATATCGGCGGCAGAAACTTCAATACGCTGCCGTGCCAGAAGAAAAGCCATTGCAGGCATTCGCTTCGTCCATAATCATCGGTGTAGCCGAACGCAGCCTTCTTGTCTTCTTCCTTGAAGAGATAGAGCAGCTCTGCCGAAGTCTCCATTACTGGGAAAGGCGGATTTTGGGTGTTGTCAATAAGAACTGGGATCCTTCCTACGGTCGCAGATAAGTATCATCCATAGGTATAGATATCGCTCCCGTACCATTTGGGTTAAGTTTCAAGAACCAGTCCTTTTTCTGCTCGTTGGTACTTAGGTCGATTATTGTCGTAGTGTCTATTAGGTCCGTCAAGGCTTCGTACATAGACACAAACGAGTTAGATCTACGAACACTCCGTGCCATACAACTCCTTTAGCTCCTCAAGCATAATCTGCACTTTCTTTCCATTAGGAGTGTTCGAAGTAATTAGGTGCAGCCCCTGAGCACTTTTGGTTAATTCCGGATACAGATTCTAATGGACACTATAGCTCGCTAGTACTTACCTTGGCATTCTTCACCTCTGCCGGCGTATCTTCAAGATAGAAATTCGAGGCCATTGTGTAATAGACTTGTCTTCGAGCCTTTGATGGGTTAAGTCTGAAAGTTGGAGTATGGTCAGTGTGACTGTGTCGTGAGATCAGTTGCAGATGGGGCGTCAGATAGTTAGAGTTGGAGAGTATTCTCCACTGACCCCTGGAAGCTATCCGGAATCCGTATCAGCTCAGCAGTCTTCGGAGGCGACGTGGGACCTCCGGTCGGCGCTCCGAACGGAATTCCTGACTATGATGGCCCAAATGGCCCCACATGATCGCACAGAGTAGATATAGTGAGCAGTCCCTAGTTGCGATCATTGTTCAGATCTTGGATTACATAGTCACATAAGCCAGCAACATCTTCTTTCGATATTTCTAGACGATTCGATCAGATTCTCTTTGCATAAACCCCAACACACAACTCAACTCAACAATGAAGCCTAGCACAGCAATGAAAGCTCTCGTCGGAGATGAGGCTGGCGGCTACAGACTCGCAGACGATATCGAGATCCCCACCCCAAAGCCGGGCATGATTCTGTGTCAGGTGCGTTCAGTCGCCCTGAGCCCCTACGACGCAAAGATCGTAGACTATTCGAATACCCCTGGCGCAATAGGAGGCTGCGACTTTGCTGGTATCGTAGCCTCAGTCGGCGAAGGTGTTACAAGGTTCAAGAAAGGCGACCGGATCCTCGCCGTAACTTTTGGCCTCAACGCCTCAGACAAGACGGCGGGCGCTTTTGCCGAGTACGCCTTGGCGACTGAGGACTTAAGCTGCCACGTCCCCGAAAACATATCCTTTGAACAGGCAAGCTCAATGGGTCTTGGCATTGCCACTGCTGGACTGGCTCTCTTTCAAGCACCCGGGCTAGCCCTTGAACTGCCACGTCCAAAATCCGCCGAAGACACACCTTCATTCGTGCTGGTATCAGGAGGAGCAACAGGTACCGGAACAATGGCCACTCAGCTTCTCAAAATGTAAGTGGATTACTCCTTTCCAATATGTACAAGTATGATATGTTGCACAAGCAAGTGGTATTTCTGAGTTATCTCACTAACTCGAACATGTACAGAGCCGGATATACACCAATCGTCACCTGTTCACCTGCCAATAATGCCATATGCGAGAGCTTCGGTGCCGCAGCATGCTTTGATTACCGCTCGTCTACATGCGGCGCCGACATCCGCGAGTATACCGCGAACAGCCTTGTCTCTGTCTTCGACTGTGTGACCGACGCATCGACGATGCGGATGTGCTACGAGGCGATTGGTTCTTCTGGTGGCAGATATGTCGCGCTCGAAGCTGTTAGCCCTATCGTCAAATACACGCGACGAGATGTCCGTGCCGACTGGTTGATGGCTCCTACAATTATGGGAACACCAGTTGAAATTCCGGGCACTTACGGACGCCCTAGCACCCCTGAGCACCGAGCTTTTGGATTGAATCTGTTCCTCCTAGCAGACAAGTTGCTGAACGAAGGCAGGATTAAGAATCATCCTTTGGAAATTAGGGCGGGAGGTTTGGCGAGTATTCCTACGTACGTAAACGATCTACGTGTTGGGAATGTACGTGCCAAGAGGCAGGTGGTTCCGTTAGTGGACGCATAGACACGGTTCAGAACATAGTTCTCAGGCATATTCATGCTTGCTCGTCCAAATCAGCTTATAGAGGAAGGTGGTAGACTTGAACTCTTAGTTTTATAGAATGGTTCTTAGCGCAAACAATTCTCTTCGATGTGTGAGGAATACAAGTGTCTGTGGGAAACTTAGCAACATTAGAATATATGTTTTACCTCACTTTGAGGTCGACAGACTTTGGCATTCTAGTAGACCCGTTAGAAAGTAAAGTTCTCTGATGTGAACCCCAGACAGAAGATTGGCCTCGCCAATTTAGTTAATATTCCTTGTGTAATAAGAAATCCGAACATTCACGAATAGAGGCAGAGAGGACTCGGAGAAGTGGACCTAAGACCATCACGGTCAACAATGAAAGCTTTTCAAACGATTTTATGTAGTCATTTATTGAGAATGAACGTTAAACGGTAAGTCGTATATGTCAGCATCACTTATATTGTAACCTGAGCCGTTTTAAAAGTGTCCAGATATATTAGATCACCCTTTGTACTCTTAGCTCGAGTACTTGAGTAGCACCGGCAAGTGCACCGAGACGACACATGCTCGTGATCATAGATTAGTGGAGATTAGCGAGTAGCCGCCGAAACGTGTATATTTTTAAATAGAGATCTGCTGTATTACTTGACACTAGTCCCGTCTCGAGGCAGTACTTGATATTGTCTGGTCTGTACACAATACGGACCGTAAACACACATTTGTACAATCATTGATTACAACTGTCGGAGTCCTGCGTTATAAATATCGATGTTCACTATACATAAGACTAAGCACAAACAAGGCGTTGAACAAGCCAGCATGTGATTGGACAGTGAATATATAAGACGGCTGATACTATACTAAATTCTTGCTATAGAGAGATAGGGGCGCTAAGTGATTACCTTGCAGCTCCACGAGCGGCAATGGCCGTCGGCATCCATCGCAAGGGACTATGGGTAGGCCCGCAGTGGGACCTCCTTCTAGTACCATAGTACGTCGGATGTCTTGCAGACAAGTTGTAAGCTTATCGACAAGGATGTCTTATCAAAGCTGGGATATTTCCTTGAGCCATATCAGAGCCGGGTATCCAGGACCCTGGTTCATGCACCCTATAAGCTAGTCTAGAATATTATAGAAAGACTTGCCAAGAACGAACAAGCCAAAGCCGTGAGATACTTAGTCATGCCAATATTGGCTTGCAGGACCAGAACTACCCCTGAGTCGATTAACCGAACATAGATCGACAGCTGATTCTTGACCCTGTTTCTGACCCTGTTTTGAGAAAATGCAGGGAGTCCATATACTCCACAGTGTAACTCCAATAGGCTTGGTGCCATCCGTATGTTTACCAGATTCAACCTCACTCAGCATATGTGCCAGGGTAGTCGAGTCACAAGCAAGTTTTGGCTCCGCTTGTGGATGCCTAGTTCAGAGCTATCTCAACCGATATCGGCTAATACATTAGACAATCTTGGGAACGCCTATCAAGTCTAGGTTCGAATGTGATATATCTGATTAAGGGGTCATTCGAAGACTTGGCTTCTTAGAGACGTGTTTCAATTACGAATCGGCAGTTAGCTAGCCTGTGAAGGAGTCTAAGTAATTCCGAACCGCATCGCTCGCGATACGTAGGACAGTTGCCTCTGAGTGGCTGTATCGTAGATACGGCTGTATGCATGTCTTCATCACGCATCAAGGCAAGCTATGCTGGTCAAGAAACGAGTCTGTGATACTCGTGCCCTTGTTGACCTTAGTTTATGAGATCAAAGCAAAGATTCTATGCAATCGGCTCTTCAACTGCATCCTTAGTCAGATCATTGTTGCACAACGAGGCTTCGGGGTTTCAAGACATTTGTAGATATTCTCCGACTTTACATTAATTCTACATATGAACTCCTTCTTCTATCCCAGCTTGAAGATCCTGAATCACCCCACCGAGCTTGACATGTTCATCAGTCATACTTCTAAGCATGACTTGAGCAGAATCGACAACACCTTGTAGGCTACCGACTTCTCCACCCCCAAGCTCATGTTGGTCCGAGTTCCTTCGGCTCCCTGTTCGAAGACTACGACCTATGCGATTGAGGAGATGCATGATAAGCTGCAAAACCATGATGAATTGCGCGGAGCACGAGCCAGCACCGTGCAATGTCTGTTGCTGCAGCTCAATCCCCTGGGCTATTGATCCTGAGGAACATTTGATAGATCCACAGATTGCGCGAAAGAGGCCGAGGACGTACTGATAGGCGGCTAGAGCCAGAAAAGTTGGTAGCTGTTGTTGACTGCTATCGCGGGACAATAATGAGGACTCATACGTGCTGTCCGTCAGCGGCATACTGTTGATGATGCGCACCAAGGCATTCGCGGTCTCGAATGCTTCATTCACCACAGGTGAATTTACTGTCAATGGCAAAACAATTTCTCCGCACTCCAACTCTCGTGTGGCCCTCGTGGCTCGCTGACTTAACTTCATCAGCTGCTCTGTTAAAGTATCTTTGCTTTCATCTTGAGAAAGTGTTGGCCCGGTTCCTGAGCTCTCTTGGGTCATGCTGTCATCATCGCCGTTGTATGTGAGGCCCGGTCCGTTATTCCAGCTGTACGTGTCGCCATCATCGATACAGACTATGTCCATGTCGAGCGGTGGCAATGGCATCATCAAGTCGTTGATATCGTATCCAGCAACATCCGGAATTGATAGCACCGTTGGGAGATCCTGCTTGAGCTGCGTATTCGCTTTCGGGGATGGGACGTCTTCCCCTTTTGATCGTTTGTTTCTCTGCCTCACTACCATTGGAGTAATTAGTTCTGTGTGTCTAGCACTGTGGATAGACCTCGTGTAATGGAGACACAAGACATACAGCTGTATACACATGGTGCATCCACCTTTGCACATCGGTCGCACGGGGTAAGATGGCCGCCGCCTCCACTACCGGTTGTTGATGGTTCCCAACTCTTGAGGCATCGCACCTTTTGCTGGCGACAACGGTCGCATGAGGATCTTTGAGGGAACATTTGACTAGTGAAGAGCACAAGAGTCAGTATACTTGTTCATGTGTAAATGAAATTATACTTCGTCAAGGTAGTGTGCTCTAGGGAACCTCCCATAGCGGCTATATCAATGCGGTACGGCACGAGACGGAGACGGCTCCACGAGCCGCAGTCGCAACCTGGTCACGGGAGGTACCCATATCGAAGGTCTGTTTACACGTGCCGGTGACTGATTAAACCCTACACCGCAGCAATGCAAAGACACTACTAAGCACTACGTATACGTCGAGATATGGTCCCCTCATGCGAGTCAGAGCACGACTCAGAGAGCTGCAACTGTCCATCATACGAGAATCAGCTGCTCGAGTCAATACCTTGTTGATAGAAGCTTCCACGTACGCGTGTTTCAGAGTCTCCGTGCACCTCAATTACATTGACCATTAGCTGTCTTCTATATACTTGTCTGTATGCGAATGAGAGCTTATGCCTCTCCATGCGGTCTGCGTTTCGCACTATGGCTTCACAACACTACAACAGTGGATAAAACTATCAGAAAGCTTGGTAATCTCATATAGAAGATGTACGCAGGTAACAGACACGTACCCCGGATCGCCGACGTAATAGACCCAGCTACGATCTGACATACATGAACAGTCCGCGGCTGCTCAAGAAACTTAAGGATTATCAAGCGTACAGATGTCATAGAAGTGAGATTAACATCCTAGCTCGGTGACGCTTTTGTAAGCAGCCTGTGACTTCGTGTAGGGGTTTCAGGATGCATTGACTGATAGCAAGTCTAAAGACGTGAGGTTGTCGAGCTTCGCCGAACACGGAACACAACAAATAGAGTGCACGCAGGGGTCTAATGCGTCATGTCATGGGAAGATGAGGTGCAATCGAAGAGAAGGTCGGACGAGGACGGGATGTAATGAAGATCCATTGCAGGGAGCGATTTTGGAGGCGAACATATCGGGCCTGCTGCTTACGTATGCATGTGTATGGATATATATGACGTATTTTTTGTACCACACAGTACATACTATGATTTGTTACAGAGAAACCCTAACGATACCCTAGTAGTCAATTAGTTTGATTGGACTTCTACTAAGGCTCATCTCTACTATAACTCAGCTAGTGACTATCCCTTTACTTTGAGAGTCTAGAGAATCTATAATGCAACGATTAATTAGTCCAGAGGTATAGTGTTTCAATTCACGGTTATCCAGCATAAGAAGTGTGGCGTTATTGACATGTGATTGTGGCTGTGCATCCACTTCCTTCCCGGAGTAATTGATCCACGATATTCATGTTCTCCCACCACGCCCGGCATTCATCAGCATCACGCACTAAACCTCATATATGTCCTGTTATGTCCAACACTGCATCTACCACTGTCTGCCTACACTCGCGACTCGTCCCTACTTGATCCTGGCCCATCGCACTATGTCCAAGGCACACTCGCCGGCCCTCGCGCAAGGCTGCTTCCCCTCACTATGACTACGATGTTTGCCTCGATGCCATGGCGGTCAACGAGAGAGCGCCCTACGAGCACCAGGCTGACAGCATCCCCGTCTGAGGCTCCAGATAAAGGCTTACATGAGGCCCTGGACCTGCGTGATCTTAACAATGCTTTGAAAGCTCTGGTGGACATCTTCCCAGACGTGCAGCCAGAGGTATTTCGTGAAATGCTCATGGCTTTTGGCGATGAGAGCCGACTCCAAGTCGTTACTGAGGCCATGCTGAAGAATAAATCAAAGTTCGTGGCGGGCCGATGGAGGTCATCGATCAATGGTGAAGACGAGCAGAAGGAAGAAGGAACACCTAGCCGAAAATATAAGTACAAGAGCACGAGCGCAAAGGGTACGAGAGAAGCACCTTTGGTGTTGGAAGACCAGTTTAGAAGTAAAAGCTATCGTGATGCTGTCAAGGCGCAGCTCTATCAAGAGTTCAAGAACCTAAGCCGTTCAACCATCAATGCGGTGCTGGCCGAGCACAATTATTCCTATACTCACTCGCGTCCAACACTGTTAGGGCTGAACACCCAATCTTGGCGATATTCACTCACCAAACTCTTCACTCGGAAGAAATCGCCGGGTGTTGAGGATCATCCACTGTTAGAGTGGCACCGGGAGAGCAGAGCTGGCGGTCCAACGACACCTCGTTTGATATCGACAAACAACTTCGAACTGGACAAGGAACTGTACGAGCAACTGATCGAGCCTATCATCGCAACACAAATGGCAGAACAAGTAGCGAACGACCACGAGTTGGCCGAAAAGCTGAATGAAGAGCAAGCCGAAGAACTTGGAGAGATGTACGACTGCGAATGCTGCTTTACATCTTCTACGATAGAGCAGCTCAGTGCATGTAATGAAGACGGCCATTTCATATGCTTTCGATGCATACGACACACTGTGGACGAAGCGCTGTATGGACAAGGTTGGTCGCGGAGCATTGATATTGAAAATAGCAGCCTGAGATGCATGGCTGTGAGCAACGCAGAATGCCGCGGTCGCTTGACATCGCAGTCCCTCGAAATTGCTCTTCGTTCATCGGGCAAAGAGGGGACCGACTCCCTGCGGAAGCTTAATGAGCGCTTCACCACCGAAGCTCTGATCAAGTCCCAGATACCGCTGATACAATGCCCATTCTGTCCATACGCCGAAGTCGACACAATCGCTCTCTCAAAGCCACCATTAGCCCTCTCACTTCGACCTCAGCCGGTGATAGTTTCAATCTCCCTTTTCGGCCTTGCGAATCTTCTCTCCACTATACTACGTTTCGTCTTTCTCTTCATATTCTTTTTTGTCAACCTCAACTACCTCCTCCTCCCGACCCCACTCCCGTTATTGTCTCCGGTCACCGCTTCACTCACTCGCATTGCCCGTAGACGACATGGTCTCCGCTTTACCTGCGGATCGCGTGCCTGCGCTCGCTCTTCGTGCCTCTCCTGCAGCGCCGAATGGCCACCGAACACACTCCACACCTGTCACTCGTCGGCTCTTACATCCCTCCGCACCACTGTCGAGCGCGCCATGGCCGACGCCGTCAAGCGTACATGCCCGCAATGCCATACGAACTTTGTCAAGGAATCAGGCTGCAACAAGATGCGCTGTACGTGCGGATATACGATGTGCTACGTCTGCCGCGATAAAATCGGAACAGAGGGCTATGCACACTTCTGTCAGCACTTCCGGCGCACACCAGGGGCCAACTGTGTGCAGTGCGATCGGTGTGACTTGTATCGGACGGAAGACGAGGAAGCTCTGAGGAAGCGGGCGGGAGAAGAAGCGGAGAAGAACTGGAGAGAGAACAATGCACTGGTCGAAGATGACATCGCCCGGCAGGGGCTCGCTCAGCTGAGGGGTGGAGGACAGATGGTGCTGCGAAGGGCGGCCCTTGAGAGCTTGTTGGACCGTTTCCTGGATGCGGTCATTGCTTAATGAATCTCTTTATGTGGCTTCGTTGGTTGTGCATTATTAGTAGCGTCGGAGTTCAGTGTGTGTGGTTTGGTGTTGATACCCATGTATTGTTCTCGAGATTATGACTGAATTCTTACTTATCACATCCACATGGATCTGGCCCACTAGACATGTGCTTCTGCCCCGCATTATCAGCTCCAGCTTCCCCTCGTTGAGGTTCGTATATTTCAGAGGCACGTATGCAACACTGACCGAACCTATTCATCTTCACAGTTTGCACCTGTCGTATAGGCTCACGCTTTCTTTCTCCATCTAGGTCTCCGTCCTCTGATCCGATAGCACGGTGTGATCTGTCATTCAATCGGTAAGGAACTTGTTCACTCATAGCCTCTGCCGATTATTGGCGATACAGCACATACATCGCACATTTGTATACCCCTTGTTTCACACTCGCACTATCAGTCAGTCGCTTCACATATCCATTCTCATCCTGATATTACCCCTTTCAGGCTAGCCTCCATACACTCACCATATATCCTCGAAACACATACCTCACATACACACCCACCCCCATCCCTTGATCCTTCCCTTCTAATACCTGCTTCCACCATCTCCTAAACCCACTAACCTCACACCCTCCCTCTCCACAGCCCCCCACCAATCCAAAATGTCAACCCCACCCCCCTTCACCGGCAAAACAATCGCCATCACAGGCGCCGCATCCGGCATCGGCCTCGCAACAGCACACTACCTCGCCCGCAACGGCGCATCCCTCTCCCTAGCCGATATATCCGCCTCCGCGCTCGCCTCCGCCGCATCCACGCTCTCCCTCACCCACAGCGCACCACTCATATACCGCGTCGTCGACGTCAGGGACGCAAGCGCCGTGAATGAATGGATAGATGCCACGCTGGAGAAGTTCGGGGCGCTGCACGGCGCTGTCAATGCGGCGGGGACGAACGGGGGGAATCCACCTGCTACGCCGATCTGGGATGTTGATGATGCGTTGTATGCGCGGATTACGGGGGTGAATGTGACGGGGGTGTGGAATTGTATGCGTGCGCAGTTGCGGGCGATGGGGTGTGGGAGGGAAACGGAGGTGGGGATGCCGGGGGAGGGAAAGGGGATGGAGGTCGCGGGGCAGAGGGGGTGTGTGGTGAATGTGGCGAGTATAGCGGGTGTAGCGGGGCGGGCGGGGAGTGCGGCGTACGCGGCGAGTAAGCATGCGGTTGTTGGGATGAGTAAGAGTGCGGCGATGGAGGCGGGGGCGTGGGGAGTGCGGGTGAATGTTGTTGCGCCGGGGTATGTTGATACGCCGATGATGGTGTATATCAGGGATGAGGTTGAGAGGTTGAGTTTGAAGCGGGTTGGCAAGGCGGAGGAGATTGCGGGGTTGATTGGGTGGGTGTTGGGGGGTGAGGGCAGTGCGTATGTTACTGGTGAGTTTTCCTGTGCTGATGATGGATTTCGAAAAGGGGGTGCTGATGTTTGTAGGTGAAGTGTATGGGAGTATGGGTGGGTGGTTCTGAGAGCATGGAAAAGGGGGATAGATGCGTGATGATGAGCGGAGAAGGATTTATTATTCGAGGGCTCGGGGTTGAATCGAAAAGGTCTTTAAGAGCGGTAGAGTGAGACGTACGAGATGTGATCATATTTGTTCATGAGCCATACGAAATACATGAAATGCCATTGATATATCAGACACGTGTAGGGGGTATAATGCGCCAGTAAATGCATGTTCGCGTATCGCTGCAGACGAATGCGCTAGACTGATGGATCGAAACGTGAACATAAATAGTAGAGAGACACAGATGATATAGGGAACTTTTCCGAACTCCGTCTCGTGTCCTGTAAGCCACACCGCGTTGGCAAATGATCATGCCCTCGAGCAAATTACGTAAACGATTACTGTCTCTTAGGCGTTGAGCGACCCTTACGAGGCGTGTTCAGGAGCTTCTGTCCATTACTTCGCATTGAGTTTAACTCCTGTTCAGTCCGGGCCCTCTTCCGGGCCACTTCCCGGTCGCGGTCTCGGATTTCGTCTTCGAATCTCGCCGCTAATTGACGCTTCTCTCTTCGATTGCTGATGACTTGTTTCATGGCATCGGTGAATTTTTCCACAAACCATTCGCCTGCACCTTCCCATTCCTCGAGTTCGAGGGATGACAGGAATGCAGTCTTTTGATCGTGGTTGAACTTTTGTCGGGCATATTGCATCCGGTCCGGCAAAGCTGCGTTCATGAGATTATCTGGAAAGGGTACGACTGGCTCGGCTGGATCATGGTCGAATGACTCCTTCGCCAAGTCAGAGTACGGCTTCTTGAATAGGATTGGTTCGGCATAATCTATCACGAAGGTATCGTCGATATTCTCTTCAGCAGCCTGCTCACGAATGTCACGATCTGGGCTCATAGGGGGCGGTGCTGAAGCTACAACTATAGGCTTCGGCAATCTCTTTGACTCTGGCAGTGGATGCTCCGCCTTGATAAATCTGGGTTGTTTGGCCGTTAAGGCGTTCGTAACCCCAGATACAGTCTCTGGTACATTTTTATTAGGAGGCAGGCCTCGAGCAACGGCATTGGGATTCGGGCGTTGGGCAAAACTAGTGTGAGTCTGAACTCGAGTCTTTGCGGCAGGCCAGTTAGTGGGCGGAACGTCATTCGGTGGCCACGTAGGAGTGTGTTGCAGCTTCATATTCTGCGTCGGCAGACGTTTCGGGCCATTATGTCGGACTGGCTGCTGCAGAGCTGGAGAACCTGTACGTTCTACTAGATCTGCGTCGTTCACAGTCTGCGTCTCTTCGCCGATTGAAGTCGTCGGATAGTCACCTTCGTCATACATCTCGCGGGCTGTCTCCATTATGTCATACATTCCGCCTTTACGCTCATCGTCTTCCACATCGACCTTTTGTGCAAAATGCTCTTCCTCTTCATCGTCTTCGTCGTACTGCGACTCTCCATTTATGCTTGACCTTCCCTGGCTATAGCCATCACTATACATCTCTTGGTTGTCCTGGTGGTGCTGCTGGGCTGGCTCGACGAAATGGAGTTTTTGAGGCAAACGTTGAGGAACAGGTAAATCAAGATTCGTGATGCTACTATCATCCAAGCTACCGATTTCAGAAGCTTCAAAAGGGTTTCTGTGGGCACCGTATGTCGAAGACCCACGGGAAGAAAATAAGCTATTCCTGGCCTGTTGCTGAAGCGGAGGTGGAGGCATTGAATCTTGTATTATCTGAGGCTGATACTGCGGCACATTTTGAAATGCGCGCGGTCGCTCTCTCAAGCCATACTCAGGCTGAGCTGTGTTTTCGCTTTTGAATTCTGGAAGCCGGACATCGCGAGCTGGTGCAGGTTTCGTGCCGAAGGGTGAGCCTGTACGATTGTTCTCCTTCGAAGCAACGAATCTCTCCATTGTGAGGTCAGCACGCAAGCATAATCTGAGAGTGGGATGGTTGCAATGAGTAGGAGTGCGAGGATGTGAATAGATTAAGATGACCCACGCGTTCGAACGCGCTTGAACGCGCACTCACGTTTTACGCTAAGGCTTATCGATAGGGCGGGCAGATTTACCCCGGATTCCAAACAACGCTAATTCACTTCTCCTTATCTCCGGCTGGTAGTCGCATGAAGAATCGTCACCATGTACGCTTCACCACTCTGCGCTACAATGCTCTCTTCAACTTCTTCAACCTCATTCTCCCGCAATCACCTTGTCGCTCAGCATAACGAGCCATCTCATAATCCCCCTTCATACACTCCATAAACCGTCCACACACCTCTATCCCACGCTATACAACGCTATATACACAAACATGGCCTCAAAACCCCCTCAAACTCAACACACAAGCCCCCTCTACACCCTCCCAAACGAACTCCTCCTCGCAATCCTCTCCACCTTCCGCACACCCACCCTCCTCCCCTGGACACTCACATCCCGCCGCTTCGCCTCCCTAATCTGCCGCCTCATCCGCACACGCATGCACACCCTCTGCACCAGCAAAGCCCACACTCTCCTCCTCGAACTCTACCCTCCTTCAGGCAAATACTCCGAGCCACACCTCTACTGCACACCCCTCGGCACCCCCGGCCTCGACGACACACTCTGGCTCCCCGACGTCGCCTATCCAGACACCCACGAGCGCCCCTTCGCATCCCAATTACACGCAATGCGGCACCTCTACACCTCCTTTGTGCCTAGGCGCGAGATGTCTGATTCCTCACAGCCGAAACCACGGCATCCGGCAGGCGACGTACCGGGCTCGCGCACGCATCCCGCGACGGCGGATAAGCCGCAGCGATACGCTGCCACCGAGGCCGAGATGCAGGAGACGGTGCGCAAGGTTCTCCATCTGGATAGCCATGAGCTGTTCACGCAGCTGTGCGCGAGCATTCAGTTGATCCAGCTCGGGCCGCGGAAAGGAGTGTATACGTCGTGCGTGCTTGTCGAGGAAGGCTTCACGCGGCTGTTCAGGCGCTGGCTGGGCGAGAGATGCGTGCGTGGACGGGGAGTCACAGAGGTCGAGCCGCGAGCTCTGCACACACTTGATGTGTCTGGAGATCCGGATATTACATGGTTGGGTCTGAACAAGACTATTGGATTCCGGTTTGGTGTGGCTGAGAAGGATATTTGGCGGGAGCCGCGCGTTGTGTTACTACCGGGGGAAGACCCGCCTGTGAGCTATGAAGTCGAGTACCGAGAATTGCTAGTACAAACGAGCAAATTACTGCTTAAGTTTGAGCAAAGCTTTATGCAGTCAGAGAATAACACGAACAAGGCGGTTGTATTTGGACAGTTTGAGGCGTCAAACAGGTATGTAGACACCCCTACAGCATGATTGTCCGGTTGAGCTAGACGGCTGATTAACCAAAGTTAACATCCGAAATTGATGTTTCTATTCACGAACTCGTCTGACCCAGTTCGAATCTTGCTAGTTCTATAGCGTTGGTTCGAAATGCTGAGTTGTATTACTCACTTCGAGGGTGCTAGCGCTGGGAGTGACCGGTAGCCGAAGTCGTAGGCAGAGGATCGTTGAAACTGTTTCGGGACGGGCAGTGGAGCTTTTTTCGGGCGCGGAATGCCATTTCGGGTTGGGATCTTGGAGTCCTGGCGACGGGTGAGGTTGATGTGACGGAGGATTGCAAGGCAAGGGATGGTCGGATGAGAGAAGAGCTGACAGCGAGAGTGAGTATGATTGTGATGACTAAGGCGAGTTTCATGACAAGATCGAGAAAGATTAATACAAGAATTGCAAGGATTGTCGCGTTCAATCCGGTTTTCGCGAGATATTGGAGTCAAACATGATATGCGGTGCTTGGTCACCGTGGATTCTGATTCAAACCATCCGCTCCGTGGCCGACTATGGAACTAAGTCTTCGAACGTTGCCAATGCGCCCGGGCCAATATGCATACATACTGCAATGGATCCTCTTGTCCGTTGAACGCCCGCTTCGGTAAATCCGTTCGTGTTTATACAAAGATATATCAGCATCGTGGTTGTGATGTTACCACCCGAAGTGTTGTTCACCGCGGTCCCTCCTTGGCCCACCCCTTGCCCCTCATGCTCTCCTCAATCGCGCTCCACACGCTCTCCATGACCTCTCTATCCCTCCATCTGCCGTGCGTTCCCTGTGTATTGTTCCACTTATCCAGTTGAATGGTAGCGACGCTCCTACCCCAGCCCTTGACTGTATCAGGAGTACTGTCTCCTCTCCAACCCACATATATACCTAGAGCGTGACCGAACAGCTCCATTGGCTGTGTCCACTTGTAGCTCTTGAACTGCCATGCCTGACCCGTTGTGAAGACTGCAACGACCCGCGACCAGTAGTCCGGCTTGAATTGGTCTGAGCTGTCTACGAGAATGAAACGCATCGGTCGCGCGGGGTCGATGCTTGGGAGTGTGCGCTCAATGTGGAGGATATTTACTGACGCATTGGCGGTGTCAGGAGGTATATATAGACCTTCGCCGAGAAAGGAACGGACATTCGACATGCGGAGGAGGGAGCTGGCGGAGGGCGAGATGAGGATGATCGGTTCTATTCTGCGATGGGGCTTCTTGGGATTTAGAGGGAGCGATGGCGCCATGCCGGCATTTGGAGGCGCTTGACCTGGCTTTTGCTTCGAGTGGTGCAGGAATACTGCAGCTGATTTGCGCACATGCGAGAAGTCCTGGAACTACGTCAGTCCTGCATCTCAGATATGTCGCGGGTTACAAACCGTCGGCTTAATTCCTCTGAGACAGCTATTTCTGTCTCCCATCTTCCTCTCCGCACTATAGATCTCCAGTAACCGTGAGTCCACCTGCTTTGGGCCCTTTGCAGCCTGACCCGCTGAGGGAACGGTCGCAACACCACCAGCCGCACCAGATGCTACGTCGGCCGATGCCTGAGCCGCCTCCCCATCAGCAGCAAGAGGTTTTATATATTCACTCTCATCGGATGCACCTTGAAGCCACGCAACCAAATCAAGCTTTTGTACAAATTGCAAGTTCTGTACTGCTGCTACCGCTCCGCTCTTTGCCAATTCCTCATTCAGCTTCCGCGCCTCTCCCACATATTCTGGAATTGCGGCATCCTTCTTGATCCAAGCCAGATAGATGTTCCGCAGGTCGACTGGGTTTCCGGATACGACGAAGCGGGTTGGTGTGGTGAGAGGTATCAGGCGCTGCTGGTTGTCGTGATTGAACTGGAGATGGGTTGCTTCTGACAGAGAGGCCACGATGTCACCCGTCGCCGTGCCGTCGCTTGACTTAGTGAGAAACGGCGCCGGGCCTTTAGCGATGGCTTCACGCAGCTGGAGAAGCGGGTCGAACGAAGCCATGGTGATTGGGATGGAGGTGGTGCTTGTTACAGCTGTGATATAAAAGAAACGCGGTGGATGCGCGACGCTAGCATCCATTATAGATCCATGCACTGTGCACCCGGCGGTCGGTACGGGTACTTAGCAGATTAAGCCACGCACCCCTCTTTGGGACTAGTCATGCCTGCTCCGTATGTGCCGCTCCTTGCAATGTAGAAGGCTTGAAGGGTTGTTTACATTCAGGTGCTCCATCCCAGCAGTGCCAATACTCGCACATGACAATATTCTTAGCTATCACAAGACAAAAATCGGGAATGCGTCTAACGTTTAGATGATGTGTGTCTTTCGGCGACTGTGCATAGGACAGTATCCTTTCCCGCCGCTCTTATGCTTCGGACTCAATGGACACAACGGAGACCCGGGCAAGTGCTCTGGTAAATCCCATTCATGCTGTCTCATCGGCCCCGTACTGTCTTCTTCTTCCATTCCTTCTTCGTCATCATCTTCCTTGGAGTCTAGCCTTACTCTGAACCAATGTACGCCATCCTTAGGAACAGATCTGGCAGGCAAAAGTGGCCGCACCTCTCCACTTTTGCGTGGTATCTCGTCTTGAGACATGAGCAAGTCATCGCTGTTCCAATGCGATGTTGACTCGGCAGGATAGCGGTCGCCCAGATATTGCGACATGACTTTCGACTTCGTTGCAAGGTTCTTTTGGGCTGCCAAAGATACCTTCGCCGTCTGCGCCTCTGATCGTGATCTCTCCATTGAGAAATAGCTCGTCTTCCTGCGGCCAGTGCCCAAACTGGATCGGATGTCGGTGGCGTCCCCAGGCTCTATACTTACTTTAGTAGCCGGCGAAGTTGCTTCACTATCAGGCCTTGTGCGCTGCTGGGAAGATCCGAAGGCTCGCCATAACTTTAGAGGAAGCTGTGGCCGTGTGTTTGACTGTATCAGTGTTCGATTAGCATTGGATATTAGATAACGGACACATGTCCCTGCAACTTATTACCTTTGACCGCATCAGTACACCAGGCACATCCACCTTGTGTTCCTGACGAGTCAAGGCTTCTTCCAGTCCGTCAGCTCCATCATTGTCGGGTATTGGTTGTAACTTGGATTTGGACTTGAGTGAAGCCGTTGACACTTTAGTCTCGATGGAAGTTGTAGATTTGCCGGAGTGTGCCTCAGGCACGTGAGGCTTCCATGTTTGAGCACATTGATCTGAAGAAACTTGCGTATTATCAGATAGTCCAGCTTTAGACACATCCCACACGGCCTTTGTGTCGAGAGAGGGGGCTGATGTACTACAGCGTCTCTCAGGTAAATACGGCTTCCATATATGAGAGAAGGGATTTGAAGAGGCTTGTGTGTTGTCGCATTGTTCAGGACTTGATACATTCCACGCTTTCTTCGGGTTCATAGAAGGGGTCGATGTGCTAGAGCGTCTTTCTATTCCAGGAGGCTTTAACATGGATACTGTTGCCCCAGCTGATACACTAGACCTTCTCACGGGGCGTCCTGCATTATGAAATGATGCCAGTGGCAAAGGGGACGCAGACTTAGGGAAGAGCGACTCCGAGGACTGCGGTCTTTTGACCCCTCGTTGGGGCGACATCATTGGAAGCCAGGCTTTAACAGTTGGTCTATGGCCAGACTTGGGCTGGACAGCTGACAAAGGGGTTGGCGACCCGATCAGGGATGACTCTTCACTATTGGGAGTGGGTTTCCTTCGCCTTGTATGCCGCATAGAGTCCCGGCTCACGGACCTAAGATGCTGTGACTGGGTCTTGTCTATGTTGCATATTAGATCAGTATGGATGCCAATCTTGATAGATTTTGTACATACCGGAGAATCCTGCCGGTGTAAAAAGACCGCTATCAAAGATAATCTGGGGGGTCTCGCTGATAGATTCCAATGCAGGCATTTGTAGGCTGAGATTTGACGGTGGTTGAGGCTTTGTCGGTGTAGGAACAAGTCCGAATGTAATGGGTTTCAACTCACTCAAGTCAATTTTCATTGGCCACCTGAGTTTAGACTCGGACATCTTCGTGGCTGTACTTGCTTCTGTTGGCAATGCAGCTTCGGGTATTGGTATGACAAATGTGTGCTTCTGTTCAGGACTATCCCCCTTATTCTGCTCCTCCGCCACATTCAGATTATCATTAAAAGGAGAACTTCCCATAATCTCGTTGCGCAGTCGAAGTTCCTCGTCTGAGGGACGGTCCTCTGTACTGATCTTTTCTGACTTGCACAGCTCGGCCTCGTGGTTGACCTGCCGTATATGTTGCGACCTGGACATTCCTGACGGCGATGTGGCTTTGTGACGCTTTGCTGCTAGAACTGGTTTTGAAGGGAGCTGAGGGAAGAGCTCTCTCTTGACCCTCTCGAAAGTCGACCTCCTTCGTGGCTTCGGGGGCGTTTCGGTGGCGCTAAACTGCGGCAATACATGACGGATCCCTCGAACAATGCTAGACGCTGACGACGCAGTTGTGCCAACGCTCCCAAGTGATACCTGACTTGGTATTGGGGCAAGCATGTTCTTGTCCGGCGCCAGATGACTTTTGGATATGGGATCTTCCCAAAAGGGATTTTGAAACCCCACAGTAGGTGTCATCAAGTCGTACTCTTGACTTGTATCGGTATCATTCACATCAGCAACAACAATCTGTGGGAATTCGGATACAACCTCAAGGTTGTTCTCTTCTGGCTTCGTTTCTGAGAGAGATCGAAATTCTCTGGCCTCGGTATCCCGCAATCCTAGGACTATCGCCATGACCGACTTTCGTCGCGACGGGCGCACGGTACTCTTTTCACTATCCCTGGACTCCATAGACAATGCCGATTTCCGTCCAGAGGGGATGCTTATGTCGCTGTCTCTTGAGTCGATGGACAAATTTGATTTTTGTCGCATCATCGAATTTCGTTTCAGGGCTGGATTTTGCCCAATCGAACTGCTAAAATACGTCTCGCTATCGGCAAGCGTCATCTGTGCGGTCGTCTCCGATTGTGATATCTGCGGGAGAGACTGACCTCGCAGCTCCGGTGAGAGTGGACTGGGCATCCCCGCAGATATACTTTCATCGCGTATCAATCCCTCTTCTTTTGTGGTATCATTGTGAAGTTCGGTATCAATCGTAGCTCCCCGTCGAGAGGGCGGTGAGCAATACGACTGGACGGACGAGACCACTAAGCATTGAGATCTGGATGAGCTGGTGTCATCAACTGGCATCCACAAAACCGACGTCGGGTCTGCAAGTGAGTGTAAGTGGATGGTGTACCGCTCGAGGTCCCAATGTTTGCCAATCTCGCAGGAAGGAAGCACGACACCGTAGAGTGAAATATTTCAAAGAGTCCAGCTTCAGACACTGAAAACCTGAGACTGACCGTGTTGGGAGCCTGTATGGGTTATTATGTCCAGCTCGAAGGATGTCTGACTTCAAGGTGAGTCGGTATAAATATTGTGGCTGCAGGACGTATGGACAGATATATATCGCAGGAACGGATAGGTGAAGAGTCTTAGGTGGTTTGGGGGTTCGTATGGCAGTAATTATAAGGAGAATCGTGAGGATGCAAAGGCTCGATTAGACGCACGAGAAGTTAGGTCATCGGACAAGCTCCGCCCTCAACCTAAGTATTTCCAAGCTCGGAATAAGGCAGCGACGGCTGATGATGCCTCACAACCGAGCCCTGGAAGTACGACTATCGAGGTCACATGAGGGCGTCTACTACAGCAGGCGCTGGTGTCAATGCGGGAGACAATCGCCTAATCATCTATCTTACACTAAGCAAAAGCGGGCGATATATGAGGAGGTTGGATAGCGACTGTTATTTTATAGGTTTTTGCGATATAGAGGGCCCCCTTGTTCCCTCAGGCGAGCTGCTGCTTGTTCAGGCGTGATATCACGTTGAGGCTCGGCCATCAACTCATAACTGGACTGTTTAGCGATAGTCACGTATGTGTATAGAGAACCGACATACCCAACGAGGAACTTTCGAACCGTAGCACTACGTAGTAAGGGTGGGTAGAAATGTATGTGGAAGTGACTAGCCTCTATTTCCTCTTCTGTACCTTGTAACGGTGCCTGGTGGAGTCCCATGCCTAAAGCAGTCAGCGAGCAAACGCCGAGCAGCAGTGGGAGTCAACAAATTGTAACTCACTGTACGGGAAGTGACACTCAAAGAGGTTGTCATAACGTCTTGTAGTCTCAGATATACATTCAGCGAGATCCATCTGCTCCTGCTCGTTGAAATCTACCAATGCACGCTTATGTTGCTTGCTGAGGATCATGGTCTCGAAGGGCCAAACAGCCCACCATGGGCAGAGTACCAGAAATGAACCATTTTCGAACACAATACGCTCTTTCTTCATCGATTCGAGTAGAGCGTAATCCTCCAACATATGGGAACCGCCCTGCTCTCGTCGATATTTCTTGAGCTGCTCCAGTTCCAGACCCGGCTCTTCAGGCATGCCGGTGGTTGTCCATATCTGGCCATGGGGATGGGGATTTGAGCAACCCATGGCAGGTCCCTTGTTTTCGAAGATCTGCATGTAGCGATACTGAGCATTTGGGGCGGTGATACTGACATTTGGTCCACGAGGCATTCTAGTAGTGGCTTGGGCCACTTGTGATAATGCAGACTCCGGTGATAGATGTGCTGTGTATATCTGTGTCCACGTCTGAACGATGGGATGAATTTGAGCTGCGGACAAATCTGCCAGGGTGAGATTGTGTGCACGGTTGAACGTTAGTACATAACATTTTCCAGTCACAGATTCGGCGCGTAGAAGTCGATTTGTGAGACCTACGGTTTGGTGTATTGGCATGAGCTGTCATAAGAGCATGAGCAACATACCTCCGTCCTGATCTTCAGATTGATATGGAGCTTGCTCCTCCTTGACAGCGCTATAGTCATTCACGAATACGAAGGTGCTCTCGTAGTCAGGATTTTCGTCCCCAGCAGCGCGTTTATTTCGCGGGCAAAGGTAGCACTAAAATGGTCAATACTCATATATCAATGCTGTCATAAAATCATACAGATGGATCATAGTCGGGCAGCTCAGTCTGCTTAGCTGGCTCCTGCTGACCTCTGGATATGGTCAGTACTTGGCGTCGTCCCACAGATGATGTCGCAACGGAGCATACTGCCAAGGTCTCTTCGTCCGGTGTGGAGAAACCAGAATCCAACTGCCCCTCAATGGATTGTACCGTCGATGGGAGATATCGTCCAAGATTGCATCAGGCATACTGTAGAACGGCTGAGCATGAAATCTGGAGACGTGAAGACGAGGAGTGGTTGTCGTAGAAGTGAAATAGCATTTAAAACCTGCCAGGTTAATTATTATTAATTACATGACAAGCGGGTGGATCCTTGAATTGCCGATACGTCAGACCCCAATTCGGATCGAAGCTTGAATGTTCAGCCTTATAGTATTGTTTGCCTCAGGCACGCAGGAAGTTCTAGCTCCACCTGGCTTGATACCTATTACCTAGTTGTTGATACGAGTTCATAACTCCCAGTCACAGGTCTACCACCTCGCATCATCGCATATCCGACATAACACCTAACCTTGCGCCATGGCGGCAATGATGCCCAGCTCCTCCACTTCTGGGGGCATCGCCTACCCACCCTATGACAACGATGCTGTCGAGCGAGACCTGATCGATCCTGATGATGGTGTGTTACCTACTCCTAGACGCTTTCAGACGAGACGAGACTGACGTAGATTAGCTACATTAGACGACCTTGATGACCCAATTGAGAGCACATCGGATCGGGCGCCTTTGACAGGAAACATGCAGTCTCAGCAAGGTCGACGAGATACGTCAAACTATTTAACTTCTACCATCCCAGGAGAGGATCGTCGCGCGCCAACGAATACTATTGACGAGACAGTATGGGAGACGCTATCAAGAGATCTGCTGGCCGTGTGGGAGAAGATGAGACAGGTTCTATGGCCAAAGTACCTGCTCGGAGGCATGCTGCAATCCGGTGGTGGTATAGGCGCTGCTGAGCGCGGAGAATCAGATGGCCCTTCCGGGATCAGGGGCATTGCGGGCAGATGGCCGGATGCCGAAATTGTACTTCAAGGGGGTATGAGTGAAGGGCTGCGCGATTGGGATCTGTGGTGCGTCCTTGTTACGTGCTCTGTGGGTGACGCATACTGATAGCCAGCAGGGGTCCTCTGCTGTTTTGCATCCTGCTCAGCTTCTTCCTCTCCAGAGGCGCCTCAGACAAGCAGAAGTCCTTGGTGTTCTCGGGGGTCTTTGCAATGGTGTGGATCGGTGAGGCTGTAGTCACTCTCCAGATCAAGCTTCTAGGGGGCAACATGTGAGTTCAGACCGACTAAACCTGAGAACTATATACTAAGTGCAGACAGCTCGTTCTTCCAATCCGTATGCATTATCGGATACACGTTGTTTCCGCTAGTTATCGCCTCCATGCTCAGCGCACTGAATCTCTGGTACATTATCCGCATACCAGTCTACATTGTTCTTGCTGCATGGTCGATGGCTGCCGGGATCAGCATTCTTGGGGGCTCCGGTGTCATCAGGAATCGCGTTGTTTTGGCAGTATACCCACTATTTGTTTTCTATCTAGGTTTGGGTTGCTTATGCTTCATCAGCTGAGCTTTCACGGAGCGTTTCAAACTCTCCCACGCTTTGTAACTCTATTGCCCTCTGTATAAATGCATCCGTATGTATTGGAGCTTCGAAATCAAAGCCTCTCATGGTCGACCGACCGACTGCGTACACCACAATTTTGAAATCTGTATATTAGTGTTGTAAAAGCCAACAAAGACGAATGAAACCTTTTTATTCTAAAAAAAGACTTGTTCTGAATGCTATCGCGTGCCTAAGGTTGGTGTATTCTGTCTTGTGGGTCCGGCGCACCGCGTCCAGCCTATCTGGTCGCGCCCCGCCTCCCTCTTCCCTGGACAATTTAATCTCAATCTGCCTCCAGCCGCCATACCGCCATACTGACATACTGCAGGCATTCAGAATACAAACGCCGCACCTTCACACACGGACGTGACGCTCTGTTTTGCAAAGCTCTCAGCGTATCAGCATCTCCTTCTCGTTGCTCTAGGCCACCCTGGCTGTCAATGCGACCACCGTTTTCTCGCCTCATCTCGTAAAGTCAACGACGAGCTGAGTGTGTCCACTCAAGTCGGCCGCATATCACAGCAAACAGCAATCACTTGCTCTTCAGATTTCTATACCTCACATAGGCCATACAGCTTTGTCCATAACAAAGCGCCGCTCGTACTGCTCATCCTCACGACGGACGACAACGCATAACGTTTCACACTACAAAGCCCCACTGCGAACATCCTTCGCCGTTCAAGATACGAGAGAAAGAGACAACGCTTTGTTCGATTTTGGATACAGTTGTTACACAAAATCTGCTTTCCTTGTTTCTTTTCACTATTCAGCACGCAGATATTCGCCATGCCCGGCTCACCGCACTCATCCTCTGCCGACATACACATGCCCTCGTCGTCGGCATTGCAGGGTCTGCCCTTGAAATCCGACGCTGGAGAAAAACCTGTTCGGGAACAACTGAAGAAAACGACCATTGCAGGCTCCAGGCCCAACACGGCAGGAGAGGATACTACAATGGCTTCTGATCAAGCTTCGCTGCAACGAAAGAGGGGGCATGAGGATGAAGAAGGAGACAGTAGCAACAATTCCGAGCCTGAACGTCATGTACGCAAGAAATCCAAAGATCTATCGGGAAGCCCGCGAACAACAGCTATTGATAATGATGGACCTGTAGCAGCAGAATTTCACCAAAACGGCATACAAACAGGCACTTCAGAATCGCACAACGCCATCCAGGCCAGCGAAATGGATACTGCTAGCCCTGCAACTCCTCCATCTGGTCCTGTGAATGAGGATATCTGCAACACGCTTACTAGCCCAAAGAACAAGCGTCCCCATGGGGACGCCTTTGTACAAGACAAGAAACCTAACATTGCGGAACCCGAGCCCAATGTTCCTACGGCCAGTTTGACTGGCGCTGATGAACTGAAAACCGCCGATGCTATCACAAACGCCTCTGAGGACGAGCGACAGACCAAACGACAGAAGGACATCACCGATACGACCGAAACCCTCTCAAAGACTTCGGTGCCCCAAAAAGCAACGGAGAAGCCGGCACCTGGTTTATCAAGTACAGCAGCGTCACCATTCGGCACTGCTATAGTAAGCAAGTCACCTGATATAGACGAACGTCAGACTTCTTCAAGTGCTTTTGCTGCCTCAGGATTTGGTGCATTGGCGAGCTCAGCCTCCCCGTTCGCAGCTTTCAGCACCGCGAAAGCGACCTCACCATTTACTGCCAGTGCAGCCAAACCGCCCCCTCCTATCACTGGCTTTGGTACTGGTCTGGGTGACAGCAGCGTAGCTTCCCCGTTCGCGGCGGTCACTGGCGGCAAGACCGCTTTCGCGGGTGCTAAATCTCCCGGATCAGGATTTGGTGGTCTTAGCGGAGGATTCGGAAGTGCTATCGGGGGTAGCCCTTTTGCCGTTGCAGGCGCGTCAAAGTTATCAAGCTTTGGCAGTGGAAGCGCTCCGCCCATCGTCGGACTAAGCAGTAAGCCAGCGAAACCATTTGGCGCTCAAGCAGACGATGAAGAAGAGGATGAAGATGGTGATGAAAACGGGGACGGCGAGGACGATCCGGAGGCTACCAAAACATCCAGCTTCCAGGGCGAGGAGAGAAAGGACAGTCGCTTCTATGAGCGAGAACGTTCGTCTCACCCTGTTCCGCTTGTGAGCCACGATCTGGCTAGCTAACATGATCTTCAGATGAAACTGGCGAAGAGGGCGAAACCACCTTGTTTGCTGCGAGGGCCAAAGTCTATCAATTTGTGAAGCTTGAAGACGGCAAAAAAGCATGGCGGGAACGAGGCAATGGCACATTCAAGTTGAATGTCAACCGGACAGAAGATGGGATTACGGCCCGCTTCATCATGCGCGCAGACAAATCGCACCGCCTTATCCTCAACACCCCCTTCAAGAAAGAATTGAAGGTTGGAAACCCGGCGGGCGACAAACCGGGCTCTCCCTATGTTTCATTCTTAGGTACACTCGACGGCAAGCCGGAATTACAAATGCTTCAGCTGAAGGTATGTCTTTGGGCGTCACTGGTTTGGGGAGACAATTAACATGCAGATAGATACGGGAAGGACCACAACCCGAGCTGATCGCAAACGAATTATGGCAGACTGCCCAAGATTTGAGAGAGGAGATGTAGACGCTGCTTGTACTACAAAGATGTGTGCAGCAGCAACACCTCACTTCTTGATGAAAGTTGCTACGCTCTCTATGATGGTGAATTGAGCTCAATGGCACCCATACGAATCTCCTTGCGGAGTTATGACTGAGCCCTGCTCGTCTCCGCTCCATACCTTTGAAGGTAGCATAGCTTGCGCGTACATCTGGGAAAAGGTTGAACAATTACATTCTCCTCGAGCTGGGCGCGGCTGATTTGTTGCATTGAGCGAAGCAAACGAATTAGATGGATCGGTGTCCCATATGTCACTTTGTTTGGCGGGCATGGTAGAGATTGAGATTCGGGCACCATAGTGTTGTGCCGAGCTTGTATGTATGTATTGTCACCAGTGACTTTCAAGCAATGGCGTGTGTACTCGTGGTCCATCGTGGGCTGACCAGCATTTCCCTTCTGATAGATTTGTCGTGACACCGTTATTATGCACTGATACATATAACGAACCTATTTATTTCGCATCTCCAGTCCACGAAAGCCTTCCGTGCATACATACATAGTAGCCCAAGCCTACCATCTCACTTGACATAGTCGCCCCAAACACTCACCATCCACACCATACTCCCCACACTGACACACACCGGCCCCGCCAGCCCGGCACCCCACCTCGTCGTCCCATACACCAACCACTCGCTCGCAAAGTGCCCGAAGGCAACCACGAAGCTCCACAACGCCAGCTCATATATCGCAGGCTCAGTGATATGATACGCAGCATACAGTCGCACAAGGCTTGTTATAAACGTCCAGGTGCCAAAAGTGCGCGCTGAAAGCGGTGTGACGGGTGAAGCGGTTGGATTCGTGGGCGTGGGAGAAACACCGGAGTAGACTCGTTTGGTGAATTTCAGGGTCGAGTAGGACTGGATTGAGTTTCCGATTGATGTTACTGCGACCTGGAACTGGTGTTAGATCATGTTGGGCGTCTATTGGGGGTTCTGGGAGATCATGCTCCGGGGTCTGGTATGGAGGGAGACTTAGGGGACGTACGAGGAGGAGCCATTTGGGTAGGAGACCTTGAAAAGGTGGGAGGTATGAGCTGACGTGCTCCATGGTTTTGGAATGAAAGTCTCTGGATTTGTCTCAACTGACGAGCGGGTAGTGCGGATCTCCAGTGCGTCGAGATGTCGGTGTATAATCAGATGAAGTGCATTGAATCCCGAGAAGGATCAACAAGGTACCAGAAAAGGACATAGCGTGTGGAGCGTGTCTCTAGTGGACCCTGATGACGGACCCTGGGAAGTGCTTAAGTAATTTTGAGCTGCTGAGATGCCACATCGGAACATCCTCAACAATTTTCCCACACCACGCAATTGACAACATAATGGCTTCATTCGATATTCCATACCTCGAGAAAGCTCTCGCAAAGGTGGGCATCCACGTCCAGACGGACAATGCCGCCGCCAGTACCTTGTTGATTGGTGCGTTTGTGCTATCGGCATACTACATTGCCAGCCCATTCATCAGCTACATCAGGCTACTTTTGAGCTTGTTCGTACTGCCAGGAACATCCGTAAGTCATCTCTACTGCTACTAGTACTTGTTCACTGACGTTCTTTAGCTCTCCAAGTTTGGCAAGAAAGGCTCATGGGCCGTGATCACCGGTGCCTCCGATGGCATCGGCAAAGAATACGCCCTACAAATTGCCCGCAAGGGCTTCAACATCGTCCTCATCTCGCGTACTCAGTCCAAGCTCACTGCTCTTGCCGAAGAGATATCCTCGAAATACAAAGTGGAGACTAAGACTCTCGCCATGGATTTCAGTGCGAATCTTGACGTTGATTTCGACCAGATGCGTGCCTTGCTCGACGGGCTGGATGTTGCAATCTTGATAAACAATGTGGGACAGAGTCACTCGATTCCAGTGACATTTGCGGAGACGAGCCAGAAGGAAATGAAGGACATCATCACCATCAACTGCATGGGCACCCTGCGCACGACCCAGATTGTTGTTCCAGGTATGATCCAGCGCAAGAGAGGCATGATCTTGACAATGGCATCCTTCGGTGGTCTTTCTCCTACTCCCCTCTTAGCAACGTACTCTGGCAGCAAGGCGTTCTTGCAGCAGTGGTCCTCGGCGCTAGGATCGGAGCTTGCGCCGAAGGGTGTGCATGTCCAGCTTGTGCAGTCATACCTGGTAACATCTGCCATGTCCAAGATTCGCCGCGCAAGTGCGATGATCCCGACACCTAAAGACTTCGTGAGAGCGGCGCTCGGTATGATTGGAAGGAGTGGTGGCGCGCAAGGTGTGGCGTTCACGAGTACTCCTTACTGGAGCCATGGGATCATGCATTGGGCCATGACTACGTTTCTGGGAACACACAACAGGTTCTTGATTGATCAGAACAAGGCGATGCACGAGTCGATCCGCAAGAGGGCCTTGAGGAAGGCTGAGAGGGATGCGAAGAAGCAGTAATTGCAAGTGTTACATGATGAGAGATAGGAGGTAATATGAAGATGGAATCCCTAGATAGACGTGCGAGGTTGCGTACATGAGAGCCTCCGTAAAATGTAATACGCCGTAGTACACCACCGATGCGTTCGCTAATGCAATGACTTTTACATGAGTGCCTACTACTCCGCATCGGCCTTCTTTTTCTTCTTCTTTTTCTTCTCGCCTCCATCTTCATCCCGCTTTCGTTTCTTCTCCTTCTTGGGCAGATCCTCCTTTGGTACCTCAAATTCTTTCTGTCGCTCCCTCTTCTTTGCCTCCTGCTTCTCGCGCATCTTCTCTTCCCTCTTTTCTCTGTCCGCCCGCTCCTTCTCGCCCTTGCCCAAGAAGTATTCACCACTCTCGATCTGCAAATCAATCTTGCTCTTCTCCGGTGCTGGCGGGAATGGCGTGTACACTTTCTTGCTCTTATCCGTAATCTTGAACGGCTTCTGCCTCTTACTTAGACTTTTCTTCTTAAATTGCGGGAGAAAACGCTCCCAGTTCTCATTTTTGAGTTCAGGGTCTTTCTCCAGCTCGCGCTTGATCATGAGCTCTTTGATCGCATAGATTGGATGTATATTCGCCATCGTGTCCAGCACAACACGCCGCACCGTGCGCAAGCCCTTGTACGGTCCCATCGCACTGACCGTGCTTCCTTGCACGAGGATGTAGCATTCAGTAAGAAGCTCCAATGCCTTCAGCGTCGACCCGTTCGTGCCCAAGATTCGCTGTCGTCGCTTCACAAATTTCTCCCGGTTGCGGACTGTGTTCTTGATCTTGATGATGTCGCATGCGATCCCATCTTCCAACACCTTGACTGCCTCTGGTGCGGGCACACTTCTCGCCAACAGCTTCAGCAGGTCGCGTGCATTCAGGATTGCGGCGGGATCCCATGTTTTCCGTGTCGTTTTGACGCTCATGCTGCCCTCGACGAGATCGAGCGTGCAGGCGATGCCGCGCTTCTCGAGTGTGCGCGTAATCAGTGGCCATGCTTCTTTGAGGTAGACTTCGCGGTATTTGGGGAATAGCGTGATGAAGGAGGATTCTTCGGTGAAGGTGCCGGCGGTGTTGTCTTCGGGCTTGAAGGCGGGGATATGGAAGGGGTCGACGTCGGGGTCGTCGTCCGGGCGGTCTTGTTTGTGGTTTGGCATCGTGAAGAGGTTTGGGAGAGCGCGTGATTGGGGTGGTGTGAATTGTCTGGCTGGACGGAGGAGAGCTGTATGGATTATTATCTAGCGAATTTGCGTATCGGATGGGAACTTTTTTTGCGGGGCTAGACTGTCTTGGCGCGGAATTGACGCATCGCATAGCAAGCTGTCCCGAGCTACAAATATAAATGAGTCTACTGGTACGGCGTAGGCATCACTCGTCTCCATCCTCACGGTCGCATAGATGGCTACTACAGCTTCGAGATCGCGGGTGTTCCTGGACGTGTCTCTGGGTCCAGAACCTATCGGAAGGATAGTCATAGAGCTGTTCAACGACAAAACTCCAAAGACATGCGAGAAGTATGCTAGCCTTCCCAAAAATACACTCATTGTCTCATGGTCCTGATGGTTCCACAGCTTCCGAACGATATGTACGGGCACTAAACCTCCCTTGACATACAAAGCTTCACCATTCCATCGCGTTATCGACGAGTTCATGATACAAGGTGGTGATATCACCAAGGGCGATGGCACAGGCGGAGAATCTATGTACGGAGGAGAGTTCGAGGACGAGAACATTGGCTGGAGAGACCTCGATGCTGCGAATCTAGTCTGCATGGCCAACCGCGGCAAAGACACCAACAGTAGTCAGTACGAGCCTCCGACCTACCACACCACAGCAGCACCAGACCTGACATGGATAGATTCTTCATCACCCTAGTCCCATGCCCTCACCTGAACGCCAAACACACCGTCTTCGGCCACGTCGTATCAGGCCAGCAAACCATCGACCAAATCTCCAAAGTCAACGTAGACGACAACGACAAGCCGTACACTCCCGTCCTCATCTCCCACTGCGGCGAGCTCGAACGACGCAAGAAACAAGACCCAAGACCGACCGAACAACCCTCACATACCACCGAAGAACGCGGCCGCGAGAAGCGCAGACGCACCAGCTCGCCATCCCGCTCCCCCTCCCCCTCACGAGCTCACAAGAGCCACCACCACCACCGCAAACACAGACACACATCCTCCCGCTCCATCACACCCCCAGCAAAGCACGCAAAAGACCGCCGTCGAAGCGACGCTACAATAGATCATAACCTCCGCGGCCGCCCACGCGAACGCTCCGCCGACCGCTCCCGATCGCCAGCTCGAGACGGGACGAGTCCCGTACAACGCCACCAGCGAAAACGCAGTCCATCGCCCTCACGTCCACGGTCGCCCAGTGCAGAGCACAGACGGCAACGCAGTCTCCCCAATCAATATAACCGACACGACAGACAGAGCAACTATGACCGGCATGGCCGAGGCAGAGACGAGGGCAGATACAGGCGGCGAGACGAAGATATGCCCAGGCAAGAAGAGAGGAGATGGGGCAGCGGCAGAAACAGATTCGCAGATCCAGGTGATGGTAGGCTAGGAGGAGGAGGAGGAGGAGGCGGAGGAAGTGGTGGTGGTGGTGGATACGACGACAGGAGAGATACAGCCGACGGCGACGGCATCGTATACAAGGGCCGGGGAAGCATGAAGTACCGCGAGAAAGGGCGGTGGTAGGCGTATACGTCCATGTGTAACTGTATACAAACAAGCCACGAGCAAGTCACGAGCAAGAAGAGCATAGGCGTTTCAGGAGTGCGGACGATGCTCTGTAAGATGTGACAAGGAGGCGACTCTAAATCAATGGTTTTTTTTTCCTTCGATTTTTACTGAGCTAGGGATGCCGGAGTCACGAATCTTCGATTTGTTGTAATGGATTGCACAATTCTTACCCGTGTGTAATTAGTCAATCTATTGCAAAGTCGTTCACTCTGCTGCGCCTTGAAGTACAAATAGCCAGGTTACCTGATCGACCCTGTCTCTCTCTCTCTAAACTAACCTCTGACGCCATCGGTACATTGTCCTCACGAACGATCATGCTAAGCAACAAGAGTCCGAAGTCAAGGACCATATATGCGTGAAAACAGCGTGCAGAGAAGATGAGTATCTTAATTATCCATTGGAGAAATGTGAAAGAGTATTATAGATCGACATTCGATCAGGATCGTGTGATATTTAACGACTAATTAGACCAATTCAGAGACCCCAAAACTAGGATCGAAACTATCCGACTATTACCTATCCAACGCCTCCAGTTGAATACAAAGATCGTGTATCCAGTCTCCAAACCAATCTCAGCCAACGAATTCCCTGCAAACAACGAAGCACTATCCCTCGCCAAATCATTCTCTCCATCCCCTCCTCACATCCCCTCCCCCAAAGCCTCCTCAACCCTCCACGCCAACAACCATCGGCACACCCAACATCTTCACCACCACGTCCTCCCCATCCCTCTCCCCAGTTCCCTTCCAAACCTTAATCCCACCCATCCCCAACGCCCTCTCAATCCCGTCACACAACCACTTCAACCACCTATCCAACAGCCTCATAAACGCCGCATCCACCCCCTTCCTCAGCGCAAACCCCTCAAGCTCAACAACCAAGCTCTCCAGCGCCGTAAACCCATGCGCACGCAGCTGCGACAGATGAACAAGGAAGCTCGGCTTGAGGATGGGTTTCGGGGGAAACTGGGTGCGGAGGACGTATACATCGTTGGTGTAGGGGACGCCAAAAGCATCGGTTGTGCCCGGGGGGACTTTCCAGTTGTGGAGGGAGGACTCGTCGATGGGGATGTAGAGGCCTCGGACGGGTTTCTGTGGTTCTTTGGGGGTGTTGGGGGTGCTGGTGCGGTGCTGGGATTTGGGGGTTGGGGGGTTTGATAGGGGGCCGAAGACCTCGGGGGTGGTGTATTGTGGGGCGAGGTGGAGGAGCGATCGGAGGCCTCGGGGTGGTGATGAGGTGGGTGCTGTTGGAGGCGGAGGGGAGTCTTGGGTCGTGGAGATATGGGGTTGTGTGAGTGGTGCAGGTAGGGCAGCTGTGTCAGGTCTATCTGTGTCCCTGGCGAGTGATGGAGCAGCTATACTGCTGGAAGAAGCGGTGTTCTTGGATGAAGTCGATGGTACAGGCGTGGTTCTGGTTCTTGTGTGGAAGCTCGAAGGGGGCGACGAGGGCCTCAAAGGGGTGCTTTTGCGCCCAAAATAACCATCAATCGGAGTGTCGACCGGACTCACCTTGAGTGGGGTTGTAGGACGGCCTGCGGATGCATGATCTGTGGAGGCTGGTGTAGAAGGTTCTTGGCCTTGCTCCTTTGACTTCATGCTTAACTTGAGAATGATACGTTTCGATTGACGAGTGGGAGTGTCCCCTTCAGAAGTTGGAGCACCTGTTACTCCTTTCTTGAGACTAGCCTTCGAGACTTTAGTCTTTCTCACTGAGCCTTTGCCAGTCCAGCTCAATGTCTTTCTTGGTTTTTCCTCTTGAGCGTGATCATCCTCACGCGGGTCATCGGTAGTACCGTCCATACCAAACGAGGGCAGAACCTCATTTGACTCCGTGCGTGTGTCTGCTATCGAAGGGTCTTCGAGTGGAGATTTATCACGACTCTCAATCGTCGCCTGCGTCGAATCTTCAAGCGAAGTACCAGCAATGTTTTTTCGTAAAATCCTTTCCAACTCACTTTCCGATTGCCGTAGCTCTTCACTTCGGTCAAGACTTTCTTCATCTCTGCGAGCTTGGTCCCATACAAGGAAATACTCCAGGAAGCCGCTTTCACCATGCGACCTACCTGGAAGCTCAAGTGTTATCCACAAAGATCTGGTATCCGAAGCAAGCGATTCCGACGGCCACTCCATTCTTCTCATAACTCGACCGTTGTGGCGCCACTCCTGATTCTTGAGCAGCATCACGCCGTCTCTCCACGTCAATGGAAACTTGGGCTTACATTTTTGAAGTCGTCGGTATTGCTCGACACGTTCTGCCGTCGTCGAGATCTCAGGCGAGAAAGGAACCTCCCAAGCGCCGTAGTCAATTTCCAGCGGAATCGGTGGTGGTGGAGGTGATGACGACCGCGATGTCATAGAGGACACAGACAGAACAGGTTCCGGAGCAGGCGAGTCGTTGTGGACCCTCGGCTTGACAAACAATTTCTGACGCTCAGGTAATATGTCAAAAGCTGCCCTGACCTTTTCGGTTGGCTTGACGGTACGTTTTGGTCGGGATGTTGACCGGGCCGCTGAAGCACCAAATGACAACCGTAAGGTCAATTTCGCTGCATCATCCACGTCATTGGAAGCATTGCCAGTGTAATCGTCCATTGAGACTAAGCGTAGACGCTTCTCTTGTGATCTGGCAGACGGGAAATGGATATTGTGGCTGTTAAAACGACGGCAAGTCGCAGACAAGGGCACGAGTGAAACTAGAAATATATAGTGATAGACATGACCGTGACAATAATGGGGCGTTAAGGCAAGGTGATCGCCTTATAGTGAATATGGAGAGGTAACGAACACAACAAAACGCAACGAAACATGTCTTGGCGTTCACCCCAGGAAACGGCGTTCACCTCTCTGTGCCTACCTAGCTGCCTCATTTTGAACGGTACTGTTCCTAAACACGATCGGAGATGCCGAAGAGAACAGGGATGTCACTACAGTCTCTGGTAATTACGTTTGACAATGTGAAAATCAGGAGTGAAAGATTCTTGGTATGTGTTCACCAATCTGACGAAATGCCTAGATAACAGATGACGTGAGTGATCATTGAAATGTTCTCCCACTTTCTCGTCTTCCCGCACCTCGACTGGTGTACATACTCAATCGCTGCTGCGCTAGGCTTGGAGGGCCATTTATATCAGGGATACTGACCCTTTTCAGGGGACTTCCGTCACGTTTCCTCGGGCTAGCCTCCCTTGGGTCTCTGATATCATCGCGAAGAAAATTACTAGAAGCTGCCTTCTTGAGAGGGGAGTTCGCGTGTGAGTACACGCCTAGACTTCCTCCGTCACCCGTCCCTGAGCCAAAGTCTGACGTACGATATTGTGAGTTTCGGACCACAGTGGTAGTCTTGTGCGGTCGTATTGGCGAGGAAAAGTCTGCCTGTGTGCTGGTGGTTGTTGCCGAGGCGGGTATATGGGGAGTATGCATGGCAGGCGTGGTTGATCTGGAGGGGCGGAGCTGAGGTTGTGAATGTGAAGTGAGATGGTCCGGGTCGTAAGCAGAAGCATAGGCTGGATTTGGGTTTGTTCTAAAACCGCGGTTAATTACAGTCGTCGGGGTGTATGCATCGACTTCAGTAGTCGCCATGACAGACGAGTCGCGTCTTTGGGGTGTTGGTGTCTGAATTCCGACATCACGGACCGGCTTATTAAGTGCTGGGTGGACAAACTTGTTGTCGTATTCTTGTAGTACCCCACGATGAACGACTGCGTTGTCCTTGCTTTGTTGCTGGAAGTTCTTTTGCAAATAGAAAAGCTGGAAAGAGAGTAGTGCGATCAAGGAGATCGTCTTGACGTATGTGACACTCGGACTTGGGTCAAGTGGCGCAACTGGAATAAATAGCCAATATACGAACAGGTGGCCTGGACTAAACAGACAGAACAGTGTAAGACAAATTGGCGTTGGGTCCCAAACGCTGAGTTCCCAAACGTCGCGTGTTGCATCCGGGTGGGCGCGCGACTCTGCCGTCTCTGTGGATATAAGGCTTGTGAGGTATCTGATCGGAGATGAAGACATGGGCGACGAGTCTACCCGTACGCGACGAGCTGACTTCGTGGGAAGAGGAGTCTCTATGGCTTGCTCGAAGAGGCGATATGAGCGTGTCCTGAACATGGCGTAGAGCGCATTGGTGCATGAGAGGGTGGTGAGGAGAATGCTGACGAGCCATAGCTATGCAAAAGTAAGACAAGTTCAAAGTCTGAGCAGCGTGATACCTACAAAGTACTTCAACCATCCCGAGCTGCCTCTTCCTTCATAATCACCGAACACATCATCGCGGTAGGATATTGTAGGGCTCGCTGAAGACGCCTTTGCAATCATAAAGAGGATGTTCATGGCAATTCCAATCCATAGCCCATACTCTTTCTGAAAATCATCCCATTCACCGCCGTTCAGCAACTCTGCGAGCCATATCGATATTTCGCCCGGGTCCAGATAAGCCCGAATGCGCTCTCCAAGCGGGGCGCGCCTGACAAGGCGAGGCATACTATATAGTTTATAAGGAGTGTATGGAACTGCAAAGAGTGTGAAATTAGGAGTAATCAGCGAGGTGAGCCATGCCCAGGAAGTGGTGGCCAAGAGAGTTCGTGGCCGGGAGAGGTGCAAAGTGAATAGTAGTGTTTGCGTTGTTTTGGCATGGGTAGCTGCGGACAAACAAGCTCAATGGCTCTAGCCGCATTAGGCTTAACCTGGGCTGATTAACACTCATTCCACACGTCCTAAGAAAACCGAAACAAGTATAACAGTTTGTTCCTACGCTCGTACTTATCATTTATACCTTAATGCCTTGAGAACATCTGTTCAGACTCGAGATGATCAGCTGGAACTCACCTGCGTTTGATTGACGCGAATTGGGGATTGCGACGTCAAGGGCGAAGCGTGACGACTAGAGATCTGATATGATCAAAATATGATGGTAGGCAAACAAAGGCGACAAAACGAGTCATAATTATTTTATGAAGACAGAGCCTGATATAGGCGAGGCCACCCAAAGCTCGAGGATGCCGAACGAATGAAGAAGAGACGGCTCATCTCATCTTCCTAGGCAAAGGCTACTGATAATTGTTGCTCACTTTGTCGGCATGACAGCTTCATCTCATCTGTGAAGTTGAGATTGGAGGGGAGAGCTTTACAAACGACTTCCTTCTACAATGATGCGCTGTCCTTTTTGCATGGACAGCGGGCCACGGCGAGACCTCCTTTGGCATTGGAATCAAGCGCGAATTGTGGTTCGTTACCGGCTCATAATCTTCTCGCAGATAAGAAACAAGAATAATAGTCGAGTTTATATGTCGAGGATTACAAAGTTGGATATTGAATGGTGCACGACTGTTGCTTCGATAGGAAATGGACACAACACTATCAACCTCTTTGGCTTACTACGAGCTCTACGTCTAAGGCTCTTGTCTGATCGCCAATGATATACGACACTCGTTAGGAAGATGGAAGCTCAAATCGAAATTCACACTGACCTCAAGCTGTTCGTGAAGAAAGACCGAAAGGAAACGATTCCGAATTGATGCCATTTTCCGGCATAGTGAAAGCGCCCCGGCCTTGGCATGTCCGACCCGGCCAAACATCGTCGGCCCCACCCCCGCCCCCGCGTCCCGTCATGTCCAAGTGAGTGAACGAGTCCTCATCTCAGCAATAACAGCTCCGAGCCGCTGTGAATCAGTCTTCCTCTTCTTAGCACTCTATCTGTATCACTCCCTGGCATACAGCTAGGTATTTCCTGATCGTTCATGCTTATCCTTTTCTTCTGAGACCCCTGGCTTTCGCAGCCTCAGTCGTGGCAGTTCAACTCTATGTGAATCCATCTCTAAAACGCCCTTAGCTTCCAGGTGTTGCTGTCCGGTCATCGTCAGTGCATATCGCCCTTCGAAGCCTTCGCTGTACATGATCGACTCTGGTCACAGTCTGTGTCGCACGCCATACTAGTCGTATTGCCTACAAATTATACTTTCTCCAGCTCTTTGCTGACAGTCAGTTGACCCTAGAGCAGCTGTCAACTCGTTGCTACACCATGTCGCGTCGAATCTCCCAGTTTTCTGTTTCTGGCTCCATCAGCAAGACCCGGCTCTATTGCTACTGGAGAAAGAGGCGGAACAATGACACGCACGGATTCAGGTCTGAGTCCCGACTTGATAAATCCGGACTGCAGGGTGCTTATGCCGGAGCTCAACACTGGATTGTAGACGAATATGTGCCCAGACTTAGTAGATCCAGAGTGGGCGGCATTCGAAAATACAGTGAAGATAATGCTTCCACCCATAGCAGAGAAAATGACTGGCATGAGCTGCGAAGACGCAGGCTGGCTATCTGGAAGCGAATGCTCGACGAGGATCCATATAAAGCCGTCTTTGGTCCATCCAACTCTGCGTTGAATGGAAAAGGGTGGACACACCCGTTGTGGAATCACATACCAAAGTGGATGCAAGAAGAGTTCGGTATCGAGCAGCCAACTCAACAGAGGCGAGAATCCACAGTGAAACCTGATATCGTGACCAACTACAATAATTCGGAAGAGAGTCCAAAGAATGATATTCGCCCGACCGATCGTCGTGCTGATCTAGGCTCTGAGGCTACGCCAACTGAAGTTCCGCGTACGAACAAGGCAAACAATTCTGAATGTCAATATCTGTACGATCCGATTAGCGGAAGAATGGTGATGAAGAATGCCTCGACACAGTCACAAATGGTCTCAGGTAAAATAGGAATCGATTTAGACTCTGCGGATCTTCCTATCAAGCCGTACCAATCGAAAATCAATATAATAGCCACGGACGAGTTAACTAATTCGTCCACACAGCAGGATAGACAAACTTCCACCAAGCATGCCACAACATCGCATACACAGACATCCGCTAGTACCTCTACTTCTCTCTATTCCAGCGCGGCAGGTATCCAAGAGGTGCCCCAACGACAGAAAAAAGAGTCTGAGCCGACCGATCAGACGGATCTGTCACCATTTTACAGTGTGGGCAAGTCACGAACACCAACATCAACCTCCTCCAAGCTCTCCTCTCTGCCTCAAGATGACATTGATTTTCTTCAGACGGAGGACATCCGCTCCAGAATTGCATATTTGCGAAAGCGCATGGAAACAAGGGAGCAGCAAACATCAAAAGTCACAACGGCAGACTTGGAGCAACGCTTTGACCAGCTCCATAAGAGACAGCCCGTGGAAGCCATCGAAAAACCAGATATGGAATACGAGTCCCGGATCAAAAAGAGTGAAAACGCTGCCACCGAAACGCACGCCACGTCTAATGAAGAACTGCAACTCCGGGACGAGAAAGAACAGGGTAGCGCTAACGCAACTCGTCTTACGACGGCTTTGCAAAGGATGCGTGAGCACAGAGGCTTGCAAACACGTCAGTCTACCATGACCGGGCCTGCGGATGTGTCCGCTTATGAAGCTGGTAATCTGCCGGTTCCTGGATTCAGCCTACCTCGGGAGCTTTCCGACTTATGTCGGCAAATGGTGAAGCAAACACGGCAGGTAGAAAGTTTCATCGCCGACTTAGGCCTTCAGATTTATCAACCGAGCCAGACACGAGAATTATCAAAGCTTGATGATCAGCGAGATCAACTGAGGGGCCTCCTAACAGATTCGGAGTCCTTTATTACGGCGCGCAAGGACATCAACCAAAGACTGTTCAAGATTCAAGCAGAGATACAGCAGTCACTATGTAGCTTGAAACATATGCCAGCAGAAAACTATTTCGACCTCCAAAAGGCTAGAGACCTGTTTTTGAAGCATGTCCAAGACGACCTTAGCGTTCTGATGAAAGCATCCGAGCGTCTTAAGCAGCTGAAAGGGGGACTTACTGGACGATTCCGACTTGGGACATCTGAAGGGACGTATCCTAGTATGCAAGGTGATGGACCAATATCGTTCAAAGGCCTAGAATCATACGATATCCAGCACATGTCTCACTTGGTGCAATTGGAGCCGCTGGACAGTGCTAGTCGAGAGAAGTCCCCAGCTCCTATAACACAGGCAGAGAAATCTGTTGATGGGTTCAGCGATGGCTTTGATCCGTTTCTTGCTCGGCGTTTGAAAAACTACGAGATACAGGGGCGGCATAAGCCCCGGGACTACGAGACACAAGCCCCTTCCGTTGATCCACCCGACGCTGCTGTAGAATCGCACGACTCTGCCCAAGATAATCTCACACGTGAGCTCGAAAAGTACGAGCGGTCGTGTACATCGAGTATTCGAGATGGAAAGGACGATCTACGAGCAGGGCTCAAAGATGAGATGCGTGAGTCTGTAACACCTGGATCCGATACCTCGTCTATACAACTGCCGTCGCAGGCCTGGGACACCAGTAAACAGAGTGGTGCTTCTATGAATACTTCACCTGAGCACCTCAGAGGTGTGTACAACAGATATAAGCAGGTGCGCCGCCAGCGACATAAGCTCTATAAGCTCTGTGCGAAACAAGGCCTTCTTCAACCTAAACTTCAACAGAAGGGAAACCTAGCCAAACTGTATGACCACGATACGCACATGGACGCTAGAAAGCTGCCCCTCGCCCAGTTGTCACCTGGCCCTACCAACCTACTCACGATCCCCTCGCTCACATCCCTCAAACTTATCACCACAGGCCGCTCGCCAAGGAGCCCGATGGCCGTGATCGATCTCACCTCTGTTACGTACTCTACATCGCCCACACTCTCATTCGAACAGGCGGCACGCCGTCTGCACAAACCCTTTCGCTTCGTCCTACACCTTTCACCCGATTACAGCATCGTCGACGCCAAACCAAACCTCCTAGTCCTGCGCAAGAATAGCTCGCCGGAGTTCAAACTTGACACCGAAGCTAGCACTGTATCTCCTGCTTCTGCACGGGAAGAACGCGAGCGGGCGCGCAACGTGAACCCTGTCGACGGCACGACCGTTCCGCTCCCGCAGCTCCCGCAGTCGCCGAGCGGCAATTTTGCTAGTCTGACAGGCTTCGTGTCGTTTCATCAGGGCGCTGGGCGAGAGGATGGGAGAGAGGAGGAGCGGGAGAAGAGAGACGTAATTCGTGAGACTAGGGAGGAGGGGAGAGGGCGCAAGGAGACGAGAGGTGGGGGTGTGAGCAGGGTATTTGTAGCCGGCATCACAGGCGCGACGGTGTGTTATGTCGCAGGCGTGCTGGGAGAACTGTTGCGGTGATTCTGGAATATGGTGCGCCGTGGCTACGTAGAGTCTTTTATTTAGCCCCATATACCTATGTAAACTCCATAACTTCCTACTCTCTATTCTTTGTATCTATATCAATCTTATAACTTTCTACTCTCTAGATAATTTTATACTTACCTATAGTCTGGTAGTCTCTAGATGGTATACTTGATATAGGTATATAGACATCTACTCAGCCACCAGGAGTTCTATATACTAGATTGACACCTTACGTACGGGTGGATACAAGTGCTCAAGCAGCACTGCTCGACAACTGGATATTACTGGCTCACCACGACCCGACCCGGTACGGCCGCTCGGGTGGGTGGTACCTACAATATTTTTCGGTCATTTGTTACTACTGGCCGGCGACGGCGACAACTAGGTACTTTGCCGTCAGGCGTTCTCGATTACACCGAACGGAATAAACCAAGACGTGTAGCGCAGGGGGTTGCGGCTTAGGAGGTTAGAGCCTCCTCCCTGGGCGCTTAAAGGGGCCTCTATAGCCAATCAACCCAATCAGAACTATAATAACGTCTGAGCCCTTCTCATGAAGGAGATTACATGTCATTGGGGTATCAAAGATAACGCAATTACGAATACTAGACTTCGCATAATTCTGATGCCTGAAGCATACGATTCTTCAGTTCCTGACCGCCAGCCCATGACTATATCATGTCCCATCAGATTCGCCTGCAGGGCGTCGCTTACGCCGTGCCTGAGGGGTCTTTGAACGGTCTATCGGATGCTTGGCTGGATGTGCGTGATCCTCAAGGTCTTCATCTACTGAAGTATTGGACCCCTCAGGGCCTGGAGGAAGCATAGGGGAGGCTTCTGTCTCCGAGACTGCCGTTACAAAGCTTGGGACTGGACTGGCACCTGCATTGCTGGTCGGCGCCTCAGCTTCTACCGAGGTTTCATTCGCTTGTCTGATTGCCTCATCCCTCTGCTCTTCTGCCCAGTCTCTTGCATTCCTATACGCTGTGGCTCCTTGTCTAAATGTCTCCGGAGCACCATCCATAGCCCACGCCTTTAGTAGGTGCATGTTATACTCCGGACGGCCTCCAGGACTCCGCGGTTGGGCAACATGGCTGGTATACATCTTCAGCGTGCCAGCATGATATGTAGAGGTTATAGTGTATGCGTTATTGTTGTAAGTGGGCTCGGCACTTCTATACGACTGAAGGCTATGTATACCTCTCGCTCCTAGCGCACCATCGTAGCAAGCTTGTCGTTTAAGCACCGCAGCTGATCCGTCCGGCCCTTTCACTGCTAGGAAAAAGTTTGGTACCAGGGGAAGATCGTGCTGCGTCGAAGGGATTATACGGCCTCCAATCTCGTCGCGGACGGCTCGACTAAGCTGTTCTGGACGGGCGCCGTAATACAAGTCCGGGTTACCAGGCTTGAGCGTGCCGTTCGTCAGGGGGTCGAGGTTAGTAAACGGGATTCCTCCTGAACGGCATTTCGCGTCTCTAACCTTACCCTCGATAATGGGAATTACCGATTCTGACACTTGCTTTTCTTTGGAGGCATTCGCATCCGCTTGCATAAACCCTTTATAGTCCTCGTCCCCGAATTTGGACGGGGAAAGAGAAGGTCGACGTTGTACTAATCGCTGATTGATTGTCCGCCAGTTCCTTGGATTCGGGGCTGCATGGCCGGCGGGGTGTATGTACTCAGAAGGATATATACTGTAATCGATGAGGTTTTGCTGAAAGTTACGGTCATATACCCCCGTGCTCTTCGTTCTCGTCGTATCTGTGGTAGCCTTAGTGCTTGGGGCAGTTGCAGAGCCCCGTTGTCGACCCCGGGACCTCGAACGGCTTGGGCTCATTGTAGGGGTCGAAGAAGGTATAGCCTCAGGGTACTGGCCCATGAGAGCGTCATTAGCTTTATCATCAGTGTATAGGTCGTTCCAATACGTACGTTCCTCACGTCCGATAGGTCTGGACCACCGTTTCTGGCAAATAGCTTTATATCTTTCAAGGTCTCCGGCTTACAGAGACGTATATAGTGAGCCGCGTAGTGTGTAGCTGGGCAATTTCGATTCTGGCCAGCGACGAATTTTGAGGCGACTGGTCGGCGGTCTCGTCGTTGGGGTGAACGAGGCAGGCTTGGAGCAGCTTGAATATTTCTTCGGTCTAGCTCTCTCAATGCTCGTTTGGTCAACCAGATCTTTGATAAGTCGTCCCAAAATGCGGGCGGTGGCAGAGATGGACAGGGACAGTTGGGTCTCTGCTTTTTTGATACAGGCTGCGACGTTTCGTTGGGCTCCGGTGGCTCTGACCGAGGACGTTTACGCGGAATTGGAGGCTGCAGTTCGAGCATAAGGTTATAGATGATGGGAACCTCAGACTCTAGAGCAGGCAGAAACATTGAACGTGGGTGGGCAGCGGCGCGTATATTGTACGTGGCACTTACTATAATACTAGCAACAGAGATTGGATCATTGGATGAGATGGGTGGTTCGCTGTACGCGCCCGACATGCTAGCCGGAGCTGGGACCCACTTATATTGCCAAGACTGGCGCCTAGAATTCATTGGCTGTGGTAGACCGTGATAACTTGTCTAAAGTGATCCCTTGAACAGTGAAGCCTGCTGTTGCTGTAATTAGTGTCGGCATTCCCAGCACAATATTCAGAAGTTGGACGAACGGGCATGGACAAGCTACCCCTTCCCCGTAGTGTCTACAGGAACCATGGCTTGTGAAACAATGGACTGTGAGTGAATAGTAAACACAGTAATGTCTCATTCCTACTTTTCAGCGAATACGATATCCGTCCACTTCGCTGCTTTCATCCCCACTAAACACACTATTCAACAAGTTTACCACCAGCGAATGCCCGCTGTTTATTCTCAATCGCCCACCCTACGTATTGCCGAATCAACGGACTTACCATGCCACCTCATTCACCAGCCAAACTGTCAGTGCTAGATAGAATGTACTCGTTTTTCCCCTGGCCGAGTGAATACAGTTTGCACGGGAGACGCGTTCAATTCTTGCGTCTGTCGATAATAACCGTCAGGCTTGTTACAGGTATGACTAGCCATGTGCCTCATAACACAAGGACGTTGAGTCTCTCCATTTGTGGACCTTGGATCATATTTGCCACACTTGATAGAGCTTGTTGAAGTTCCTTGTTCTCGTTTATTCGCAATTCAGTCTATAGGTCGTATGTATCTGAGCCGTCGGCGTGATGTCCACTTTATATGCAGAGGCGCGTATTCTTTGGCTGTCCAAGTCAATGTGCGATCGAAGGCGCTTCTCTAATGCTTGAATCGTGTGTAAATAGCGCATCGCGATGCGACAGGTCTGTGTGCACACGAACTGCTTGGCAGGATTCTGGGGTTGTTCCTTGTGAGGTCTTCTCCGAGCTTCTCCGTGTCTCCATCCGATAAGCTGCTCATCTACCGATCCATTGGCAGTCCTGTCTTGAGCGAAGGCCTCTGAGGTTTGCTGTGGGTATTGGAATTTCTCCTGTAGGAGCTGGTGTTTGTATAGCGGGAGCGTCCGTGATGTCATCCAGAGAACGAGTCCCGTTTCTGTATCTTTTTCTCCTTTCCAACATATCGCTCCATTGCAGGGCGTAATTTGAACTGGACGGGAACAGTCTGAAGTAGTTTTGAAGTAGCTGTACATCCAGTACGGTCCTGTACCTGCACGGTTTAGTTGTGTTGACATGGATTATGCTCTGCTTCGCTGTATACGGAATAGATCTTGAGGTCCCCAGATACACACTGATGGGCAGTAGGGAAAGTGAGATGGCCCGGTGATTGGTGATTAGTTTTGATATAGGCAAGCCCATTCATGTAAGCGGCTCGGTAATATTGAGATGCCAGGCCAATCCATCACCTGGGATTGGTCCAATAGTTCCACGTCCCATCTCTAGTACGATGAGGCCCAGGCTATACAAACGGTGCATGAGGATAAGATATACTGTACAGCATTAATGGTCGCTCGGTGAGTCCTGCAAGAATACTTGAGACTTACCATAACTTTCTGCATTAGAGACTGCCAGGGTCCCATCTAGGCTAAGAACGCCTTGCCAGGAAATAGAACGCTCCGTCATAGCTGTTACGGCATTAGTACACGCAGAATCATTGTAGACATGGCTAAGACTGTAGAAAGGAACTGCTATAGACTTACGCTGGAAATCCGGTGCTTTCAGCGTCATTTCCAAGAGCAAAGGAAATAGAAGCTCCTCGCGGATAGTGCTTATCGTCTGACCCTGGAGCATCTCACTGCCTGTGTACCTCCTCCGCGCACCTTGGCAGAATTCAACAACGTGAGAATGGGACTGACTGGGTGGATATGTCACATATTCCTGATCCATACCACGACAGCGCGGCGGCTCATATAGGATCGTACCTAGCAACTCATCCTTCCAGGGTGCTGGTTCCCCATCACGAGACTGCCCCTGCTTCCAGCGGCTGTCATCGCAGAAGATGAGCATATCGGCGCGCTCCCATCGGGGCACCTGTTTGAGCTTCCCAAGCTCGTCCAGCTTCCGAGTCACCACTTGCCGAATCGGGTCATTCTCTTGATTCTCGCCTTGCAAATTCATATTGTCTTGCCAAGCGCCTTGTTGGGTGTGACGGCGGAAGATTATCTCATAGGCATACCTGGCGAATAGGGATGCGGTGTTCTGTTCGCCATGGTTCCATTTCTCCATGCTCTCAAAGGCCTGCCGAGCCATTGTTACAGCCTCCCTGAAATCTTGGCCCAATCTTGGATTGCTGGTATAACATGCTTGATGGAAGCCGACATCTCTAATCGCCAAAGAAGGAGTAAAAATCGCTATGAGGAGTGCGAGGGTTGTAAGGGTGAACATTGTACTCAAGTGGAAGTACATCAAAAGAGTGCTTGCCTAGTGCTGGCTAGAGAAGAGAGCGGGTGTATAGAAGAAGCAGTAAGACACAAAAGAAGAGAGATGGTAAGTTATAGGGCATGTGTCTTACCTTAAAACATTTCTAAGAATGTTACCATAAGATATGATCGCGCAACATTCGCTTGGCTATCCCTTTAGTTATGCTCCTATGGATATCTATTCATAGTGATATTTGATGACAAGTGGAGCCACTGGTCACAGTTATATCTATCCACTCTCTATATTCTAGGTTAATCCATTAACTAAGAGAATTGCAAGGCGTGCTCGCCATGAATGTCACTGTGTTAGAACGAAAAAATTTCGTACTGCAAGATTTTCCACGTCTGACCTAGTGGCACAGTCCTCAGGTATGTAGTATCAATCATACAAGCTAGCACGTGTGGCGGAACCACGATAATGCAACATGTTCGCCAGTTCGCGGAGAAGGATTTTACTCATCCATGGATGGTGACATGTCTGAGTTGTGCCGCCAAGTACTAATTATGGAGGCGTTCGAGTTTGATGACACAGGGCTTAGCTAAGCTAGCTCCTAATGCTTGTCCATGAATGGATTGGATCCATGTGTAGTCAGAGAACCGACTGAAACCAGTAGCAAAGCCCAGAATAATGAGCGATACCGTTCTCATCGACCGGAGCACGTACACGCCCGCACAAACAATCGAAACTATCTGGGAGCACCTGAATCTGCCCCTCGATGCGCTGACGTCGCTGTCGTTGACCGGCTCTGGTCTCGGCTTGCCGTCTTCGTTCAAGATAGGGCATCTCGCACAGAGCACAATCGCACTCTCAGCACTGGCCGCATCACTCGTTCGGGCTACGCGAGACAAGACGGCTGTTGCAAATGTAACTGTCAATCTGCGGCACGCATGCGCCGAGTACAAGTCCGTTCGACTGTACACGATTGATGACAAGCCCCCTGAGTCAGGCTGGGGTCCGCTTGGGGGTCTTCATCCGAGTAGGAATGGATACGTGCGCATACATGACTCGTTTCCGAATCACCGCCAGGCTGCACTTGATATCTTGGGATTGGCGGCTACAGCCTCTCGCAACGATGTCAGTAATGCTACAAAGGATTGGGACGCGGTAGATCTCGAGACCGCCGCTCACCACGGAAAAGCGGTAATTGCAGCTTTGAGGACATACGCACAATGGGACGTACTTCCGCAGGCCAAAGCAGTCAGCGACTTTCCCGTTTTCCTGCGTCGGATAAGTGATACAGAGGCGGAGCTCTGTCCTGGACTCGTTCGTGATGATCTGAGCTGTCTCCGAGGCCTCCGTGTCCTTGATCTATCACGCGTTATCGCAGCTCCATTAGCAGGCAGAGTTCTTGCGGCCCACGGTGCAGATGTATTATGGGTGACATCACCGAACCTCCCTGACCAACCTGCTCTAGATCGAGACCTCGCACGAGGGAAGCGTACTATACAACTTGATATCAAAAACAGCGAAGACGATCGGTCTACGCTCCGTGACCTTGTGTCGTCGTGCGATGTATTCCTTCAGGGGTATCGCCCACAAAGCCTATCTTCCTACGGTTTCTCGCCTGCTGAGCTGCTGGCGATGAACCCAAGAATCGTAATTGCCAACATGTCTGCCTATGGAACAGATGGGCCGTGGGCTGATAAACGAGGCTTCGATTCTCTAGTCCAGACTTGCTCTGGTATGAATGTGTCAGAAGCTCAGCATGCTGGACATGGCGAGCCGGCTCGTTTGACTTCGAGCCAGCCGCTCGATTATGGTGGAGGCTACCTACTTGCTACTGGCATCATGGCAGCGCTCTATCATCAGTCACATACTGGTGGTGCGTACCAGGTGGACGTCTCTCTTGCGGGTGTCATGAAGTACCTCCGGTCGTTAGGGCAGTTGCCCGGTGATTCTGGGTTTCAATGCGAAGATATACTAAACACGAAACAAGTCATGGACTTGTTAGAAACACGCAATAGCCTCTTTGGAGAGTTGCGAGCTCTCAAGCATCCTGCTGATATCCAGGGGGCTAGAATCGGCTTTGACATCATGCCCAAGCCCCTTGGCAGCGACAGCCCGGTGTGGCTACAACGTAGAAGTACGACTGTCGAGTGTAGTGATTAATTCAGATAGTTCCCAAGAGGACTGTTTCATCACAATGGAATGATTTGAACACAAGTTATCGAAGGGCAGGCATGGTGTTGGTAAATATCTCGCTCAGTGAGCGACTTCTAGAAATGCTGATGGATATATGCGTTGAGTAGCTAGTAGCTAGTGTAAGCAACGGGACATGGAAGCTTTTTCTTTACGAGTCTATCTTCGCCTGGTAACTCTTGCCTCAAGAATCATCTAGCCACGTGCTTTTCTCTTGAAACATGCAGGCGTGCTCTTCTCAGGTACAGTCCTCAAATGTAGTTCAGATTACCCATGAAGGCACTTTGGGCGATATCAACAACGAGAAGGGGCGACCAAAGCAAAAATTAGATCAGCAGAGTTTTCTAGCATTGATGGTGCCTTTCTACCACCACATGGACTAGTAGCCTACATTCTCAGCTCTTTCACGGTGTATCTCATTGTTGGCATGCTTCCAACAACATTCCATACATAATTTTTTTCTATGTTTCAGAGGGTCCCATCGACCTTAGGCCGAATGCAAAGTTGTTGACCTCATGTCATATGCTGTGCAAGAGTATCTCAGCGGGAGAAGTGACTTCAACCGTCCCTGGGATGCGAGTCAGTGTACCCTGAATTTTGGTCGATAAGCGAAGAATTTGCTGACAATATAAAGGCTACGAAGAAGTTACAATAGTCGCCGCAGTTGGATATCTCAAATTTGCCGATTGGACAGAGCCATTAACTCAAGATAGCCTCCATAGAAGGGTTTCGGGCCTCCTGAGAGTCGTTCCTGGGACCCCACCAGTAGGACCTCGACAATTGCGCTTTATGTTCCCTCATCCTTCAGACCGGCAACCGGCAGATGTTACGTCGGATGTTATCAAGGGCGCAATAAAAAGTCTCATTGACAGTGGAGCTGTCAAGCTCAGTATGTTTTTGAGACTGTATCCGGTCCGCTGCTAACGTTGTAGTTGTCCCTGCAGTCCCTGTATATACCATTCCACAGCGCGACCCTACTTCACACAGCTCCTTATCGAAAGCCACATCAGGCCAAGGGAAAGAGCCTGTGGAGAATGTCAAGAGCGATTTTGGAGATGAGGCTGAAGTCCGCACTATTGAAGGGAGTAGTACAAGTACGGCGGTACGTCCGAGCGCATGGCTTCGTTTTGAAACACAGCAAGGAAAACCCTACAACTTCAATGGTTCTACGACCGGCCGTAATCTACCTGCGGATACTCGTATCCCTAATGAACGTAAGAAGGCTACCAAGAGTAAGAGAGAGGGCCGATTGGTGATGAGATCGCGTGAGGAAACACAGCAAAGGAAATCCTTACTGACGGCAAGGCAGATGGATTGGCCAGCTCGAGTACATCTCTCCAAAACCATGCAGCAGCAGAGAAACGATCCACCAGGGAACGAGCCAACGAGCTATTGGGGATTTCACCAAGCCAGGCCGAACGTATACGCACGGCAGGTATGGATATGATACTCACCGTAACGGGCGACATCCTTCGATTCCGGTACACAGGCGCGGACTTTGACTTCGTCACAGTTCATGATGTTGCAATCGGATACAACATCTTAATGTTGAGAAACGAAACCGAACAGGACTTCAATACGTTGGATGATCGACTGCGATTGGTATATGATGCCCCGGGGTTTGAGATCTACATACGAGAAACTGAATCAAGGGGCTACAACATTCTGATTGGAAGGAGTGGTTGCGAAATGAGGCTGTGATGCCCTTCTTCTAAGTCGAACAAACATGAATGTTTGTGTTTGGTTACGACACCATTTCGGAAGACTTTGAAGTGAAACAAGGCCAGTGACTTGTGATACACTTACTGCTGATAACCAGTCAGAGTCGAGTGGTGCAAGGTATCTTGCAGCAATCGACATGGTATTCGAAGCCTTAGTGCATACTTGGATGCCATTCTCCCGTTATACGCCTTGAGGACAGATCAGGCAGAACCAACTTCCAACACATTTTTCGGTGCGATGTTTGCTATATTCGGCTTACTTGTGCCGGCATGGCAATGATATGGCTACGCCACCCTCATATCTCGCGCGCGTCAAGTCTGGCCATGACTTGGGATTGTTGTGCGCTGCATGCGTGTGTCCGGTTCTCCTATTTGTGGTATATGGTATGTTTGAATGCACACAGGAACCCATAAACGCGACTCTCGAATACAGGATACGCTAGGATGAAGGGAGAAGTTAATCAAGAATGGACGTGTCGAAGGTCGCGTGGTGTAAAAGTGTAAAAGTGTCAAGATTGATTAATAGCATTGATATGCAGTTGGTGGCCTTGTCTGTGCTACCATCCTTTGGGCCTAGCGTTCCTCCCAGCCCTGGACAATGCTAAAAAAAGAAACATTGATTGCCGCTGCACGACCAAGTGAATCGAATGGAATTCGCTCAGTCCTCGCCTCTTCGCCTGTTTCCGCCATGAACAGTTTCTTCAGAGTGTATCTGTTGATGCCATCATCCACTATAGTACTGAGCGTAGCGCTAAGCGCTTCCATGGTAGTAGATATCTGTAAGTACGCGCGCAACTGTGCCGCGTTTGTACAGTAGGGTCCTCTTCAGCGGCTACATCGATGTCGGTGTATTCATAGTGGGGCCGACAAGAGAAGGCCGTCATTCAAACATGGATCAGATACAGACCGCCTTATTGATTAACGCATGACTGCTTACGGTGTGCATGGCCTTTTTCACGAAGTGATGAATGACCTTTGCCTGTTTCGACTATCACAACATGCAGGTAGACGACTCGACTTTATCTTGTCGATCTTCCATATCAAAAACCTCTATGAATCAGGCCATAGAGCTATTCTTCAAACGCATTGAGCAAAACAAACGTCCCCACAGAGTGAGTGCCCTGCAGCTTTCCCGACCCGGACAAGGCTGTGCAGTACGTGCATAACATCTGTCTCACATTATGCTCCTTGGCGCTAAAAGCTGTACGTCTAGGGGCGACCCACGCATGCCTCAAAGCCAACACATTCCACTCGTCGTTTACATGGTCCTCGTCAGGCGCGCGCGCCCGCCTTGTACCAGGTATGTATACCTTCCGTGCATCTGTGCCGCATACGAGGCGGAGCTGCGCTAAAGAGGTCCGTTCGTTTCGCTCCATGTAAGCCGCATGCCTGCCTTCTTTATGGGAAGTCGAGACAATTATTTTTCTGTCTTGCTTTTCGGGGTTGTTTAGTTGTGTCGTTGTGCTTTGAAGATGCCGGTTTTGAATGATGTTGCGAGTTCATTGAATGGAGCCAGAGATGAGTCGGATCAGAACCAGAACCAGCCGGAAACAAGTAACAGTGATCCTTGCGCCCAAGTAGAGGTCAAAGGTAAGAACGTTCAACATTCTACTTGCTGCGTGCTAAAGAGACATCAATAGCTGCATTGATTGGAGACAATATCATTTTTGCTACTTTGCCCGTCGAGGGATCCGGGGAAGCAGCAGGAGAGCCCGGCTTACATTCAGTATCGGCCAGCCTGCCCGAGCTGAGTATTGAATCGACAGAGAATATCCCGAACAGCAACTTCGACGCGAAACTGGATGGCTTCTGGTACGATCGCACTTCAGTCTACGCTTTTGGGCAATCTGGCAACGTGATCGAGTATGACACCTCCAAAGACAATGGCTGGCAGACAGTGCAGCTTGATCAAGTTGACATCCCAACGGGCTCAATGACCAGTGACCCTTCGTATGGGCGTTCCATTGCTGCGAAACTGGATGCCGGCAGTACGACGATTACTGTATTCGACACATCTGCGAACGAGCCGAAGATACGAACTTTAAATCCACCGCCGTCTGGTCCGAATCAACTTGCTAGAGAAGATGAAGCGGTATTCTTTTTGCCGATTGGCAAATCAGGGGCTCTCGTCGTACTAGGAGGTCAACATGTAAGGCGATCATGTCTTTCATGAAGTTGAATACTGATTGACGCAGTGGGAACCTGGTAGCACTGGCCCAGTCGATCTCCCGCTCACTGACATCGACTTTCTCGATATTGAAGCTGGGAAATGGACTAAAGTGGTTTTGACGACGCCTGATGCGTCCAAGGTGCCCGGAGCTAGGTCAAAGTTCTGCGGATGGGTGGTGCCATCGCAAGACGGCAAATCATTCTCCATTGTCATTCACGGCGGTAGAACGGCGGATGCCACTGGGCAGCCAATCATATACGGTGACGTGTGTAAGTCATTCTACTTCAGAAAACAAGTGAGCGTTCCTGAACCAGATAGGGAGTCTGAGCGTTCCGGCGTTCACTTGGACCAAGATACGCCACAGCAATGCTCTCGACGACAATGCGCTTGGTGAATTTGAGAAGCGCCACCAGAGATACAACCATGTCTGCCTGAAACATGGCGACAGCTTTGGTATTGCTCTAGGAGGCTCAAGCACTCCCGAGACCACGGGGTCATGCAAAAGACAAACCTCCGGGGCTCCAGGCGATACCTCAGTAATAGACTTCTCTACATTCCAGCTCGTCGACGAGTGGGACCTCACACAAAACAATCCTCCCTTCTCCGATCCAGGAGCCAGGTACGTCCACCCTATCTGCCATTCCTAACCCAAGCATCAACTCACACCCAACAGCACCCCGAACCCATCCATCCCCGCCGAAATCACCGCCCTCTTCCAAACCACTTTGGCCCCCGCTCCAACCCTCACAGCCTCGCCCACCAACTCACCAATCCCAACCACTACCACCACCGCAACCGCCCACGCCGATTCATCGCCCTCGCGCCTCTCCACAGGCGCCATCGCAGGCATCGTCCTCGGGGTCCTCGTAGCCCTCATCCTCGCTCTCACAGCCGCCCTCTTCTTCCTTCGCCGCCACCGCCGCCACCACCGCCAACGCCTCACAGTCCCCCCGAAACCCGCCTCTACCTCTGCCTCCGACACCGACGAAGCTGGAACCTACGTCTCCGGACACCCATACGATCCAGGACACGAATACCGCCGCAGTCTCTCACCACAGCACGAGAGCACGGCTGCGAGTACCCAGCATATATATGCTGAAGACGCCACGTATGGTGGCGGCGGGCAGACGGCGATCGGGCAGATGGCGGCTACGCATCTTCCTGCGTATGAAGTCGGAGCTAGCCGTACGTTTACACGGGATGAGCTGGATAGTCCGACGAGTGCGTATAGCTCGTCGCTGCTGGAGGATCATGATGGGCGGAATAGAGAGGGGTCTCTGGCGAGGCGGATGAGTGATGTGAGTAGTTTGGCGGAGACGGTGGTGGAGGACGAGAGAGAGGTTGGGGCGAGGAGAGGGCGGCAGGGGGAGGGTGGAGGAGGGAAGGGAAGGAGTCGAGGGGATGTGAGTCCTGTTGTTAGTCCGATAGCTGGGATGGAACAGGGGTTTAACATGGATGGCCTAGTGAGGAATTCGTGATGATTGAATTTACGATGTACAGTAACTTGTGTTGTTGGATGGTATATGAGGTATCTCCAGAATTGAGAGTTTGTGTTATTATATACAGGGAGGTGGTGCTATGTGTATGCCTAGGTGTATCTTGTGGTATGAATGGCGAGCGGGTGTATGTAGTGGCGCGGAGTGGGATATATACCGTCAAAAATGTCGTCTATGCCAACATCTATAACTCTTTCTCTTTTGCGGCCCCTGCTTCGGACTCTTTCTGTCCTTTATGTTGTCGTCCCGTCACTGGCTGGCCCATCACCGCCTCTGGCCCTCCAATAGTCTCGAACGCCTTGTGGAATGTCCATTCGACGGCCTTCTCCACTGGCTCGTCGAACATGTACGGAAGAAAAGGCACGGCAATTAGACCCAGCTATATCAGAGTTAGCATGTGTTGCTCGGCATAACCCATCCTACCACTTACCCCGATCGGGCCCCACGTCCTGATCATCTTATTCTTCGCATCTTTCAAGGCACGTCCTGAGTATCTCACAATACTATGTATCGTAAACGCCGGCAGGCCCATACTGGCAATACTCTGAAACGCAGCTCTCTGCGCCATTACCGCACGGTAGTCCTCAATCGCTGGCACGCGCCCTCCCTCCAAACTGCCCTGTGCTACACGATCGCCCTCTGTAATTCCAGGCCCAAGTTTCTTCACCAGTGCCTGGCCCGGGTTGAGCTTATCGCTGCCGGTGACGTTCTTCTCGAGGTACTTCTCAGGGTGTAGTGTGCGCTGGTTGCGTAGGTACGCCTTGTAGCCCTCGTTGGACACGTCGCCGAGGATGTAGGCCCATGATATGCCGTAGGCGCCCCTGACTAGGTATGGATGTGCGACAGGTCGGAAGGACTCGCCTATGTCGGACGTGTATGCGACGTAGCGGTGGGCGGAGAGGAGGATGGTGCGGATGCGCGTTGCGTAGGCGGCGTATCGGACGTTGCTATCTGTAGATTCAGGGGCGCTGAATAGTGAATAAGTATGTTTAACTTCGCATGTAGGGAGGGGCCTGGCGACTTGGACGATGGAGTAGACTGCGTTGTATGACGTAGCTGGGCACTTACTGTCCCTCGTATAGAGCCTCCCAGAGCTTCTCGTCGTCATCTAGAGTATCTTGTAGTGCTTTTGGTAACTTCTTCGCAGGCAGCGGTTTGGAGAAGTCGGGTCTGGGTTCAGTACGTTCATGGGGTATGTCAGTCTCGTTGTCCTTCGCCATCTTCGAAGTCTGTCTCTATCTCGTGTTCTGGCGCAGGTACAGGGGAGACTGATCCTTGAGTTGTTGGAAGAGGATAAAGTTTGAAGACAGACGACTGTACACTGTACACTGTACACTAAGAATAATGCTGCGAGAACGAAGGACTCGGATTTCAAACAGAAAACGACCGACAATAAGATCGAGGATCCAGACGGATTACGTCAAATCATGAACTGTGGCTGGTGCGGCCGAGCGCCACACTAGTCCATAAATAGTTCCTACCTGCCGTATTCGATGTCCTGCAAATTTGATATCAGAAGGCCTGTCGCCCTTCGCATATCTCACATGTCGTTGTAATTATCGTGTGGAAATTAACGTAGAGGGCATTGCCAGTCGAACATGGACATCGCGCTGCGTGCCACTCAATGGGATTACAAGAAACTCATCAGCGTAGCCGCAAGCCTGAGCTTTGAGGATTATGTTTCTGCTTTCATTACTTTCGCGCTCGTTCTCACCATCCCAACTTCGGCCATACTGTTTCTGAACTGGCTGGATTCTTCTGTTCCTGTCGGCCTATATCCACCTGCGGGATGTCGCAAGCTGGGGCTGTACTGGAAGTCAAATCTGGACGATCAGTTTAAAGCGGCGCGGAAGCAGGCTTCTTTGACCGTGAAAGCGCTTCTTATCTATCCGGTCAAAAGCTGTGCACCGGTCGAACTGGCCAAAGCTGAAGTCGTTCGGACCGGGCTGAGATATGATCGTCAATTCACCTTTGCACAGCTTGTTAGTTCCCAGCCCCAGAAGAATGCGGATGGCAAGGATGAGGTTGAGCACAAATGGAAGTTCATCACCCAAAGAGAGTTTCCTCTACTGGCGAAAGTGAGGACAGAGATCTGGATCCCAGAGCCGGATATTGACGGCTACCATCCTAACCTACCATATGTCCGGAGCAAGGGAGCCGTGGTAGTTTCGTTTCCATTCTCGCCAGATTGGAGTCTTTTGAGCTTCCAAGGACTCAAGAATCTGGCTTCGATTCTGTCGGCCAAGCTGTTAGCTTTCGATCTGAAGGCCGAGCCAGAGTCGTCTTTTACACTGCCGTACGACCCTACTCCGGATCGGATTCAGGAGAAGAATTACACGGCCGAGAAAATGCAGATTTGGAAGGAATACCACTCCTTCCTGAATGTTGGCCCTGAGATACCAGAGACGAGCCTGGCGCAACTCAAATACTTTCTCGGTGTTCGCAACCCCTTTACACTTTTTCGTATAGACACCCGCAACTACAGAGAAGTCTTTCGGAATGCCCCAGTAAAAGCGGACGTTGACCACCAGCCCATTGTTGCGATGCAGGACGCGGTTAGTCAAGTCCATATTGCACCGTGACCAGATATTAATGCAAATAGTACCCCTTACACATCATCGGCCTATCCAGCGTCCGTGAAGTCGAAGCAAAGCTCCCAGAAAAAGAAGCCAGACAACTGGACTCTCGGCGATTCCGCGCCAACATCATTGGTATGAATTATCAGACACACTCCCTCAAAACACCCAAAATCAACCTACTAACAACAATCTCAGTATCCGGCACCACACCATTCGCCGAGGACAAATGGGCACGCATCCGCATCGGCTCAGGAAAAACAATCTCCGACATTGGCAAAGAGCTCGATCCAATCCCCCGTTTCAACGAATACCATCTCTCCTGCCGCACGGCCCGTTGTAAACTTCCCAACATCGATCCTGCAACTGGCGATCGCTCGCCGAACGAGCCGTATGTTTCTATGACTAAATATAGGCGTATTGATGAGGGCGCTCAGCCGTATCCGTGTCTGGGCATGCAGTCTGTCCCGATGTGGGATGCGGGCTTGGGTGTGGGTGAGGAGGGAGAGGAAGAGGAAGAGGAGCAGGGGCTGAGCGGGTGGGTTAGTGCTGGTGATTTGGTGGAGGTCTTGGAGGAGACGGAGGGGCATTTCTATATCAAGCAATAGTGTCAACGTTGTTCATCTTGAAGGCGTTGGCCTGTAGACCATTCTGTCTATGACTTACTCTAAGAATGTATATATCGCTTTTGAGCCCCGTCATCGTTCTCGAAACCTACCAATCTACATGTGCAGAGAATTCTGAGTGGATCTGTAGATTTGCGAGGGAAGAACCGTGTGGTACTGTTCTTTGTATGACTAGGTATATCTGTTGTGGTGGTGAGTATAGCTTGTAGTCTCTAATAAGTTTTCAGGCTTCGAGTCAGAGAGTTATGACTGATTTCTTTGAGAGAATAGAATGATAGATCGACATTTCTCCTCTGACTTCCTCTCGTCGTAGGACAAATCGATTCTTTTGTAGCTAAATGACATGCTGCCTATATAAGTTATTCGGGTTTTAGAAACATATGTATATTATTTTTGGAATCTGATATATTTTCAGATGAGAAGACTGCGCAATACGACGACTAATAAAATTGGAACAGTTAATGATACATAGATCAGGATATAATAGTCCAATTGATGTCACACAGAACAAAGTTTCTCACTCATATCAGTGGTGAATTGATTATACAGGATTCCATCGTTGTACGACTAGACCTCAAAATTGAGACCGGACTCTTTTCGGACAGCGCCATATATACCGGCGATGTCACCCTTCTCTCCTTGATGCTCTTTGACGTCGACTAGATGCTGCTCAATAGCTTCAAGATTTCGCATCTTTGCCCCTGACTCCTTTGCTAGGTTCAGAGCATGACCGACGTCTTTCCTTGCCAGATCGACAGCAAACAATGGCTACAGTCAAGTTAGTATCTACCAGATGGACCACATATATATCTCACCTCTTCGCGCTTGTAATAATCGCCCTGCTGCATGCGATTACTGTAAGCGACATAAGGACCGGGGAACATGGTCTCAATGAACTTGTGCAGGTTCGCAGAGCCCAGTCCCGATTTCTCCGCTACGGTGTGTCCTTCAGCAAGCGTTTCGACCATGTTCACTATGAATGTATTGCCGATGACTTTCAGCAGAGTGGCATGTCCATATCTCTGATCTGGGAATTCAATGTTTGCACGCGCAATTACGTTTTCGGTATATGGCTTCATCCGTTCGATGGATGACTTTGGGCCTGCTAGTACGCAGACAAGTTGTCCGTTGTCTGCCATTGCGGGCGCGCCAAACACTTGGATTGATTCAATACGGCTTCTATGAGTTGTACAATTGGCAGCGTACCAGGGGAGGCCACAAATTCGGCTCCTGCCTCAGTAATCCTCTTGCCCAAGGCATCTGTGGTGTCTGGATGCACTGTAGAACAATCGACAAACAGCTTGCCCTTGACGTTCTGTTTCAGGGCAGTATCGATGGTGTCATTGATTGCCGCGTCATCTCCCACACAGGTGAAGATGACATCGGAAGACTGGACAGCCTCTTCAACCGTACTTGCAACCACAACCTTTTGATCTAACTTAGCTGCAAGGTCGTCGGCTCGTTTTTTGGTACGGTTGTAGATGATGATTGGCTTGTCCAAGTTTCCCTTTTCTACTAGGTTCTTGACCATGCCCTAGCACCTGCGTCAACAAATGTGTGCAGTACGTGGACGTGCTAGTGTAGTGTATGTTACTGACCCTTCCCATATTCCCCAAACCGATCCACGAAAGTTGTGTCATGTTGGATGTGGGTGATGGATAGTATTGCTGAGAGGATTGTCAAAGGATGTATACAGTATCCCTATGTTTACATTTACAGCCGTATATCCGATCTTCTATATGCATCCATTCATGCGAAGAGCACCGGCGGCTCAGGATGACGTTTGATACTAAGATATACACAGGCCGTTATCCGAATCGATTGCCGGATAAGCTTATCGATAGGATATCGCTCGGATCTCCGGCTAGCGTAGTCCCGCTAATCTAAACCACGCACCCGAATGACGAATCACGTGTGGAGACTTGGAAGATTTGGCACAAATGTCGGTTTGTTTGTCCACCGCCTCGAAGCGCATATGCATAAATGTGCATGTGCATGTGCATTCAGTTGTGCATATGCATATATGCATGTGCTTGTGTAATCATTCATAACAGACGCTTGAAACCCATGAATACTTATACCCTCCACGAGTCATGACTCTCCCCGCGCGGCGTCACAACTTCTTTTTCTTCTTCTCTCGTGGCCTGACAATGCTCAATTGAAGTCTTCACCCCCCAAAAAGAACCTACTATGAAGCATGAACATCCTCCCAGTTCCCCCATCGAGGGGCCTCGCTCGAGCGAGCTCGAAGGTGAGTCAGGCTCACCGCCTTGAACTCGAGATCGCAGTCCACTGACACAGCGCAGGATTATAACAGACTCACCTCTGCATGCCATAGGCGATCGAACCATACCAGTGCTCGCTTCAGCACGACCGCACAGTTCCTCGACCTTCCTCCCCGCGATCTCAAGGCCGAAAATGCAAAAACTCGCAAAGCTGAGCGCGAATTCCTATTGTCGTTGCTGAAGAACGCACCGACGAAGCGGGATGCGAAAGCATACCTCTCGCACTTTGACCTGCCGCAGAAAGATGGGCTTACACTCAAGCCTAATCCTGCGGAGCCAGGCAAGGTTGACAGTTGGTGGCTTCATAAGACGGGCGTCAATCTGGGGAATCTATATACACCTACAAGAGCGATCGGGGAGAGCCCAGTGTTCAGCTATGCACCTCTTCTAGAGCAAACCGTAGTCGCAACCACTGATGGTCCGGACACTATCCATGTTGCGCTGGTGAAGCTCAGACAACCACAAATCCTCGACGACGATATATTGGATGGGATCGGCCTGACGTTGAGCCAGTTGGTGCGACTAGGTTTGAATCTGGTCGTTGTTGTCGACTGTGATACTGAGAGAGGATCCGAGCACTGCGGTGCGATATCGAAAGAGTGGGAGCAGAAAGTCCACGAACACACAGATCGCGTCGTTGAGGCAATCGCAGCGCATAATGCGCATGGTGTACTGAAGATATCAGATGCGCTCGGATTCTCGGAATACGAACCCGAGGTTCCTACTGCAATTCGTGTTAGGGGTGGGGTTGAGGTCACTAATAATAAACTTCTGATACCCCTCTTGGATGCTGGAATTATCCCAGTACTGCCACCAGTGGCGTCGGAAGTGCATCTCCAGAACAATCGGCGCGTACAAGCAGATGATATCATGCTGGCGCTCACTAGAGAGCTGGCTGGGATCAAACAACCGACTGAATACGATCAGGCCAAAGCTGACGACAGCAACGTGAAGCGAAAGAATACGTCTATAGATCGCATTATCCTGTTGGATCCTCTTGGGGGCATCCCTTCGGAAGAGAGACCAGATAAAGCGCATGTCTTTATCAATATGGAAGAAGAGTATGAAGATATTAGGAGCGAATTGCAGCGCTCTTGTACAGGCGACACCAGTGTGACTACGACCACTAACTCAAATAAGGCGTCTATACTCGGAACCAGCAATCCCTTTTCACAATTTGTGGAGCAGGAGATTTCTCCACTGCATGTGTCGCAATCATCGGGCAGAGATGCAATTGAGACTGAAGTATTGTTGTCACCCCGACATATCAAGAACCTTGACTTGTTCCAGCGGTCTTTGAAATTACTACCTCCGGGATCGTCAGGTCTGATCATCACCCCGAGCGCGGCAGCGATCTCTGCGCATCTACCGAACATCGCCCCCACACCTGCAACGGGAGTCCGAACGCGCCGTTCTAAGAACCCCCTGATTCACAATCTACTCACAGACAAGCCGATGATCTCGTCTTCGTTACCGCTGTCTCGATTCCATGTCCACTCAACGGACCCTGGAACAGCTTCAGATGGACTTTCGAATCATCCGACCTTTGTCAAACGTGGGATTCCGGTGACTATGATCCCCGACCCTCGCCGTGATGCGTGGAGTGTACCTGGTCCCAAAGGTACGAATCTCTCCCTCAACGACGCGAGGATTGACTTTCCACGCCTTCTTTATCTCATTGAGGACTCCTTCGGCCGCACGCTTGACGTCCGACACTACCTTGCACGCATCCAGAACCGGATTGCCGGCATCATTATTGCTGGTGAGTACGCGGGAGGTGCCATCTGCACCTGGGAAACACCTCCCAACTATCCAAATGCTCCGCCTGTGCCATATCTCGATAAATTTGCTGTGCTTCGGAAAGCGCAAGGCACAGGTGGAGTAGCAGACATTGTCTTCAAAGCTCTGCTTCGGACTTGCTTTCCGAACGGCTGTGTCTGGCGGAGTCGTACCAACAACCCGGTCAATAAATGGTACAGGGAGCGCAGTGCTGGAAGCTGGAAGCTGCCGGGTGGCCAATGGACCATGTTCTGGACCATGGAAGGTATGGAGAGTATGCGAGCACAGGGTGATCCTGAGAGTGTTCAGAGGTGGCTGGAATGGGTCGATGTGTGTCAGAATGTCGCGCCAAGCTGGGCGGACCAGAAACCACCGGACTGAACGTATCACATCACTTGGGTTAGGTTGTATTCATATTTTCTACGGGGACAGGCCTCATACAGACGATGAAAATCCTTGCAGACGATTATCAAACACCGTCTCCAAACGCGTAGTCGTTAGACCAACGCATGTCCCACGGCCGTGAGGAGTCCACAAACCGTAGATCTGTACCGAGCCGTATGATGTTATCGGGATCACAATTGATGGTCGACGCATGAATCTAGACGTGTTAGATTCCAGTTCGTGAAACAGAGAAGCAGCACGCACAGTATACGGCGTATGAAGCACCACGTCGCCAGCCTCATACTCAGTCAACAACCAGCGCCTGTCATGCTTTCTACCAAACTCTGCAGGTCCATCAGCGAGCAGACCGCCGTGCATCATGTTCGCATTGAATGCAGAACGCGCTTCCTCATCCGTCATTCCTGCGGCCTTAGCCTTGGCCGTGAAGTCGTACTCTATCTCCCGCCCAAGTATATGCCCTGTAACAAATGGTATCAGTGAACGTCCGCCGCCACTATCAAGAACAAACCACCAACCTCGCTCAAGATAAATCAAACCACCCCCCTGCATCGAGATATCCCCCATAGGCACCCACGCCGTAACACTCGTATCCTCACCCTGCCTCAGGAATATCTGATCATAATGCACCCCAATAGCCCTATTCCCCGGCGTCCCATTCCGCAACAGCGTCCGCCTCAGCGTCCGCATATCGCCGCCCCAGCCCGTGAATTTCGCCACAAACCCGTGCAGATCAGCGTTCTTGCATAACACGTCCTTGTACCAGCCTTGCGTGTGCGCGGCAAGCGCTAGATCGACGAATCTGGCGGCATCTGCACCGCCTGGTCGGCCGTTTTCGTCGGTGGATCCGGCGCCTATACCGGGGAAGTGTGCGGCGTGGTTGGAGGTGTTGAAGATGCCTTCTACTGCGTTGGTGCCGGGCTTGAGGATGTTGCTGGGGGCGAGGTGGGTGAAGTATGCTGCGCGGGCTTGGAGGATGTCGGTGCGGTGGAGGAGGCCTTTGAGGAAGAGGTAGCCGTCTTCTTGATAGCGGCGGCGGAGTTCATCGAGAGGGAGGTCCGGGCGGCTTGGTCTGAGGATGCCGGTTTGGTGTGGTTGGAGGGGGCCGTCGTTGACGTGGTATGTGTTGTGTGAGGGGGGATTGTGAGAGACGGGATGGGGCATCGTGGAGTGTGTTTAGTAGAATTTGTGTTGTTTAGAGTGTGGTGGTAGATATTTTTAATGGCTCTTAGCTGCGATTCGTGTGAATGGCCGATGTGAGGAAGTTGAAGCCATGGGGATGGGTCTGTCTCGATCCGGGAGGACAGAAACAACCCCGCACTCCTGAGTTTGAGCTTTAGTATTAGCTGCACTTCTTTGTACGTGGTTGTACGAATCTATCAGCGTGAGACTCTTGCGTGAGATAGGAATTGGGGACATGGGCCTCTCTATCATAGCGTAGCTTGTATTACTGACAGACTGATGCCTTATATCATGAAAAATATGCTTGCAGGATGATGATCGTTCTCACGTCTTCGAAAGGCCTCACAAGCCATTATAAGAGTTCGTAGCCATGGACATCCAGTCAGAGTCAAACATGCCCTCCATGAGATTGTCGAAAGAGGAATTCGATAAGCCTTGGCCTTCAAACATAGAGCTGAAGTCAAGCTGGTCCCCAAACCCGGCCATCGACGCATCACAATCGTATAGCATCGAGGGAGCTTGCCACTCCTGTCCGTATAGACCCAGATCTCCTTCGAAGGGCGGCTGGCCCTGGTCTGGATCGGGAGCACTGACTGCTGGTTGTCCCAGGGTACCAAACGTATCGCTGGATGTACCCGATCCCGCAGGCGATAGCTGTGGTGCCGAAGAGTCCAAAGTTGATGCATTTGTCTTGGATTTCCCATCCACGAGACGGCGTACTATGATGCTGCCAAGCTCATCGAGAAAGGCGCTGCTGCGCTTTGCGCCGGGCCAATGCTCGCCTGCAGCGGCAAGCATATTGCTTGCCGAACGGACGTCTGTCATTACGGAGTCGACCTTGATGGTATCCGCAATGCTCGGTACGCCCCAGATACAATAGAACATAGTGAGGGTAGAAAGGACGATTGAATGGAGCGTTGAGGATTGATATATGATGGAGTCATTGCGGTATTGGGAATTCAGCAAGCGGATCGCGGATACGGCGCTCACATAACAGGTTTCGAGTGCGGCCGGCTTGGGACGTGGAATCGCAGGTGTTGGTCGGAGGAGAACTTGCATCATGGTGTGATAGTTGAGTTCGCAGAGTGATTTCGTGTATGGAATTTCGGGCGTCTCGAGTCGCCATTGTTGTAAGCGTTGTATCATTGAGTCCTGCCATGCGTGTATATCGGGGATGTTTGGTAGAGCAAAGGCGATTGGCTCTCTTGATATGCTATGAAGCACATATTTCATCTCTGAGTTTAGTCTTGCAAGCTTGAAGAGGTGAATGGCCGTGGACATGTGAGAACTTGTTTGCCCGCCGGTTGGAACTCCTGTTGATGAGTCTCCTGACATTTCTTCATCGTCAACATCGTCTGGAAGCTAGCATATCACATGAGGTCTCTTCTAAGTATACAGCAAGACAGCACTTACGGGAACATCAAAAGCTTCGTCTCGAAGGCCGATTGGGCGTCCGGCCATAGTACCAAGCGTCCTATCGAAGCAATACACACACCAGAAGATCCTTCTCCTCATCTGAGTAACCAGACGTGGTAGAGTCTCGTGATTCTTTATATTTCTTTGCAAACCGAGATCCACGGCCGCAGCAATACACTGGTAATTGAGATACCAGCTGTTCATCTGCGCAGAAGGGTTATACAGGGTGTATATCTGCAGTAACAGCAAGCATTGAAGACCCTGTATAGAGCCTTCGACTTTGATGAGGTTAAAGAGCTTCATTGCTTTCAGAAAGTACCCTGTTGTGGGTAGGCTTATGCGCATTCTTTTCGTGAGTATCAGCGAGGATATAGCCAGGACCATGTATGTCTCGAACGTAGCAGCGGGATCTTTGCTTTCATCCAAGAGCGCGTTATTCGCACGTTCCACAAAGGTTGGTCTATGGAGGAACGGCCATTGTATGTGTACCACTTCAAAATATGTATTTGAGATTTGGGCAATTTGCGCCATACTAGGCGGCAGCTGCACGGGTAAGTCGAGTCCGAAGCTGCCACCATACATATCCTCAGCCCGAGATTCGCCAGAGCCAGCACTTTCATCAACTCGATTCTTGTGGAAAGAATGGCCCAGCGAGGCGAGCATCATCTGTGCAAAGAAGAATCCACTAGAAGGTCCTATGTATTTAGGATCTGATCCATTGGATAGCGAGACAAGCCCAATTTGATGTGTTAGATCTTCAGCGTTGCTTTGGGCTTTATTAGGGGGCTCTAATTTTGGATCGTTGTCTGATACTATGGCTGACCGATCTTCATGATCGACAGAGCCTGGAGATATGTGCTCCGAAGGCAAATGTGCCTGCTGTGACGAGTTGATCTCATCTTCCGTCTCACCCTCGACTCTCGGGGCCTGACTCAGGTCAATCCCTTTAGATTGCAGTAACGACTCAAGCCATGCAACTCTGTTCCTGAGACTAGCAATGTAGCTGTGTGTATCAGTATCAGCACAGTGCTTCTAGACCAAGGGTGTTGCAGTCTTACGCTCGCGGATAATCGCGTCCACGGAGATGATCTCCATCCACACAGCTCGCACCCACCCGAGCGCAGGATCCACAGGCAGGAAGCATGCCGTCGCACTGCAGAAGGTTAGTCGCTCATTGTCATGATCCCAGCTCGGAGCATACCCGTATCTTGCGTTTTTGACACCGAAGACATGACAGGCGGATGCGGGCCGTCTTCTTTCGAACCTGGGCTGGTGGGCTTTGCATCTCATTAGTCGGATAAGCACCGCTCTGTTCTTGGCAAAATATGATGTTTAATCGACGTGAGACTTTTTATAAATGCCTCAGAGCTATGTGATGAAACGAAGAAAGTGGTGCTTGCATCTGAGAGATGATATTCACCACGTTTCTTTGAGATTTGTGTTCCAGACGCGTCATCTAAGAGACTGAAGATTCAGCTCCAATTGTCCGATGTCGCTCGCACTGTTCTGTTAGAGGAATGCGTGGTCAGTGTTGTGTGATGATGATGATGGATATGAATGTCCACGGGCAAACTCCGTACAACGCTAGGACTTGTCCGAAGAGCTAGATCTAACCTAGTTAGGTAATAGTACAAGGATGGAGATATACACCCTAGACAAACCCCTCTCATACTTGGGCACCAATCTCGAAGGGGCACCCTATTCTCCGATCAATTTTCTAGAGACTCACGCAACATGACTGTTATACACATTGGTAAGTGTTAGAGCATCTCTGATGCATCATTCTAAACAAAACCTGCAGTGCTTTTCAAGTTCCGCGCCGATGTCTCCATACAGATTCGTGAGAAGTGTGTGTCAGAACTTAAAACGCTGAAACGGCTCCCATGTGTGCTCAATGGACGCCTTACAGTTGGAGGTCCCTCGATCACGAATCCCATTGAGCGGAGCAAGGGATATCACTATGCGCTCGTCAGCTACCATAAGGATCGCACTGCTTTAGAGGAATATCAAGCAAGTAAAGAACATTACGAGTTAGTACTACTGGAATTGAGGGAACGTATTTGTACTAAAGTATACAGAGTTACTAGTGCGCACTTGTGGCCCTACAAGGAAGATATAACTAGGTTTGACTTTGAGGTGGATGATGAGAGTGATGGGCTGGATCCGCGGCAACTGCTAGGGGCAACTATTCCGAATAGCACATGATAGGTCATCACATAGGCAACTATTATGAATTTGTATACCACAAGATGTAGGATCTTCAAGTCGGCAAAGGACTTACTCCCACCTTCAAAGCTTCATCGTTCAATGCTTCAATCTCAGCTTCAGCGTATGGTATCCCTGATTGTAGTCGTTCTCTCCGTACACGCTGCTCGATCTCACCCGGGAAAAAGATTTGCTCGACCCCTTGCGCCTTTTCAGACTCTGTCACTCTTTTGTACAAGTATTGCATCCTGTCTTCAAACTCCTTCATGGACATGAATAGATCGGGTTTGATTGCAACGAGGAAGTGACCCACATCTGCAGGCTTGGAAGGATCGTATGGATTGGTGACATGTCCTGCAAAAGCCGCACCAGAGAACACTCCCGAGAAGACGTCCATCATTATTGCGAGCGCAGAGCCTTTTGGACCGCCCATGGGGAGCATGACACCTTCAAGGGCCGCCGCTGGGTCATCTGTAGGTCGTCCTTGGGCGTCTAGCGCCCAGTCCAGGGGTATCTTCTCTCCTCTTCTTTTCGCTTTATATATCTTCCCTCGAGCTGCGACTGAGGGTGCCATGTCCAGAATGAAGGGCATATCTCCTGCTGGGGCACCACAAGCGATTGGAGATACACCTATCAGCTTCTCTTTCCCGCCCCAAACAGGAAGGGCAGGCGAAGAATTGGTGAACACGAGACTCATCATGCCTGCGTCAACAGCCTGTTGCACTATCCAGGCGCTCATGCCGAAGTGGTTGGAACCTTTGACAGATGCCATTCCGATCCCGAATGTTGAGGCCATCTCGATACACTTCTCCATTCCTATCTTGGCACCTAGAAAGCCAAAGGAGTTTTGGCCGTCGATTTGGACGACTGCTGGGGTGACCTGTTTCACCAACGGGCTTGCTGAGGCTGATAGTACTCCGTTCCGGATGCGGGCCATATATGAAGGGATTCGATTAATGCCATGAGAGTCGACACCCCGTAGATCCGCTTGGACGAGGCAGTCTGCAACGATTAATGCATTCTCTGAAGGAACGCCATTAGCGACGAGAATCTTCTCCACGAATGCACGAGCATTTTTGTCCGTGATGACAACTCGTCGTGCTTGTTGGGCATTGGCCATTTTTTCAGGTCAGGGTGAGTTTTTTCTGTTTGACTTTCAGTCTTGATATATCAAACAGAATCGTTAGAATTGCCTAACGATTTATTGTATCTGTATTACCCGCATTTCATGTATTCGTCAAGCTAGTACCGATGAGGTCTAGCACCAAAAGCCCCTTGGTTCGGCAAACACCGCTTGTGGCTTCGATCGGAGGAAGTCCGTCTTATCCGTCGTTGTTTTCCTCTGAATTATTTCGTTATAATCATCCATTACCAATCTCTCTGACTACGTCAATTCACAACGGGCTGGCTATGGTTCCGGTATCGTGACCCGGCCACCACCTTGCATATGATCATCTACCAGCTCGGGCGAGAGAGCCGGAAAGTGTCACAACAGGACCAGCAGCAGGTGTCTTCAGCTTCCATTACAGTCTCCCAGTCGACGATGTAATCCCACCGTCTACAACAATCTTCTGCCCGGTGATATACTTGGCTTCATCAGAAACTAGGAATAACGCCGCATTGGCAACGTCCCACGCATCTCCCATTCGTCTCATTGGTACCTGAGAGTCTCTCATCGCCTTGAATTTCTCGTATCCTCCCGCAACCGGAAATCTTATGAACAGCTCTTTAGTGTAAGGCGTCTCCATTAGGCCAGGCACAACGGTATTGAGCCTCACGCCTCGATCCGCGTAGATGACTGCCGTTGCCTTTGTGAACTGCAGTATTGCAGCTTTCGTTGCAGAGTAACCCACCTGTGGCTTGCCGATATAACGGAGGCCAGCGATACTCTGTATCCGTGTCAGTGAAAAACTGTAGTAATGAATAGAGTGAGAAAATACCGCGATACTGACGACAGAGCCTCCTGACGCCTGTTTCTCCATTATTGGCAGGACATAATGACACGTCAAGAAGACGCTCTTGAGATTGATATCAATCTGTGAGTCCCATTGGTCCTCTGTGAGAGTTGCAGGACAACCTGCCTCCGAACGACCGACATTGTTGATCAGAATATCGATCTTTCCGTGTCTCTCCATGCACGCATCGACAAGTCGCTTTACGGAGTCTGAAGACGTGACATCCGTGGGGAATATATCGCACGTACCGCCTTCCTTCTCTATGGTGGCCTTTGTGATGGCTGCCGACTGGATTGTGCGATTGCCACCAAATATGCTCGCCCCTTGACGCGCGAGAAGAACAGCACACGCAGCGCCTATGCCCCAACCCTCAGTTCCACTCTGGCCGCAGCCTGTGATGAGCACCACTTTCCCCGCAAGATCGAGCATTGACATTGAGTCCTCCTGATCTGTTAGCTCTCATTTCTTCGTGGTACTGTTTTGCTTACCTGAGTACAGAACGAGCTGTGTGTCTATATGGCAGTATTTTTCAACTCTATCTCCATGTATCATTACGAAGGACCTCGTATTATCAGATTATGCCGAATTCCGCATTTTGACCATCACGTTCTACTACTACAGTTTATCCTGACTATGTCGGACGTTCTCCGACGGATTACAGCCGAAGAAGAAAAGTGGGACAGGTTCACTCATGGTACACAAACGGGGCTCTACTTGATCGTGCAAGCGAGATGATCTACCCAGGGATATCTTTTAACAACAAAGTTGGCACCACGTCGCTACACGGGACCCCGGCTGGAAGTTGGAACGCGAATGTCCCCGGACGTTGTCCGAAGCGTCCCCAGTTGACGACCCACACACGACCACATCTGTACGTCCATCTGCTTGAAGTTCTCTTAATAAGATATATTTGAACATCGCTCTGTGGACTCTGATCCCAAAGCAGAGAATTCTATATGCAACGATGTCAGACCCAGACAAGGCACTAAATAACGACGACTATGATCTATCTAAGCAGCTTGATATATCGGTCGGCTTGAAAAAGAACCTCACATCGTACGGAGATCAACACTTCTCTCTCTTTCTTCGAAAAGTCTTTATCAAAGCTCTCGGTTTGAGTGACGATGCTCTCTCACGTCCAATCATCGGAATCATAAACACCTTCTCGGGCTTCAACCCGTGTCATGGCAATGTTCCACAACTCATTGAAGCAACAAAGCGAGGCATCCTGTTGAAGGGCGGGCTTCCGATAGAATTTCCAACCATCAGTCTCCATGAGGCGTTTTCGAGCCCAACAAGCATGTTTCTACGGAACCTGATGAGCATGGACACGGAGGAGATGATCAAAGCCCAGCCAATGGATGCTTGTGTCATGATTGGAGGTGTGTACAGGATCTTCTTCGCGCAAGCATGAGTGCTAACAGACTCCTTGGGCTGCGACAAGACTGTCCCAGCACAGCTGATGGGCGGTATATCTGCAAATAGACCTATCCTGCCACTAGTCACCGGGCCCATGATGCCCGGCAGCCACAGAGGAAAACGACTCGGTGCATGCACAGATTGCAGAAGCAACTGGGCTGCGTTCCGAGCTGGTAATATCGACATGGAAGACATCTCCGCGCTGAACGAAGAACTCGCTCCTACGGTAAGTCAGCAGCAATACATGCCCCTCGAACAACTTCTAAACCACCGACCCCATAGATAGGCACATGCGGCATCATGGGCACCGCCAGCACAATGGCCTGCATCACCGCCGCCCTCGGACTCATGCCTCTCCGTGGCGCAACCGCACCAGCCGTCTCCTCCGCCCGGCTCCGCATCGCCGAAGAAACCGGAATGAACGCCGTCCAAGCCGCGCAAACCCAGCTCCTCCCCCAAACAATGCTCACCAAAGAAAACTTCCTCAACGCCATCACCGTCCTCCAAGCCCTCGGCGGCTCCACCAACGCCATCATCCACCTCCTCGCCATCATCAACCGCCACCCCACCCTCGCCGGCCAAATCACCCTCGACACCATCGACGCCATCGGCCGCCGCACCCCACTCCTCCTCGACCTCAAGCCCAGCGGCGAAAACTACATGACCGACTTCCACAACGCCGGCGGCATGCTCGCCCTCATGCACACCCTCGCCCCGCTCCTCCACCTCGACACCCAAACCATCTCCGGCTCCTCCCTCCGCACCATCCTCTCCACAAACCCCTTCCGCCCCTTCCCCCTCTCCCACTCCATCATCCGCCCCCTCTCCACCCCCCTCGCTCCAAACTCCTCCCTCGTCGTCCTCCGCGGCAACATCGCCCCCGAAGGCTGCATCCTCAAGGCCTCCGCCAGCCTGCTCAAACCCCTCCTCACCCACCGCGCGCCCTGCCTCGTCTTCTCCAGCCCCGCAGACATGGCCGCCCGCATCGACGACCCTCACCTCCCCGTCTCACCCTCCACCGTCCTCATCCTACAAACCATAGGCCCCCGCGCCGGGCCCGGCATGCCCGAAGCAGGCCTGATCCCGATCCCGCGCAAACTAGCCCTCCAGGGCGTGCGCGACATGCTGCGTATCAGCGACGGGCGGATGTCTGGCACTGCGGGCGGGACGGTGGTGCTGCATGTGAGTCCCGAGGCGGCGGTTGTGGATAGTGTGTTTGGCGTGGTGCGCTCGGGGGATTGGGTTGCGGTGGATGTTGAGAGGCGGTTTATTGGCGTTGAGCTTGGGGAGGAGGAGATTGGGCGGAGGATTGCGGAGAGGAGGGAGGGGAGGGGAGGTGGGGGAGTTGGACAAAGGGAGGCAGCGACGAGGGGTTATCGGGCGCTGTATGAGCGGACGGTCAATCAGGCGCATGAGGGGTGTGATTTTGAGTTTTTGAGAAGTGAGCCGAGGGTGTTGCCGTAGGGCATGGATGGTATATTCGTGTCTGGTAGATGACTGGTCGATGCGTATGGCATGGAAGGGTGATCACAGGTAAGGCAGTGCAACATACTTCTCATTCAAGTTACAAGTAGGAAGGAAGAAGACTTTTCAGCATTGAAGAAGATTCGTCAAATACGCACCCATCACAAACACGTACAAACACTCAATCGAGGTAGTCAAACTCGCATTCGTGCAATTCATTTTCATTCATCCGATATGCCGTGCAAAGCATTTCAGCATCAATTCCTCCCAGATGCTCGCCTCAATCAACATCCCGTCATAGAAGAAAGTTCATCATGGATATAGTAAATACAGCATATAAGAGAATCCATCGCAAGTCCGCCATCGCTAACACACGAGATCCTGACCATCCATCTACCTGTAGGTAGCATTTCCGCCAGTCGTCTTTGATCCATCACGGTCCGAGTCAACGCGAGGATCAAGCTTGTTTAGGAGGTTCGAGTCGTGCGGACCAGCAGTGTTGGACGCATTGCCAGATCCGGGCGTGTAGGACGATGACGTACCAGTCGTGCCAAAGCCAGAGTTGCCGCCATGTGTGGTACCGTGCTGAGTGCCATATGTATTACCCGTGTGTGCGCCTGGAGCACCGTACGAGGGGTCACCGCCACCGGGAGCAGTGCGGTTTCCATCGCGGTCGGAATCGACGCGAGGATCGACTTTGTTCATGAGGTTAGATCCGTGCGGGCCATGGTTTGTGCTGTTGGGGTTCTCATTGCCGTATGCACCGGTGTGCGTGCCGGTGTGCGTGCCAGGGGTAAAGGTGGAGTGCTGAGTAGTGCCGTGGCCTACACCTCCGATACCAGTTCCACTGTGCGAGGTACCTGTATGAGCACCCGGAGTACCGTATGATGGGTCACCACCTCCTGGAGCAGTGCGGTTGCCGTCACGGTCCGAGTCGACGCGGGGGTCGAGCTTGTTGGCGAGGTTGGAGCTGTGTGGGCCGTGGTTGGAGCTGTGGATATTCTCGTTCGCGCCGTACGCACCTGTGGTGCCGGTAGTCTGATGGGTAGAGCCGTAGCCAGTACCGGTGTGAGCAGCACGGCCGTCACGGTCGGAGTCTACGCGCGGGTCGAGCTTGTTTGCAACATTGCTGTTGTGAGGGCCAGCGTTGGTCGAGGTGCCGTGGTTTGTTCCGAAACCAGCTCCTGTTGACGAGATGCCGGTTGGATCACCGTGAGAGTGGCCTTGGTGTGTAGCACCGGTATGTGGAGCTGTGGTTGTGGTTCCGTGTGTAGTTGTAGTGGTACCGGTAGCAGTATGGGCAGTGTTAGGGTTGTTGGTGGTGTTGTGCTTGTGGAGGAGCTCTTCGGCCTTTGTGGTGACCTTATTGAGGATGTTAGACATGATGAAGTGGGTGAAGTGTTGTCTGAGTTCAGGTAGTCTGGAAGTTGATCAAGATGAGAGGATTCGGTAAAGTTTTTGTAGAGAAGAGTTGGTGAGGATAGCAGTCTGTTGGGCGGAAGACAGGCTGGTATATGTAGTTAAGTACGTATTTGTGGTGCACGGTGAGGTTCAGCGGTGCTACGTCAGAGAGTGTTGCGATTGGGCTCGAGTGGAGTGAATGCGACGTCTGTAACCTGTTTACGACCAGGAATGTTGATAGAGCTTGCGCCACAACTGACCATCAAGCAGGGAAGGTGTAACCAGCCACTTCCGCAACGCCACATTTAAGCCTGAGGCATTCAGAGCGTAACCAATGGCCGGGCCTCGCTGCGATTAGCGCGGACGCGATCTGACCTCATCGCATCGTCATCGGAAGCCATTCCATGTTTTCCTTCTGCCGTCACCATTCACTTCGCATCACCACCACACGTTGCGCCACAGTCCCGTTGTTTCGCCTATTTACGCGTGGCGTCATGTTTTAACTGTAATTAGCTACCGCTGCTAGATCTGACACATCTAGCTCTATGACTCGAGTCTGAGCCAGCTATATCTTGCTGTTCCTTCATAGACGAAGCCTTATGGAAGCTAAAGAGAACGATTTCATCTTGATCATCTTGATCATCTGGAGCATCTCTTCGTGAACTTCTGAGTAGAGAGAGAGCATTTACCACTGTTATTCATCTCGCTTACATTCACGAACTGACTTCATAATGGATAGAGTACCCACCCAGACGGCCTAGGTAGCCGCTTACACCTGACACAACCACGTCGCTTGGCAACGGCATCTCCACACCACAAGTGACGGAGGATATACTACAAAAGCAGGTTTCGATGCATGGAACGTTCCTCGCGTCCCACAGTCCCGCGTTCAAACTGGCGAACCATGCCCCCAGTCGTCGTCATGCTGCAGCTGCTCTGCGTCAGATGCTGATGCTCTCCATGATTCAGAATACTGAGTACCAAACCGACCAGGATTTTGAGTATGGAGTAATGGAGTGCTGTCCAACGGACGCAGCCTGGCATGTGGTCCCAGCTTATAATGTATGACGTATTTTCATGGATTACAACACGTACGACGCACGGAGTGGTAGTTCAACAGGCCTAGTATTTTGCATATGTAGTTACTTCCCATCGGTATATCGCAACCCATATGAGCATAGCCTAATCAATGTCATGATAGCATGGCAGGTGAATTCGGTTCAGATGAAGAGCGTAATGCCTTTACTTTGTCTTTTTCTTCTTGGAGTTACTAGACTTCGATTGAATGGTTGTGGTGGGAGTCATCTGTTGAATATCCGGCGAACCGTCCGGGACGGCTCGAGGACCAGCCGTGCTACAATCTTTAGCTTGTTGGGGTATTCCTGATTGTGATGACACTGGTTCTGGATGTGTGCGGTCGGAATCCGAGAGTTCAGAAACGTCGAAGTCCAACTTTGCGGGTAACATGTCTACAGCGGAACAGATCAATCTGAAATGATCAGCCACCCACAAATCAAGAATGTTCATAGTAACAGTCCATGCGATCCATCTATTATCTGCTTGTATCGTCTTTTCGATGTCAAATTTCGCAATCGGCTCCCGGTAGAACTTAACGTCGTCCCCATTCGTGACAATCAGATGTGCCCAAATTCGCACGTCCACGTCACTGTGCGAGTACGAGAAGCCACTGATAGTGTTGTCAAGCTCTTTCGCTCGACCCACAAGGCGGAAGAGCTCAAAGAGACCGCGCGATAAGACAGTCTGACTGTGAGCATTTTGTCGATCAGCAATATCAAGCGCGGATGCTCCGCACTTCACTTCGCTGGTCAAGAATGGGAAGTACATGTCATCTGTGGCTGCAAAATACGAGCATTCTTCCATGTCGTTCCCGATAAAGGGCTGAAGCTTTTGCAGTTGTTCTTTAGTAAAAGCTTGACGCTTGAATCCCAGACCGTAATCTGGTTGTGGACGGGGTCCGTAGAATGGGATAGCGTTGTTCCAGCCGGCGTTGGTTGTCTCTCGGAGAATCTTTAGATGCTTGGAGCCACGCATTGCTAAAAGTTCGGCAGGAGGGACAATCAGCTGCGCAATGTCACGAATGATCCTGGTCTCATTCCTGCCCTTGATCAATTCCAAAGTTTCTTCAAAAAGATCATCGTCAAATAATGTATGTTTTGGGGGAGTTTGCGGCGATTCCAGAAGTTTGCGGCAAAGCTCTCTGCTCTCCACGCTGATATTTTTGTACTTAGCCATGAAGCTACCGCGCTCGCTGAGCCGGCTCTCATAACGAAGATACCGGTATGTAGCGCTCTTTAGCTCCCGTGGGGCTTGATCACTCGATGATGGTGTCAGAATTGTTTCCGCGTTGATGCTCGCTTCTGACCGTTTACGACGAAGCGAGTTTGATGACTTTTTTTTGGCCAGCGCAGGCTTGATCGGCTCTTGAAAACGATCCATTGTCTCTTCTTGCTCAGGATTTGGCCAAGTCCCGTTCTCTCTCCAGTAGTCAACTCGAGCGTCGCTGAGTGTCCTCCAAACCGTTCGTGTACGTTTAGGGGACCTCTCGAGCGCAATGTTAGCGGGGGTGACTTCGTCTTCCCGACGTCGCTTTGGCTTCCCAGCCTGTGCAGAAGGATCCTCCGCAGGCTTCTCAATCAATGAAACTCCGAGATCGTGAATGTACTTTTTTGTCTTGACAGGTCCTTCCTGAGCCTGTCGTGGGCTCGAAAACTGCTCCGCCATGTTGGATATTTCCGATAGCGAAAACAATAGAGCAAACGGACCTCTTCTGCTACGGAGGGTTGATTGTCGGTTCGTTTGCGATTGCTCCGTCGAGTAGCTCTGCTAGTAGCATTCGCTGTGAACTCAGAATAATCCGCGGCGCGACAGGTGCAATGACCGACCTTTATTCATCTGCGAGCCCACACGCCGTCTCTTCTGGGCGACCGGAGCCTCTGAGTAGCTCGCCATAGTGACAGGAATCGCAAGGTCGAGACGCTTATACAATGCCGCCGAGTTCGAAGTGTGAGGATGGCTAGGAGAAACCCGCCAAGCGTGAAACCTAGCGTCGTTTCTGATTAGTAATCCATGCTAAGCCAAAGTAGCTATCTAACCTAATAATAGCAACATAAACGACTTGAGGCACGATTTCATCTCTGTTTCTTCTGGATGACATGTTATTAACGTCTATCTTTGATTATAGCTACGGCGCGTATGTCTCGTATGACGCCTCCAGTCTCCGGCATGCCGCGGACTGGATGAAATGCTCACTGGATTGTCACCTGGCAGCGCTTTTATAGGTCCATCTAATCCAACATCCTCATCCGGTGCCGGCGTCTCGGGGTCCTTTCTAGTAGCCTGCCCAGTCTCCCCATTCACTTTCAAGCTGCAACCCGCACTGTTGATACCTACCGCTCGTCAGTATCAATATACACATTGTGGAGCTATACGCACCATCCGAACCCGTGCACGTAGACATGGCCTTCTGCAACTTCTCCTGGTCCGTCCAGCCATTGATAAAATCGCCGTGCAGCCCATACCCGGTCGTGTCGCCCATCGCATACACATACCTATTGAAATCCCTCACCGCGTTCGTATCGTAGAAGAACTCGAAGAAGACCGAGAATATCCCCACCGGATGCGATTCCGGACACACGCCAATGTTGTAGTCCCCAAGTGCCGGATACGCCATCTGCACTCGTCAGTCGTGTCAAATCCTCCCAGGAAGACGTCAGGATAGCAACTTACATGGCTTTTATGGTCCTTGCTGTCTAGATTCTCCCCGTCCCAACAGCTCGGGAAGAACACCTGGCTGCGGATCCGCGTGCATTGCTCTTTCGGCAGGTCTGCGATGTGTAGATCTTCCTGGCCGTTGGCGCGCAGACATACATGGCTCATAGCCCGCTCGCGGAAGTCGCTATCGTTGTACGTGCTACACCGTATATCAGTCGACTTCTTGACTACATTCAGGGGCGTTCCTCACCGTCGCTTGAGGTCCCCGGCAATCATCCGCAGCCCCTTTGGCGGCGCACGCGCGTATTGCGTGTAATCACATCCGGTCCGGTCCTTTGCATAGTCACACGCGCGATTCAAGTAGTACACCGACTACAACGGCCATCAGCTTCACTTCCACTTTATCATTATCCTCAAAACTCACCGCCGTCGCCATAGGCACCAGCTCAAACTGCCCACCCTCCCCCTGATGATACAGCTGCGGAATCCAATAATTGCTGTTATCCAAGCTCTTATCACACGTCGTGCCCGCCGCACGCACCGCATCTTCGTTCGTCTCTGTGCGTGCAAATGCCGTTCCTCCAATTATGGTGTGCACGTGGCTAGATGCCTCCCCTGGCACGAGGATCGGGTCGGAGCGCTGCGTTGTGAGCGGCGCGCAATTGACCGTGAACAGCGTATCCTGTGCAGCTATGTATGGCACGAGGGAGACGAGAAGTGCGAGAAGGGAGGCGAGGGAGATGGAGGAGTACATCACGGGTGCGTGTAGACAGGGGACGTGGAGTGTCGAGAAGCGGCAGGCGAGAGATGCACAGGGCTGATATGTGCACAGCACCGCAATGCCGCTTTATACAGCAGATCAGCACAGGTCAACTACATCATCCGTCGCATCCCTTGCGCGCACGTATGTGTTGTCCATTCCCCCACGCTCCGCGCCTCGTAGTCTCGCATCGCGTAGCCTATCCGTCCGCTCCGGGCCCGGAGATATATACAAACCGCCTAGTCCAGCCATCTCTGGTTGAAATGACGCAATGGCCCAACCTCTTCCTTTTTGCTACATCGAAGATGCGTAGGGCAGAAGAGCGATGGTGGTGTGCGTGTGTGTTGGTGTTGTGGATTTCGGTGGTTGTGATGGGCTGCGGGGAGGGGGGGATTCGGAGGTTTTTTGGTAGTCCGGGTGCTGGATTCGGATGCAATGGGATTTCGTTTGGGATATGCAATTGTGCATGCATGCGTATGCGTATGTGAGGGTGTCAATAAAAATTATGTCAGTTACATAAATAGATGATATGCATTCATAGCTGTCTACCCACACACCACTAACTGCATCACTGTACACCACCACTACAACCTTTTACCCATATATACAGACACATTGTCGAACAGTCTGCTCATTAATTCACATTCCTCTGCTCTCTTGGTATCCAGGAAAATTCCCAGTCTGCATGACCAGCCGCCCGTAACCACACCCGAATGTGAGTTGGAAGATCTCAAAATATACCTATAACATTGCTTTAGTCTCCCTATAACGTTACATTTTGTTTAGATGATATCACTTCAAGCGTTCTCTCTGTCTATAACGAAAGTCTAGCCTATCTGTATCTTTAACATTCTCCTATGAAGTATTCCCGATTCCTCTCTCAATATTCATTGTCCCTTACTTTCGAGTCTGCGTGCAAGTGCTCATGCTCATCCAAGTTCCATAAGCTGAACGAGATTGTACGGACAATGCATGCATGCGAATCACCGTCCTAGCCAGCCCTAAAGATTACAATCATAATAGCTGCCTCCTGATCTGGTGTTCTCTAACGTTTCAAAATCTTGGACCCATCCCCGCTTTACAGCAGAGCAAACGAATATCTACAAAATCTGAAAGATAAAGATGATATCTATTTATCCTACGGAAGTTCGCTTCTTATACCCTGTAACCTCTGGCCAATCTGCCTTGGCTTTATTCTTGAACACTAGGTTCAATGTTAAAAATGGTTGGTTTTTATCTTTCCATGATGCCCTCCTGCGCTTATGCTATTGTGACTTGAACGGCTTGTTTCACTTCATACCTTGACATATAGAATACCGATTATCGTTCAATGCTATCTTGAGTCGGGTGCAACGTTTGGGACTTGTACCTTGAGCTCTATAAAGGGGTTATGAAAAATCTAAAATTTAGGCGAGGTCGATTGTTCCAGCTGTGCAATCGCACGAAAGAGCTAATCAACTGATAGGCTTCATGAATCACTTGCATCGAGATCTTTCTCAGTCTACTGCCATTCCAGCACAACACAACCCACAAGAACCGATGTATAACACGACACATCAAGCACCCCTTGACCCCACAGCAACACTCCCAACCTACTGCCTCCACGCAACAACATCAACCCTCCGATCCCACAACCTCAGCGCCTCAGCAGCACCCAACACCCCCTCCCCAACCGGCAGCCTCCAAACCGTCATCCCCACCCCACTCATCTTCAAGCTCGTCACCAACGGCCCCATCACCACCCTCTCAACCCGAAACCCCCTCCCCCTCAACTCCCGCACCCCTTCCCCCGCAAACACCGCCAACACCCCATCCCCCGTACTCCCCAGCGAATTCACAACCAGCACAACCGCATTATCCGCCCCCTCCTCCCCATCCCCATACCTCGCCTTCTCAAACGGGATAAACCCCCTATCCCCATCCCCCACATCCGTCAACAACCCCACCATCCTCCCCACCAGCTCCCCCACCAACGGCACAGGACTCATCCTCTCCAGCCCCGGCTCCCCATGCGCTCCCATCCCCAGCTCCACCGTCTCTCCCGGCAAAACAGGCAGTCCCCCAACAACCCCCGTCGGCAACCCCACCCGATCAAACCCCACCCCCACAGTCCCTACATCCCCCACAACACCCTCCATCACACGCCCCACCTCTTCCAACCCCACCCCCTCATCCGCCATCCCACACACCACCTTCAACGCAACAAGATGCCCCGCCAGTCCCCTCCTCCCCACCCTCCCCCCTTGCGCCCTTCCGACAGCCACGTCGTCGCCGACAGGAACGAATCTGACGCGGTACCCGAGGGCCTGGGCGCGCGTGACGGCGAGTCCGGCATTGAGGATGTCGCCTGTGTAGTTGCCGCAGACGAGGAGGGTGCCGGGGGAGGTGGCGGGGTGGGGCTGGCAGAGGGCGATGGCGGCGAGGATTTGGGCGGCGGTCGGGGAGGCGAAGATTGTGCCTGAGACGGCGCAGGTGAGGTATGAGGGGCCGACGAAGCCGGTGAACATGGGTTCGCTGGGGGTGTGTTAGATGGGGTTGTGGTTTGGAGGGAGGGAGCTGAGGGAGGGAGGGATAGAAGGGGGGAAAAGGTGGGGATTGGGAGTGAGACGTACTGCCCACCGCCAGCGAATCCGATTGTTGTGACGTGGTTCTCCCTGAAGGTTGCGATGTCGCTGCGATATGTGATTTTGTGCTTTGCGGAATAGGAGAGGGTGGGGTGGAGCGTGGTTAGGCCGGACATGGCTTCGTTGATGGCTTCTGAGGGGTCGTTGATCAGGTGGAATGTTTCCTTTGCGGCTGGCGCGGGCGTGGCTTCAGCTGTTGCCATGATTGCGTGGAGATGTTTGTGCGATGATTTGCTCTGGTGGTGAGTGAGTGAGTATCTTCTCCCGGTGATGGCCTGACAGGGATGTCGTGGTAGAGCTGAGTGCGGCGGTAGCAGCACTGGAAAGGACTGAGATTAGTATATGAAGATTGCTCGAGGTAGATAGTAACCGGACTTCATGAGATCATTGATAGCGCAATTGCAGACTTTATGGTTCCTGGCCGATATTTAACATCAATCCCCGCATGAGGTGGGGTCTGGGGTAGCGGGATTCCTAATCAGGACATCCCGTCTCCTTTCCGAAGACTTCGCCTTTTCGCGTTTGGCTGTACAAACATGTCCTATACAAATCATTCTTCGTTTTGGGTAAGTGGTCCAAAAAGTCTGGTGAATGGTCAGCGTCTGCAAAAGAAGTAAGATGATAGGTATTGTCGGAAGGTACTTTGAGTGAGAGACACTGCTTCCTAAACGGGACTAGTGTCTAAACGGTTAAATAGCTTCGACTCTGTCTCCTAGAACTTAGTTCTCTATATATAATTATAGAATATATTTAATAACCTTAATCACGTCTACTTTCTACTTATAATGGATTATAAGCCTAGCGCTTTACTATAAAAGCCTTAAAATACCTCTTTATTAATAAAAACTATTATATTTTAATAAAAGTAAGTCTCTTCTCTAAAACTTAGTTATCTTATTAATCTTATTAAAGTTTTACTTTAATTCTACTATCTTATTAACTTCTAGTCTCTATATCATCCTCTATACCGTCCTTCTACCTCTTTTACCTTTACTACCTTCCTTATAAATATATAATAAATAGAAAGAGTCGGAATAAGTTCTATATAAAGAAAGAGAAGGAACCCGAGAAACTTATTAATAACTATATCTATTAATTTTAAACTTAACCCTTCCTCTCTATCTAAGCTATCTTTAAGAGAAGAGAATTTCCCTAAGTAGAGATTAGCTTAGATAATCGTATTTAAATATATATAATTATAGATAATAGTCTCTAGTAGGGTTATTAGACCCTTTAGTACTAGAGTCACGGATTTATATATAGATATAATAGATTAGGATATAAAGGATAATAAGGTAATAATTATATTACTCTCGTTAATATATTAAGATCTTATTATAGGTCTTACTTCCTATAATATAGTAGTAGCTATATAGAGTTATCTATTATTACGTTTTAACTATAATATAGGTAGTTCTTTAATATATCTATTTAGATTACTTACTAATCTCCGCTATAAAGACGGAGAAGATATCCGCAAATATATTAATAATTTCTATTATACCTAGATGCGAATAGTAAAAAGATACGCTACTTTATCTTATATAGTCGTAAAAGTAATATATCTAATTTTTAAATCTAAAGAGGTTAAGGGTTTATTCTTTCTTATCTTATTACCTAATACTATAGACTATATTATTAATAATTTATTAACTCGAGATATATTACGATTTTAAGATATCGAGCTAAAGATACTTAATCTAGCTAAGAAATATAGTATTAAATCCGATACTACTAGCTATAAGGTAAGCTATAAGGGTAAGTATTAGGACTTAGCCTTAGGTAGGACCTAATCTACACGTACCTTAGCTAACAGGGTTAGGAGGTAACGTGAAGGGCGGTAAATAGTCACGTGCTAGATAGATCGGCGTCCCTTTATATATATACTCTCGGATTCCTACTAAAAGGGTTTAGTAGTAATTCGTTCTATAATAGAATACACCCTATTATTCTATCTAACTATACTACTATCTAATAACCCTATTCTTATATTCGAATTACTCCCTATATAGTACTATAGTTAAGATAGTCTAACTAGAACCGAGAAGGTTAATACGATCTACTATAGGGATAAGTAATACTATATTAAATAATAGGGATTCTCTATAATCGGTATTAATCCCGGCCGTTTCTAACTAAGAAGTAGAAATATTAGACTAAATTACGGAGCTTTTAGATAAAGAAATAGTAGATACACCGAGTAACTTCTAATAATATAAAGCCGGATAACGAGTCGTGGTAGAGCCACGTAAGGTATTATAATAAACTATCGCCGAACTTTAGAAATACGTCGCAAATTAGACTTAAGAGATTTAAACCCTTAAAGAATAGGTAGAACGCGCGAAACTCCTCGTAAAGAGATAAGAACTTAAGGAGTCTCTTAAAGAACTACGCTAAACGATAGTAGGTGGACGACTTCCTATACTAATTTAGGCGGAATTAGTTTATCTACTATTAGAGTTACGATAATCCACCGTATACCCGGCCGCTTCGTTACTAATTTACCCTACTCCTTCCCTAGGTATACTAAAATCTAAAGACCCGACTATATTTATAGAGAAGAACTAAAAGGAGTAGAAAGACTAGAAGAGAGACTACGAAAAGTACTTCCTTAATAACCCTCTACTCTTTTCTACTAAAGTATAACGCATTTCGTTCGGAGAACGATACCTAGACTTATAATCCCGCGATTAATAGGATAGATAGAAGGAAGTATAGCTACTATCTACGATAACCTAGAAATATTTAGCTATATTTATACTAAATACCCTCGGAACGGATAGAGAACGTAAAAGAAAGGCACTATCTAAGTTAAGAAGCGTAGTATAACGACCGAACTAGACACCTACTTAACTACTATAATACCTCTAAAACCTATAGGATAATATCCCTACGCTATAGGAAAATATTCGTATATTCTAGTTTCGCGAAGTACTACTTCCATTAATCCGTGAAAGACTAGAAATAGTATTATTAAGTTTTAACTATCTATATAAATTAGAGGAGAAAGCTAATAAATACTACCGCATCCTTAAGGAACGCGGCTCTCTAGGTAAAACCGACGAACCCTATATAGGTTAGAAACGAGATCGATCGAATACGTTTAATTAAGAGTAACCTTACTATAATTAGCGCTAGAAGAGTATAAATCGGGGTAGAAACGCGTTAAGAGGATACTAAAATAATTAAGGCGGTACTTCTTAACACGGAAAAGGATAAGGTATAGACTTAAATATAACATCTATCGTAAAATAGTAGGATTATAGTATACTTCGTTACTATAAGTATAGAAAAATAGGATATATTTCGCCTAACTATAAGAATCTAAAAAAAGAATAGGCTAGTACACGAGACCTAACCGCGTTCTTAGCTAAATTATATATACTTAGAAGGAGCCGTAGCGCCTTCCGGTAAGTAAAGATCTAATATTACTAAAAGTATCGTTACCTATAGTAAATAGTAATAAAACTATATAGGCCCTCGTAGACACTAGTATAGAAGATAACTATATTTTATTAATTCTCGTAAAGGAGTATAGATTATTATACGATCTTAGTAAAGTTAGCTGAACTATTATAGTTAATAGATATAAAGTTAGAACTTTAGGTAAAGCTATAACGAATTACGAAGTTCATAACTCGAAGATAATAAAATAGTAGATGTCTAATGAATTTATCGTGGCTAATATTAGCTAATAGAATATGATTCTAGGGATACCTTAGCTTAGACGCCTAAACTCCATCCTTGATTTTTAGAAGGAGATATTAATATTCCGATAATACTATAGTAAATTATACTAGTAAGTCGTAACTATTAGTAAGGAGGCATAGAACCTCGCTATACGGATCTAATCATCGCTAATCTATCTTACGTCCTTATTAATTATCGATAAAGACAAGGACGATAGTAATAATTAGAGCGAAGACACGCTACCCGATATATATTCGTAGTATACGGATATATTTTCGGTAGAAGATATATTACTTCTCCCTAATCACGGGCCGTATAAGCTAAAGATTAAGCTTAAAGAGGGAGTAGACGTCCCTTATAGCCTACTTTACCTACTTTTAAGACTAGAACTCGAAGTTCTTTATAAATATATTAAAGAATACCTCGAAAGAGACTAGATACGTCATAGTATATTATCGGCTAGCGTATCTATTCTCTTCGTGAAGAAGAAAGACGGAAGTTTATATCTATACGTTAACTATTAGGTACTAAATATAGTAACTAAGAAGAATCGTTACCTATTACCGCTAGTTAATAAATCTTTAGACTAATTAATAAAGGTAAAGTACTTTACGAAGCTAGATTTACGAGATATATATTACTAGCTTTAAATTCATTACGGAGATAAGTAGAAAACCGTATTTCGGACTAGATATAGTTATTTTAAGTATACTATTATACCATTCGGGCTAATAAATGCGCTAGGAGCGTTTTAAGAATATATTAACACTATACTTATAGGATTACTTAACGTGATTTATATAGTTTATCTCGATAATATACTAATTTACTCCAATAGTATATAGGATTATAAAGAACACGTAAAATCGGTGCTAAATCGTCTAAGGTAGTATAAACTCTACGTAAAATTATCTAAATATAAGTTTCACTAATAAGAAGTTGGGTTTCTCGGCTTTATTATAATATATAGCGGCCTAAAAATAGAGCCGGAGCGTGTAAAGACTATTATAGAATAGCTAGAACCTACTACTATACGTTAAATTAGAATATTTATAGGTTTTATAAACTATTATCGTAAATTCATTATAGGCTTCTTACGAATTACGGCGCCGCTTAATAAACTTATAGAGAATAGCGGTAAAATCCCTATAGGTAGGCGAGTATAGCGTAAAGCTAAGTCGGTTAAGATATAGTTAATACCGGAAGCGCGAGATACGTTCCGATCGTTAAAGAATTACTTTATAACTACGCCGATTCTTAGGTATTTTAATCCTAAGAAGTATATTTAGGTCGAAACTAACGCGTTAGAATTTATAATTACTAGAATTATTAGTTAACCATATAAAGATACGAAAGATAAGATATAATAGTACCCGGTCGCTTTCTTTTCCTATAAAATAGCGGATATAGAGACGCGTTATAATACGTACGACTAGAAACTACTTATAATTATTAAGAGTTTTAAGTAATAGCGATATTATTTAGAAGGCTCTATATATTAGATCGAATTATTATCGGATTACGTAAATCTATATTACTTTATATTAACTAAGGTCCTTAATCGCCGATAAGTA